CCACGCCGTGGTCTCGCAACTCACCGACGTCACCGCAGTTACGCGTCGTCCAGCCCTTCAAGCAGCGAGGAGCAGCAGCAGGGTCGTCTCTCCGCGCGTTTGCGGGCGGGCAACGGGTGTCTGCGTGCGCAGGTGCGTGACGTGTGTGTCGCTGGCAGTGCGGCGCTGCGCATGCGTGTCCGGAACGCGCCTGCATGCGGCACCGCGGGCGATGCAGCGCAGCCTGGGTGCTTGGCGCGCTGCCGCGTGCGGGTGCCGCGGATGTCGAGCGTGGCGCTACGGCGTTGAGTATCAGCAGAGCACGGCGCGATGTCAGCCGCGCGTCGCTGCCGTCGGACGACGTTGCGGGCCCACCTCCCAACCGCCTCCCTCGTTGTCTCGATGCGCGCGCAGGAGGCGGCGCGCGGGCGCGGGAACGTGGCACGGCAGCTTCAGGCGATCACAGCATCATGCCACGGGGACGGCGCAGCGATGCGGGCGCGCCCCGCGAGCGCTCGAAACGCGCACGGCCCCAGCAGCATCAGCTGGAGGACATTCAATGCGGGCGGGACGGTCCCCTGGCCAGCATCATCCGTGCGCTGCCGTGCAAGTCGCGCATCGCGCTGGCGGCGACGTCGTCGGCGATGATGGCCGCGGTGCTGGAGAGCTGCGACGGCGCGAGGTGGTGGTCAGAGGACACACGCAGCCGTTGTGCGGAGCGGCGGGTGGGGCGGACGGTGGCGCGGCGGGTGGAGGGGCGGGTGTCGGAGGGGACGAGGTCGGAGGTCGGATGGGCGACGGGGCACGGGGAGTGGGTGGTGTATCACCACGCAGGCGCGTGTATCGACGACGTGGGCGTGCCGTCCGCGGTGGTGCGCGTGGAGCCGGGAGCAGGGAGTCGGCTGCGGTACCTGGTCAAGACGGATGCAGGCAGGCGTGACCTAGCATCAGCCCCGGCGGTGACGGCGGAGATGACGGGCCTGCGGTGCGTGGACGTGGCAGTGTACAAGCTGGACGTTGAGGGTGTGTGGGGGCGGGAGTGGCTGCCTGCGGGCGTGGCGGCGGGCATCACGGAGCTGAGGGTGGGCGGGACGAGGCTGAAGCGCGTGCCGGAGGGCATGGTCTCGCTCGAGGTCCTGGACGTCAGCCGGTGCTTGGAGCTGGAGGGCGAGACGTTCCTGCCGGCGTCGAGCGCGGGGCGGGTGCGGGTGCTGAGGGCCGACGGCACCGGCCTGCGGAGGGTCCCCGAGGGGATGTGCGCGCTGGGGGAGCTCAGTGTGCGCGAGTGCGAGAGCTTGGACGAGGCGTGCCTGCCGGCGTCGTCCGCCGCGGCGCTGCGGGTGCTGCGCGCCGACTACAGCGCTCTACGCAGGCTGCCCGCGGGGATGCGGGCGCTGCGGGAGCTCCACGTGGACTGGTGCAAGAATCTGCAACCCGAGCTTGCGCTGGCGGGCGCTGTGGAGCTGCGGGTGCTGAGTGCTGGGGGCACGGGGATGCGGGTGGTGCCGGAGGGGCTGGCGGCGCTGGAGAAGCTCAGCGTACCGTGGTGCGAGTCGCTGGACGTGAGCTCGCTGCGCAACGCTCCCACGGTGCGCGTGCTGGGGTTGAACAGCGCTGGGCTGCGGAGGGTGCCGGAGGAGCTGACGGCGCTGGAGGAGCTGGACCTGAGCTACTTCGTCGGAGAAATCACGGAGGGCTTCTTCCCGGCGTCGGTCTGTGCGAGGCTGTGTGGGCTGAGTGTCAGCGACTGCCCCGCAGTGAGGAGGGCGCCGGAGGGGCTGACGGCGCTGGAGAGGCTCGACGTGAGCTACTGCGAGCAGCTGGACGGCGAGGCGTTCCTGCCCGCGTCGTATGCTGCGAGGCTGCGGGTGCTGAGAGCCTCACACAGCAACGTGCGGAAGCTGCCGAGGGGCATGGACGCGCTGGAGGAGCTGGACGTGGAGCGGTGCGACGAGCTGGACTGGGAGGACGCGGCGGAGGTGCTGAGCGGTGCTGCGAGGCTGCGGGTGCTGCATGCGCGCTACAGCGACATGCGGAGCCTGCCGGGGGGACTGCACGCGCTGGAGGAGCTAAATGTTTATCGGTGCAAGAGTCTGACGGGGACGCTGGAGCAGAGCGTCGCGGACCGTCTGCGTCGGTGGGACGTTCGGGGGAGCGGGCTGGTGCTACCAGAGGGGATGTGGACGTTTCGGCACGGGTGAGGCGCATGCATTTCAGCTGCTGCGGGGGCGGCGACGAGCTGTGAGACTGGGACATCACGGTCGCCCGCGTCGCGTCTCGCCGCGCTCTCCCGTCCCTGTCCGCCCTTGCGGCACACACACAACGCAGGACCACCGCGTGACTGGGCCACAGCAGCGCAGCACCATGCACGCACGCGACCGCCACCGCGCACCTCGCGACCTCATCCGCGCGCTTGCTCGGTGCAGCCCACGACGTCTGGGAGCTGCTGTCAGGGGGGGTTGTCCTCGACTGAGCGCGTGAGAGCAGACATAGACGCCTCGCCACGCCGGCCGCGTATACTGGGGAGCGCCCAGCGTCACGGCCACGACGCAACCTCGCAACTCACCGACGTCACGCGCCGTCGAGCACATTCACGTCAAGCAGCGAAGAGCAGGGGTCGTCTCTCCGTGCGGGCGCGCAGCGAGTGTCTTCGTGCGCAGGTGCGTGTGTGTCGCTGGCAGTGCGGCGCTGCGTATGTGCGTCCGGAGCGCGCCTGCATGCGGGACCGCTGGCGGAGCAGCGCAGCCTGGGTGCTTGGCGCGCTGCCGCGTGCGGGTGCCGCTATGGAGGCGGATGTCAAGCGTGGCGCTACGGCGTTGAGTATCAGCAGAGCACGGCTCGGGCGTCGGCAGCGCGTCGCGCTGTCGTTGCGCAACGCGGTTGCGGGCCCACCTCCCACAAGGGCCCCACATTCCGACCGCCTTCCTCGTTGTCTCCGTGGGCACGCAGGAGGCGGCGCACGGGCGCGGGAACGCGGCTTGACAGCTTGACGCTGTGACAGCGCGATGGCGCCGCGCCGGCGCAGCGATGCGGGCGCGTCCAAGCGCTCAAAGCGCGCAGGGCCCCAGCAGCATCAGCTGGAGGACATTCAGTGCGGGCGGGACGGTCCCCTGGCCCGCGTCATCCGTGAGCTGCCGCGCAGGTCGCGCATCGCGCTGGCGGCGACGTCGTCGGCGATGATGGCGGCGGTGCTGGAGAGCTGCGACGGCGCGAGGTGGTGGTCAGGGGACGCACGCAGCCCTCGTGCGGAGCGGCGGGTGGGGCGGACGGTGGCGCGGCGGGTGGAGGGGCGGGTGTCGGAGGGGACGAGGTCGGAGGTCGGATGGGCGACGGGGCGCGGGGAGTGGGTGGTGTATCACCGCGCAGGCGCATGCGACGTGGGCGCGCCGTCCGCGGTGGTGCGCGTGGAGGCGGGAGATCGGGATCTGCTGGTGGGCCTGGCCCTGTCGGACGCCGGCCGGCGTGAGCTGGCGTCGGCGCCGGCGGTGACGGCGGAGATGACGGGCCTGCGGTACCTGGACGTGGGAGTGTACGAGCTGGACGTGGAGGGTGTGTGGGGGCGGGAGTGGCTGCCCGCGGGCGTGGCGGCGGGCATCACGGAGCTGCAGGTCTGGGGGACGAGGCTGAAGCGCGTGCCGGAGGGCATGGTCTCGCTCGAGGTCCTGGACGTCAGTTATTGCAGCCAGCTGGAGGGCGAGACGTTCCTGCCGCCGTCGAGCGCTGGGCGGGTGCGGGTGCTGACGGCCAACAACAGCAGCCTGCGCAGGGTGCCTGAGGGGATGTGCGCGCTGGAGGAGCTCAATGTGGTCTGGTGCAGGCGCCTGGACGAGGGGAGCCTGCCGGCGTCGTCTGCGGCGGGGCTGCGGGTGCTGCACGCCGGCTACAGCGAACTGCGCAGGCTACCCGCGGGGATGCGGGCGCTGCGGGAGCTGCACGTGGCTGCGTGCAGGAGTCTTCAGCCCGAGCTTGCGCTGACGGGCGCTGCGGAGCTGCGGGTGCTGGATGCTGGGGGCACGGCGATGCGGGTGGTGCCGGAGGGGCTGGCGGCGCTGGAGGTGCTCGACGTGAGAGGCTGCGGGTCGCTGGACGTGAGCTCGCTGTGCAACGCTGCCACAGTGCGCGTGCTGATGGTGAACAGCGCTGGGCTGCGGAGGGTGCCGGAGGAGCTGACGGCGCTGGAGCAGCTGAGCCTGGGCGGCTTCCCGGGAGAGATCACGGAGGGCTTCTTGCCGGCGCGGATCTGTGCGAGGCTGCGGGGGCTGAGTGTCAGCGACTGCCCTGCAGTGAGGAGGGCGCCGGAGGGGCTGACCGCGCTGGAGGAGCTCGACATGAGCTACTGCGTGCAGCTGGACGGCGAGGCGTATCTGCCCGCGTCGTGTGCTGCGAGGCTGCGGGTGCTGAGAGCCTCGTACAGCAACGTGCGGAAGCTGCCGAGGGGCATGGACGCGCTGGAGGTGCTGGACGTGGAGCGGTGCGACGAGCTGGACTGGGAGGACGCGGCGGAGGTGCTGGGCGGCGCTGCGAGGCTGCGGGTGCTGCATGCGCGCTACAGCGACATGCGGAGCCTGCCGGGGGGACTGCACGCGCTGGAGGAGCTAAATGTTTATCGGTGCAAGCATCTGACGGGCACGCTGGAGCAGAGCGTCGCGGACCGTCTGCGTCGGTGGAACTTCCAGGGCACGCAGATGGCGCTGCCGGGTGGGATGCGGGCAATGTGCTGGCAACGTTGAGCTGCTTACGTTGCAGCTGCGACAGGGGCGGTCGGAAGGCGCGCAGGACAGGCGTGCGGACTGTGAGGCCATGCGCGGCTTCTGTGCGTCCACCATCCATCGTAAGGATAACAAGGGTTAAGGATAACAATCATAACAAGGGTTCGAATCCGCTCAACTATCCAATGACAGTCGCGCCCTCACGGAGGTGTACACCGCGTTCCCCCCTCAACGGCCTTCTCGCCAGGCTTGCGTGCACGCCGGGCACCCGTCGGACCGCTGGTCGTGCTCCGCCCGGCATCCGTCCTTCGATCAGTGGCCGAACGTGCACGCGCTGCCGCGGTTGCACTGCTGGCCGAACCTGCACGCCTTGTGCGCGAAGTGGCACTTGTCGCCGTACGTGCACTTTGCGCCGTTCTGGATGCTGCGGCACAGCTTCTTCAGCTTGCCCGCGCCACCCCCGCCCGGCGCCGGCAGCGCAGGCCGCGCGCCGCCGCCGCCAGCCCCGCCCGCGATGGCCGCCTGCCCCGCCCAGCCCAGCTGCAGCCTGGCGAGCTGGTCCTCGGTGCCCTTGACCTCGCGGATGACCGTGTCCTTGATCACCGACACCTTCCCCGTCTTGGGGTCGCGGATCTGGCGCTCCACCGTCACTGTCTCCATCATCTCCAGCTCCTTCGTCGTCTTCTGGACGTACTCCTTGAGCTTCTGGAGCGCCCTGATGAACCCGGAGTAGTCCTCGGAGGACGACACGTGCACGTGCCGGATCTTCTCGATCTCGTCCGCGTAGTCCGGGCGCCTGCCGAAGACGTTGATGAAGTTGATCTGGATGCCGGGCTTCCTCAGCGCCTGCGGGAGCGTCCAAGGAGGTGCGGGTGAGATGGCGGCGCCTCGGTCGCCGCCGTGGCCCGGTCTTCTGGTCGCCCGGATGCGGGTAGCGGTCAAACTGTGGCGCCTCCGCGGGATGCGGACTGTGAGACCTGACCGGTCTGCAAATGAGCTACGTTGTAGTTGACAACAATGTAGGGAAAACGCACCGCGACGAAGTCCGAGGCCTGCTTTTTCGAGTGCACGTCCTCGCCGTCCGTCAGCATCACCAGGCAGCGCTTCGTCTTCTCCGCGGTCTTGTACCGCCGCATCTTCGCCAGCACCTCGATGGCGGAGTCGTACAGCGCAGTGCCCCCCTCGACGCACGTGAACCGCTCCCCGAGCTCCTGGACGCGCTTGTCGCCCAGCTGCTCCTTGTTGGTCGCCGGCAGCAGCAGCTCCAGCCCGCTGTTGAACTGGTAGATGCACAGCGACACCTTGACCTTGCACTTGCGGATGTGCGTCGCGATGTCCGCCATGCACGCGGCGAGGTGCAGTGCGCGCGACTTGCCGTCCGGAGTCTTCGCGCTCATCGAGTAGGACTTGTCCAGGAGGAAGACGATGTCGAGCGCGGCCATGGTTGCCTTTTTTCTTCTTTGTCTTTCGTCTTTTCTTTTTCTTCGTTTGTCGAAGTGTTGTTCGGAGTGTTCTCGAAGCGTTTCTTGGCAGTGTAGACCTGCATGCAGCGCCGCATCGCAAGCGGGTCATCTCGTCTGCCGCACCATCGCTACGTCGCCGCGAAAGGGCGTGCAAGCACGCGCGGCAGATGAGCAGGCGAGGTGCCGCGGCGCGCTGTGGCAGCCACACACACGCAGCTCCGACAGCGCAACGCATCCGCCTCCTCGTCAGATGCCGCGCCGGCCGCCGGAAAGCGCCGGGGCGACCCGCGCGGCGCTCCTGTGGCGCGGCCAGCACCACGCACAATCGCAATGTTTTGCCCCGCTGACGCTCTCCCGATGGGCGCGGCACGAGCCTAGGATTGATCTAGCTGGATTGTTCCGTGATCGAACAGCGCTCGCAAGGCGCATCAAGCGCTGTCGAGGGACACCACGCGCGTAGCGGGGGCAACGTGCCCCTCCGCTGGACCACGGACGCCCAAGGCGCGCGGCAGCGGACGTACGGGCGCGTGGTGGGTGCGGACGCCGGCGCGTCGTGTCGTGTACGTACACGAGATGCCAGAACGCTGGCATTATGCGCATGAGGTGTCCGGTATTGTGCAGGGGAACCGGAACCTCATGCTAGTGTGGATGGGTCGGGGTCGTGCAAGGCCACGCGTGGGGCGCGCTCGTGGGGCCTCGGCGGGAGCGCACCTGGGATGTGCGACTTCAGTCAATATCCACGATCGGCTACACTGCTCGACACGGCAGGAGGTGCCCCCCAATGTGCCCGCGGCGCTCAGGGCCCTACCCGGTAGCTTGCAGGAGGTCTCCCCTCCTGACGCGCGTGAGCGTCCGTCTGGGGCTTTGACGCAACGATTCGGGCAGAAGCGTGGCCGTGAGTGTCGTGAAATCAGTCTGCGAGGCCGAGCGGACCTGCCGCGCCGCGGATGCGGCGGTGAGCGGCGCATGGGCGACGGGGCTGTGCGCGAACGGAGGCACGTGGGAGCGCGGGGGCGCACGTCGGTCGGGAGGGCGGCGGAGGGGCGCGGGGCGGACAGGGAGTGCAGGTGCGACGGCAGCGAGGGTGTTGTGCGCGAGTCGGCCCTGGGCGCGGCCCTCTCTCGAATAGCACACCTCGGCAGCAGCAGGGCGCGGCGGGGACACGATCGAGGTGGCCGGCGCGGTTCCGGACACGTTCCATCTTCCCGACGCCGCGTCCCCGCCCTAGTCGCCCAGCAGTACAGTCGGGCACCGCGACGTCTGTCGTTTCGTTTGCCAAAGACAGCGTTTTACATCTGGCGGGTCAGACGAAAGGTTATCGGTGGATTGCGGCCCGTCTGCGCACCGGAGTCCCTCGCCGGGTGCCGCGGGAGGCGTGTGCGGGGGCGAGTGAAGCGAGCGCAGTCCCCCGAGCCGGATGTCGTGCCCGAGGAGCGTCGTCAGTGCAACATCGTCGTGTGCGCGCGGTACCGGCCCTTCGCAAGGTCCTGCGCCGGCAGGGAGCTCTGGCCGGTGGCTCCCGTCGCCGACCGGCGGCGGGGCGCGGAAGTCGTCCATGTGAGGGGGGCACGTGGCGGGGGGGGGAGTGCGACGCGCTGGGCAGTCTGGCGGCCCGGCGAGCCGACCTGCAGCGCCGGGCCGCTTCATGTGCGTCGCGCAGCGCGCGGGCGGGCGTCTTGCGGCATCGAACAGGTGCTGTGCGCGTGCTGTTCGCTCGTCTGCGCGCGTGAACCTTCGCAGCGCTCCACGCAGGGCCGGAGCAGCTGCCGACCGGCGGCGGGAGCGGGCGTGGCTGGGCGGGGCGTCGGCAGCTCCACACGTCCCCGTGCTACCATGCCTCAGCAGCAGAGCAGCGCGCCCACGTATGCGCATCCGCGGCAGGGCCTGGAGGTGAGCAAGCGAGCTTGCCGCGGGAGCCGCCGGCATTCCGCAGCGGTTCCTGGCGATCCCGCGTCGTGGCGAGGATGTCGTGCATGGATTGAGTGAGGCGGGCTCGTTCTGCAACGTTGCCGTGTTCGTGCGCGACGGCAACGCGTTTTTTCTTGGTTGCTGCGACCTGCAGGAGCTCGGGGACCGCGCGGTTTGGAGCGTGAGCAGCAGCAGCCAGGGCCACGGGGTCGAGGCGTTGCGGGACGGCGATTTCACGAAGACGTTCTGGCAGTCGGACGGCGTGGCGCCACACACGGTCACGGTGCGCTCGCCGCCAGTTCCGAGCCCTCCACCTCTCGCCAGCCGACCCAACACGCGACACCGGCCGCCGCGCACGGCAGTCTCACACGTCGTCGATCATCTCCGTCGCTGTGCGGGCGCTGCGACGCCCGGCATGCGGCGTGCTCGCACGCGCGGTGCACAACAGCCACAAGCGCGCCCGCCTGGCCTGACGCAGGCGTCGTTCTACCGCAAGACCGAGATCAGCGAGGTCTACCTGTACCTAGATTCGGAACACGATGAGTCCTACACGCCCTCGCACATCGTAGTGCTCGCGGGCCCGCGCGAGGAGGAGCTCGCAGAGGTGCGCGCCCGCTGCGCTCCTGCCGCCCGAGCCGCGACGCAGCGACCTGCATTGCCACCTGTCGCGAGCACACTCCACGCAACCGTCGTCCTCGCTCCGCCAGGACCCCGGTATTCAGCCGCTTTCTGTCAATTGGTGCACGTGTGCGCAGGTGGGCCAGGCGACCGCGGACCACCCGCAGGGCTGGATCCGCATCGGCCCGCTGCAGGCCGCGGGCGGCCCCGCGCGCGCCTGGGTGTTCGTTGTGGCCATCGTGCAGAACCACCAGAATGGGAGGGACACCAAGATTCGACAGCTGCACATGCTCGGGCCGAAACAGGAGCCCCTGCGCGGCCCCACGGAGCGGCCCATCGCGCGCATGATGGCTCGGGCCGCGCGGTAGCTCGGCGCGCAGCGTCGAGGCGCACACGTGCCTCGCAACATATGTACACAAGGCTGAACACGTTGCGCAAGCAAGAACGTGCCTGCTGAGTCAGTGTCATCACGTGCGCATGTTGCTGTGTGCATTCAGGCGTGCGGTCGCGCGCAGATGCACTGTTGCAAGGCCCGCGATCCAGCGGGACGCTCACGCACGCAGTCTGCGTGCAGCCGTCACATGCGTCCCGGCTCACGCGCTCGCCCCCGCCGCACCGTCGCCGCCGACCTCGGGCTCGACCTCCGGCACCTGGTCGAGCAGGTCCGACAGCTCCTGCTCGAACTCGATCGTGGCGCGGTTGGTGCGCCCCCCCACGTGCACCGTGCTGCCCTCCTGCAGCGCCCAGACCTGGTTGAAGCTCAGGAACGACAGGAACGTCGTCAGGATGAGCAGGCCGAACCCGGCGTACACCGCGGGGATCCCGGGGTCGGCCTTGAGCTGCAGGCCGGTGGACCCCAGCATTTGCTCCACGGTGATGTCAAGCCCGGTGCTGCCGGGGATGTCGACGTGCAGGACGGTGCCGGAGCCGGGGCGCCGCACGCCGCCGAAGTCGCCCTTCTCGGTGTAGAAGATGACGGACTGCAGGTCGCGGGCGATGATGGGGATGCCGCGGGGCCGCGCGCCGGGGCCCGAGGGGCGCTCGACGGGCAGGAAGGACGCCCAGGCGCGGCCCTGGATGTTCTCCGCGCCGCTGATGAAGGCCATGGGCAGCTGGACGATCACGGGGCTCCCGTCGTCGGTCTGGTAGATGCCGCCCGTGACCTTGAGGCGCACCGCCGAGATGCCCCAGTCGGTCTGGTACGCCGTGATGCCGCCGAAGCGGAGCGGGTCGTTGACGTACGTCGTCTTGCGCTTCAGCTCCTTACCGGTGTCCGGCGACACGACGCTGCGGTGGTGCCAAGGCACGGGGGGGGGGTGTGAGTGGCTTGGGACGCCGTGTGGCCGGCAGCGGCTTAGGAACGAGGTCGACTCAGTGCGCCCGCAGGCGAATAGCGGCGTCGCCGTCACGATGCGCCGGAGCCTCATTGCCGCGCAGGCGAAAGCCCGCGGCAGTTGTGTGCGCAGACTGGCAGAGCCGCACGCGGTCGAGATCGGCTGATTCTTGCACGGCGCGGCAGGCTCTCCCCTCGTCGCACCTGACGTCCGAGTAGAACTGCTGCGCCTCGCCGTTCGGGCGGTACGTGATCGAGAAGTCGTTGACGCGCAGCACGGCGCCGCCGCCCGACGGGAGGGTCGCGAGCGGCGACGCCGGCTCGATCGCGGACGCCACGAGCGCCTCGCCGCCCTCGGGGATGATGACGTTGCCCGTCCAGCCGCCGAAGAGCCCCTGGCCGAACCCTATGAGACATAGAATCATGGCGGCGTGAACGGCGACAGGCGCGTAGCGGCCCACGATGCCCGTGAACGCGTACATCTTGTCGCCGCTCGTGAAGACCTGCGCGGCAGCGGGGGGGGCGATGGCGTCGTGGGGGGGGCCGGAGGGGTCGCGGGGCGTGGCGCGGCGGAGCCATGGCAAGCGCGCGCGAGTAGTCGTCGTTTCGCGACTGCGAAAGCGCCCGTCGTGCTCGACTGCTTGCACAGGAGGCGACGCGACGGGTCGGCCGCCTCCGACGCGCCCTGTCGTTCGAGCGAGCTACGCATAGCCGCGCCGAGCGAGCGCGTGCGCGACGGGAGAGCCACGGCGCCGGAACGGGCGCCCACGCGCAGCTCCTCCCACTTGCCTGGTAGCCCTTCCCACGCAGTAGCTCGGCGAGGTCGCGCACACGCGCGCCCGGGAGCGACTCTGCGAAGGGGTTCTTCAGGACGGCCTTCGGCGTCTCGGCCCAGCGCCAGTTCTTCGCGACCTTGATGGCCGGGACCTGCCTGGTGAGCGTGCAGGCTGAGAGGGAGCCGGCGAAGAGCAGGAGGAGCGCGACGAAGTACGGCGACGTGTAGATGTGGTCGATACCGAGCGAGATGATGAGGTCGCCGGTCAGGAAGCCCAAGACCTGCAGCGCGGGGCGCGCAGGAGCGGTGTGGGGCGGTGGCCGGGCCCGGCGGGGCAGGGGCGGTCGCGAGGGGCGCGGGGCGGGCGGTGTGCGCACCTTCTGGTCGCCGTCGGGGTAGAACGTGTAGTAGTAGTCGTAGGGCTTGTTCTGCTCGATGAAGGTGCCCACGGCGGACAGCGCGGCGATCACCCCGAGCTCGGCAATTGCCAGTGGAAGAGACGCCAGCTGCCGCAGCGCCTTGTTCCAGATCCGCTGAACGGGGTTCGGGCCTGCGGGGGAGGCCAGGGGCTAGCCGCGCGGACGTCGCGAGCGCACGCCGTGGCCGCGCCGGCGCGTGAGCGGCCAGCACCGCTCTGCGGCACATATCCAAGCATGATCCGACCGCTCCCGCGCACCGGTGCGTGGGCAAAAGGCCCCATAAACTACATAGTTCGATATATTGAGTATTGAACAATACATGGACGTAAGTTTGTGCGAAATGATTGCCGAACCAGAGCGTGAGAGCGGGGTTCTTGCCTGGTGGTGGACTAGGCCCACCATTCCGGCCGTTGCCCTGCTCGTCCTCCGCATCCGTGAGCGACGGCGCCGTCGCGAGCTTGTTCCTCGCCGCCCTGGCCGGCGCAAGCGCCGCCCGCCCGCGCGACGGCGCCCTGCGCGCTGCGATCCGAGGCACGCGCGCTCGCGCCACCCCTACGGCCAGCGCGGCCTGCTGACGCGTGCCAAGCATCTGACCGGCGGCCAACTACGAGAACAAGTACCGGAAAGTCAATAGGCGGCCTGGTAGAAGCTGAGCAATCGGAACGAGGCAGCCCCGTGCTGCGAAGACCGGCAAGGAGGCGCCAGGCCCGAGACGTGCACAGGAGGAGTGCGCTGGACCGAGACGCGGCGAAGCGGGATCTTCTGATGCGGGCCTCGAAGTAGTCGGACCCCGCGACGGCGCACGGCCCTGAATCGCGGCCCTGGAAAAGGGGGGGGATCATTTGCGACCCCCCCGCGGTCGGAACTTGTCTGCGCACGCGGCGGCTGCGCGGCCGACACCGCGGCACCGCAGCCACGCCTGTCGGAACGTTCACATCGCGGCGCAGCACGCCTCGGATGGGCGACCGCATGCGTTGTACCCTCACTCCTGCAGCTTGCCGCCGCGGTACTGCCGGGACACGCTGCGCATCGTGACGAACTCCTCCGCGGATGACGGGTGGATCCCGACGGTCGAGTCCATCACGGTCTTCGTGACGCCGGCCTTGACCACCACCGCGAAGCCCTGCACGATCTCGCTGGACCCGTGCCCGACCATGTGCACGCCGACGACCTTGTCCGTCTTCGCGTCGACGACCAGCTTCATCATCTCGCGGCCCTCGTTGCCCGCGAGCGTGTTGCGCATCGGCTTGTAGCTGGAGGTGTACACGTCAACGTCGCCCAGGGACTCCACCGCCTCCTCCTCGGACATCCCCACCGTCGTCAGCGACGGCTGCACGCACGCAGAACAAAACACTTCCGCGCTTCCGCACGCTGCTCGAGCAACCCAGCGGACAGATGACGCGGCAACACGTTGCATCGTGCACGTTGTCGTCGCGCGGGGTCGCGAGCGCGCGGGCAGGCGCGTGCAGAGGCGCACCTGCGTGAAGACGGCCGACGCGACGGCGCTGTGGTCCGGCTTCGTCGGCTTGTCGGCGAACGCTGTCGCGGCAAAGGCCATGCCCTCCATCAGCGCGACAGGCGTGAGGTTGATGCGGTTGGTCACGTCGCCGACGGCCCAGACGTTCTCCGCGGTCGTGCGCGAGTACTCGTCGACCACGATGTCGCCGCGCTTGTTCACCTCGACGCCCACCGTCTCCAGACCCAGGTTCCTCGAGTTCGAGTCGCGGCCCGTGGCGCACATGACCTGGTCCAGGCCCTCGAGCGTCTTCGTCTCCCCTGCAACGCACACGCGGGGCGCGGCGGTCGGGCGCGGCCCGAAGCACGCCGCTTCCAGCGCTCGCGCTCTCGCGGGGCTTCCTGGGCGCGTGCGTGCGGGAACGGAACGTCGCGGGGGAGGGGAGGGGGTTCCGCACCGCTGCTGGACTTGAGGTCGAGGTCGAGCTTCCCGTCGTCGCGCTTCCTGATCTCCACGGGCTCCCAGCCGTCCATGATGTTGACGCCGTGGCCCGTCATTTGGTCCTTGAGGAACGTGCGGCACTCGTTGTCGAACCCGCGCAAGAACGAGCCCTCGCTGCGCATCAGGCTGTACACCTCGGACCCGAGCCCGTTGAAGATGCACGCGAACTCCAGCCCGATGTATCCGCCGCCGACGATCGCAATCTTGTCCGGGCGCGCGTCGAGCTCGAGCGCGTGGTCCGAGTTGATCGCGAGCTCGCCGCCGGGGATGCCGAGCGCGCGCGGCCGCCCGCCCGTCGCGATCAGGATGTGCTTCGTCGTCACCTGCGTCTTCGACCCGTCTGCGCGCGGCACCCACGAACCGTGCGACTCGCTCAGACGCAGCGACAACAAACACACGCCGCGCGGCGAGCGCTGTTGTTGGTGGTGTTGTGGCGCGGGAGGCCCGTACCCGGCTTGGCGATCTCGATGGTGTTTGGGCCCGCGATGGTGGCACGGCCCTCGAAGTGCTCCACGCCGGCGTTCTTGATGATGTTGCCGTACACGTTGTTCAGCCTCTGCGGCGCACACACGCGCGCACGCGCACTCGTTCGCAGCCGCGGCCACACAGCCACGACGCCAAACAGGGAAACCCAATCAAGGAACACCAATTGAGGAATTCGTAGGAAGCGATGCGTTCCAGCGCACGCCGCCCAGCGCCGCACCTGGAGCTCCTTGTTCTTGTTCCCGATCAGGGTCTCCCAGGAGTGCGCCGGAAGAGCCCGATCCTCGAATCCGTATCCCACCGAGTCCTTGAAGTGTTCGTTGAACTCGCTCGCGTACACGAGCAGCTTCTTCGGGACGCACCCGCGCAGCACGCACGTGCCGCCCATGCCGCCGACGGTGTCGGACGAGACCGTGCCGAACGGCATCTCCACCAGGGCGACGCTCGCGCCGTAGGAGGATGCAAAGCGGGACCCGCGCACGCCGCCGGAGCCGCCGCCGATCGTGACGAGGTCGTAGTCGTAGTTCCCGCACTGCGACTTGGCCTGGACCGAGTTGGCTGCGCGCGCGGCGCCGGGACGAGCACGGGCGGCGGGGTGGGAGTGCGGTGCAGGGGTCGCACATCGGGCGCCCAGACGCGCTTTCGGCGCGAGGCACGCCGCTCCAACGATCAGGTACTGAAAAGTGTCGCGGGCGCATGCGGCGTCCGTGCGAGGTATGCGTCGGAGCGCCGCGGCGCGCGGCCGAACAAACACCCAGGCGCGGCAACTGCAAACGCACCTGCGCTGCAGCGGCCGGCGCGGCGCGCCGCTCCCGCCGTCCTGGCGGCCGCGGCCGGCACGGAGCGGCCGAGCGCCGTCGTCGATCGGCGGATGTCTGCACGGACCAGCAGGAAAACAGGCCGGGTGTTGGCGCCGATGTGAGACCGGCCTCCCCTGGCCGCTCGACCGCGAAGTGCGCGAAAACGCGCACGCCGGCGTTCCGATGGGATGCTAGGCTGTGCGTCATGGCATGGGGCGTGCGTGGGCGGCGCGTGGGGTCGCTGGGGAGCAGGTTGGGCGCGTGCAGTCAGCAGCCCCTCACCGGCTCTCTGCGCCGCGCTGCCGACGCTGCGGCGCGCCGCGGCGCCTGGAGGCGTGAAGCAGGCCTTGCAATTGATCATGTTGGTCGGGCCGGAGCGGCGCGTCCGGAGGGCCCGTGTCGCGGCCGAGGGGCGCGTGTCAAGGCGCTGCGAGCAACGACGCGCGCAATCCCGCGGCCGTGCGAATAGAAGGTCGCGTGGCTTCCTTTCCGGGCGACTCTGAGCAGGCGATGGAGTCTCGCGTGCCTGTGTGCAAGCGCTACGTGCCCCTGAGCGCGGCACGGCGGGCCCTTGAAGCGCGCCGAACTACCTAGTCGGACCAGCGTCGCAGCAGTCGACGTTTCTCGTCTCCCACGCGCACTCCACTCCACCAACGCACACCACGACAACCCGCACCCGCCGTCGCGCTCCTCCCCCCACCGCGGCGCCCGCTCACCCCCAACGCGCTACGTGCCCTCCCGGCCCACACGCCGCGAATCCACGCAACGCCGACGCCCGGCTGCGTGGCTTGCGCTAGCTCACACACACTCGCGCTCCCAATCGTCACTCGCGCAGCAATAGCGTCGCCGCGCACACCCGGGCGTCGAGGCGCGCCCAGCCCCGTGCGGCGGCGATGGCCGCGGGGCGAGCGGGCCGCTGGGCGGCAGCGGCGGTGGCGGCGCAGCGCTGCCGTCGAGGCGCGTGCGTTGCGGAGCGGCGACACCCCGGCCCCGCTCGCCCGCTGCAGCGCCCGCGCGGGCCGCGCTGTCGCGAGCGCGCGCCGCCCCCGCCGCGGCACCGCGTTGCGGCGCGTGTGGACACTTTGCCACCCTGGCACGCGCTACCGGCCCTGCACGGCCATATCAGCCCCTCGAATCGCCCTCAGCGGCATGTACCACCTTCGATCTAGGATATTCGTGCAGGAACGCGCGCGCTCGCCCGCGGAGGGCGCTGCGTCAGCCCGGGCGTTGTACCTGACTGCGGGGCGGTGCCGCGTCCCGGCGCCGTGCGGCGCGAGATGGCCGCGCGCGCGGGCGCGGCGGGCGCACACGACGCACGAGCGGCAGTACGACCCGAGCTGGCCTCGCAGCGGCGCCGCAGCCCGCACTTTCGCCCCCCTAGAGCTCCAGCCCAGCTCTCTGGTGCTTTCCCGCCTCAGCAGCGACCCGCGCGAGACAGGATGGCTGACGTGGACGCCGGCGGCGAGATCTCCGCCCTGGTGATCGACAATGGCTCCGGGATGGTCAAGTCCGGCTTCGCCGGCGACGACAGCCCGCGCTGCGTGTTCCCCTCCATTGTGGGCCGGCCCCGCCACCAGGGCGTGATGGTGGGCATGGGCCAAAAGGACGTGTACGTCGGCGACGAGGCCCAGGCCAAGCGCGGCATCCTCTCCCTGAAGTACCCCATCGAGCACGGCGTCGTCATCAACTGGGAGGACATGGAGAAGATCTGGTGAGCCTGGGACTGCTTGCGCTGGGCGTGCTGCTCTGGGTGCGGCGCTGCGGCGCCGCGGGCCGCCCGCCCGGCCCGCGGCTGGCCTGGATCCGCTGCGGGCGTGTAGCTCGCCGCTGTGCGGGGCGGCGCGGGGGCCTGGCTGCGGCGTGGGCGGCGCGGAGGCGGTGAGCTGGCCCTGTGGGGCCGGCGCCGCGCTCGCACGGGGGCTCTGCGTGCGTGCCGGGGCCGGATTTCGGCGCTATGCATAGGATCCGGAATGCGCACAATGCTTCGCGGGCGGTATCTGGCGCGTGCGCGGCGCGGAGCGGTCGTGCTGACCCTCTTGCGAAACCTTTTTGAATTCCCCGGAGCGGATGCGGCTCGCGCCGGGCCGCGCGCTACCGCATCAGCTCCATCTGATAAATCCCCGACGCGGCATCCGACTTTCGCCGCGTCGTCACCCACGTCGCGGCCCCCGCCTCTGCTCCAAACTGTCGCTCGCCCACCGCCCCCCGCCGCCCCCCCCGCGCCCCAAAGCCACCGCGCCGCACCACCGGCGCGCCCCTCTCCATCTGCACACCCCCAAAACCCGCAGCCGCCCTCCACCCAACCCCACACCACGTCAGCCAGAGCTCCAGTGGCCCGCCTGCCGCGCTCCGCCCTGTGCCTCCACAACCGCCGCAACAACGCACCCCCCCGGCCCGCACGCCTCCCGCGCCGCCACCTCCATCTCACACGCCGCCCCAGCCGCGCAGCACGCCCCGCCTCGGCCCCGCACCGGGCCGCTCGCCGCACGCGCCCGCAGCGCCACCTCACCGCCCCGCCCGCCCCGCGCGCGGCCCGAACGGCCCCCGGCCCGCCCCGCCCGCCCCCGCAGGTACCACACCTTCTACAACGAGCTGCGCGTGGCCCCCGAGGAGCACCCCGTGCTGCTGACGGAGGCCCCCCTCAACCCCAAGCAGAACCGCGAGAAGATGACGCAGATCATGTTCGAGACGTTCAACGTGCCCGCCATGTACGTCTCCTACCAGGCCGTCCTCTCCCTGTACGCCTCCGGCCGCACCACGGGTACGCCCCCCACCCCCCGCCGCGCCTCGTCCGACGGCCCTGCACCGCGCGCACGCACGCACGCGCCGCGCCGCGACGCGCCGCACGCCCGCCTCCGGCCCCGCGTCACGCGCGCGCGCACGCGCACACGGACACGAGCACCGACCCGCCCTGCTGGTGTGTGTTGTGTTGCGCTTGCGCAGGTATCGTGCTGGACTCCGGCGACGGCGTGACGCACACGGTGCCGATCTACGAGGGCTACGCGCTGCCGCACGCGATCATGCGCCTCGACCTCGCCGGGCGCGACCTGACGGACTACCTGATGAAGATCCTCACCGAGCGCGGCTACTCCTTCACCACCTCGGCCGAGCGCGAGATCGTGCGCGACATCAAGGAGAAGCTGACCTACGTCGCGCTCGACTACGAAACCGAGATGGCCACCTCCATGTCCTCGTCCCAGGTGCGCCGTCGTCCTTCTCGTGCCCGCAATCAATGAATACAACCCCCCCCCCCTTGGTTCGTTGTACGCGTCGCATCGCCGCGCCTCCGCCGCCAACAGTTCCCGCGGTCCCTGCTCCCGCGCCCGCCCAGCGCCTCAATGACGCCCTGCGTCGACACCCCCCCCTGACGCAGGTGGAGAAGTCGTACGAGCTGCCGGACGGGCAGGTGATCACCGTGGGCACGGAGCGGTTCCGCTGCCCGGAGGTGCTGTTCAACCCGTCGCTGATCGGCATGGAGGCGCAGGGCATCCACGAGACGGCGTTCGGGTCCATCATGAAGTGCGACGTCGACATCCGCAAGGAGCTGTACGGCAACATCGTGCTGTCCGGCGGCACGACGATGTTCCCCAACATCTCGGACCGCATGTCGCGCGACATCTCGTCGCTCGCGCCCACGGCCATGAAGATCAAGGTCGTGGCGCCGCCCGAGCGCAAGTACTCGGTCTGGATCGGCGGGTCGATCCTCGCGAGCCTGACGACGTTCCAGCAAATGTGGGTCTCGAAGCAGGAATACGAGGAGTCGGGCCCGTCCATCGTGCACCGCAAGTGCTTCTGAGCTGGACCGGCAGGCGCGCAGGCGCTCGTGGGGCGCGTGCGGGCCGCGGGGCCCGGCGCGGATGTGAATTGACAAGACGCGGGGGAGAGGATCGAGCGTGCGCGTCATCTGCCAGCGGCCACCTGGGCGCCTGGTCCGTGATGGGCTCAGAGGGTGCTCTGGCACTCACGCCCTCTGCGTACAGTTGCACCAGATACCCGCACTGCACGTGCCGGCCAGCCATGCAGGTGCTCAGTCGCCGTTCCTGCTCTCCGGCGTCCCGTGCGCCGCCCGCGTGCTCCTCCCGCGGACGCATCTGCTCCGCTAGCAAGACGTCACTTGAAAGGCTGTGGGCCGCGCTGCGCCTCCATCAAGTTGCGAGATCTCGACGACAACGGGGACGCGGCGCGCCCTCGAGACCGGCGCATGCGCCTAGCCCTGCTGTACGGCGCGCTACAGCAGTCAGAGTTCGATCACAGGAGCCCGCCCCTCACCTCAGGGGCAGCCCGAGCGCCGCAGCCGCGATCGTCGCCACCACGCCCTCCGCCGCGCCGCTAGCCGCCGGCGCCTGCTGCCCGGGCGCGGGCGGCGGCGGCGGCACGCACTCGTCCACTGCGACGAACTCCTGCGTTATGAGGTCCTTTGCGAGGTGCAGGTGGCCGCGGAAGGCGGCGTCGACGGCCAGGCGGCGCGCGAGCGTGACGTTCGTGCCGGCGCTGCCCGTGTCCGCGACGACCCGCAGGCAGCGGTACTTGCGGGGGAGGTGTGACCCGCGGTCGGGCTGGGGGAGTTTGACCTCGGTGCGGCCGGGGTGGCCCGACCCGGCCGCGCTCGTCGCGGCGACGCTGGACGGCGCGTGCTGGAGCGCGGCGGGCGTCGTCGGCGGGTGCAGGACGTCCGGGTGCGTGTGGATTCGCACGAACTGGGAGGCCCCCCCGGGGGACTCATTGCCAACCTCGACGTGCCACTGGTCCGTTGGTAGAAGCGCACCGCCCCTGCACGTCGCAGGGCGCGTTGCGAGGCGGCGCGGTGAGCGACATGGCACGGGTTGGCGCGCTGCATCCCCACGAACTCATAGTGAACCAATTAATAATAATACGTCGCTGTGATTATGAAGGGCGTATGTGTTCGTGCCTGGGGATGCTGACGTGCGTCACGGTCACGGGGAGCGGGAAATGGAACGTGACGGTCGCCAGCGCCACGCCGCTCGCGCCGGGGGCCCCGTCGGCGTCCCGCGGCTTCCCCGCGTCCACGACAATGCTGCAAAACTCCTTCAACCGCCTCCACGCGAACGGCACGCGGACCGTCAGGCGACTGTGCCGCGAAGCCCCCGGAACGCCTCCCTCCTCCCGGCAGATGTAGCTGCTGCGCGCTTCGGGCAGAGTCGCGCCGAGGCGCGTCGGGGGGAAGTTGCCAGGCTGCCGGGCACCCCTGCCGCTGTTGTCCGCGCCCTCGGCGTCGCCGTCGTCCTCGTCGTCCCACAGCACGCAGTCCCCGTCGTCTGCGTCGTCGGCGTCCATCTGCTCGTCCTCGTCGATGCGCGTGACGCCGTTGATGGTGCTAATGCGCACGGAGACTGCACATCGGTGGGCAGGTGCGACGAGGGAAGCGTCACGGAAGCGCTCGCAGGGACGAGCACACGCAGGGCGATCGTGCGGGAGGGTCGATCGTGGGGCGCGGCCCCGTGCATGGGCCGAGATGAGAGCGGTACAAGCACGTAGGAAGTGGAGAGCAGGGCGGCGTGGGGCGGGCGCTCACGGTCGTGCATGAGCCCGTACGGGACTTCCGCGGACACGCGGTGCGGGGCGCTGGGCGGCAGGAGGCGCGGACACGCGGCGCAGAAGAGCTGCTGCTGTGTGATGCCAGCTTCTGCGTAAGGCCGCACGCACAGCGGGCCGTCCCTCGCGAGGCCGTCCAGGACCGCCGCGGGCAGGAAGGCGAAGCGGACTTCCCCCAGCAGATCCTGCACTTCGTCCGACGTCGGCGCTGGCTCCATGGTATCGTCCCGCAGACGCCCGAGTACAAACTGTAGCACCTGCGGCCCCGTGCGACGCAGCGCGAGAAAGCGGTCAGGAGTCGCAAGCCCGCTACGGTACCCAAGTGGATATGGCATGCAAGTGGTGTTGTTGTCGCGACATGTCGGCAACATGCGCACCTGCTCTTCGCACTCGGCGCGGAGCTGCCCGTGCCGCAGGATCGCCAGCGCGGCCTGGAACGGCAGCCCCGGCGCGTTCCGCGCGAAGACCACGGGGAACGACGCCGCGGCGACGTCCACGCACTGCTGCGCGAGCCCGCAGTCGTCCAGGATGAGCTCGCACGCGTCGCGCAGGATCTCGAGGCACGTGTCCGGCCCGAGCATGTCCCGCAGGCACGCCACGCACTTCTCCTCGAGGCCCTCGACGAGCAGCGCGCGGCCCAGCGCGAGCGCGCCGCAGGCGGTGCGCCGGTCCACGGCGAGAGTGCCAGTATAGAGGAAGCGCAGGACGGCCGGCCAGGCGCCGCGCGGGTCCTCGAAGCCCACGCGCACGGTGCGCTGGCCGGGCGTGCGCTCGGCGGCGAAGGGCTGCGGCGCGCCGGGCGCGGAGGGCGGGACGGCGCCGAAGAGAGCGCACCGGAAGAAGTTCGAGCGCATCGCGAGGATCGGGGCGTGCAGCGGGCGGGCGGTGCCTGCAGGGGTGCGCACGAGGTGAGGTACCTGGCGGGTGAGGAGGTGTTTGCTGGGGGGGTCCGACATCGACAGCATATTCATATTCTGACACATATAAGACGTAGACGCAAACTTATATGAACATGTTGATTGTTGCGTGTCGTGACGGGCAGTGCTGGTAGCGGGCACGTGCGGAATCCCGGGCCGTGGGCGGGACGTGGAGCGCGCTTGCGGACGGGTCCGCGCGGTCCGCGCAGTGCGTGCGTGGGTGCGTGCGTGCGTGGGTGTGCGCTGACCGGAGGGTTCAATGACGGTGACGTCGGCGAAGTTGCCGCTGTCAAGCAGGTCCTCCAGGAACGGCGTCTGAGGGTCCTGGAGCTCGATGAGTCTCTTGCTGCCGTGCGGCGAGCCGCTGCGAGCGCCGCACCGGAGCACACGCGTGAGCAGTCACGCGCACTCCAGAGGTGCTCGTCTTCGTCGTACGACGCACCACTCACGGTACATTCATCCTCGAAGTGATCTCCGCTACTTGGTCGATCAATGGACCGCACGGAAGCAGACAGCACGCGCCCTGCGGGCCGGCGCCCCTCGAAGGGCGGGCTCACCTGGCCATCTCTGGACGCAAACGCACGCCCTCCTGCGCCGCTGCGCGCACTATGTCCTCGGCGTGCATGTTGCAGCAACGCAGCGCCTCAATGTTGGAGGTTTACCGCCAACAAGGCTCTCAGAGGCAGTCGAGAGAGACCAATGGCCAAGCACAGCTCTCGAGGCGTAGTCGGGGGCCGCAGAGTCGTGGGAGCGGCCTTGTGGAGCGCGCTGGCACCGCTTCCAGCCCTTCTGTGTACGAACAGCTCAGGGAATGTCCCAACGGGCAAGCTGGGCTCGCGGTGGCCGCACGCTCGGCTTATGGGTCTGCCTGACTGCCTCGGCCGGCTCCGTCGCCCCCGGGTCCAAGGACGGCCGCTGCCGGAGCGTCACGCAGCAACCGCGGTCTCGGATTCCGCCGCACGTCGGAACTAGCACGTCACGCGGATGGTCGGAGTGGCGGGGCAGGCAGCTCTCTGGTCAATGCGGGCGCCGGGAGCGCGCAGGTCTGGCCTAACAGGTCTTCAAAAGGGCACGGTGCGGCTAGAAACTAATCTGACGAGCCCTTGTTGGCAGGATTGGCGGCGATTTGTCCAGTTCTACCCGGGAGACGGGTCTGACTCTCTGCGCGACGCACCAGTGTCCGGGGGGCCCTCTGGCTCGGGAACCGCCGTGCGCGAACCGTCGTCCGGCCCGCGCCTCCGCCCAGCCTGTTGGCGCGTCTTCGCAGCGCCCCCGGCGGACGGAGCATCGCGTGGGAGTGCACCCACGGGCGGCTTGACCTGCCTCTGCGCGTCACGCAGCGGCAGGAGAGGTAGTTGGCTCGAAGCGACGACACGGATGGCGGCGCGTGCGTGCGCTGTCGAAGCAGCCATGAGACACACGCGCTAGTCGAGTGGTTGATGGCCGGCCTCCAAGGTGCCTCCAAGGTGCACGGGGGCAGTCGAGGCGACGCCAGGGCACAGAGTAGTAATTGATCACCCGCGCACGAAGCGCGCAGAGTCGATGCGGTGATGGTCTAGGCGGGGCTCACATCCACGCGCATGCCGCTCAGCCGCGCGGCGCACGATGGTGTAAGAATACGGCGCGTTGAAGAGTTCGTGAGGACAGGTGGCGCACGGAGCCGGCTCGGCTGTGGCGCTCGCAGCTGACCACGCGCTGGGCTCGCTTGGTGGCCGCGGTTCACGTGGTAGCGCCTTAAGAATGGGATTCGTTTCGGTTCCGGCACAGGTTGCCGGAATTATGGCGCTCAAATCTGGGGCGAGGCGCGTTCCGCGGGCGTAGCGTGATGGTGGGAGAGGGAGGGATGTGGGCGCGAGGGGCAAATAGGAGGCGTGAGGGTGTTCGCGCTGCGTGTGCGGGCGGGGTCGGATCAGGTGGCAGCGCTCGGTTCGCGACTGCAGCACGCGTGTCCAGGGGGGTCCATCGTTCGGCGGCGTCGCGATGAAAGGGGCCATGGGCCGGCGGCGCGTGGGCCGAATCCTCGACAGTGCGGCGCGTCTGGAGCGGTGTCAGCGCGCAGCTGGTTGCGCGGCTCCGACGCCAAGCCCTGGCGCGACGCGAGTTGCGATTCAATCCGACATCATGCGGGTCGGGGGGCTGTGCGGAGCCGCCACGCCCATGCGGAACAGAGGCAGGGTGCGGGGGAAGGGTGTCGTCCGATCTATCGGCGTTAAAGTTAGGCGCGCGACGCGCGGTGGAGGGCGGAAGTGGCGTGTGGAATCCTCGGTCCACCCGCGTTGGTTGTCCGTGGCCGCGGCGCCCTTCCAAATCGTGCTTTGCGTCGCGGACTGTTCGCGGAGTTTCGTTCGAAGGAGAGACGTTCCCGAGTGGACGTCTGGGAGCCGTCCGGTGTCGGGGCAAAGAAAGCTGACCGCTCCTCAGGCGTTGCTCGCGTAGATGCGTTGGCTGGCGATACGTGCTGACGATGGTCGACGGCAGAACTTCCCGCCGTGGCTTGGAGGGTTGTGGCGGGCAGGGGAGAAGGGGATGAGAGGGTGTTGTTGGAGGTTTGAGTGAAGAACACCCGTGCGAGGGGGCATGGCGATGCGGGCACGTTGCGGTGTCTTCTTTTCAAGTCGAGAGAGAGAGAGGTGCGATGTAGGCAGACAGGACGGGACGGGACAGGTCAACCAGGTTGCGTGCCGAACGGGATGTGAGGCAGCAGGCCGCATAGGTGCAGCTTGATGGTGTGGTCTTGCGGCTCGCAAACGAGCCGACAGTGTGTGGTGCGTCGCCGCCCGGCATCAGCGCGCAGCTGGCATGGCGTGGCACGGGGGGTGCAGCGCCCCCAGGCCGCATGCTGCAGCCGGCGCCTGAGCGCCAGCCGCCCGGGCGGCGAGCGATTCGGCCGCGCGACGACTACTGGAGGGCGGGCGCGCGGGGGGGCGTGGGGAAGGCCGGGTCCGGGGGCACCGCGCACGCGAACTGGTCCTGGTGCTCGCGGCGCAGCGTGTCGTCGTTGCGCACGCGCGTCGCGGCGACGTTCGCCAGCGCGAGCGCGTCGAGCGGCAGCGGGCGCGACGCCAGCATGGCGCGCAGCGCCTGCGCGGGCGCGAGGCAGTGCTGCAGCACCTCCGTCACGAACGTCGCCGTCGCCTGCGCCTCGGGGGCGCGCGTGCTCCGCAGCGCGCCCATCCGCCCGTCGAGTTGCTCCGCGACGGCGTGCAGGTAGCAGTCGCCGCGGTAGCCGTCCGCGGACACGTGCGGCAGCCCCGCGAGGACCTCCTGGCGCTTGGTATAGATCTCCTGGAGCCGCGCGAGGTACCGCGTGCGCGCGTTGACCACGCGCACGGCCTGCGCGGGCGCGAGGCCTAGTGCGTCGTAGCAGCGCTGCCACAGCGCCGCGTGCTGCGCGGCCTCCGCGGGCCGCACGGGCTGGAGCGTGTCGCGGTTCAGCGTGAGGAACCGCGACAGCGAGACCGTGTCCGCCGCCGTCACCGCCTGCACCGTCGCCTCGACGAGCGCGCGCCCCACCTCCTCCACACGCTGCGCCCGGGACGCGCGGTGCTCGGGCGGCGCGACGTCGAGCTCCGAGACCGCCTTCTGGCCCTCCTCGAGCATGTTCCTGATCCGCTCGACCGCCGCGGAGGCCGCGGCCTCGCCGCCCGCGTCCTGCACGGCCATGGCGATCTCGCCGCTCGCCAGCATCTCCGCCAGCGAGCGCGCCTGGTCGTGCTCGCCCTTGCGCCAGTGCTCGCACTCGCGCGTCCGGGCGGCCAGCGCGGACTTCGCGGAGGCGTGCTCCTGCGTCAGCTCGTCGTGCTGCGCGCGGAGGTGGTGGTTTTGGCGCATCAGGTCCTCAACCTGGGACTCGAGGGAGCTCAGGCGCTGCTTCTGGCGCTCGCGGAAGCGGCGCTGGGCCTTGCGGTTCTTCTCCTGGACGAGCATCTGCCTCTCGGCCTTCGCGAGGTCGCGGGAGCGCGAGGACGTCGGCGCGGAGAGCGCGGCCGAGGGTGTGGAGGAGGGCGGGGGCGCAGGGGCGGAAACCTCGAGGGCCGGGACGGGCTGGACCGGCGGCGCGACGCTGGGGAGGCCCAGGGCCGCGAATTGGGCGAGATCTGCGGAGGGAGGGGGCGCGGGGGGCGCGGGGAGGCCGCGTGTGAGGCGCACGACGGTGCTTGGTAAAGCATTGACAGGGGAGCCCGAGGCGGGCGCGTCCGCCGGCAAGAGGGCGAATCCGCCGCGTACGACGCATCACGTCGGGTATATTTCGCGGGAAATGAGGCGAGGGGGGGTTTCGAGGCGCACCTAGGCCCGGAGCGAGCAGCGTAGGGGCTTGGGGCGCGCTCGAGAAGAAGGTCGAGTGCGGGGGCGCCCCTCCGCCGCTGGGGTCGCTGGTCGTCTCGATATACGGCGATGCTGACGGCCGCGCGGCCAGCAGGCGTCCGAGGGCTGCACGATCAGGGGGGCACATTCACGGTTATGGGTCAACCATCCGAGCCTCGACGGGCCGCGCAGTCGAGCCCTGCGGCCCGGACGCGAGGATACCGGCATTTTTACGCTGACGAGGGCGCCGAGGGCGCGGCGCGCCCCAGGCCGGAGCGCCAGTGCCGCGTCACCCCCACCACTACTAATGCGGCCCGCACGCGCTGTCCCGGGCGGGCCGCGCATTCTTGGCGAGCGCACAGCGGCGAGAAGTGTCAGCGCGACCCGGCGGCGGCGCGGGGGGGCGGCATCTACCTTCAAGCTGGCCCGCAGCGGTGTTGCCAGGCGCAGATTGCCTGCTCGGCTGCGACGCCCCTCCGATGGAGGCCTGGCTGAGGAGGGCGCTCAGGCACGGCATCGAGCCCCGGGACATCGCCGCGATCTGCTCGTTCGTGATTCCCGTGCCCGAGGGCGGGTACTGGTGGGTGGTTCGATTGGAGCCAGGCATCCCCTGCGCCTTCACGGTCTCCAGGAGCGCCTGCAGCGTCGGCTGGTGCATCGCCTGCTTCTCCTCCATCATGAGTGCGACCTCGCGCGCGCCGGGCCGGAATGCGGGGTGCGGCACGCGGCGCCCCGTGGGCGTGAGTGTGTCGGCAGCGAGACGGTGTGTGCGCGTCGCGGGGCCGCGGAATCTGGCACGAGCCGCCGATTCGTTGCCTTGCTATTAAGTTGTCTCGCCGAGTGCTGCTGTGCGTTGCTCGCGCCGCCCGAAGACGCCGCTCTGCACGGCGAGATTGCTGCCCTTTGACTACCCCACCTCGTCACAAACCTCCGACGCCGCGACACACACGGAGACGCCGCGGCGCCCGCCGCAAGCGCCCCGCGCGCGCCCCCTCCCTCCCGCAGACCGCTGCGTCCGCCCCTCAGCCGCGGCGGAGCTCGCGGCGCCGCATCTCAACGTGTGGCGTCCATCCGCCGGCACAGATGTGCGGTCGCGCGAGGCTGCGCGGGGCGCGCGGGGCATCCGGCGCCCCCGGGAGCCACAGCATGCTGTCCGGAGTCCGCACGCGTCCGCCCAGGGTCGCATTGCCACGGCGAGGCTGGCGGAGGGCGGTGCTGGCTCCTACAACACCTGTTGATTGGTTGTTGGTGGTGGTTTGGGGGGCCTGCCACCGCCGTCGTGGGCAGCGCCGCAGCGCGCGACGCACCAGTGCGCGGCTGCGCTTCCGGGAGCGGCGCGTGGGCCGGCGCCGCGGCGGCGCACGCGCCGCACAGGCTCGCGTTGCGTGGACGCACGCCAGTGCAGCGCGGGGCGCGGCGGCGCAGGGGCGACGGACCGCGGTCGCGGGACCCGCTGCGCCGCTGCGGAGCGCCGGCGGCACGTGCGGCGGCCGGCACGTCGTCGGATCGGATGTCGCGTGGTGGCTGTCGTTCCGCTTGCGTCACATGATATGATGTGAAGTGCGGACAAGGAGCGGTGCTACGACATGAGCTGCTCCATGAGCTGTTGCCGGATCACGTCGTACTCGCAGATCAGCGCCTTGATGGCGCGCACCAGCGCCTGCAGTGCACGCAGAGGGGGGGGGGGTTTGTGTCCTGCTGGCAACGGCGAAAGACTGCTCAGCGCTCGGCGTGGAGAAGGGCCAGGTGTCGCAACGGAGGATCCGCTGCCGGGCTGCGGCGACGTGCGTGCGTGCGTGCATGCGTGATATCTGGAGGGGGCCCTCTCACGTCGCGGGGGCGGTAGGGCTGGTTGTTGTTCTCCTCGTCCTCGTGCCCGTCGGTCTGGATCTGGATCTGCAGCCGGTGCTCCAGCGGGTGCGGGATCTTGTACCTGCGGCCGCAGCACAACGTCCCGCGCAACTGTTTGACAACGGCAATGCGAGCGGCGCAACAGCGACAGAGCGGCAGAGCTTCGCCGGGCGTCGCGCCCGCGCCGGGCCCGGTCGTCGCCGCGTGCGGGCGCTCCGTCGGCGCGGGGCCTCCGTCCGAGCGGGGAGCGCACCCGACGAAGAGCACGTGAGGGTCGTCAAGGAGGCGGTTGCGGATCAGGTCGCCGAGGGTGTGGTCCTCGCGTTGGATCTCGAACAGGGCCGCGTTCTTCTGCTTCGTGATCCGCACCATTTCGACCCTGCGGGCGCGGCGGCGGGCCCGAGCACGCCGGTGGGGCTCTGGCTGCCGCGGGAGCGCTCGCGGAGAGGAGGAGGCGCGCGCGCGCCGTGCGGAAGCGAGCACGTGCATCAAGGCGGATCGTGCGCGCGCACAGCGACGTGGCTGTGCGGCCGTGCGCCGGCGTGGGCGCCGCTTGTGCGCGGGCACCGGCGCTCGCATGGACGCTGCGCGGAGGACAGGGCCGCACTTCTTGAGGTCTGGTGGAATGACGAACTTGTCCCGCTTATCGGGAGCGTTGATGGCCGCCGCCATGGTGCACGCTGCCTGGAACGCCCACCAAGCGGTGCTATGTTCGCCCTGCCTGAGGCAGCCCCCGTACTACGCAGCGCTACCGCACTTCCCGCCCGTTCCGTCCCCAAGGAGATGCCTCGCTCCTCTTCCTAGCTGCGAGCGCACCCGCTCCCACCCTCCGCGCTCACAAAGCCAGGACGCGCTACGATCTCCGTTGCAGGCGAGGCGACCGCGAACGGGCTCAGCAGAAAGCAATGTCGTACTCTTGCAACACGACAGGTGCCTCAGCCAACTGGCGCTGCGCGAATGCTGCGCGGCCCTCTCCGGAGCCCCTCATGTCGGCGCAACACGCCGCGGGGTGCTCACGGATGTCCCCCGTCGAGGCCCCCGCGCCCGGCGCACGGCGCGTCGCGGCCCAAGGGGGTCAGGCGGCACCTGCGCGGTCTACGCTTGAGCTCACGCATCGACCACGTACCGCCCCGGCCGAACCGCGGGGCTGCGGCTTGACAGGGAAACCCAATCGTTGTGCCGGGACTTCGTTTCTCCTCAAGCGATCGAGGCCCCGTCGTCGCGGCGGGCGATCGTCCACTCCTCGTCCCTCGCGCTGCTCCGCGTATTCGACGCGAAACCCCGCCAACCCCGCCCCGGCAGCCGTCCCCAGGGCTTGCCACCTCACCGCGCGTCTCCGCGCGATCCCGTCCGCGCACGCGTTCCCCCTCGCGCGCCAGTCAAGCTCCCACCAAGCCCCACGGCCCCCATGGCGCTTTAGCCCAGCAAGCGGACGGGCTCAGCGCGCACGAGGCGAATTCGCTACGCACCTCGCCAGCGCCGTTTCCGGCGCAGACACGCCGCTGCGGGGCGCCATGGCGGGCGACAAGCGGCGAGTGCCGCGTCTCCTAGACGACCTCGGCCACGAAATCACCGGGGTCGTCACACCGGTCTCGATATGCATGCTGCTCACTGTGGTGCTCGTGCGTCTCCTCAACCCGGACGGCGACAGCCCCGGCAACGCGGTCGGCATCGCCACCATCGCGTACAACGAGGTCCGGCGCCCCGCATGAACCGCGCCCGGTGTGTCTCGTCGCGGCGTGTGTGCGCACAGCTGGTGCTGGCGCGGCCTGTTGGCGTGGCGCCGTGCACACTGGCCGCGCTGGCGGGGCTCGTTCGCGCAGGCGTCGCCGGCGGCCGCGCAGGACTCGGAGTCGGAGAAGTTCACGGGCGCGCTGTTGAACGCCGTGATATTCGTGGGAATCATATTTGGCATGACTGCGCTGCTCCTCCTGTTCTTCTGGCTGCGGTGGATGAAGGTCATCTACGGGTACATGTGCTTCGCGATCTTCGACATCTTCTTCCTCCTCCTCGGCGCGCTCCTCATCAAGCTCCTGCAGCTCGCAGACTGGTCCTGGGACGCCGTGTCGTTTGCGTTCGGGCTCTTCAACGTCTCCGTCGTGGCCGTCGTCGCCGCGCTCGGGTTCCTCCCCGTCCCCATCCACGTCAAGCAGGGCTACATGGTCGCCGTCGGTGCGCCCGGACCCCCCTCCGCCGCGCCAATGGATGGAATCGAACAGCCCCCCCTCTGACGTAGAAACACCAGCCCCGACCCCTCTGCCCCGCGCGCCGCAGGGGTCATCGTGTCGTTCATCTTCACGTACATCCCGGAGTGGACGTCCTGGATCCTGCTCGTCCTGATGGCGCTGTACGATCTGTACGCAGTGCTCGCGCCGCACGGCCCGCTCAAGTGGCTGGTCAACCTCGCCTCGGACCGCCAGGACCCCCTCCCGGCGCTCGTGTACGAGACGCGCGCGCGAGGTGCGACGGACGCGCCCGACGCGCCGGCCCGCGGTTGTTGCCTGCATTGCTGTGTTGGGTCCTGGGGCGCGTGCTGTTGCGCGAGAACGGCTGAGCCCAGCTCGTTTGAGGGGTCCCCCAATGTGGCTGCTGCCGTTGCGTGTACGATGCAGATCCCGCGCAGCAGGGCGTGTGGCGGCGACGGGCAGGCGGGGCCCGCCAGGACGACGCCGGCGCCGCGCAGCCCACCACGGCGGCCGCGCCGGCGCCAGGGACGAACGGCGATGCCGCGGCGCGCGCGCCGTCGGCGGCGCGGGCTCCGACGCGCCGTCAGCGGCCGACGAGACAGCGCCACTGGCGCCTGCGCGGTCGACCGCGAGGGACGCGGGCGACGGCACGCGGCGCGGCGGATGGGGGGAGGGACGAGAGGGCGCGGCGGGCAGCGTCGTCGACGGGAACACGGTGCAGTGGGAGACATCGCGGGGCGCACAGCGGCGCGACGTGGCCGCGGCGGGTGGCGCGGCGGGCGAGGCAGCTGCGGCGGGGAGCGAGGGCGGGGAGTCGGACCCGGACTTCGGGCTCGGGATGGACGGGCTCAAGCTCGGGTTGGGGGACTTCATCTTCTACTCGATGATGGTGGGCCGTGCCGCGATGTTTGACATGATGACGGTCTACGCGTGCTACCTCGGGGTGGTCGCGGGGCTGGTGGGGACGCTCCTGCTGCTCGCGACGTTCAAGAAGGCGCTCCCCGCGCTGCCGATCTCGATCGCGCTCGGCGTCGTGTTCTACTTCCTGGTCCGACTGGTCCTGGAGCAGCTGCTTGTGCCCATGAGCAAGCACCTGGTGTTCGTGTGAGCAGCGGCGGCGGAACGCGCCCGGGAGCAGCTCGGTCTGGCTGTGGCGAGCACGCCATGGCCGGAGTGCGGCGCGGAGGGGCCTCTGTGTTGCCGCGCGATGTGACTTGTGATGACACCTGTGTCGCGCTGCTGCCGTCCAGGACATGGCGCGTTGGCGGCGTAGTCCGGCGTGCAGCAAGGGCGCTGCGGGGTGTCCGTGGAGGTGCGGGCAGGCGCGGAGCCGCGCGACGGGTGCGCGCGACAGCCTGCGTCAGGGGGGGTGTGCCTGGCCTGATGCGAGGCCGTCTCGCCTCGCGTGATGTGGGCACGCGCAGTGCTGTGCTTCGTGCACATCTGCGGGGCGGTGCGCGTATCTCTGCGGAAACGTGCACTTTGACACGGGACCCTACACTGTCTCTAGGGTTCCCGCGAGCGCAAACGAGGTCCCTGGCGCACCCGTTCGGCGCCGCACCTCGTCTCCGTTCGATCACTGCGACATCGCGTGCGCCCGGGCCCGCATCGAACGTGGAGTAGACCCGGGATTCGTGGCCAGAGTCGCTGGAGATAGCAGCGCAGCTTGGAACATGAGCGCGCAGCCGGAAGACGCTGCGACGAAGCAGGTGAGCAGTCACGGAGTCCGCGGCGAGCGAACCACGTCGTTGCGGACGCGTCAAACACCCCTAGTTCGCGCCCGGGTTCCCGCGCCAGCCTTGTCCGCGGCCTCTTGTCCTTATCTTTCGACGCACGCCGCTTCGTCGATGCCTGTTACGACGAGCCACGCAGCACACACCCGTCCGCGAGTGAATGCAGCCGGCGGACGCGGAGATGGCAGAGCCCGCAGCGGAGGACCAGCCTGCGGAGGAGGAGCTGGTGCGCGCCCTCGTGGCCGAATATGTCCCGTCCCAACCACGCGCCGCGTCCGCCTCATCGATACCGATGTGCATCGCCGCCGACGGGGCCGGCTGTGCTCTCGCGCCTCCGTGCACGCTCGGCCACTCGTGCGCGACGGACCACGCGCGCCCGGACGCCCGCAGGTGACGCCGCCCGTGGACGCCGAGACGCTCGCGGCCCTGAAGGACATGGGCTTCACGGACAACCGCGCCGTCCGCGCGCTGTACTTCAGCGGCAACTCGACGCTTGAGGGCGCGCTGAACTGGCTCGAGGAGCACGCCGAGGACGCGGACATCGACGACGACCTCAAGGTGCGCCGCAACGGCACCGCGCGCCGCTCCGTGCGGCCCGCTCCGCCCCGCGACGCCCTCGACTGGCCCCGGTGGACAGACAGCCCTGGCGCGTCGCGTGCTGCGCGTCGCAGATCCCGAAGAGCGAGGCGGAGGCGTCGAGCAAGAAGGGGGTCAAGCTGACGAAGGAGGAGCTCGAGGACCGCATCCGGCGGGCGCGGGAGTTCCGGAAGGAGCAGGACAAGAAGGCAGAGCTCGAGAGCGAGAAGCTCCGACTGAAGATGGCCAAGGAGCTCGCCGCGGCGCGCAGGCACGCCTCTGCCTGCACGCCCTTTTCACTGGCCCGCGCGCTCGTCGCCGCGGCGCGCCAGCGATCCAGCGCACGTTGGCGCCGCGACGTGTCGTCGTGGCCGCCCGGCTGCGCATGCCCGGCTCGCTCGCGACGGACGTTGCGGCGGGCCGCTTTTCCGCTGCTGCGGAAGGCGGGGTTGGGTGGATCGCGGCCCCGCGCGGACCTGACGCGCCGCCAGGATGTTTGTTTGTTTGTTTGTGTGCAGGATCGAGGAGGAGAAGGAGCTGGAGCGCGCGCGCATGCAGCGGGAGCGCGAGAAGCAGGAGGAGCGCGAGGCGCGCGAGGCGATGCGCAGGAAGCTCGAGGCGGACAAGCGCGACCGGTTGCGGCAGCAGGGTCTGAGCGAGGAGGAGATTGAGAAGCGACTGGCGGCGGCCGCGCAGCCCGCGGAGGAACCCAAGGGCCCCGTGAAGCGCATGGGCGTGGAGACGAAGCCGATCTCCGCGCTGACGGCGATGCGGGACGCGCTGGTGGCGCTCAAGCGCAAGCATGGGGACGAGGGTGACAAAGCCAAGGTGCGCACGGAGCACGCGGGCCGATCGGGCCGTGTGCGTGCGTCTCGGTGCTATGCGTTGCTGGGTGCCGTCGCGGCGGGCCGTGGCAGCGGAGGCAAAGCGCAGAACACAACAAAAGTGCTGTTGTGGTGATAGAATCATAGTTGATGATCAATCATTGCACGGCATAATTCTCTTGGTCGCAGGTGGCGTTCACGACGCTCATGACGTACGTGCGCAACATCGCGGGGAACCCCGCGGAGGAGAAGTTCCGCCGCATCCGCCTCGCGAACGCGGCCTTTCAGTCGCGCGTTGCCGCCTGCGAGGGCGGGAGGGCCTTCCTTGAGCACCTGGGGTTCGCCGAGTCAGACGACGGGTACCTCGTGCTGCCGCAGGAGAGCGCGACGACGGCGCGGCTCCGGGGCGCGTTCGACGTCCTCGAGGAGGCGCTGACGAGCCCGTTCTTTGGAGCGCTGTGATGCATGCGCTGTGAGCGCCGCGATGGGGGGGCGGCGCGGATGCGCATGGTTGAGGGCGGGCAGCGAGCGCCGGTGCCAGCTGGGATGTCGCACGGTCGACCGGACGCGGTGCGAGACGTTGGGGGGAGTCTGGAGTGCGGGGAGGAGTCTGGGGAATGCCAGTCGGGCTGCGTCGGGTAGGCTTTCGAGGGGCCGCGGGGCGCAAGAGCCTGGCAGATGGATACGCACGCGTGGCGGTCCTGATCTGCGTCGCCACGCTGGATCGCGAGTGCCGTTGCCGTCATTCATTCGAGGAGGCCGTCGCGTCCTAGCTGGCCGGGTTTGCCATGCGCACCGCACCGGAGGCGCTGGCCGGCGTGGCCCGCGCGTTGTTTCCGGACAGTGCGGGGCTGGACGACATTCCCCTTTCCAAGTGCACGCGGGCGGTCGAGCTGCTCGCGTCGGAGCTGCTGTCTGCGTCTGCCAAGCTCACAGGCACGCACCAATCCGTGGGCAGTTTGCTGCGGTCAATCGAGGAGAAGATGGCCGACGTAGCGGAAGTTTCGCCTTTCCTGCGCGATTCCGGCGCGGAGCCGCCCGGGTGCGCCGACAGCAGGGCGCCGGAGGGCGCCGCGAGCCAGCGCGACGCCGAGGCGAACGCGATGGACTTCTCGAGGTACAGGACGCGCATGGTCGCGCTCGAGATCGCATACGTCGGCTGGGACTACCACGGCTACGCGTCCCAGGTGCGGCCGCGCCTGCGCCCCTGTAACCACCGCACAGCGTCCCCGTCGCCTCGACGGCGCTCGCGCCCGCATCGTGCGCTCCTCTCGCGCCACCGCCACGCAGTGTGCTGTCAGACGCACTGCGAGCGAGGCTCCGCGCAGGCAACCGTGCCGAACACGGTGGAAGGGCGCCTGTTCGAGGCGATGTGCCGCACCAAGCTGATTCCTCCCGGCCTGGATCCGCACGCGTCGTTGAACTACTCCAGGTGCGTGAACCGAGAAGAAGCACTGCAGAACTCGCCCTTGCGACCGTTCCGCGCCGCTGTCTCCGCGGCGTGAGTCCGGACACGGGGTGAAATCCAGTCGTGGCGCTACGCGCCCATGCTCCTCGACTGAACAGACACCTTTGCGCGGCCGGCCCCCTCGACTGCCCGCAGGTGCGGCCGGACCGACATCGGCGTCAGCGCCGCGTCGCAGATCGTCGCCATTCGCCTGCGCTCGAAGGCCCCGGCCCTCCCAGCCCCCGACGCCACCATGGCAGACCCAGCGCAGCCGCATCCCACTGCGGGCGGACACCGGGGCGACCCGCCGCCACTGCCCCCCGCCGAAGAGATCGACTACACCGCCGTGCTCAACCGCGCGCTGCCCGCGGACATCCAGGTGCGCCCCCGACCCGCAGCGCGCCGAGCGGCCCAACGGCGCCCCGTGTGCGCGTTGCGTGCCCGTCTCCTGCCCGCCACCTCTTCTCGTACTTTCTTGTCTGAATTCGACCCAGACGCGACGTTTCCTGCTCGGACCATGTTCTTCTGTGTCGTCCTGCGCGTCCGTTCTGTCCGATTCCCGCGCCGCGGCCCGGGCCCCGTCCGCAGATCCTCGGTTGGGCTGACGTACCTGCGGACTTTAGCGCGCGGTTCAATTGCACCGCGCGCGAGTACCGCTACTACCTGCCGCCGCCGGCAGACGGCGCGTCGCGCGACCTCGCGGCGATGCGCACCGCGGCGGCCGCGCTGCAGGGCGCGCACGACTTCCGCAACTTTTGCAAGAAGGACCCGAACGCGGCGTCGTACGAGCGGACGATCATGGCGTCGCGCGTCGAGGAGGCGCGGGACGCCGGCGCCGGGGCTGCGATGGTGAGTTGCCGCGGGCCGCGCTCGCGTGCCGCTCGGTTGGCGGTGTGGATGTCCTGCGTGTTGATGGGGTTCGGTGTCTGACGATTGGCTTCTGGTTGCGTGCTCGCAGTTCCACGTGCGTGGCTCCGCGTTCCTGTACCACCAGGTCCGGTGCATGGTCGCCGTCCTGGGCCTCGTGGGTGCGCGGCTGGAAGAGCCAGAGGTTGTCAAGTCACTTTTGGATATCGAATACATATCTGCGAAGCCACAGTACGCCATGGCGCGCGAGGACCACCTCCTCCTGAGCGCCTGCGACTACGCCGCGGCCCCGACCGTCCCGGGCCAGGTGTCGGCAGGTTTCGAGCTCTCGTTCCACAGGAGTTCCAAGGAGCTTTCCGCGACGGCGGGGCGCTTCCGGGCCATCGCGGAGGGTCTGGCGGGCCGGCTCATGCTGCTGCGAGGCCTGGTGGAGATCGTCGAGGCGCGCGCGGACGGCGTCGAGGACCCGGGGGGGGAGTCGGGGAAGAGGGGTGCGCAACACATACCCCTGCTGTCACGTGCGCGGGAGCCGCCGGTCCGGATCGCTCCGAAGGCGCCCGCGCACAGGTAGCGGGCGCGCCGCAGCCGAGACCTGCGCTGGCGGCGTAGGTCGACGCAGGTGGGGGTGTCTGCCCAGTAGAAGCATGCAGCAACGTGCGGCGCAGCGGAGCTGATTGGCGCGTGGCCCTGGCCGGCGTGTGACGTTGCCAGGTCCGCGGGAGACCACGTGAGCAGAGGCTCGCTGGGCGCCCGTTGCAAGCAGGCCCTGCAGGTCAAGAGCAGGTTCCTGAGCCTGAGCCTGCTCCGCTGATTCGTTGGATTTCGTAGTTACTGGGGCTCTGCGAGCTGCATCGGGAGGCACACATTCGCCATGCCGTCGAGCGGGACAGGGACGATGGAGCGCATGGGGTACGTGCGCCCCGAGGGCGGCGCCATTGACTATGGTAGCATCCAGCCCCTGGAGCGCACCCGGAAGGACCCGACGGATGGCACCAGTGTGCCCACGGACAACATCAAGCGCGTGTCGGGCGAGAACAGCGCGTCGGGGCTCCCGTACCTGAGCCCCGGGCCAGGAAACGGCGGGCATGGGAAGTCGCGGGCGTCCAAGCACAAGGGTGCGCGCAGCGGGGGGTCCGACGCGGAGCTGCGCGGCGAGGTCAGCGACCTCACGCGAAAGGCGATGGAGGAGCTGCACGCGGAGGACAGCGCCGCGAGCGCGGGCGTGAAGGCCGCCAAAGGCGAAAAGAGCAAGTCTGGGCGTTCGCCGGCGCGGCGGGCGCTCGACGAGCCGTCGCCGCTGCTCGACGCGTACGAGAACAGGATGTTCCTCCCGGCGCTGCCGGAGCAGTGGCAGCGCGACGCCGGGCAGAGCCCGAAGAAGCAGGACCAGGTGCTGGAGCATCGCATGAAGACCATGACACGAGAACTGCTGGCGCTGCAGAGCCGCGCCGAGCAGGTCATGGCGCAGAAGGACGCGGAAATCCTCCGACTCAGGTTCAAGTCCGACGGGCAGCAGGACGTCATCGACCGCCTCACGGTGCGCACGGCCGCCCCATGCCGCCGACACCTGCAGCGCGCACTGCGCCGCGCTCGCGCCGATTCTGCCGCTGAGCCGACGCACAGCGATTCCTTTGCGACGTGTTCGTGCAGAAGGAGAACAAGCAGATGCAGAGGGAGCTCGGGTCGGCCCAGGCGGACCACGCGCGCGTGGAGGCGGAAAGAGCGCGCAAGCTCACGGCCGCGAATCTGCGCGTGGCGTCCCTGGAGGCGAAGCTCGCGAACCAGGAGGAGCTCTTCGACCGGCAGGACCAGGGCGCGACCGAGCAGCTCGACGCCCTGCGGCGGGAGCGCCAGGTGCTTGCGTCCGCACTAGCCACGGTCGCGCAGGCGTGCATGGGCGGCGAGGGCGCGGACCCCGCGGCGGTCGGGCGCGACGCCGAGGAAGCCATGCGCGCCGGCGACGACCCGCTGCCCCGGAAGCCTCAGGCGTGGCTCAAGTTCGACTACACGGCAGGTGTGCTTGCTGCGCCCCGTTGCGTCGCCCCGCGGTGCCATGCATCGTCCCACTTCGCCACCAACCGAGCGCGATAGTCTTCTATGGGTCCGGCAGCGCGTGGTCGGGCGCCGCGCGCAGCACCCTCTCGCGCAACAGACATGCTTTTGCGCAGCGGGTCGTGTGCGACGCTCTCCGCCTTGCCCAGCGGCGATCCGGTGCCGTCTTCCGCGCAGACGAGGCGGTGGCGGGCGGCGGGTCCCCGAAGCGGCGCGCGCTGCCTCTCATGGGCGACGGAATGCGCGCGATCTCGTCGCTCGTCGCCGCGGTGGAGCGGCTGCACGTCGGGCGCGAGGAGGCCCGCAGCGGCGAGCGCGACGCGCTGGACCAGATGTGCGTCCTCGCTGACGTCATCACGCGGGTGGAGGAGGAGTATGAGTCCGTGAAGGACGCCCTGACGCGACTGGAGGAGGTTGTCGGGGGCTGCGCGAGGGACCGCGCGTACCAGGGGCTCGCGGCGGTGCCGGCGCCCGCGGGGTCGTCCGTCGCGGACCGGCTGGAGGCGGTGCGGGGGGTGTCGAAGCGGATGGCGGGGGAGTTGGGGGAGTTGGACGAGAGGGTCAAGGAGCACGGGGCGCGCGTGATGGAGCTGGAATTCTACGGGAAGCTGCAGGGGCGGATCGTGGAGGAGGCGAAGAACCGGACGCGGGCGTAGCTCGCCAGACCACCAGCCATGCGAATCGCGCCACGCACACTCGCTGGGCGCGACATAGTTTGCTGGCGAAACCGTCGATCCTCCGTGTGAGGCCGCTCGTCGTACTCGAGCGCTGTCGCGCAGGAGACCGTTGCCACCAGACCATGCGCACGTAGGCAGCAGTACCAGTACCAGTATGTCATTCATTGGTTACACATCGCTTCGAACCCGCCAGCGCTGGTCCGTGCGGCCCCGCACTCGCCCCCTGGCGCGAGCTGTGCGGGCGTGCGCGGGGCGCGTCGGCCCCAGCGAGGGCGTCGAACGAGGCAGTGGCCCCGTAGGGGAAGACGCGAGAAGAGGGAGAAGAGACAGCGAGAAGTGCCGCCTAGTGCTTGTCCTTCTTCTCCTTCTTCTCCTTCTTCTCCTTCTTCTCCTTCTTCTCCTGCACCACGAGCACACAAGCCCACGACATCGCGCACTGCCCCCCACGCACGTCCAAGAGGCACCTGCATGTGACTCCCCCTCGTGCAGACAAGCGAGCTCGCCCCGCCCGCGCCGCGCGCGTCCGCCGCGCGCACGCACCTTCTTGTGGTGCTTCTTGTGGTGGTGCGTCGACGTGTCGCTGTCGGAGTCCTCCTCGGCCGGCGCAGCAGCAGCCTCCACAGCCTTCTCCGGTTTCTTCGGCATCATGATGTCGGCGTCCTCGAGCCCCTCGGCCTTGAGCGCCTTCTTCACCTGGCGCTCCTTCTCGTCGTGGCTCAGCTCCTTCCACATCGCCGCCACGTCCATGAACACGTCCCTGCAACACGCCACGATGCACACGCGTCAGCGCTGCGGCCGCTGCGAGCGGGTCTGCACGGCGCGCGCGGGGCGCGGAGACGGGCGCACCTGTGTGGCTTGTCCTTGTACTCGTCGCGCGCCTTGAGCCGCGCCATGGTGGTCTTCATCCAGATGTTGTACGCGGTGGGCTTGCGCTTGGGCTTCGGGGGCGCGTCGGGGTCGTCCTTCGCCGCGCGCTTCTTGCGCGGCGCGGCCTGCGTGCGTCGCTGGCGGGCGTGCGGGCGGAGCGTCTCGGCCGGCACAGCCACCCGCGTTGCGACACGTGCGGAGCTCACGGTACATACGTGCGGGGCGCGCGTGGCCGGCCCGGGCGGCGCGGCGTGCCGAACACCGATCTGCGCCGGCGCGTGCGCTGGCAGGCCGCGGAGGAAACGCGCGCCAGGCGAGACGGTGGTGGCAGGCGAGAGCACGTGTGTGTCCAGGCGAGGTGCGCGGGCGGTCGCGGCGCGTGGCTCACCAAGCCGGAGAGGAAGCCGTTCGCGGGCTCCTGGCCGGTCTCGATGTAGTGCTTGACGTCCTTCTCGAACGCGCGGGCCAGCGCGTTGAAGCGCTTGGCGACCGCCGTCAGCATCGCGCCCTCCGGCGAGAGCTTCGGGGCTGCGTGGTGCGCAGGATTCGAGTCCGGGTGGTCGGGGGCGCGAGAGAACGTGTGGAGGGGGTCGCGGGGTGGGGGGGGGCGCGGAAGACGCGCGGGCGGAGGCGGGAGGCGGGCAGAAAGGAGCTGAGGCTGGTGTAGTTGTGAAAGCGGCTCTCACGCCGCGTGGGGAGGGAGGCTGCAGGTAGGCGCCGGTCCGCGCAGGGGCGGCGCGAGAACGTGAAATCTGCGCGGTCCCGGCGACCGTACGTCGTGGTGATGGCACGAGGCGAGGCGCGGCGGCCCCGGAGCGCCCGGAGACGTCACGGAGCGCCTCCATGGGTCGAAATCATGGGCAACCAACAGAGGCGAATGTCAGCGCCACCGCGCGCGTCAGCCAGCGAAACGACGCTCCCGGCGTAGAAGGACGGATCGTCCGTCCCGGGCGGGGCGAGCGCGGGTCGGTGCGCGCCCCGAGCGGGCTCACGGGCGGGTCTGCTTCGGGCGTGAGCGCACGGCCGAGCGTGCCCAAACGCTTCGCGTGTGCGCTGAACTCGGAGAGCAAGCAGCGGAGAGAGATGCTGGCGCTACCGTCGTGGGGAGGTGCCGCGGTACCTTCGTGTTCCTCCGCCATTTTGAGGTGCGCGCGCTCTAGCGAAATTTCAGGCCTCCTGGAGCTGCCCGTGAGACGGCAGAGTGCGTCTTGCGAGCGGGCGTCGGCGCGGATGGGCCGTGAATTCAAATCTCCGGTGGTGCCGGAGCGAGGTTCTGGCCGGGCGATGGTGTTCCGCTCGCCCTTCTCGTGGCGGGGGCCGCTTTCGTGGGAACCCCTTCTACAAATCAACACGACCCCTCAAGTGGCGCTCGCCGCACGCTCTCGAGCAGAAGCGCCCCGATTCTCCGCGGACCGCGTCCACAACGACATACTCTATCCAAATACTGCCACTTCGCCTCCACAGTCCGCGCACAACGCCCATGCGTAGCCCGAGGCGTGAAATCACACAACCGCCCTGCCACGCTCGAACGGGGCCCCCGCGACCGCTCCGCCCACTCCAGCACACACCGCACAGGCTCAGCGCGCGACGGCGCCTGCGCCCCCGACCCTCGAACCACCCAATTCGTCACATGGGCATCAAGTCCCACTGTACCCACCAACCAACGCGCAACACTACCCAAGCAGATCCGCAAACGGGTCCTTCTTGCCGCCCGCCGCAGGCCCCCCGCGCATCGCCATCCCGCCGCGCCCCGCCCCCGCCCGTCCGGACGCCGCAGCCCCCGTGGACCGCCGCGTGTCCGCACCTGCTGTCGACACGGGGGGCTGCGGCGCGCCGCCGAGCCCCTGCGCGCCGTACCCCATCTGCGGCTGCGCGAACATCCCCGGCGCGCCAGGGAACGCCCCCGGCGCCGCCGCCGGCTGCCCCACGACACCCCCGGGCATTGACTCCACGCTCTGCATGGCCCCCGTCTTGTCCCCGAGGAGATCCCCGAGGTCAAGCGGCCGGCTGCGGTCCGCGCCGGCGATCTGCGGCGGCGCGGGCGCCGCGCCGACCCCCGCCAGTTCGCCGAGCGGGTCGGCTGTTGCCGGGGCAACTGAGCCCTCCGCCTCGGGCGCCCCGGGCGCCGGCTCGTCCATGCCGAGGTCGAGAAGGTCCTGCACGACAGGCTGCGCCGCGGGCTTCGGCCTCGCCGCCGGCACGGCCGCGCTTCGCGCGCCTGAGTCAGTTCTACCACCGAACAAGGACGCCGCAAGTTTCTTCTTGTGGTCCGCCGTCGGGTCGTCGCCCCACAGGTTGCCGCTGCCCGCTGGCGGCGCCCGTGTCGGCGCGCTCGCGGCCGGCGCGCCCGCGGCGCCGCTCGGGGCCGCACGCGGCGGCTCCGGGGCTGGCGTGACGCCGCGCGGGGCCCCACTTCCGCGGCCCGCGGGCTCGGCGTCGGCTCCTCGCGCGTCGGTGCCGCGGCGGCAGCCACGACAGCTGGAGCTGGCGCCGGCGCCGGCGCAGCGGGGGCCGCGGGGGCCGCGTGGCGCGGCTGCGGCGCCGCCGGCGCTGCGTACGCATCGAACTTCAGCTCGTGGCCTGCAGCGACGTGCGCGTGCGCGGCGAAGTCGCCCCCGGCGCCTGCAAGCCTGTCCGCGGCGTCGCGTGGCGCGGGCTTGCGGTACGGCTTCGCGCCGTTCTGCAGCGCCGCGTTGACGTAGCTGTCGAGGAACGCCAGGATGTCCTGCGCGCCGTTGTCGGACCGCAGCGTGGCCTCGGTGCCGTCGTTGGGCGCGACGGCCTTCTTGACGGCCGGGGGCGCCGCGAGCGCGGCCTGGAGCTGCAGCGCGCGCAGCTGCAGGTCGGTCGAGCGTGCGCGCGTGAGGCTGGAGAGCGTCTCGGTGGCCGCGGTGGGGAGCGTGAGGTCGCAGGCGGAGCAGACTTTGGCGAGGCCCGAGAGCGCGAGGCTCGTGACGGTCTCGCTGGTCGTGCGGCTCGCGAGGACGTCGCACAGCGCGTCCCGACAGGGCGCCGGGCTGCAGGCGCCGAACTCGCCGAGCGCCCAGCAGACGACGCGGAGGAGGTGCTCGGGCGGGTGCGCGCGGTGGACCCAGGGGAGGTAGAGCTCGACGGCCGCCTCGGCCAGGGACGGGTCCTGCACGCGGCCGCGATCGAGAGATAGGTGTGAGGGGGGAAATAGGGGATGCAAGACTCAGGTTCAGTCTGTTCCGGTCGAGCACTCGTTCTCATTGCCGCGCACCTGCGTCACGCCCTGCGCGAGCACCTCCCGCAGCTTGTGCGCGAGCGGCCCCCCGTGCTCCTCCCCGACCAGCGACAGCGCCTCCGTCGTCACCTCCAAGTGCCAGCTCAGGCTGGGCGCAAACCGCTCCGCCAGCCCCACGAGCCGCGTCGCCACGTCGTGCAGCGCGCTCTCGTCCGCGCACGTCCGCATGTACTCCAGCATCTTCTCCACGATCGGCTCGACGTTGTCCGGCGTCGCCATGCGCCCCAGCAGCTCGAGCGTCACCGCTTGGAGCGATGCGTCGTGCGCCTCGAGGCAATCGATCACCGCGACCTGATGCCGCTCCGCGGCCTGCGGCGCCGCCGGCAGGAGCTCGATGAGCGAGCGGATGCCGGCGTAGCGCAGGTTGGCGTTGGCGCCCGGCGCGAGGAAGCGTCCGACGGCGTCGGTGGCGGCGCTGAGGGTGGCCGCGGAGGGGTACAGGCGCGCGGCGGTGCGGATGCATTCGTAGAGGATGGCGTTGGAGATGGTGTTGCCGAGCCGCGCGCGCCGCATGCAGTCCGTGAGCACGTGGTACGCGTGCTCGGAGGCCCCGCGGTCGCCCGCGCAGAGCAGCGAGAGGATGCGCAGGATGCGGGCCTGGATGAACGGCGCGGGCATCTTGCGGTACTCGGTGTGCTTCGGCAGGCGGCCCTCGATGACCTGCTTGAGGACGGAGACGAACGACGGCACCAGCGGGCGGAGCGCACCCGCGTCCGCGAGCGCAGCGTCATGCAGGGCGTTGAGCGCCGCGGCCATGACGGGCGGCTCGCGGTCGCAGAGGAGCTTCCGGAGGTACTGGTCCACGCTCGAGATGTTCTCGGGGCTGAGCTGCGCGGCAGCGGCACGGGTTGTGCACGACACGTCAGTCGTTGACGCACGCGTGGTCGCGCAGGGGAGCGTGGCGTGCGCGGGGCGGCGCGGGCGTGCCTGGATGAAGCGCTGGAGCGCGAGGGCGACCTTCTTGCGGACGAGTTCCTGCCGGTGGTCGACGAGGCCTGTGACGTGCGACATGAGGGCAGGCACCGTCTCGTTCGAGGCGAGCTTGCAGACGGCGTCGAGCGCGGTGGCCACGACGACGAAGTTGTCGCTCGCGAGGTCCCGCTGGATGGTGTTGATGAGCAGGATCGTGAGCTCGTGCTGCGGGGCGAGCAGTGCTGTCGACGCCAGGTAGCCCGCCTGCACGGAGCGGTGCGTGAGGGAGTCCGCGCATGCTTAGTTTGAACCGCGTGCTCCTTCGCGGGGCTGGAGCAGGATGCAATGAGTTCCGATCGGGATGTCGCGCGCGCCCCGCACTGGGAGGTGCGCTGGGAGGTGGTCAGTGCAAAATAGTTCGCGCTAGGCGGGATGAATGTGCGCATCCTTGGAGCGATATCATACGCTTGGTGTCAAGGAACGCGACGTGTTCGTTTCTCGGGGCCTCGTTGCTCGCACGCGCAGCGCACCTTCTTGTTCAGGAGGGATGGATCTGAGCACAGCTTGACGGCAGCGAAGTGCCCGAACGAGGCGTCGTGGCCCAGCATCTCCACGTATATCAGCCTCGTCATGAGCTCGCGCATGCGAGAGCGGTCCACGCGCCCAGACGTGAGCACCTGCAGCGACCAGAGGACCTGGCTCGTTGCGAGCCCGCCCGCGCGCAGGGACGCCGCGCCGTCCCCGCCGAAGCCGCCCGCTCCACGCAACCCCCTCAGTGCAAGCCGTCGCGGCGCGCGGCAGCCGTCTTGCGCGCGCCGCACTCGCACACGCCACGCCTCGTCGTGCCTGCGTGACTGAGCTCGTTGCCCGCGCCTCTGCAGGGCACCGCGGCGCCCGCACGCACCTGCTTGAGCGCGTCCCGCTCCTTCCTCACGATGCGATCCTCCTCGGCGCGGCTCTTGCACTCCCCGATCGCCTTGATGAACGCCGCGAACTCGCGGGAGGCCGTGGGCGCCCCCTTGGAGTTCGTGAGCCCGCGCAGCCCCGACATCTCCGCGCCCGCTCACGTCAACGCTTCCGCTGCCGCCACTTCTCCGCCCCGTCGCGCGAAACCAGGCCGACAACCAACGCCGCACGGCCGCGGTGTGGAAGCAACGAGTGGCGCGGTGGACAACCTCCGGCGCTGCACGGACGATACGCGTCCCGCGCGCAGACCCGACGCACCAGCCTGCACAGCAGCCTGCGAGTCTTGTCCCGGGGCCCCGGACGCAGCCGCCCCATCAGCCGCGCACCACCGCTGCACCGTCTGACGGCGTCACACTGACCTCAACACTACCCCCCTGGTCCCTCGCCGGGGCATCGATACCCACGTGTCGCAGCGGGTCGTGCGAACGGCGACGCGCAGCGCGTGCGGTCTTCGATGAGGGCAGCACGCCGCTGCCGTGTCGTCTCTCGCATCCAGCTCTTCTGCTACTTTCCCTCGACCACCGAGCCGACTCGTTCTCCGCTCCATCACACAGCCGCGCCACTCGCCGCATGCGCCGCCGATCATGGGCACTCGAGTGACCTCAACTCAACTCCCCCCCTCAACTCCCCCCCTCTTGCCGCGCGCGCTTCCGCTGCAAGTACCGCTCCCGCGCAGCGGCCTCGCGCTCCTCCCGCGTCCGCTTCGCCGCCGGCGGCGCCGCCCGCTCGCCGCCCGCCGCAGCCCCCTCCTCCGCGCCACCTGCCACCCCGCCCTCTCGCGCGGGCTCCGGCCTCGCCTGTGGGGACGCCGACCGCGGCCGCTCAGCGCCGCCGGAGGCAGCCGGCCGGGGCGGCTCCGCCTGCGCTCGCTGCTCTGGCGCCGCTGGCGCCGCTGCCCGCGCAGGACCGGCGGATGCCTCCCTCTCCTTCTCGCGGCGGACCGCAGCGGCCTTGTCCTCTTCGCGGAGGCCCGCCATGCCGCCGAACGCGACGTTGCGGCCGAGGTTCGCGTAGAAATCGCCCAGATCCTTCTTCTTCGTGACGTCCTCCATCTCCTCCTGCACACACACACACAAGGAGTCAGTACGAACCAACCCATGAACAATCAAACACGATCCAGAGATCTCCACAACTCCCACAATTTCTTCGCGACCCCCCCCGTCCCACGCATCGGCCCCGCACTCAGCGCCGCCCGCGGCCGCCCTCACCTCCCGGTCCCGCTTCTCCTGCTCCGCGAGCCACCGTTTGTCCTCCTCGAGTTTCTTCCGGTACGCGCCCGTGACGAACTTCTCCTTGTCGCCGAACAGGTGGTCCTCCGCGGCCTGCTCGCGCTGCACGCGCCGCTCGTGCCGCAGGTCCTCCTCGCGCTTCCGCTCCTCAGCCTTGGCTTTGAGAGAGGCAATATACTTCGACTCGCGCCTCACGCGCTCCGCGTGCTTCGGGGCGTCGCGCGCGGCCGCGATCGAGTCGAACGCCGCATCGTAGTCGAAGATCGTCGGGTCCTCGGCCTCGGCCTGCGGCGGCCCGGGGACAGCACGCGCGTTGCAGCTGCGGACCTGCCTCTGGGATCGCCGCGGCAGCAAGGGCACGCCGTGGCGTGCTCGCTAACGATGCTTCGTGTATAGTATACTAGATGGTGTAGCTGGGGAACGTCAGGATGGGCCAGTTCAGGCTCTCAGTTTCGCGCACAGGCCTCCGAGGTGCGGCGCACCTTCGCTTCCTGCTCGCGGATCTTCTTCGCAGCCTTCCGCCGCGCCGCCTCTTGGTGCCGCGCAAGCTTCGCGTTCATGTCTTCCTGCAAGCCAAGTAAGCCGGTGCAGATGGGCCGTGAGCGTGCCTGGTGCTTTCAGTCCCGCGCTCCCAGAGCTCGCGAGGCCCGCCAGACGACCGACCAACGCCGCGGAGAACGGGCGCGTCCTGCAGCGAGGGAAGGCACTCACATCCTCGGAGTCGTCGTCGAGCGGGGCGAACGCCGTCGCCACGGCGCGTGGCCTCGCCGCTTGCCGCTGTGCTACGAGCCCAGCGAAGCCAGGCTTCTTCTTAATCGGCACTGAGAGCCCGTATTTCACGCCCTTCTGGCCCACGATCATCCCACCCGCAGCGGGGGGCTTCGGAGGCTCCGACATCGCCCCGCGATCCCTCGAATATCGACTGGCACAGCAATCCTGTTGCAGACGAGACAGAAACACGACGAATGCAGGCCGCTCTAGCGGCAGCGACGGACACTCCGCATCCGCGGCTCTAGTTCGTTGTTGCCGGTGCAGTGCGGAACGGCCGGCATCGTGACACCGGGCATGCAGGCCGAGGCCAGCTGTCAGGGCAATACACCTCATGTTCTACCCCCTGGCAGGGCCGGCCCTCGATCGCGGCACCACAGCAGCGCAGGCGATGTGCGGTGAGCGTCCTGCACACGCGGCCTCCCACCGGGCGCGCGATCGTGGAAACCACGTGACGTATCATATCATCAATATCATATCATCAAATAGAAGAGATCCACCTGTGCCGACACGAGGTCGATGTACTCGAAGAGGTCGCCGTACTCATCGTCGCGTATGTTTGCCGTCACCGGTTGGAGCTCGATAATCACCGCTTATCGCAAAGGGCTGCATATCGAGCTCCAACGGGCAGACAACAAGCACACGCGACGACGAGTACATCGACCTCCTCAATCCTCGTCCCCTCGAATCACGAGCTCCGCAGCACCGCCGTCCCCACCCACGCGTCGCCCGCCGCCTCCGTCGCGTCCGGCCCGCCCATCAGCGCCACCTCCGCCGCCTCCGTGCCCCAACGCGCAATCATCACCGGCGTCCCGGCCCGCGCCATTGCCGCCGCCTCGGCCACCTTGCCTGCGATGCCGCCCGAGACGTCGTGCGCCGCCGCCTCCATGCGAATGTCCGCGCCGTCCGCGGACCACGACCCGTCGCTCTGCACCACCACCCTGCACCGGACGCGGCGGACGAACAAACATCACGCGGAGAGCGCAGTCGCACATATCAACACTCGATCGGAAATGGCTCGCTCCAGACATCACGTCGTCAGGCGCGCTCGCGCTGCGACCGCAACGCAAGGCCCGCACCTGCGCACCACGCTCGCCCCCTCCTCGTTCGGCGGCCTATCCAGCACGCCGTCCACGTCCGTCAGGAACGCCGCCCACCGCACCTCCGGCAGCCCCGATGCCAGCCGCGTGATGATCGTGTCGCCCGACAGCACAGAACACCCCCACGCGGGGTCCGCGTCGAGGATGCAATCGCCGTAGAGCACAGGGACCAGCCCCGCGCGCGCCACGCGCGCCACCTGCGCGATGCCCGCCACGTCAGCGTCGGACGCGGGCAGCGCGCCTGACGCGGTCTCCCACACCCCCATCGGCGGCAGGCTCACCGCCGGGACGCCCCGCTCCACGAGGTGGCTGGTCACGATCACGTTCAGCTTCGCGACGGACACGCGCGTCCGCGCGAGCCCCTCCTGCGCACGAACGCAGGCACCACACTGATCGGCTTCTTGCGCGCCTCCATTTGGGTGCTTGGCATCAGGCGCTTCGTGTTTCACGGCGCGCGCTCCATCGATGAATACGCAGGAATGGGGCGACGAACGACGTCGCTGTGCACGCGCGCATCAGGCGGACCTTGACCCGCGGCTCCGTGTGCAGGCCGCCCTTGGCCACGCCGTACTGCGAGGCCAGCTGGTGGCCGAAGGAGCCGGCGCCGTGGACGACGAGCGGCATGGGGCCTGCGCCCGCGGCGTGGGCCCGGTACGCCTTGGCGACGAGGTCCGCGGCGCTGTCGAGCGCCTCCTGGCGCAGCGTGTCGGGCCTGCAGCGGACTCCGGCTCGGAGGTTGCATCGGGTTGCTGCGGTGAGCGACGGGGGGCGCGGCGGGTGGCTGGAGCTGCGGGGTGTGGAACTCACGTGCTCTTCACCGTGATGGCGGACCCGCCGAACTTCACGAGCACGACGCCGTGCGGCACTGGGTCCGAATGCGTCCCGCTGGCACATACTTGCATCCGTTTCCGCCGACAGAAGCAGCCGCGCACGGCCCTGTTTGGCACGATGTTATGCGTACTGCTTTGCGGGCGTGGAGGCGGCGCGCGCGTGCGGCGGTGGCGCGTCGCGCGGCAGCACGCAGGGGCCGGTGGAGGCACTAGGAAGCAGCGCCGGGAACCGATGCACGGCGAGGGACACATTGCGCACGAAACAGCCCGAAATGAGCCGCACGATGTGGAGCGACTCACACGAGACCGGGCCGCTGCGACTCGCGCAGGGGGGAGTCCAGGGCGGGAGTCTCCCTCTCCCGCGCGCGTCCAGAAGATGGTCCGTCCAGGAGCGCTTCGTGCGCGCGTGGCACGGCTGTGCCACGCCATTCGAAGAGAGGTCCGTCGTCTTCAAGAGCAACGGCGTCGCGTGCAGGGACAATCTCGTGCGGAGGTTCGGAGCAGCCCCGGGCGTGGCCCACGTCACCAGCACGGCCGGACGTGCAAGGATTCGAGCGCGCCCTCTGAAGATGCCGCCCGCCCCTGCGAAACCGGCGCTGAAGAAGCCGGCACAGACCGGAAAGAAGCGGAAAGCCGACGGCAAGGATGCTCCTCCATCCAAGGTGACCAAGTTCAGCAATCAGCCCATGAAGAAATCGACGCCGGGTGGCCCCGGAGGCTCCTCCGCAGCAGCTAGGCCCGCCAGGGCCGCTGCGGCAACCCCGCAGACCGGCCCCGACGGCGCATCGAGGCAGGCAAGTCTTCAGCGCCTCAGTTCTCTGACTCCGCCACGCGTGGCGCGTGATTTCCCGCACGACACACAGGACTATCTCATCAGGAATCTCGCGCGCCTCGCCTTTCGTCGCGTCGCCCCCTCCGCGCGCAATCTTCGTCGTCTGAGCACCCACCACCTCCCCACGCTCGCCAACCGCCGCACGCCCGCCCCCGCTCCGCAGCCCGGCTTCCTCTGCTGGCGTGGCGCGGGCGAGACCGGCAAGTCGGGCAAGGTCGTGCAGGACTGGGGCCCGCTCATCCGCATGATGCATGGGTTCGGCGACGCGCGGGAGCCCCGGCGCGACACCGCGGAGCTCCTCGAGGCGATCGCGGGCGACGTGCTGTGCGCGCTGTGCCACGCCGCGAAGCGCAGCGCCGGCCGCAGCGCCCCGCAGCTGCAGGATTTCCTGTTTGCGCTGCGCGCGCACCCGGAGCTGTACCAGGAGGCGGTTGACCTGCTCGTGTCGACGCGGGAGGTGAGCAAGGCCAAGTCGCACACGGAGGTGAACGCGGACACGGTGATCGATACGCGGAACGAGGAGCAGATGTTTGCGCTGGGCGTGGACCAGGAACTGTCGGCAGCGGCGGCGCGGAAGAAGCCCGCTGGGAAGAGGGCGACGAGCTCGAAGAAGTGAGGGCGTGGCTCCGCAGGGCGGTGCGTGTGTGCGACGGGGCTCGCTGCCGGGGCCGGCTGAGTCGGTCTGACGCGGGGGGAGTGGCTGCTGGTGGGGGGGGGGTGTTTGCGGCCTCGAGGGGGCGCCGGGCGGTGGCGCGGCGGAACGAGCACGGCCGGGCGGCGTCGGGAACAGGCGGGACGTGGCTCTCTGGACGTTGCGGCGCTGTTGGAGGTGCGCGATGATGGGTGGTCCCCGGGCAGCAGTGTCTCGCTGTCCGTGGCGTGGGAGCCGCGGAGAGCCCGGCTCGGGCCCGAGCTTTGTCGAGGACACTGGATGGTGAGATGAACGCGTGTTTGATCGCCGCTGTGCAGGGGTTTGAGCCCAGTTCGAGACGCCAGACTACGCACCGGCCGCTGGTGCACCACGGCCCAAGCTGCCGACGCGCAGATGTCGAGCATGGTGAGTTGCGCGGCACGTGGTTGCTGGTTGGACTGTCATGCGACGAGATACCTGCGCGTTCGTCGCGAAGGGCCCTTGTTCCGCGTCGCGCCGGCCTCCCGCCCCTTTGGTCCAAACTGCGTCGCTCTTGAATGCGCCGCTGCGGAACGTGTTTGCGGCACGTCACGCGGCTGCGCGGTCGAACCATCGTCGTGCATCTCATTCGCTCGCCGTGTCCCGCGCGTTCGTGCAGGAGCCGTGTGCGTTCGAGCGGCTGCTGGGTGCAGTGCCGGCGGTGCTGGAGGCGCTGCCGGAGGCGTCACTGCGCGCCGTGGGGGCGACGAGCTGGACGGCGCTGGTGGCGGCGCTGCGGCACGCGCCGCTGCGGGTCGATCTCGAGCCCAAACCTGGAGGCGCCATTTGCAAGCTTGCGGATGTGCTGGGCCAGCCAGGGCGACAGCCGGCGGCGGGGACGGTCACGTGCACGGAGGGGAAGTACCCGCGCGTGGCGGTCGCGGCGGATGATGCGCGCGCCCTGTTCTGGAGGGCCGCTGAGAGGCCCGGCACGGTGGAAGACATGGTTTCGTTCACCGCGCGAGACGGCGGGCCGCTGCGGGTGCGGGGCTTGCGGAGCCGGTGGCGCGACTTCGTTGAGGCGGCAGAGCCAGCTCGACCACGCAACATGGGGCACCACGACGTGGAGCTGCGGTGGTGGCTGGAGGTGGAGAGCAAGCATGGGGCAGCGTACACGGGGGCGCTGCGGCGGACGCTGGAGCGGGCGACGGTGCGGGAGCACGTGGAGGAGGTGTCGCTGTGGGAGTGTCCGATGCGCGGGGCGCAGGTGGCGACGCTGGCGCCGGCGCTGGCGGGGCTGGGGAGGCTGCGGTGTTTGCGTCTGTGGAAGCACACGTTGCTGGACGACGAGGGGCTGGCGGCGCTGGCGGGGGTGGTGCGCGGGCAGGGGGGGCTGCGGGAGCTGGCGGTGTACAAGTCGGGCGGCGACATGCTGCCGCTGATCGACAGTGTGGGGGAGCACCCGGCGCTGGAGGTGCTGGAGGTGGTGGTGAGCGATCACAGGGAGGCGGAGGGGGCAGCGCTCGGGGCGGTGGCGGGGAGGAGCAGGGCGCTGCGGAGGCTGGCGGTCGGACAGAGAAGAGGACAGGATTCGGGGTTCGTGCAAGCGCTGGTGTCGGCGCTCGGCGAGGTCCTGGGTGCGAACGCGCACCTGCGCGAGCTGGACCTCAGCGTCACAGCACTTGAAGACGTGTCTGTGGCGGGTTTGATGGAGGGTCTGGGCAAGAACACCACTTTGGAGGTGCTGGACCTGTCGCAGACCGAACTGGACGATGAGGGCTTCGAGGAGCTGGCTTCGGCGCTGTCGGGGCAGTGCGCGGTGCGGGAGCTGAGCCTGCGGGGCGCTGACCTGTATGGTGAGGACGTTCCGCGTGCGTTGTGGGAGAGGTCGTGTCTGACGCGGTTGGACTGCCAGGACGCCAGCTTCGGCCATGACTTCGTGGACCATCTGGCGCGGGCGCTGGAGAGCGGGGCGCTCGGGCGGACGCTGGAGGTGCTCAACCTGTCGCAGACCGAATGGAACAACGACGCTGACACCTATACAGCCTTTGCGAATGCACTCGCCAGGAACAGCGAGTGCGCGCTGCGGGAGCTCAACTTGAGTGGATGCCTCGTCAATGACGACACTTACGCTGCACTTGGGCAGTTGCTGAGCAACAACGGGCCTCTGCGGGTGCTGGACCTGAGTGACGACGACAGTGGCTGCATGCCGGACTGCGAAACTGTTGTCGCGCTGGTTGCTGGGCTGCAGAACAACACGACGCTGCGTCGCCTGGCCGTTGCGAGGGGGCACATCGGGCGGCGCGGCGCCATCGCCCTCGCGGAGGCCCTCGGAGAGACCTCGGCGCTGGAGGAGCTCGACTTGAGCTACCAGCTCGAAATCGACCATGTTTGCCACGTGGTCGGCCTATATGGTTTCCGAGAGCGCGAGCCCTTCGACGAGTCGACGGCGGCCGCGTTCGCCGCTGCGGTGGACCGCGGCGCCGCGCTCCGGAGGCTGGACCTGCGCGGGGACGTGATGGGCGCGAGGGGCGTCGGGGCAGTGCTGGACGCGATGGCGCGGCGGGAGCCGAGCGTGTCGCGCGTGCTGCTGGCGAGCATTCCGCCCATGCAACACGCGGCGCAAGATTGGCTGCGGGAAGCGAGGCAAGGGCTGTACGGACGTGCCCAGCCACAGCACGTGCATTTCGACTGGGAGGAGTAAGAGGAGGGGGGGGAGTACTGAAACGACCTGGCCCGTATTGGCGGCGTAGCGACACGTGACGCAGGTTGAGCTGTGAAGATCGAGCTGCTCTGGCCTTGGTTGCGGCGCGGCGTGGCTACTGGGGAGACGCACTGCAGCGGCGCCGTGAGTGAGGAGGCGTAGAAGCGCGGGGGACGCGCCGCGGAGTGAGGCTCTCGCAGATGGCGACCGCCGCGAGGACGGGCGACCTGTGCGGCGTGCTGGGTGCACGTGGGCAGAGTCTGCCCATCGCAGCGACGGCGCGCTGAGTCGCTGACGCGTGCGATGGGGCTCGCTGCCGTGACTGACGACTGCCGCAGGTGGTTGTACCAGTACGGTATGACCACACTGATGTTAGGGGTGTCGGACCGGGCCTCAAGGGGGCGCCGGGCAGCGGTGCGGAGGCACGAGGATCGCCAGTTGGCGCTGGAGAACAGGCGGGACGTGGTTTGCTGGAGGTGCGTGTGTAGCAGCGAGGCTTGTCGCTGTCCCGTGCCGTGGGAGCCGCGGAGAGCCCGGCTCGACCTGCGCGGAGGGCGCCGGACACTGATGCGGGCCCGTGTCGGATCGCCGCTGTGCAGGGGTTTGAGTGCAGTTCGAGACGGCCAGACGCGCACAGTGCCAACTGGCCGCGGACCAGGTCGGACCTGGGGACGCGCCCGGGCTGCGTTGTGGGCGGGCAGGGCTGCGTTTTGCGCGAGCATCTGATCACGGGCGATCCGCTGAGCACGGGCACTGCCGCGTGGAGCTTCCGTCCTGCGCGCGGGGGACGGCTTGCCGCTTCCTCTGCACCATGGCCGGAGCTTCGGCCGAGGCGATGTCGAGCATGGTGAGCTGCGCGGCACGTGGTGGAACTGTCATGCGACGGAACGGTGGCGCGTTCCTCGCGAGGGGCCCTTGTTCCGCGCCGCACCGCCCCGCTCCCCTGCTGAGTCTCAACCGCTTGCTTCGCGCTTCCAAGTGTCGTGGCTGCGCGCTCTCGCCATGATCACGACCCTCGTCCGCACGCACGCCGTGTTCCCCCTGCAGGAGCCGTGTGCGTTCGAGCGGCTGCTGGGTGCAGTGCCGGCGGTGCTGGAGGCGCTGCCGGAGGCGTCACTGCGCGCCGTGGCGGCGACGAGCTGGACGGCGCTGGTGGCGGCGCTGCGGCACGCGCCGCTGCGGATCGATGCAGACGAGACCATGCTCAACCTGATTCTCAAGATGGAGCGCGGGCGACTGCCGGCGGTGGGGACGATCACATGCAAACGTGGCATGTACCCACACGTGGCGGTTGTGGCGGATGATGCGGCCGTCATGGTGCGTCAGATGGGGCGGGCGCGTCGGACGGTGGAGGACATGGTGGCGGATCACGAGCGAGAGGGTTGGCCGCTGCGGGTGCGGTGCTTGCGGGGCCGGTGGTGCGACCTCGTGCAGACTGCGGGAGAGCCAGCGCGATGCTACCACGTGGAGCACGACGCGGAGCTGCGGTGGTGGCTGCGAACGGTCGAGAGCGAGCACGGGGCAGCGTACGCGGCGGCGCTGCGGCGGACGCTGGAGCGGGCGACGGTGCGGGAGCACGTGGAGGAGGTGTCGCTGTGGGAGTGTCCGATGCGCGGGGCGCAGGTGGCGACGCTGGCGCCGGCGCTGGCGGGGCTGGGGAGGCTGCGGTGTTTGCGTCTGTGGAAGCACACGTTGCTGGACGACGAGGGGCTGGCGGCGCTGGCGGGGGTGGTGCGCGGGCAGGGGGGGCTGCGGGAGCTGGCGGTGTACAAGTCGGGCGGCGACATGCTGCCGCTGATCGACAGTGTGGGGGAGCACCCGGCGCTGGAGGTGCTGGAGGTGGTGGTGAGCGATCACAGGGAGGCGGAGGGGGCAGCGCTCGGGGCGGTGGCGGGGAGGAGCAGGGCGCTGCGGAGGCTGGCGGTCGGACAGGGAGAGGGACAGATGGTGTGGTGGGAGGAGACGGGGTTCGCGCAAGCGCTGGTGTCGGCGCTCGGCGAGGTCCTGGGTGCGAATGCGCACCTGCGCGAGCTGAACCTCAGTACTGCATTTTTGTACGACTTTCCCTTGGCGGACTTCATGGCGGGTCTGGGCAAGAACACCACTTTGGAGGTGCTGGACCTGTCGCAGACCGAACTGGACGATGAGGGCTTCGAGGAGCTGGCTTCGGCGCTGTCGGGGCAGTGCGCGGTGCGGGAGCTGAGCCTGCGGGGCGTCGGTCCGGGAGAGGCCATCGCGAGTGCGCTGCGGGAGAGGTCGTGTCTGACGCGGCTGGACTGCCAGGACGCCGAGGTGGACTCTGACTTCATACGCCAGCTGGCGCAGGCGCTGGAGAGCGGGGCGCTCGGGCGGACGCTGGAGGTGCTCAACCTGTCGCGAACTGAGGAAGTCCAACCCGAGGACTACGCAGCCTTGGCGGATGCACTCGCCAGGAACGGCGAGTGCGCGCTGCGGGAGCTCACTTTGCGTGTTTGCCTTTTCCAACATGACATGTGGACCGCGCTGGGGCGGGTGCTGAGCAACAACGGGGCCCTGCAGGTGCTGGACCTGAGTGACAGCACCAGTCACTACATGCCGGACAGCGAGGATGCCGTCGCGCTGGCTGCTGGGCTGAAGAACAACACGACGCTGCGTCGCCTGGCCGTTGCGAGGGGGCACATCGGGCGGCGCGGCGCGAAGGCCCTCGCGGACGCGCTCGGGGAGACCTCGGCGCTGGAGGAGCTCGACTTGAACTACCAGCTCGATTTCTCCGAGCTCACCTTGAACGGCGTAGATGGCCAATTGGCTTGGTTCTTGCAAGAACAGCGCGAGCTCTTCGACGAGTCGACGGCGGCCGCGTTCGCCGCTGCGGTGGACCGCGGCGCCGCGCTCCGGAGGCTGGACCTGCGCGGGGACGTGATGGGCGCGAGGGGCGTCGGGGCGGTGCTGGACGCAATGGCGCGGCGGGAGCCGAGCGTGTCGCGCGTGCTGCTGGCGAGCAGTCCTGCCAACGACTCCGGCATTTGGTTGCGGGAAGCGAGGCAAGGGCTGTACGGACGTGCCCAGCACGTGCATCTGAAGGTGGAAGTGGAGACGGAGGGAGCACAGGCGCGGTCTGCTTTGAGGTTGTGGGCAGGTTCAGGAAGCGTGCAACACGTGGAACTGAGCTGAGCTGTGCGCGCGAGGGGCTCGTCGAGCGGGAAGCAGGGGGCGCGGGTCACGTGCGGCCCGTCGCGACATCGTAGTCACAGAGTGACGACGACTTTTGGAAAACACAGCATTGCGCGTTGCGAGGCTTTGAGCGGCTCAGCCTCTGTTTGCGGTCCCGCGTGACTGTCGGGCAGGCGCACTCCAGCGGCGCCGTCGGCGTGGTGGCGCTTGGAGTGTGAGTGTGGATGTAACATCCACAAAAAAAAAAAAAATGTGACACCTCACCTCACCTCACTGTGGCCCCGAGGCGAACAGTCTGTGCACGGGGAGCGGTGGTGTACATGGGTGGAGCGTGTCCCTCGCAGTAGCTCGAGTCAATTTGCCTCGGCGAGCGACGACGACGCGCTGAGTCAAGTTGCATGTTTCTACTTTGCTTGTCAGGTGCGCCGGCGCTTGGATGCGGCGGCAGGGCGGCTCGCCGCGCGCATTCGCGCCGCAGCATGTCAGGCCGTGAAGCGCTTGTGTTGAGGAACGCGACAGCGACGACGACGTCGCCTGCACAGGTGCGCGTGCTCGCCAGGTCGCGCTGCGGCGTGCGCGGCCAAGTACGGCGTGAGGCAGTGTGCTTACGCATGGATTCTCCGAACTCGATCTCGTTTGCAGGAAGTATCAGGCGGTCTCGAGAGCTCGCACTTGCACGCTCGCGCGAGGAGGCAACGGCTGCAGTGCCTTGCGTGCTCGTGCGGCGCGTGGACGGAGCTGTGGCGCGGCGGAGCGGCGTGACGGCGATCACCGTGTGCTACGTGCGAACGGAGCCCGGCGCAGGCTCTCGGAGAGGACGTGGTGTGGCCGCACAAGCCAACAAGCTTCCGCCGACAGCGCGGTGCGAAAAGAGGGTCCTTCGCGGCGCGGTTGCCGGAAGATGGTGAGGACCCGTGCCACAGGCTGCTTACATATATACCACCCAATGTCGGTGCGTCGCACGAGTCACAGATGCATCTCATTCACGACGCACACGGCCGCTTCCTCGCTCGCAGGCAACGACATCAAGAGCCCGCTCTCCGTTCGAGGAGCTGCTCGATGCGGTGCCGGCGGTGGCCGGCGCGCTGCCAGAGGAGTCTCTCCACAACCTGGCGGCGACGTCTTGGGGCGCGCTGGTCGCGCTGCTGCGGCACAACTCGCGACTTACTTTGACCATACTCACCAACAGCGCTCTCCTGCCGGGCATCGCGGGGCGGTCGGAGCAGCTGGCGCGGGCGGCGGGGAGCCTCCGCCTTACGGCGGAAACCGCGCTGCCAGGCGGGAAGTCGGAGCCGGCGTCCGTCGACGTGGCAGCGGGCGACGCCGCGGCACTGCAGCGTGTGCTCTGCGCGGAGAGGAAGACCGGCCTGCCGTGCGGCGGGTGCGGCGAGGAGAGGTGCTGCGGCAATAACATGATACAGGCGGCGGTGCGGTCGGTGCTGGGGGGCAAAGAGGCGATTCGGCTGCGTCGCCTCGACATGTCAAAGTGCGACTACGAGTTCGTGGGCGGGCAGCTGCTGGCGGCGCTGGCTGCGCACCCGCTGGTCCATGAGCTGCGCGAGCTGCGTACAGTGGCCAGGTTCGACAGCAGGGGGAAGCTTCTGTCGTCCGGGTTCGCGCTGGCGACGGGCCTGCGCGTGCTGCACGTCCACGGCTTGACGTTTCCGTACGACGACGACAGCCTGGACCAGTTCATGGGCTGGATTCGGGCCCTGCCGGCGCTCGAGGAGCTGCGGATCGTCGGGTCGTCGCTCGTCGAGCCGGAGGCCGCGGCGGCGCTGTTTGAACACGTGGCGCGAAACAAGACCATCGTGGAGCTCCACGTGGACGAGATCACGCCCGGCGAGGAGGGCAGCGCGGCGATCGAGGCGGCGCTGCGTCAGAACACGACGCTGCGCAGGCTGCGGCTCCGCGAGGAGATCCCGGAGCACTACTGGAATCCCGACGTGGACCCCCCCTCTCCAACTGAGAGCGAGTTTTTCGCCGAGCCGTGCGTGGCGAAAGCGCTTGGGGCCGCGCTGCCCTGCAACACGACGCTCGAGGAGCTCAGCCTCGAGGGCTCGAAGCTCGGCGACCTGGGCCGCCCGCTGCTGCAGGGGCTGGAACACAACACGGCGCTGCGGGTGCTGAACCTGCGGGGCTGCGAGAAAGTCGAGGACGCGGAGCATGCGTCGTCCGCTCTCGGCGCGGCGCTGGCGAAGGGCGGGATCACGCGGCTCCTGCTCGGGCAGTGCTACTTCTGCCGCGACCTCAGCGACGCCGTCTTCGAGGCGACGATGCAGCAGTCGCCTTTGGTCGAGCTGGAACTCGGCGTGTGCAACGAGGAACTTCTCGCAGGCGGACGGGGCGGCACGGACGGCCTGATCAAGGCGCTGCGCGACGGCGCTCTCGGGCGGACGCTCGAGGTGCTCGACCTGCGGGGCCTCGAGGTCAAGTTGACGGACCTGATGCCGGTCCTCGAGAGCAACACGGCGCTGCGCAGCCTGAACCTGTCGCACATGCACAAGGGCCGCGACGAATTGGCGGCCGTCGGGAGGATGCTCGAGTGCAACACATCGCTGCGGAAGTTGTATTTGAGAGACTGCGACCTGCTGGGCGACAGTGACACCAAGGCACTGCGTCAGGCGCTGAAGCGCAACTCGACGCTCGACTTCCTCGATGTCGGCAGAAACCACATCACCACGCCCTACGCGGACGAGCTCGTTGCTGCGCTGGGGAAGGAGTCTGGCCTGCGCCACCTGGTGTTCAGCGAGCAGGCGTGCTGGGAGAACGAGCACATCAGCGACCTCGCCAAGTCCCTCGCGGACGCCCTCGACCGCGGCGCGCCTCTGACGACGGTAGACCTCACCGGCAACGAGGACCATTTGGGCCGCACTGACGTCCAGCTGATTCTCGGTGCCATGTTCCGCTGCAAACCGGCCCGAACGTGCACGCTGCGCGTGAGCACGTTTTCCGAGTACCACGCGCACGATGCCTTCGGGCTCGCGCTGTGGTACCAGCGCCGCCGGCTCACTCGCCGCGCGGGTGAGGGCGACGTCGTGCTTGAGATAGTGGGCTCCGGCTGACGCGACGGCGTCGGGTGGGAGCGGTCCGGAGCTGCGTGGAACGTTCTTTGGTCCTCATATGGAAACCAAGCCAACATTATTTATTTATTTCTTTACTCATCAAACGATCGCCTGTGATAACTTTGACGTCGCCGCTGTCGACATGCACCGGGGTGGCCGAAGATGCTGGTCGACTGCAGCGGCGACGGATTTCGTTTCTTGCGCGGGTGGTCAACTACTTGACGGATTCGTATCTGCTCTGTGTCGCAATGCAGCATGCTACAAGCAAGAGAAGCGGGCGCTCCTCGAAGCCTGCCTCGCGATGCCGCCTCGCCCCTCGCGGCATGGTCCCGCGCAGCTGTCAGCCTTTACACCACCACCGGTGATCCCGCGCACGCTGGCTTGATTTCTGGCAAGCAGGGCGCGTCGCACACACACGTACATCCAACGGCTGCGCTGCGGTGGCAGCCTCGCTCGTGCTGACGAATCACGCGGGGGAGAGCAGCAGGCAGGTACGGTGTCAGAGTGGTATCGCTGCCGCATCGACAAGGCAAGCGCTGCGTACGTTCGGCTCTGAAACGGCTGCCTTCAGTTCGAACGACGACTGCAGGGAAGGTTCATCGATCCAAAGCGGCCGAGGACGCGCGCTGTGGGGGACATCAGGCCGTGAGGCGGTTCGATCGTTTTGTGTCTTCGAGGCGCCCCGAGGATGGTGAGTAGCCTGGCCCCTACGTATCCTGCATGAGGAACATTGCTGCGGCGACTGCGAATCTCCAGCTCCGTGCCGCACAAGACGCTCGCGGCGTTCCCGCCTACTCTCCCTGCAGGGTTCGCTCGCGACGTCGCCCTTCGCGGAGCTGCTCGATGCGGTGCCGGCGGTGGTCGACGCGCTGCCGGAAGAGAGTCTCCGGGACGTAGCGGCGACCTCGTGGGGCGCGCTGGTCGCGTTGCTGCGGCACGTCCCGCGGTTCTCCGTGCCCGTGCACCCTCACAGCGCTCTCCTGCCGGGCATCGCGCGGCGGTCGGAGCAGCTGGCGCGGGCGGCGGGGAGCCTCCGCTTCACGGCGGAGACCGCGCTGGCAGGCGAGAAGTCGGAGCCGGCGTCCGTCGACGTGGCAGCGGGCGACGCTGGGGCGCTGCTGCGGGTGTTTGCCGCTGCGAGAAACACCAGCCTGCCGTGCGGCGGGTGCGGCGAGGAGACGTGCTGCGGCACGGCGCTGCAGCTGGCGGCGGTGCGGTCGGTGCTGGCCGGGAAGGAGGCGATCCGGTTGCGCTGCGTGGACACGACGAGAAGCATGCGCTGCGCGTCGCAGCTCCTGGCGGCGCTGGCCAGGCACCCGATGGTCGATCAGCTGCGCGAGCTGCGCGTGCGCTGCGACCACGACACTCCCCTCGCCCTCCTGCACGAGCTCGCACCGGCGACGGGCCTGCGGGTGCTGCACTTGCGTGTTGACGACATGGGGGATTGGCCAGGGGACGACGAGAAGGACAGGCACGCCGCCGCCGACCGCATCGCGGACGCGGTGGGGAGCCTGCCGGCGCTGACGGAGCTGCGCATCGAGGTGCATTATTGTCCGTTGCCGTCGAGCGTGTTTGCGGCGCTGTTCGACCACGTGGCGCGAAACAAGACCATCGTGGACATATCCGTGGAGGGAACGATGGTCGGCGCGGAGGGGTGCGTGGCGATCCAGGCGGCGCTGCACCACAACACGACGCTGCGCAGGCTGCGGATCCGTGGGGGTGCACCACCGTACAACACGGACGAATATGTGCCCCTGGGGCGCGCGATCGGGGCGGCGCTGCCGTTCAACGCGACGCTGGAGGAACTCGGTCTCGAGAGGTTGCTGAAGGAGGAGGACGCAGACGCGCTGCTGACGGGGGTGTCGCGGAACACGGGGCTCCGCGTGTTGGAACTGCGCGATTGCGAGCTGAAGTCTGCAAGCCTTGCGGCGCCGTTTCGCACGATACTGGAGAAGGGCGGGCTGCGGCGGCTGCTGCTCGGCGACAACGAGCTCCACGAAAAGGTGCAGAGAGCGATTCCGCAGGCGTTGACGCAGCGGTCGCAAATGGTGGAGCTGGACCTGAGTGGCGTGCTGGACAAGGAGTTTCACAACTACGGCTACTGTCACGCATCCCTCTTGCACATCGTGAGGGCACTGCGCGACGGGGCGCTGGGACGTTCGCTCGAGGTGCTGAGGCTCCGTGGCCTTGAGACCAAGGTGTCGCCGGCCGACAATGACGACAGCTTCGAGGCGCTGGCGAGGGTGCTGGGGAGCAACGCGACGCTGCGCATCCTCGACCTGTCGGACGTCGAGCTGGATGGCAACGAGATCGAGGCGCTCGGGGGGATGATCAAGGCGAACAAGGCTTTGCGGGAGCTCATCGTCGCCGGTAATCTTGGTGGTCTGAGAGACGACATCGCGCATGAACTTGCCAAGGGGCTTCTGCACAACTCGACGCTGGAGATCCTCGATGTCTCCAACAATCAGGTCTCCTGCGAGGGGCTGCAGTCGCTCGCGGCTGCTTTGGGGCCGCAGTCTGGCCTGCGTCATCTGCGGCTCGGTCGCAAGACCGTCACATCCAGCACCTCGGGGAACAAAATCGGACGTCGTGCTGCGGAGGCGTTCGCTCGCGCACTGGACAGCGGTGCGCCCCTCGTGACGCTCGACTGCGGCGGCATGACGACGCTGGAGCACGGGCACTGCGAGGTCTTGCTGCGCGCGATGTTCCGCAGCAAGCCGGTGCGGACCTGCACACTGCGCGCGACGCATATCGCGGGCGGTGCGAAGGCCATGATCGACCTCGCGTTGTGGTACCGGCAGCGGCGGCTGGCGCGCCGGGAGGGCGAAAGCACGGCGATTCTGGACATTGTCGAGGACACGCCCCCGGATTACGGCTGCGAGTGATGGGCGTGCGCGCGCCCGGGAACCGTGCGCGCGTCCTGATCGTCAGGCAGGAGCCGGTGCCAGCTGCACGGGCCGTTGCGAACACATGGCTCGGGCACGGTTGCGCCTGACGCTGACCGCGTGAGCGGCAACCAGCTGTGATCGACGACGCGAGGTGACGTGGGCGGAGGGCGTGGCGGGCCAGTGATGCTAGTACCACAGGTTGCATTGCGTGTCTTGTCTTGGTGGCGGCGCGAAAGCCGTTGCACGCGCCATCGAGCTACAGCTACTACTTGCGCCGACGTTGCAGACGTCCGCGACGTCGCGGCGGTCGACGCTTCAGTGCCATCGTGGAAGACAGCACTCGCTATGATGTTCCCTGACGCAGGCTGTGCTGATTCATGCGGTTGCCAAGACCCCCCCCCCTTTGTAGACACCCCCGGGGGCAGGCTGACCGCAACGCAGCGCGGCCCCGGTGTTCATGGGCGCGGCGTGGTGACCATGCGGCGCAGGCTGGCGATAGCTGGAGCGACTGTGAAGGGTACTGCTGCTCGCAAGTTGCAAGGTGCGAACCGCTCTTCATTTGCAATGTGCAATGCAGCCCAGGGCTGCCTGCTGCATGTCACGAAGGAAACGATAGGGGTCCGTGAGCCGTTGGACTGACTGGGGAGGATGCGGTGTCGACGAGTGTGCGCGCAGGTCGGCTGGGCGCGCAGTGAGGCGGAGAGGCTGTCGCGCTAGTGGGGAACCGAGGGCCGCTGCTGCGGTTCATGAGGGCGGTGTTGGCGCCGGGCGTGTGGCGGCGTGACGCGTGAGGTCTGTGGCTCGCACCGCGGGAGGCGGAAGACCGCGTTGTCAGTCGAAAGCCGGAGGACGAGCCCCCGGCCCAGCGAGCAGGTGGCTCACCCTCCGGAGCAGCAGGAGACGGTGCGATGGCGGTGAGTGCGCGGTCTGAACTCCGTGATGCATGGTGACGATCGCGCCGCTCATGTCTTGACCCTTCAACGCCGGTGCTGTACACCGCGCCTCCCTCAGTCTGCACCTCCACCCAACGTCATGTTTTCAAAGGCATTGGCGGCACCGCGACAAACCTTGCTGCAGGCACAGGACACACCCGCGTCGTCCCCGTTCGAAGCGCTCATCAACGTCGTGCCGGCCGTCCTCGACGCGCTGCCAGCCGAGGCCGTGCGCAACGTCGCGGCGACGTCCTGGGCGTGCCTGATCATCGCGCTGAGGCACACGCCGCTGGAGGTGCACGTGCGGCCGCTCCCGGAGACGCAGCTGCTGGCGGGCATCGCGCGGCGCACGGAGCGCTGGACGCACGCGGTCGGCACCATCGTGTTCACGATACCGATGTCGTTCGTCTCCTGGGTGACGATGGGCGTGGCGGCGAGCGAGGCCGGGAGGGTGCACGAGGATTGGACGGGGGCCTGCGAGGACGCGGGATGCGGCTGCGGCGAGGAGGGCTGCTGCGCCGACACTCTCAAACACTCGATGGCCGGCCGGCTGTTTCAAGACGGGTGCAACTGGGACCCGCCCCCGCTGCGCTCCTTGTCGTTGGTTGGGGACATGTTCGCCGACGCCAGTGCCGTCGCTCGCGAGATCCTCAACAAGGGCCCCAGGACGCCGCACCACCACCTGGCCGACCTGTGCTTTCTCAGGCTGGCAGTGACCGGTGCAGGGGACGTGGAGCCTCTCCCGCGCGACATCGCCTCGGCGGCGAATCTGCGTGTCCTGCACCTTGACACCTTCTGGGCGCTGAGCGACTGCCTGGACGCGCTCATCGACGTGCTGCGCGCCCTGCCGCACCTGGAGGAGCTGCGCATCGAGCCGAGAGGGATCATGCGGTCCAAGGGCGTCGCGGCGCTGTTCGATCACGTGGCGACCAACGGCACGATCGTGGACCTGACGGTGCTGGGAGTGAGGGTCGGCGAGGAGGGCGGCGAGGCGATGAAGCGCGCGCTGCGCGAGAACACGACGCTGCGCAGGCTGCGGCTCCGCGAGAACCTGCCGGACGCGGACCCGTGGGAGATGGAGACCCAGCTGTTGTTGGGATCCGCGCTGGGTGCTGCGCTGCCGGGCAACTCGACGCTGGAGGAGCTGAGCCTGGAGGGGTCGGACCTCGGCGAGCACGAGGGCGAGCTGCTGCGTGGGGTCGCGGGGAGCACGTCGCTGCGGGTGATGAACCTGCGCGGGTGCAAGATCCGCGATTCGACCGAGGTCACGGCGAGCTTCCGCGCGATCGCGAAGGGCGGGATCCGGCGGCTGCTGCTCGGCGGGAACATGCTTGTGGACACGGTCGGAAATCACATCCCGGAGGCGCTCATGGAGTCCTCACAATTGGAGGAGCTTGAGTTCAGCACTCAGGACTGCGTCAACACCAGACTCCCCCCCCTTTGTGTATGCGACAGCCTAGTCTGCGCGCTCCGCGACGGCGCGCTGGGGCGGACGCTGCAGGTCCTGGTTCTCCGGGGCGTGACGGTCGTCTGCAACGGGGGCGACGATGGCTACTGGGGGGAGGCTTACGACGAATTCGGCCTGCCTGACGGCGGCATGTGCCTGCTGATGGCGCTAAAGCACTGCGCGGCGCTGCGCACCCTGGACCTGTCGTACTGTGCGCTGTCGGACGACGCCCTCGGGCTCGTCCCCGCAGTGCTACAGTGCAGCCCCCGGTTGAGACAGCTGTCTCTGCGCGGGTGCGGCATCGACGACGAGAAGGTCCGGTGGCTGTGCGACTGGTCTGCGGATTACAAGGCGCTCGAGAGTCTGGATCTCGGCGAGAACAACATCAAGGATGTGTTCAAGTTTGTCGGAAGTCTGTGCTACGAAGACCCCAATGTGTTCCCCTCTTTCAAGGAGCGGCCGTGCGGGCTCAAGCACCTGGATCTGAGCCGCCAGACCTACTTGGACGCCGAGGAGGGGAAGATCGAGTTGCTTGCGCGCGTCGTGAGGAGCGGCGCGTTGCCCCTCGAGACGCTGGACCTGAGCCGCAACTGCTACGTCACTTGGGAGCAAATTCGAGTGGTCCTCGGCGGGATGTTCAAGAGCAAGCCGGCGAGGACGATCACGCTGCGCGCCACGGTCGACGACCCGACCGACGCCTTCGACCTGGGGGCGTGGTACCAGAAGCGTCGATTGGCGCGCCGCGAGGGGCAGAGCATTGTTCATTTCGAGATGACGCGCCAGCAGCGCCACGCGTGACGGAGGCGACGCGCGATGGAGCGGCAAGGTGCACGATCTCCTGGCGCCCGCTGGCGTTTTTGAGCTGTGGATGATGCGATGGTCGGTGCGAGCGGCGGCGCAGATCCGCACGGGCAGGTGTGTGTGAGCTTGCGCGGGCAAACGTCGTGGTCCGCCGACCGAGCTGCTGATGACTGGGCCACGCGTGGCTGCGACGCGCCTCGCCGGGGGCAGCCCGTCGTCGTCCCGCAGTGCGGCGATCAAACGGGATGGATCGCCGCACTCGTTTGACACCCCCCCCTGCTGACTCGAGTCCTCCGGGGGTCACAATCAGCACGGCCGCCGCTATCGGCGGGGCAGGGAACGCGGCCCTGCGCAGTTCGAGCCAGCCGTGCGCTGAGACCCCCGAGACGGCACGTGACGCGATCCAAGCAGATCGCATCGCATCAGGTGCGAGAGACTGCAGCGCTGTCGCATTGCGGTCGACATGACGCGCTGAGCTCGGCATGGCTGTGCAGGTCGATCTCAGTGGACGAGTATCACGCTGGTGCGATTGCAGGAAGAGCAAGACCTGTGCGGGAGAGCGCCACGGCGCCGCACATCGCTCCCCCACCTCGCGAGGTCTGTGCGTCCGCGGGTGCTCGTCAGGCAGTGGTTCGTTGCGACGTTCGCGAGCGCCTGGTGTTGCACGCATCAAGAAAGACTGTTCGGAGGGAACCAACAAGCCCTTCACTGCGGCACAGAGCGGACCAAGGGGACCATGAGGGACGCGGCAGCTTCGAGCCTCGCACCGGGCTCCAGCGCGGGCGGATGGCAGGTGAGGATGTCACCACGCGTATATGTCATGTTGCAAGCTGGCGCGCTGCTCGCGGGCGCCTCACGATCATCGCACTGCCTTCCCGCCCTGCAGGAAGGCAGGGCGAAACTTGAGTGGAGCTCGGCGTTTGAGAGGCTACTATACACTGTGCCGGCGGTGCTGGACGCACTGCCTGAGTCCTCACTACACAAACTCTCCACGGCATCATGGAGCTGTCTGTTTTCGGCGCTGCAATGCGCGCGCTACCGCACCCCCGACCTCAATCCAAATGGCCAGCTGCTGGAGGGCCTCGCACAGCTCATCCCGCGCACGAAGCCTCAAGCACGGACGTTGAACGTGAAGATGGGGTCGCGGGTGAGGGCGGTGGTGCCCGTCGAGGACGTCGGCGCGCTTGTCGCGGCTGCGAGGGCGCAGCGCAAGGACGGGAGCGCACAGGGAGAGGGTCCCGGCGACGAGAACGAGCTGCGCAAGCTCGAGGGGCTCGTGCGAGCGGCGGAGGAGCTCGGGACGCCGCTGCGGCTGCAGGAGCTGTTCGTCTCGCGCATCGACACCCGCGAGAGCCAGTTCAGTTTCACAGACGTGTGCCGCATGATGGCGACCAACACAACGGTCAGGCGCCTGACGCTGAGCCTGGTGACGATGGACGAGAGCGAGGCGGCCGTGCTTGCGGACATGCTGCGGCAGAACGCGACGCTGCGCACGTTGCGGTTCAAGTCCGTCGCTGACATGCTGGAGGACGAGGACCTGGAGCGTGGCGGTCCATTTGCGCTCGAGGGCGTCATGGGGGCGCTGGGGATCGGTCTGGCGGGCAACAGATCGCTCGAGGAGCTCGAGGTGGACGCGCAGGGTCTCGGCCCCTCGGTCGATCTTGGCCCTTTTTCAAAAGGGCTGGCGCAGAACACTACGCTGAGGGTTCTGGAGCTCCACGGGTGCCCCGAGGGCTTTGAGGGACAGCGCGCGCTGGCCGAGGCGATGCGGACGTGCGGGGTGCGGCGGCTGAGGCTTGGGCTGGACTACGAGCTGAACTACTTCAGTGATCATGATCAAGAGTGGTGTTCGGTCCTTGGGCAGTCTCTCATGCACGAGTCGCGCGTCGTCGAACTGGACCTTGGAGCGAAGGACCCGTACTGCGAACGCGGCATCATCACCGACATCGGCGAGCTGACCAGCGCGATCAGAGTCGGTGCGCTGGGAGAGACGCTGCAGACGCTCAACTTGCAGGACTGGTACAAGCTGCCGGCGGAGAGCGTGTCGGCGCTGTTCCAGGCCGTGCGGAGCAGCACGGCGATGCGGAGCCTCAACGTGTCCGGCGTGCATGCCGTCGGGCGTGGCGGCGTGACGTCGCTGGCTGACCTGCTGAAGGCGAACCGGCTGACGAGGCTTGAGGTCAACAACTGCGCGATCGACGACGCCGGCGCGGCGCAGCTCGGCGCGGCGATGGCGCAGAACAACACGCTGGAGTACCTGGACGTTGGCAACAACGACCTGGGCCCCGCGGGCGTGGTGGCGCTTGTGCGGGGGCTGGGGCGGCGGTCGGCGCTGCAGCATCTCATCTTTGCGGAAACGAGGATGCACGGCCCTCTCGCATGGTGGAACGGAGGTGACGAGCTCGACCTCCTCCTCGAGGAGGAGGTGAACTTCATGCGACGCACTTTCTTTGACCCGCGGGTGGCAGAGACGCTGGCTGGTGCCATAGAGCGCGGTGCTCCGCTGGTCACGGTGGATCCGAGGGGCTACTCGCTGTCCGTGGAGGCGTGCAAAATCCTCGTCAGCGCCATGGAGAGGAGCACAACTGGGCGGAAGTACACCCTGCGCGCCCGCCACGTCGTCCAGGCCTGGGACGATGCGGGGATCACTTCGCTTGCCGAAGTGATGTGCCATCTCAATGGTCCGCGTGCTGAGCAGCACGAGTGCCAGACATCGTTCGAGATCGTCGGTGCTGAGACAGTCAGACCATCTATTCGCGGCGCCTCGATGATCGGTGTTGAGTTGACTGCGCAGATCGTTGCAGCAGGACCTGGGCGCGATACGCGCTGACTCGCCTCGCGACCCTGTGATGCAATCATGCGGTTCAACTCACTTTAGCCACGTCGCGGCGTTGCATTGACACTCGAGGTGGGGAAGCGGCCGTTGCGAGCTGAGAGAAGCTCTGCCGAGCGCACCCAGCCTCGCTCGAGTATCTGACGCTCAGGCAGGGTCGGCGTGCGGCGGCGGGCAATTTTCGCGGAGCCCGCAGCCTGCAGCACCCAACGTAGTCGGGCGCACGCCCCGCCGACCCCCTCTCCTTCACCCGCGCGCGGGCCCTCCGCGCCACTTCAGCGATCTGGCGCCGAACCGCAGCTGGCGATTCGTCGCCGGTCAAGGGTTGTCTTGTAGACGTGCCTCTCAGCAAGGCCAACATGAGCTGCCGCTGCGCATGCTCGGACCGGCAACGCGCGACCGGGGCGTCGTGTCTGCCCATGCCAGCTGTGTCGTGCTGGTGAAGCACCAAGCAACGTGCGCAGGCCCATGCGGCTGCGTAGAACCCCTCCCCCCTGAATTTTTAGACCACCCCCCCCCCTGGGTCATCAACTTGCTGCAACGCCGGCGTTCAGGGGCGCGGCGTGGCCACCGTGCGAGGCAGACGATCGAGCTGTGGAGCAACCGCGTCAGGACCGCTTCCAACCCCGCGTCAATCGCAAGGTGTGCTCGCCGCTGGTTGCCAGCATCGTCGTGCCGCACGGGCTGTTTTGGCCGAAAGAATCGTGCGTTTGCGCATCGCATCTCGAACGTGTCTGATGGTTGTGCACGGATGTGGTGACTTTGAGCACGCAGGCTGCGCAACCCGGGCGCGGAGACACGGCCAAGCAACGAAGCACGCTTTTCGGCCTCCGGCGCAAGCGAAGACGTGGCGGCCATGGTACGCGAGCGCAATTTGATTTCCTGTACTCACAGCGCCGCCTCCGCCACCCTTGACGAGGATTACGGGCGCGAGCCCACCGCACGGCGCTTCCCGCCTCCCACGGCAGTTCAACCTCCCCAGCAAGGCGGATTCCCGGCGCCACGCGCCCACGCGCCAGCCAGTCTGCGCCCACCCACACACCAACCTGTTTGCGTTCCCGCAGGAAGAACCCGCGTCCCCGTTCGAGGCGCTCATCAACGTCGTGCCGTCCGTGCTGGATGCGCTGCCAGCCGAGTCCCTGCGGAGCGTCGCGGCGACGTCCTGGGCGTGCCTGATCGCCGCGCTGAGGCACACGCCGCTGAAAGTGCACGTCAAGCTCCAGGAGACGCAGCTGCTGGCCGGCATCGCGCAGCGCATGGACCGCTTTGCGCACGCGGCGGGGACGGTGTCTCTCACGACGGGGATGTTCTTCGTGCCGGAGGTCACGATGGGCCTCCCGGCGAACGCGGCCCGCCCCGTGCACCAGGCGTGGACGGCAGCGACGAGGGGCTCGTGGTGTGGTGGCTGTGCCCAGGAGGGTTGCTGCGCTGACCAGATCAGGGAGGGCATCGCCTGCGCGCTGTTTCAGTACGGGCAGAACGAGAACCCGCCCCAGCTGCGCTCCGTGTCGATGGCAGGGACGAGCTGCTGCACGATCTGGTCCGCGACCTCCAAGATTCTGAACAAGGGCCCCAGGACGCCGCACCACCACCTGGCCGACCTGCGCTTCCTCAGGCTGGCAGCGACGCGCGAGGAGGAGGCACGCCCTGTCCCGCGCGACATCGCCTCGGCAGCGAATCTGCGCGTGCTGCACCTCGTGGGATGGTGCTGCAAGGACGACAGCATCGACGCGCTCATCGACGTGCTGCGCGCCCTGCCGCACCTGGAGGAGCTGCGCATCGAGCCGGAAGGGCTCGTGGGACCCAAGGGCGTCGCGGCGCTGTTCGATCACGTGGCGACCAACGAGACGATCGTGGACCTAACGGTGCTGGGAGTGAGGGTTGGCGAGGAGGGCGGCGAGGCGATGAAGCGCGCGCTGCGGCAGAACACGACGCTGCGCAGGCTGCGGCTCCGCGAGAACCTGCCGGACGGGGGGATGGAGGGTGTGGAGGATGCTGAGGCCTTGGTGATGGCGAGCGCGCTCGGGGCCGCGCTGCCGGCCAACTCGACGCTGGAGGAGCTGAGCCTGGAGGGGTCGGACCTCGGCGAGCACGAGGGCGAGCTGCTGCGTGGGGTCGCGGGGAACGAGTCGCTGCGGGTGCTCAACCTGCGCGACTGCGCCGTTCAAGAGAGCGCTGCGAACCAGGACGCGGCGCACATGCGCGCGGCGGTGGCGAACGGCGGGATCCGGCGGCTGCTGCTCGGCGAGAACATGCTCCACGAGAGCGTCGGGCTGCGCATCCCGGAGGCGCTGATGGAGGCGTCGCAGCTGGAAGAGCTGGAATACGCGTTGCCGAAGACGGTGATCAAGTCAGCCTACAAGTGGAACTGCGAGGGCCTCGCCCGCGCGCTCCGCGACGGCGCGCTCGGGCGGGCGCTCCAGGTGCTGACTCTCAGGGGCTTGGAGTTCGCGGTGGACGACGTTGCAGGGACCGACGCTGGGGTGGGGCTGCTGAGGGCGCTGGAGGGCTGCGCGGCGCTGCACACCCTGGACCTGTCGCACTGCACGCTGTCGGCGGATGCGTGCGCAGCGCTGGGCAACATGTTGCGGTCCAACACCACCATCACCAAGCTGTCCCTGCGAGGCTGTGGCATCAACGGCGCGAACGTCAAGATGCTGCGCGAGGTGGTTGCGAAAGCGACGCTGGAGAGCCTCGATCTTGGCGAGAACGACCTCGACAGTGCGGAGGTGGTCAGGAAGCTGTGCTTTGACGGCGAGGGTGGGGATCGGCCGTGCGGCATCAAGCACCTGGATCTGAGCCGTCAGCGCTACCCGTACATCGACCACGACGACATCGAGGCGCTCACGTACGCCATGAACTCCAGCGTCTTGACCCTGGAGACGCTGGACCTGAGCGGCAACAAGGTGGCTGGCACGCACCTCCGAGCAATCCTCGCCGCGATGTTCACCACCACGCCGGCGAGGACGTTCACGCTGCGCGCCACGGTCGACGACGCGGTGGACGCCTACGAGCTCGGGATGTGGTACCAGCAGCGTCGTTTGGCGCGCCGCGTCGGCGAGAGCGTGGTGCACTTCGAGGTGGTGCCCGCGGTGGCTCGTCCGGCGCGTTTCGACGACGACGAATGATGCAGGCGCACCGTGTCGCGGCGCCAGCCGGTGTTTCTCGCCGCTCTTGAGGGCACCGGACTCGATTCGATTGTGTTGCCTGTGGTTGGTTCGTGTTAGATGAAAATTGCCGTGGTCGGTGGGTCGCTGCGAGCGGCGGCGCAGCGGATCCGCGCGAGCAGATGTGATACGTGAAGCGGTGCGCGCATGTACTGTGTCACCGTGCGCTGCCGACGCAGCACGCGCACTGCACGCACTGAGCATCGACACAAGCCTAGTGCAGCTGAAGTGCACCGCAGAGGTCATGGCTGCGCCTCGCGCAGCTGCGACGCCTCGTCGGGGAGTGCGCCGTGGTCGCGGCGCGGCGATCAAACTGGCTTCGCCGCTGCACACGCGACCCCCCCCCCTTGAACTGACTCGAGTCCTCCAGGGAGTCGCACAGTGAGCTCGGCTGCCGCTATCGGCGGGCAAGAAACGCGGCCCTGCGCAGTCCGTCACGCCGCGAGCCGGGCGTGCGCTGCCCCCCCCCCCCGAGACGACGCGTGCTCCGAGAGGGTCGCGTTGCAGCCGGTGCGTGCTATGCAACGCTGTCGAATTGCCGTTGAACCTGCCACTAAATCTCAGCAGGGTCGCGTTGTGCGTCTTCACTGATTGCATCTGTATCGGTTTTTGCGCTCCTGCAGCAGCGAGGCAGGCGTTGGAGGGCCACACGTCGTTGCCCTTGGGAAGCCCCGTCTCAGGGGTGCTCTTCCGCATCCTTTAGCGGGTCTCCGAAGCGCTTGGTGGTACGCACCAAGCGTGGGACTGTCCGGAGGGGACAACAGGCCCTTCACTGCGGCACAGGGCGGACCAAGGGGACCATGAGGGCCGCGGCAGCTTCGAGCCTCGCACCGGGCTCCAGCGCGGGCGGATGGCAGGTGAGGATGTCACCACGCGTATGTGTCATGTTGCAAGCTGGCGAGCCGCTCGCGGGTGCGTCACGATCATCGCACTGCCTTCCCGCCCTGCAGGAGCTTGAGCTGGCCTCGGCATTTGAGAGGCTACTATACACTGTGCCGGCCGTGCTGGACGCACTGCCTGAGTCGTTACTACACAGACTCTCCACGGCATCATGGAGCTGTCTGTTTCTGGCGCTGCAATGCGCGCATTACCGAACGCCGGACCTCAATCCAGACAGTGCGCTGCTAGAGGGCCTCGCACGCCTCATTCCGCGCGCAAAGCCTCAAGCACGGACGTTGAACGTGAAGATGGGGTCGCGGGTGAGGGCGGTGGTACCCGTCGAGGACGCCGGCGCGCTTGTCGCCGCTGCGAGGGCGCAGCGCAAGAGCAGGAGCGCACAGGGTCCCGGCGACGAGAACGAGCTGCGCAGGCTTGAGGGGCTCGTGCGAGCGGCGGAGGAGCTCGGGACGCCGCTGCGGCTGCAGGAGCTGTCCATCTCGCACGTGGACCCCTGCGACCCTCAGTTCAGCCTCACGGACGTGTGCGGCATGATGGCGACCAACACGACGATCACGAGTCTGACGGTGTGGAACACCATGATGCACTCGAGCGAGGCACCTGCGGTGGCGGACATGCTGCGGCGGAACGCGACGCTGCGCACGTTGCGGGTCGCTCTTTTTGTTGACGACGACAGCCGGGATCCCGGCAGCACTGAGGTACCAGAGGTGGAAGTCTGGGATGAGTATCTCGGGGCGCTGGGGAGCGGTCTGGCGGGCAACGCGTCGCTGGAGGAGCTCGAGGTGAACATCGACAGCGTTTGTCAAGCAGACCTGAGTTACCTTTCTGAAGGGCTGGCGCAGAACTCGACGCTGAGGGTCCTGAAGCTCCGAGGCATCGAGGACGCCTTCACCGGCCGGCGGTCCCTCGCTGCGGCGATGCGGACGTGCGGGGTGCAGCGGCTGAGGCTTCAGCAGGTCCAAACCCTCGATGACGACGACAGCTGGTATTCTGCGCTTGGGGAGTCCCTTCTGCACGAGTCGCACGTGGTCGAGCTGGACCTTGGACACAAGGACGGCGACGTGCTTCCGATCAACGTGGACGTCGGCTTACTCGCTAACGCAATCGGGGTCGGTGCGTTGGGCCGGACGCTGCAGACGCTCAGTCTGCAGTGGACTATGCTGTCGTCGGAGAGCGTGTCGGCGCTGTTGCAGGCGGTGCAGGGCAGCTCGGCGCTGCGGAGCCTGAACGTGTCCGGCGTGCATGAAGTGGGGGAAAACTGCGTGACGGCGCTGGGGCAAGTGCTCACAGCCAGCAGACTCACGCGGCTGGAGATCAGGGACTGCGCGATCGACGACGACGGCGCGGCGCAGCTCGGCGCGGCGCTGGCGCAGAACACGACGCTGGAGTACCTCGACGTGGGCAACAACGACCTGGGCCCCGCGGGCGTGGTGGCGCTTGTGCGGGGGCTGGGGTGGCGGTCGGCGCTGCGGCATCTCATCTTCGCGGAGCGAAGGCGGTGTTTGAATTTCCTGTCGCCACAAGGCACTTTCCTGCTTCGCAGCGTCTTTGACCCGCGGGCGGCGAGGGCGCTGGCTGCGGCCATCGACCGTGGTGCCCCGCTGGTCACGGTGGATCCGAGAGACAACTCGAAGATGTGCGTGGAGGCGTACAGGATCCTCGCCAGTGCTATGGCGAGGAGCGCGCCTGGGCGGCAGTTCACCGTGCGCGTCGGTCTTTGGAGCGCCGACGCCGACGTCGAAGCCGTGCAGGCGGAGCTGGACCTGCATGGTGCCAGGCACGAGTGTCGGGCAGACTTTAATCTATGCGGGATTCGCGACAACGCAATGGAGTTGCACATCGTTGCAACAGGACCAGTGCGCGGCGACGCAGAGACAGTGTAGATAGATAGAGATTCAGCTGTGTGAGCTCGTCTCTTCGTGAAAGTGCGCATGCGCCTTGTTCGGAACGCAGCAGCGACATGGGTGCATGATGGACGACCTTGCCGTGATGGCCTGCCGTGACGAGCTCGCTGAGCACCGCCCCGCCCGACGCACGGTACGTGCGCGCGACGGAGCCGGCGTTCGAGAGTGGGGGGTCGGGCCACAGCCCCCCCTTCATCAGTCTGACTGGTGTCTCCGTGTGCTGCCTCAAGAGCGGCTTCCGGCGACCGACCGTCGCACTGACCGCCACGGTGCGCGGTGGCAGTGCACGAGTCTGCTGTCGCCCTCGCCGCGCGTACAGGATACGACGTGTGGCGCGTACGTGCAGCTGCTGAGGTGCGCAGAGCTGCCCCGGGGCGATGCGGGGCGCTGGGACCGGCACAGCTGTGCGTGTTGATCTCAGCGGATGCGTGTATGGCTGGCTTTGCTGCAGGAGGGAGTCCGGCTTGACACTTGTTTGCGCGTGGCTGCGACGATCCTGCTGCGGATCGCCCCGCCTGTCGCGCAATACGTGGTGTCATCGGCTGCGCGACTGCGAGGTCAGGGTACGCGGCCACACCCCCCCCAAATCAGTCTGACTGAGTCAGGCTTTTCTTTCCGTGCGGTGGAGCACCGTGCTGCCGACAAGAGCAGCTGCCGACAGCCGAACGCCACAGCATGCGCACCACTCTACTGTGTGCCTCGCTGCACGTCAATGATTTTGGCACCCACGCAAGTCGAGAGGTGCGCAGCGCTGGCCCTCGCAACTGCACGCGTGGGGCGGCACGTCTGAATTCGCCCCATCTCACGAGCTTTGGAACCTGCGTGCCTTTTGTCTGCAGTGGTCATCGGCTAGTCCTGCCCACGCTCAGCGCGTAGGGCCCTGCCGTTGTATGTGCCTGCGCTAAGTGAGCCACTGCAAGCACGCAAGGGGTCGGGGCAGAACCGGTGGCCCCTGAAAGGCTCACGCAGTACTCAGGACGCACCTTCGCTGGCGAGAAGGTCTCGCGCGTCCGTGACGTGCCCACGAACGGACGGCCAACCACTTCCTTCCCACGGTCGTCCAGGCTAGACGTCTCCGGGGCTGCACGACGCGACGATGGTGCGCACGCAATCGATCTCCACTTGACGATTCATGCCAGCGTTGCTTTGTCCAGAGCTGTTTGGCCTAATCTGACCCCGTTCCGGGCCTCTAAGCCTTGCGTACACTCCAGTGCCGCTTTCTCGCGAACAACGCGCCTTTCAGGGCATCTCATGTCGCCAGATGCCGCCCCTCATCCCCTGCGTGCCTCTCTTTCCTCATGCAGGAGGACCCGCCGGGGCTGTCTACCTTCGAGGGCCTTCTTCACTCAACGCCAGCCCTGCTCACCACACTGCCGGAGGACGCGCAGTACAACGTGGCGGCGACGTCCTGGAGCGCGCTGGCGGCCGCGCTGCGATACGCGCCGATCCAGCTCAACGTCGGCCGCGAACCCGGAGGGCTCCTGCAAGGCATCGCCTTGCGCATCGAGCGCGAGGAGAGGGCACAGGGGACGCTGCGCGTGACGCTGGACGCGGAGCGCCGTCGCCTGACTGTGGGTGTGCCGGCGGACCAGGCGAGCGTGCTCGACGCGGTGCTCCGCGAGTGCCTGCCACAGCAGGACGACCTGCTGGGTGCGGCGGAGGCGCTAGAGGTGATGTTGCGGGCGTCGGAGCAGCGCGGGGCGCCGCTGCGGCTGCGCGTCGTGGACTGCGGCGGCGACTGGCAGCAGGACCAGCGCGGCGTGCGGGAGACGCTCCAGGCGGTGCTGGACCGCCCGGCGGTGCGGGGGCACCTGCAGGAGCTGCGCGTGCAACAACACCTCCACGGAGACATGCTGCTCGGCGCTGCCGCGGGCTGGGTGTCGGCGCTCAAGTGCCTCAGGGTGCTGCGTCTGTGTGCGCCGGACATGTCGCATGAGAGCGTGCAGGCGCTGGCGGCGGCGCTGCGGGGCGACGGGGTGGTGCTCGAGGAGCTGGACGTGTCGGACTCCGAGGGGGGCCTGCCGTTGCCGGCGCTGTGCGAGGCCGTCGCGCACAGCACGACGATCGAGTCGCTCAGGCTCGACGGTTATACCGCGGGGGAGTATGAGGACAGCGAGGACGAAGACGCGTACTACGAGACGGTGGAGGCGCCGCTGCGGGGCCTCCTGGGCCAGGGCGCGGCGCTGCGGAAGCTCGGTCTCCGCGACGAGGACAACGCTGCCAAGCACAGCAGAAACGAGGACGGCGTTTACTTATACGAGGACGACGACTGCGAAGTCATGGGCTGGGAGAGCGAGCCCGAAGTGGACGACTTCGACATTGCGCGGCGGTACAGGAGGGTTCTGTCGGCGCTCGGCGCCGGGCTGGCTACGACGACGTCGCTGTCGGAGCTCACGCTCGCCTTCTCGTCCAGCAAAGTGCTTCTGCCGTCGGACGTGGAGGCGTTCTGCGACGGGCTGGCGCAGAACTCGACGTTGCGGGTCCTGGACCTGAAGGAGGTCGTGCCGTTCCCCGCGAACGGGATCGGCAAGCTGGCAACTGCGCTGCGGAGCTGCAGGGTGGAGCGGCTGCGGATGGTGGTGGACGTGCTGGACGAGCCGTTCGGGGCGATCGGCGACGCGCTGATGGACGCGTCGAGCATCAGGGAGCTCGACTTGATCCAAGCAGATCGGAGCCCATACAAGCCTGTCGATCTCGAGACGAACGGGATGCGCAAGCTCGCACAGGCGATCCGCGAGGGGGCGCTGGGGCGCACGCTGGAGACGCTGAAGCTGGCGTACGCGAAGGTTCCGGCCGAGTGCACCGAGGCTCTCTGCGACGGCCTCGCGAGCAGCACAGCTCTGCGCAGCGTGGACATCCGCTACGAGAAGACGGGCGGTGGGCGCGACGGCGACGCGCTGGGTGCGTTCGGGAAGGTGCTCGGCGCGAGTCGGTCGCTGCGGAGGCTCAGGCTGGCCACCTGGTTCACACAAGGGGCCGTTGCGGAGATCGCGAAAGGACTCAGGGAGAACACCGTGTTGCAGCACCTGGAGCTGCACTGCGAGGGCGTGTGGTCCATGGGCGCGGTGCCTCTCGCGGACGCGCTCGGGGCGCACTCCGCCCTGCGCTGTCTGCGCCTCACGGAGCCCTTCTTTTACGCCATGTTCGCACCGGAACAGCGCGAGGAGACAACGCAGGAGGTCGCGGCTATGGCGAAGGCGCTCGCGGGCGCGCTCGATCGTGGCGCGCCGCTGGAGGTCCTGGACATCATGACGTCCAGGGTCTACTTCGGCGCGGACGTCCTCAAGGAGCTGCTCGCGGCGGCGATGCGAAGCAGCTGCCCGGCCGTGTTTGATGTCAGCGTGACGGCGGACGGACGAGACGGAGATGCGCTGGCGGCGTGGCTCGAGGAGCAGTGGTGCGGGGCCGATGCAGAGAGCGTGGAGCGGAGAAAGGTGCGCTTCAAGCCCCGGCTGCTGCAGCAGGTATTTATCTATTAGACCGAATAGGTGCTGTTATGTGTTTATACTCGCGCGTGTAGTTGGCGCTGGCTAGAGCGGAGGTGCTTGGAGTGAATCGTGCTCCTCATGTGACGGCGCACGTCCGCACCGAGCGCCCTGGTCGATGTGCGTCATCATCCACAACGGCGAAGGGTGTCTTGTTCAAGCTGCGCGCTGAACAACATGCGCCACGCCGGCCCGGCCGCTGTCGGCACTGTCTCTGCGCTATCGTGCGTATGGCCGCTGTCGCAAGGTCCAAACGGCGGTGCCTCACGTCATGAGCGGACCGCATGGCCAATGTCCTGACCCGCGTGGCGGTGACATTGCTCGCCGGGCAGCAGGCGCGCCGTCACGCTAGCGGTCTGCGTCGCGCGTGCATCGTGACCACGACGTCGCTGAGCCATGACTCAGGAACCGGGATGTGTTCCCTACATCCGGGAGGACTGCCAGAGGCGGCTCCGGCCGCTTTCGCCCGCCTGCCGCAACCACCGCTGCACAACGACAGCTGCACGCCTAGTCGAATCGCTCGCCGGGCGACGGGGTCGTCCACGGAACGCCGCCGCTCGCGAGGCTGCGACACAAGTGGTCGCGCTCGCCCTGGCCAGCCATGCCGTCATGCGCTGCTCAACGCCGACGTGCTGATCGCTGAAGATGTGAGAATCGTTGCGCAGGTCGACTCGAGCGCGAAACGACGACGACGCCCTGCACGGAGAGCTCGATCGTCCTGCGAGGGCACTTGAGGCGACGCGCAGCGGCTGGAGCACGGGCCTGACGTGGCGCGCTCGTGACGTGACATCGGCAGTTGTACGACAATCGCGCCGACGCCGTGGGGGGCTCGAGAGGGATCGGTCGTGAGCGCACGACTCACTCTCTGTTGCGAGCAATCAGTCGCGTTCCGCGCGTTCGAGGCGGAACCACGCAGCCATGGTGCGCGCACGATCCTCAATGAGACCCGTGCTTTGCGTTGCGCGCCCGGTGGCTGTGTTGGGGCCGCTCCCGCGAGTCCCCGACTCGCTATTTGCTGTTTGGTCCCGACGTGCATCTGTCGATCGCACATGCACCCACTCCCCGCCCTCGCGCAGGAGCACGCTCCCGCGGAACCGTCTGCCTTCGAGAGCCTGCTGTCCTGCAGCCCGGCCCTCCTCAACGCCCTGCCGAAGGAGTCACTGTACGACGTGGCGGCGACGTCGTGGAGCGCGCTGGAGGCTGCGCTGAGGCACACAGCCATCGACCTGCAGGTGAGCAGCGAGGGGGCGCTGCTCGACGGCATCGCGCGGCGCATTTCGCCCGGGACGCCCGCGGCCGGGACCTTGTACGCGAAGCTGCATGCCCGATCGCGCAGTCTGGTGGTGGGCGTGCCGCCGGACGAGGCGGGCGTCCTGGCGGCGACTCTGGCGCGGTGCCAGGCGGTGCGAGAGCAAGAAAGCGAGCTGGACCCCGCGGAGGTGCTGGAAGCAGTGTTGCACGCGTCGGAGGAGCTGGGGACGCCGCTGCGGCTGCGCGCCGTGAAGAACAGCAAGCCTTCGCCGCGGAGATGGCGCTGCGCACGTGTCGAGATCACAACGCCGCCGGCGACGGCGCGGCTTCAGGCGGTGCTGGATCGCCCCGTGGTGCAGCGCCACCTGCGGGAGCTGCGGTGGGCGGACTGGGGCCGTGACGAGGACATCTTCGAGACGGCCGTGCGGTGGGTGTCGGCGCTGCAGGGCCTGAGAGTCCTGGAATGCAAGCACCCCATCTCTGAGGACGACGGGAGCGACGACGACGAGGAGGACGACGACGACGACGAAACTCACCCAGGGGAGTACTGTGCGACAGCGACGGGCGCACTGGCCTTCGCGGCGGCGATCCGGGGCGACACGTCGGCTCTCACGGACCTGCGGGTGCGAACGCGCGACGGAGGCCTGCCGTTGCGGCGGCTGTGCGAGGGCGTCGCGCACAACGAGACCATCAGGACTCTTGAACTGGGCCTCATCGACGTCGGCGAGTGGGCCGAGAGCGACGACTGTGCGAATGCACCCGTCGTCGATGGCGAGCTCGCGGCGCAAGAACATCCGCTGCAGAAGCTGCTGTCGACAAACACCACGTTGCGCAAACTCGAAGTGCACGCCGGGCACCCCTTCGAACGGCGCGGCGGCGCATTCGAGCCGGATGCGTGGGACAGGCATGTCTGCGGGGAGGCCTACACAGCGTTCTTTGCAGCTCTCGGCAGGGGCTTGGCAACGAATACGTCGCTCCAGGAGCTGCAGATCATGACCTCGCCGCTCCTCGACTGCGGCCCCGAGATGGGCGCGTTCTTCGACGGCCTGGCGCGGAACACATCGCTGCGGGGACTCGTCATGAGTGACAGGGCGTCCGGGGACGCGATCGGTGAGCTGGCATCGGCGCTGCGGAGATGCAGGCTGGAGCGGCTGCAGATCACCGTGGACCTTCAAGACGAGCAGTTCGGGGCGGTCGCGGACGCGCTGGCGGCCAACTCGCACGTCGAGGAGCTCAGGTTGCTTCCCGACGTTCCTCGGGGGGGTTCTGACGTGACTGCAACTGTCAAGCTCGCGAGGGCCATTCGCGAGGGGGCGCTGGGGCGTACTCTGCGCGAACTCTCGCTGTCGCTAGTGTGCCCTGCCCTTGAAGTCTTCAGGCCTCTGTGCGACGCGCTGGGGAGCAGCAAGGTGCTGCAGAGCCTTGATGTGGAGCTCAAGGGAACCGTGCACGGCGAGCACAGCACGGGGCTCCTGGCAAGCGTTGCGAGCATGATCGACAGGAGCCAGTCGCTCAAGAGGCTTCGCGCGCGTGGTTTGGACTTCCGTCAAACTTTGAGCCCGTTAGCGGCTGAGGCGGTGAATCAGCTGGCAGCCGGGCTGTCGGGCAACGCTGTCCTGGAGCACCTGGTCCTGGACGACTGCGTTGAGGTCGCGGTCGCGACTCGCGTCGTGGATGCGCTCGGTCCGCGCTCCGCGCTACGCCACCTTCACTTGACGTCGTGCAGTGCACATAACCCAAGAGGAGACGAGGGCGACGGCCTCGCGAGAGCTTTTGCCCGGGCGTTCGACCGCGGCGTGCCGCTCGCGGGAGTGGACATCTGGTCCGTGCATTGCTTTGTCCGAGCAGAGGCCTGCAAAACGCTGCTCGCTGCCGCAGCGCGCAGCGAGTGTCTGGGGGTGTGCGAGGTCCGCGTGAGGACCGTCCGGCGCGAGGAGAAGGCACTGATGGCATGGTACCAGGCGCAGGTGGACGCGAGGAAGGTGCGTTTCAGGGCGGACGCGTTGACGGGTGCAACTGTTGACAAGAACTGAAGGCCGCTATGCGGCCCGCAGTGCAGCCCGGCGGTGCTCAGACTCTTAGTCGGCATCGGACATCGACTGCGAAGATATGTGAAACAAGACTCTGATGTGTCGCAGCATCTGCGATGTCTGAAGACAGGGAGTTCTCTATCGCATGAAGCGCGCCGCCCGCAGTTCGGATGCCGTGGGCCGTGCGAGCGGATTGATGCCGGGCCGCTCTCCCCTCTTGTGCGGGCTCTCGTCGCGTCGCGGCAGCTTGATTGACTTCTCGACATGCTGCAGCACACTCCGACTGTTGTTGTTGTTCGATGCCACATTGTTCTTCTGCAGCCTGCGCGACGAGCTCGCCCCTCCCTGGAGATCGGGGGAGCTCCGCACGAGCTTGCTGCGTGCCCCAGCTTTCGTGCAGCGCGCGAGCGGGACCCTGACCAGTGATCTTCTACCCTGACTCCCCCTCAATGCGTTGGTTTGACGCAGTCACGGCGGGCCGGCCCGCCTCGCCAAGAACGCCACGCGCCTCGCCGCTTCGCCACCCCCAGTCGCACCGCGGCGTGGAATCATTCGCATCAGGCTGCCACACACACACACAGTTGCTCTCTCTCAGGTGCGGACACCTTGCCTTTTCGCACGAGCCGGCGACGGCGCGCCTCGCTGACCGATCTGGCCAGGCAGCGGACAATGCGCTTGGTGATTCCATGGATGCAGGCGTGATCGGGAAGCAACTAGGACGCACCGCCACGGAGGCTGGCGCTGCTGTCCTGCAAGGCGCGGTGGTGCGTGCAGCACGGGTGCGTTGAGGAATCGCGCTGCACGTGAGTGTACTGAGGCGGTAGCTGGCGACCTGTGCGCTTGGCGAGGGGACCTTCGGGACGCATGGCGCCCTGAAATCACGGCAAACCACCACCGCAGCGTGCCTAGGCAGCTCAAGGCCATCGCGGCCGGAGGACGGAGTTTCTGCCATGGTGAGTGACGCTCCGAGATGTGCGAGCAACTACGCTGCTTCCGACCCGCACGGTGACCGCAGCCGACGTGCGAGCCCTTCTCCCGCCCCTGCAGGAAGAACCAACCTCGCGCCCGTCGTCCGGCTTCGAGCGGGCCCTGGACGCCGTGCCCGCGCTGCTCGCTGCTATCCCTGACGAGGCGGTGCCGAGCGTGGCAGCGGCGTCGTGGAGCGCGCTGACGGCGGTCCTATGGGGCCGGGACAGGGCGGAGCTGTGCGTCACTGCGCACGGAGCGCTCGTGGCAGGCATCGCACGCCGCATGCAGCGCGGAGTGGCGGCGCTCGGCACGGTCCGGCTCAGACATGGCTCGATCGATGTCGGCGTGCCAGCGGACGACGCTGGCGTGCTTGTGGGCGCGCTCAGGCAGCTTGAAGAGACGTTCGGTGTCGGCCGCAAGTCTGCGCCTCCGCCGGATGCATGCGGCACGGCTCTGAGCCAGCTCGAGGCGCTGATGGGAGTCGCGGACAGCCAGGGCACGCCCCTGCGGCTGCGCGTCGCGAAAGACCTGTTGTACAAGAACAGGTCTACGCTGGACAGCCTGACGTGTTTTCTGGGTCGGTCTTGTGTGTCGGAGCACCTGCGGGAGCTGGACGTGGCGGACCACTCGGACGACGGGCGGCTGCTCGAGGCGGCTGCGCGTGCCCTGCCGGCGGCGCAGGGGCTGCGCAAGCTGTCCTTGGGTTTTGCGCAAGCAAGTGAGCGGCGGCTGGCGGATAGCGAGGTGCCGCGGGATTGCACGGAGGCGCTCGCACAGGCCGTGTCGCAGCTGCCGGCGCTCGAGACGCTTATCGTCAAGGGCCGCCTGCAAGCGCCACCTACCACTACGGCAGCGCTGTGTCGCGCTGTTGCGTCGTCAGGGAGCATCGAGGCGCTGACGGTGGAGTGCTGCGACTTGTCTGGCTGCGCCACTGCGGCCATCGAGGATATGTTGCGCAGCACCACGACGCTGCGCAAGCTAGGCATTAAGAACTGGCAGCGTGGAGCCCCCACCGACGACATGGAGGTGCCGGACCTGCAAGCTCTGCTGGACGCGCTCGGCGCCGGGCTCGCCAACAACGACTCGCTCGAGGAGCTCGTGCTGCCCGAGGACAACTACTGCTCTGTCAGCTTCGATGTCTTTGATTCAGGTCTGACTGGAAACTCCAGGCTCCGATCGCTGGACCTGCGCCGCAGCGATCTGGACGAGAACGCGGCCGCGAGCTTCGCCCGGGCCGTGCAGGGAAGCGGAGTGCGCCGGCTGGGGCTGCACGACTCCACCAGCGGCCCTGCAATGGCTGCTGTGGCTCAGGTGCTGGCGGTCGAGTGCAACATCGTCGAACTCGACCTGTCGCATGACGGCGATTCGATATTCGAATGGGAGACGAGCTCTGAGGAGGAGGATTTCGCGGTCGCGTCGGCCATGGTCTTCGGAGCGCTTGGCAAGACGCTGCAGAAGCTCAACCTCGGGTCGCGGGGCACGCAGCCGGAGAGCATCGCAGCACTGGCTCGAGCGGTCGGGCTCACGAACGGCCCGTTGCGAAGCCTGCGAATGACCGCCTGCGAACTCGACCTAGAAGGTGCAACAGCGCTCGGCTCGATGCTTGGCGTGAACAGCACGCTCCGCGAACTATGGCTCAACATATGGTGGGAAAGCGACGATTCCGGCGCGGGGGCAATCGCGGCGGGGCTCGCGCTCAACTCGTCCCTGGAGGTTCTCGAGCTGTCGGGCGAGATCAGGAGTGCAGGCGTCGCAGCGATTGCGGAGGCGCTCGGCCCGCGCTCCGCGCTGCGTGAGCTGAACCTGTCGCGCCAGGGCTTTGAACCGCTTGACGGCCCCGCGTTGGTGGCGCTCGCGGCAGCCATCGACCGCGGTGCGCCGCTCAAGCACCTGAACGTCGCGTGGCCTGGAACGGTACCCGCAGCGTCCTGCGTGACTCTGCTCGACGCGATGATGCGGGGCCGTCGACCTGGAACGTGCTGCGTCGACTTCGGCCGCGTCGACTCCAGCGCCGAGGATGCCATCGACGCGTGGTGCCGGCGGCAGGGCCTATCGACGGCGCATCTCCAGGCAGGGAGCGAGAGGCGTGTCCGGTTCGTGTCCAGGGGAATATGAAGAGCCCGGTGTGTGAGCTGGGATCGTGTGCCCCTCCGCACGCTGATGCGCACCACCGCGTTGGGAAAGGCAGGCGGCGTCGCGGAATCTGCCCGGTGTGTTTGACGTACGTACGGCGACCGTGCGGGGCGGGTTGCGGGCCGTTTCTGTCGGGTCACGCCGCCGGAGTCGGCCTGGTGACACATCTGCGTGTTGAACTAGAAGCGCGACGCAGACACTCAGGCCGGGCGCTTTGGGGCGCTGGAGGCGAACTCGGTGACCTCTCATGGTCGATCTCTCGACTGGAGCCATCGACGACGAGCGAGCGTCGATCGGGCGGGCGAGGGGAGACAGGCGGAGGTTCGAAGCCATCATTTCGGGAGTTGGGCGCCCAGTTCGAGGCATCCTGTCGCCATTTCGCCTGAAATTCCGCAGCAGGCACGGCCAGATCCCGAGCATTGCCGAGTTTGCATTTGAAGTGCCGTCGCAGCACCGTGGGAGCCGTTTCGGGCGTCCGACTTCTGCTGTGTCATCACAAGCACGTCCCCGCCCGCGTCCGTGACAGCTGTTCTCGGTCACAAATCTGGCATCGTGCGGTCAAATCGCGCTGAAGGGTCCGACGCGAGGTGTTTCTGCGCTCGAACAAGCTTCACGCGCCATGCTTGGAGCGATCAACTTGCCCGCGCTCAAGCGCTCCGGCAACGCCAGTATACCCCTCGCTCCCGGAGTTTCACGCAGACGCACAGTCGCAGCGGGATCTCACATACAAGAGGCGGTGTCTCTGGTGCGTTTGATCACCGCCGACGATCCGACGGGACCGTGTCCCGGGGGGCAAGTTTGTAGAGGCAACGAGCCGCTCGGGGAGCGCACGGCGCAGGTGTTCCTGTGCGTGGCGCAGCAGTGAGCGCGCTGCTGGTTGTGAGGGCCACGGGGAGTGGCGCGTGACGGGGACGCTCTGTGTGCCGGTACAGGCGTGCAACGGGCTGTGCAGATGAAGCGGACTAGGCCTGGCGACGCTGCAAGGCGTGCTGCGGGGCCTGGATCCGCGGCGAGAGCGCGTGGCATGCACGTAGAGGACAACAAGTTTGTCGACGGTCCTGAATATGTTGACAGATTGTAAATCGTGGTCTCTCGTTTGGTGCTGTAGCCGTGGAGGCGAGCGGCTCGACATCAGGGCCATCGTAACCGTGCGCGTCCAGTCTGCCCGACTGTCTGGCGGCGAGTGTTGCATCGCTGCCATCTCCAGGGGGAAGCCATCTCTATGTCAGTCGGGCTGACAGCGGCCGCCACGAGCGATGAATGCCCGGCGACGCAGCCTGCCATGGGCATTCAAGCGATATCGCACCGCCTGACTTCCCAGGCAGCCGTCAGGGCCCCCTCCTGGCGCCACAGAAGCGGCCCAGCCATTCTTCCGTCGTTGACGCCCCTGCGTCGCTGGTTCGCCGACAAGAGACCGCGCGGGCAAGCCGGCTGTTGCCGTCGTCTTGACGCGCCGAAAGCGTGCATCGGGAGTAGTAGTAGCCGTGCGTCGCGAGAGGACAAGGCGCGGCAGCCAACCTACAAGTTGCTTGCTGAGGTGCAAAATGGCAAATATGGGGGATGACAGCGGCGAATGTCCGCCGGGACAGGAGGTACGCTGAATGTCGGACCGTCTCATGCAGCATGACGTCGGAGTTGGCGCCTGCGCAGCTCGCTGACGACGTGCACTCTCCGCCCCCGCTGTGCAGCTGCCAGCCCCGCAGCCGTCCGCGTTCGAGCGGCTGATTGCGAGCGTGCCAGCAGTGCTCGAGAGCCTGCCCGACGAAGCGCAGCACCGCGTGGCCGCGACCTCCTGGGCGTGCCTCCTGGCCCTCCTCGAGCACACCCGCTTCTGCCTCGACCTCCGATGGGGCGACGGCCCGCTGCTGGCCGGGCTGGCAACGCGCCTGGAGCGACGCGATGTGCCCGTGGTGGGGGCGATTCGCATGGGAGTCTACGCGCGGAATCAACGCCCAGCGAGCGTCAGCGTGAGCTCCTTCGCAGCCGACGACGCAGCGGCCCTGCATCGGTCGGGCCGGGCAGCAGCGGACGTGTCGGATCTGTGGGAGATCGTGAAGATGGCGGACAGGAAAGGCACTCCGCTGCGGCTGCGGGGCTTGCGCGACTTGCTCGGGAACCCCGTGGTGTGGAGTCGTCGCACCGACCAATTTGGCCGTCCTCGTGGGCACTTAGGCTGGGAGCGCGGAGTCCAGAAACCAGGCCGAGACGCGCTGCTGAAGATCCTGGCGCGGCCGCTGGTGCAGCAGAACCTCCGCGAGCTGAGGATCAGGGATTTCGTGTTTTCGAGCAAGGCAACGGTGTCGATGAGGAAGCTGACTGAGGCCCTGGCAGGAGCCCCTCAACTCGAGACGCTTCAACTCGAAGATCACGCCCTGAGCCTGGACGGCGTCGTCAAGGTGGTGGAGAGCTTGCGCGGGCTCCGTGGGCTCCGCACCGTTGCCATCCGTCCCGAGGACTCTCTGGGAGCCAAGGGCTTGGTCGCCGTGATGGACCTGGTGGCGCAGTCGGCGGTGGAGACGTGCAGCTTTGCCTACCACGGTGGTGTGGCGGGGCGGGGCAGCGAGGCGATCGAGCGCATGCTCCGGAGCACCACGACGCTGCGGACGCTGACGCTGTCAGGTCGATATAAAGACTACCGCGCCCGTGAACAGCACCGTCATCGTGAAGAATTTCTTCGAGAATTAGAAGAGAAGAGAAGAAGAAGAGAAGAAGAAGAAGAAGAAGAAGAAGAAGAAGAAGAAGAAGAAGAAGGAGAAGGAGAAGGAGAAGAAGAAGAAGAAGAAGGAGAAGGAGCAGGAGAAGAAGAAGAAGAAGGAGAAGAAGAAGAAGAAGAAGAACTTCCTCCTCGTCTCAAAGACGAAGGCCTTGCCATCGGTCTGGCCGCGGGGTTCGAGTCGAACACGACGGTGAAGCACCTCTGCCTCGAGGAAGTGCCGCTGTCTGGCGCGGCCGCCATCGCGTTCATGCGCGCCCTGGGCTCGAACAGGACACTCGAGACGCTGTCGCTGCTCGGTATCAAGATCGACGGCGCAGTCCTCGCGGCACTGGGGCACGCGATCGGCGAGGGATGTGCGCTGAAGCAGGTCGAGATTCGCACCGGAGGCGACCCCGGGGCGGGCGTGCGCGAGTTCATGCAGGTGTGTCTGCCTGCTGGCTTCGCTTCTTTCCTTCGTTTATCCTCCTGGCCGTACATTTCGTGTCTGCCGTTGCAGACGTGGCTTCCGATCGGCCCGTACGCGGCTCCGCGTTGTCACACGCGGCGTCGAAGATGCGTGAGCTTGCTCGCCCAGACCCCTTGCTGACACGCGCCTCCGTCGACTACCCCCCTGATTGCAGGGCGTCCGGTCCGGCGCCAGGCGCCAGTCTTGCCTGGTGAAGCTAGCGTTGCGCGGGGTGTTTTGCGACGACGCGCAGCTCGCGGATCTCGCGGGCGCGATCAAGGACGGCGCGCTCGGCCGGACGCTGCAACAGCTCACCGTCACGTCCTGCGACATCACCCACGTTGGAGTCAAGGCCCTGGCGGATGCCCTGGTCGACAACCGAACCCTGCGGGAGCTGGAGCTCTCGTGCATCGACTTCGCTGACGCCACCGCGTTGGCGCTGCAGAAACTGCTGTCGTCGAGTTCGACGTTGGAACGGTTCAGAATGACAGGCTTGGACACCACGTCGCGCGGTGCTGGGTATTTGGGCTCCGGGCTGGCGCAGAGCACGGCGCTTCGGGAGGTGGACTTGTCGCAGAACTCCATCCCGGAGGCGGGGTTGAAGGCACTGGCGCTGCGGCTGTGCAGCGAAGGCTCCTGCAGCAAGCTGGAGGTGCTGCGGCTGGGGCGCTGCCGTGGGGCCACAGGGGGGCCCAGGGACGAGGCCGCACAGCTCTTCGCGCGGGCGATCGAGGAACGCGGTCTTCCGCTGCGCGTGCTGGGCATGGAGGGTTGGTCCATCTCTCCGCACCTCGTCGACAGACTCGCGCAGCTGGGGTGCAAGTGCAAGACCGACCGCGTGCTGTGAGGCGGGCAGTGTCGGGCGCGAGGCGGCACCGTGTGTGGGGCGCCGGGTCGGTCTGTTCCGGATGCCTGTTGGTCAGCAATCAATCAAAGAGCTGTTTGTTTGTTTGTTTGCACACTGTTGCTGCTGCGCGGAGCGTATGCGACGTGGCTGCGCGGCGCGGTGGCTCGCGGGCAGTCACCGATCGTCGAGCCGCGGGTCGGCGAGGCGGCGCCGTCGCCACGTCGGTCGCCGTCAGACTGCTGCTGAGTCAGGACCCAGGGGAGTTTGCTGTACCGCGCGTCGAAGGGACGCGACGGAGCCGCGCGCGGGGACTTGCGGCCGCGAAGGTCGTCGCGGAGGCGAAGATCGCGCTCTGCACCCATCCCGGCACGCTGCACCGTGCCGCGCGCGTTGCAACCAACTTGTCTGTGGTGGAAGGGGCCCCCTTCGGTATTGCGAGCCGCTGGCGTCATTCTTGCGTGTCCAGGACACGCAGAGCAGATAGTTGGTCCGTTTCGAGGCACGCGGGACCGTCGCCGCGGCCTGGTGGGTGCCGCAAGCTACTACGTGGAGACGCACGTAGCTCCTGGCGCCCCGTATAGCCGAAGCAACCGCTCTGCGACCGCGCGGCCGACGCTTCCGCGCACACCACCTCCGTATCGTATCACCAGCAGGGCGAACCACCGCGCGACGACCCTGCGGAGGCCCGAGGCGCCTCCCTTCCTGAGAGGTGCTGTAGCTGCGTGAGCGGCGCTACGGCGGCGAGACAGCGATGGTGAGCGGGCGGACACAGATGCTAACGTAGTGCTGACAGACGCGCGCGCGGAATGCTCGCATCCAGCGACCTCTTCATCACCGCGCTCGGCTCCTCCTCTTCTGCAGGCATCTTCTGACCGGCGCCTCCGGTCGAGGGTGTCTGACTTCGAGCTGCTGATCGCGGGCGTGCCAGCAGTGCTCGAGAGCCTGCCGGCCGAGTCGCAGCGGGCGGTCGCGGCCACCTCGTGGGCGTCGCTGCTGGCAGTCCTCGACACGACACCCTTCGAGCTGAACTTTGACGTGGCGCGAGCGTGGCGGCGGGGCGGGCTGCTGCGCGGGCTGGCGCAGCGCCTGGAGCGGCGGAGCGTGCCGATGGCGGGGAGCTTGCACATCGACTGCGCGCATGACGGCGGCACGGTGTGTTCCAAGTTTGCTGCCGACGACGCGCGGGCGATCGTCGCCGGCGGGCGCTTGGAGCTCGCGGAGCTGCACGGCCTGGATGAGCTCGTGCGGAGGTCGGAGGAGGCCGGGGCCCCTGTGCGGGTGCGAGGGCTGCGCGACATGGCAGGTGATGGAGAGGGACAGGCGCTGGTGGCATTTCTGGGCAGATATCCGTCGATCCGGGAGCACCTCCGGGAGATCCATGATATGCCGGACCTCCATGGCAGCTCTGCAGATCTGATGCGTGCTCTGGCGCCCGCGAGCAGCTTGCGGAAGCTGTGGGTGTTTGACAGCGGCCTGACACCGGAAGGCTTGGTCGCGTTCGCGGAGGCCGCGCGGAGCGTGCCGGACCTCCGCTACCTCCGTTTGGACTTGCACCTTGGCCCGGGCGCTGGCGATCGTATGTTTCGCGACGTCGACGACACGGCGGGGCTGGTGGCTCTGATGGGTATGCTGCGGGACAACACGACGATCGAGAAGTTCGAGTTCGGGAACCACGGTCGCATAGGACCGGAGGGGTACGACGCGGTCGGGTCGATGCTGCGAGGGAACGCAACCCTGCGTAAGCTGGATCTTGACGCGTGGCATTCAGGACTCGAGAACGACGACGGCGAACGCTGCGAGGGGCTGGCGGCTGCGCTGGGGGCGGGGCTGGCTGCGAACGAGACGCTGGAGGACCTGTGGCTGTCCGATAATGAGGTACGTGGGGAGCAGCTGGGCCGCGGCCTCGCGAAGAACAGGACGTTGAAGACGCTGTTGATTGACGGGGGGCTTGACGGCGCTGGGCTCGCGGCGCTCGGGGCGGCGATCGGCGATGGCAGCGTGCTGGAGAGGCTGAGAGTGTCCGACTGTAGCTTCGGGTCCGTTCCGGCCGGGGGCCACGATAGCATGGCATTGTTCGCAGGGGCGGTGATGCGACAGTCGTGCCTGGTGGAACTCGACCTCAGCCACACCTCTGGCATCACAACCGACGCGATCACAGCTCTCGGGAAGGCGCTCGCGGAAGGGGCGCTGGGGCGGACGCTCAAGGTGCTCGCTCTGGGCCAGTCCGGGATCGACCCCGAAGACGTGGGCATCCTGGCGGAGGCGTTGCACGGGAACGATACGCTGCAGGAGCTCGAGCTGCCTGGAGTTCTCGTCGAGGACGCAGGCACCACGGAGGTTGCTTCGATGCTCGAGGTCAACTCCACGCTGTTGAAGCTCGACTTGAGCGGCACTGCCATCGACTGCCTCGGGGCGAGGTCACTCGCGGAAGCCCTCTCGTGCAACAAGACCCTGCGCGTGATGAGCCTCAGGGCCAATTACATTTCACATAGTGGGGGTGCGGCTCTCGCAGCCGCCCTGTCGAAGGCGGGGGCGGACTCGGCATTGGAGACTCTGCTGCTCGACAATCCGGTAGGCCTGTATGACAAGCCGATGGGTGACGACACCTTGAAAGCGTTCGTGAGCGCGAAGCGAGCCGGCGCCCCACTCAGGGTGCTGGGCATCGAGGGCTGGGAAGGTGTCAAGAAGGCCACCGTGCGGTCGCTTGAGGCGTTGGGGTGCCGGCGAGGGAAGCCCCACCTGAACGAGGGGTGAGGCGCGACGGCGGGCGCGGGGACTTGTGTCGCTGCTGATTCGCGCACAAGCCGACGCCCTTGCATTGAGCCGCGCGAGGCGGTGGAGGCGTTCGAGCTGTGAGCGTGGACGTCGAGCAGCGGGCGGACGTGGTCTACGTCGCGCTGTTGTCGGGGCGCTGTAAGGAACAAGAGCTGTTCAACACGCAACGAGGTGTTCCGCCGAGTGTTGCACTGCCCTCGGGTCTCATCGACGAGGACACCGTGCCGCTAGATCAATGGGACGTACGGCGGCCCGAGGAGGGATTCATCAGTCTTGAGGACTCGATTCAAGTTGTAAGCTCTGACTGAAGTTGCGATCAGTCCCATCGGACCAGATCGTGGAAGCGTGCGTGTCTGCGGCGCGACCGTGTATGCTGTGCGTACGGACGGCGGGTAGCGGCCGGATGCAGTCGTCGATGGCGCGCTGTTGTCAACATGTCTCGCCAACGGAAGGATGTCTCGCAAGGATTGCTGCCGCTCATTTCGTGAGTCGGACATTTCCGTGCTTCGCGCGCTCCTCGGAGGTGCGCGGGGCGCCCACGTCCTGTGGGCCTGGGTGCTTTCGCTCTCGCATGGTCCTCACGGCAGCTGAAGCACCCCGACGCAGGTCCGCTCAGCATGATCGGGTCGTGCGGCACCGCACCGCCGGCCCAGGCCGTGACGATTGCGCCGGTCGGCCTCGCGGGGTCACACAGTATCCGTGTTGTCCTGACGCAGTGCCCAACTAGCCCTGAAACCCTCAGAGGGCGCCAGGACGTTGCAGCTACGGCCGCAGTGTGTCAGCTGTTGCGTCGTGAGTGGCGCGGGAGGTGGGCCGCGTGGACTGATCAGCGACAGTCTGAACGATCAAGTGCGACCGAGGCGCGCCGAGAGCGGCTGAAACGTCGCGAGATAGCGCTGGGACCGGAGCAACCACCACAGAGCTGATGCCGCGCAAGGAGCGCTCCAGCCGGGGACATGCGAAGGTCCGTTCGCGCACATCGATGCTTGGTATCGTTGCTCCTGGGCGGGCCGGCGAAACGACGAAGATGCATTCGTAACGCGACGTGCACGCCCCACTGCTCTCCGCAGCCTTCCGGCTCGCGGCGCCCGGATCAGCCGTCCGCGTTCGAGCGGCTGATTGAGAGCGTGCCAGCAGTGCTCGAGAGCCTGCCCGACGAAGCGCAGCACCGCGTCGCCGCGACCTCCTGGGCGTGCCTCCTGGCTCTCCTCCAGCACACGTGCCACACCATCGACCTCCACTGGAACGAGGTCGCGCCTGGCGGAACCCTCGCAGGCCTCGCACAGCGCCTCGAGCGACGCAGCGTGCCCGTGCCCGGGAGTTTGCGAATTGGCATCATTCACCGAGACTCCCTGGGGAACCCGCGAGACCACGGAGGCCCTCCGTACGAGGGCCACTCGCACGCCTGCTTCGCCGCAGACGACGCCGCGGCGCTGCTCGAGGCGTTCCGGGACCTGCAGGATGCGGGCACGCGCCATCTGCGGAAATTGATGAGCAACGCCGACATGATGAACAGCCCTCTCCGGGTGCGGGGCCTGTACGACTGGTCCTTCAGCCCTGACGCGACAAAGCCCGGCAGCAGGACGATCATGGGCGTGCTGCAGCGTCCGGCGGTGCAGGAGCAGCTGCGCGACCTGCGCGTGCGGCACTTTGCGCTGGCCGGCGGAGGCTGCAAGGCGCTCTCGCGCTGCCTGGCGGGGGCGAGCAATCTGCACACGCTGCACTTCTGGGACCATAAGATGAGCACCGCGGGCGTCGTTGCGCTGGCGGGCAGCCTGCGCGGCCTGCGTCACCTCCGGACGTTCAAGATCCGCTCGCCTGGCAGCATCCGCGCGGCGGGCGTTGTGGCGCTGATGGAGATGCTCGAAGGGTCGCCGATCGAGGACTTCACGATGGACGGGCACGACGACGTCGGTCCGGAGGGCTGCGCGGCGGTGGAGCGCATGCTGAAGAACACAAGCACGCTGCGCAGGCTGTTGCTGAGCATGGCTAGGCACGGTACTTCTCTCGATGGGATCGTAGTCGGCCCGCCGTCAACGTGCAAAGGGCTTGGCGGCGCGCTGGGCGCGGGCCTTGCGTCGAACGCGACGGTGAAGGAAATTCACCTCGAATTCGAGCCACTGGGCGGGGAGGACGGCACCGCGTTCGCGCGCGGGCTGGAGACGAACCGGACGCTGGAGACGCTCCTACTGGAGAATTCCGCGCTCGGCGACGCGAGCGTGGAGGCGCTGGGGCAGGCGCTCGGCGAGGGGTGCCCCGTCAAGGACCTGGCGCTGATCTACAACGCGTTCGGCGCGGGGGGAAGCGGGTTCGCGCGGGTGAGTGGAGGCGCGCGATCGCACGCTGAGCACGCTGTGTTTGCGAGGGTTTCGCGGTGCATACCACCCATCGTCGTCTGACGCGTGGTTGAGCCTTGACGTCAACAGGATGGCTGTTGTGCTTCATCCGCTGTGCTTGTAGTCGACCTTCGCGGAGGCCCGGGCACGCTGAAGCCTCACACACACGCAACCCACCGTCGCCCTGTGACCCCCGTTCGCTCGCAGGGGGTGTCCAGCAGCTCGCATCTTGTGCAGCTTGAAATCGCAGGGGCGCCCGACTTCGGCGACGACGAGCTGGCTGCCCTCGCTCACGAGCTCGAGACGGGCGCGGTCGGGCAGGTGCTGCAGCAGCTCAGCTTGTGCGACACGAACACCGGGCCGGAGGGCGTGGCTGAGCTGTCAGCTGCTCTATTGGGCAACACAACGCTGCGCGTGCTGAAACTGTGCGAGAACCCCCTCGGCGACGAAGGGGTCAGCGAGTTGGTCGGCAACGGATTCCTGAGATTCAACAGGACGCTCGAGGTCCTTGTGTTGCGGGATGTGGGCATGTCTGATGAGGGCATCATGTGGCTGGGCACCGGGCTCGCGGGCAACGTTACGTTGCGGGAGCTGCACGTGCCGTGCAATTACATCACGGCTAGCGGCCTCGACAGGCTGGTGGCGAGCTGGTTCATCCGCGAGCCCTCGATTCAAATTGAGGAGTTGTACCTGGGATACCAGGGCGAGGCCGAACAGGTCCCGGACAAGAACGACGAGATCGTTCGGTGCATCTACGAAGCGGTGAGCCGCTTCGGGTGGCCGCTGCGGGTGCTGGGCATGCAGCGCTGGCGGGGCCTGCGGATGTGGACGCTGCGAAGAATGCGGGCGTGGGGGTGCGAGGTGCTCACGGGCGAGGACGAGGACGAGGAGTGACTGGGGCTTGATGCGGCAGATCGGCTGGGCGCGGGACGGGGCGGGCCAGATCGGTGCGCGCCCCGGGAGCCGCGCTTGTGTTGAGGGGGGTGTGAACTGACGTGGTGCGGGGTGATCGGCGTGCGTCGGCGGAGAGGTGCGGCGGATGGGCGGCCGCACGGCACGGCCGCGGTGTGGCCGGTCGGACCCAGACTGACTCGACGGGCTGGACTGACTGACATCGGCGGTCTGTCGGAGCGGGTCAGACTCGGTGGGAGCGCGGCGCCATTGCCGTCGTCGCCGCGGCGGTGACGGGACACAACTGTGCGCATCCGTGCTGGCACCACGCGGCGGGTTGCAGCGGTTCGGCGAACTCTTGACTGCAAAGGCTGTAGGCTTGTGCGACCTGTCCCCCGGGTTCCGGGCAGCCTGTGGCGTTCATCGAGGCTGGAACTGCAGCCAGGTAGCTAGAGTGACGAGAGGTGGTGCAGCGCCTGTCTCATCACGGCCGGTGCTGCGAGCGGGCGGCGTGAATCTCTTCTGCTGATGCCAGTGCCGGCGCGCAGACGCTCTGTTTCGGCGCCTCAAATGACACGCACCACGGTGAACACTCGTGACATGTTGCAATAGGCTGATAGTTCAGGGTCGAAGTCAGGGCTGCGCGCCGCAACCACGCCTCGCTTCCTCCGGAGCGGGCAAAGACAGGACTGACCTGGCAGCCATGGTGAGGCCGCAGCCTCTCCGAACCTCTCGATAGCGTGGTATGTACGTCAACGATCGTGCGAGGTGCGCCAGCAGCCGCGGATCCCACCACCCTGACGCACGCGCGACCCCTTCGCAGGAGGACACCGGTGAGTGCGAGGACGACGCGGGCGCGGGCGCGGTCTCCTTCGAGCGCGTGCTCTTCGAAGTCCCGCAGATCGTCGAGCACATGTCCTTCGCTTCCCGACGCGCCGTCGCCGCCACCTGCTGGAGCTTCTTCCTCGCCATGCTTCAACGACAAATATGCGACGGCTGGCGGCCCGTCCTCAACGTCTTCGACGCCCGCGACGTCCTCCCGCACGCCATCGCGGACCGCGTCGCCGCCGGCACCGCGTCCACCGGCACCGCCGCCTACCGCGGCCTCCACGTCGCCCTGACCGACACGCGCGCTCTTCTCGGGGCGATTGAGCGGTGTCGCAAGGGCAAGGGCGCTCGCAGCGACGCCGTCGTGGCGGTGAACGACGTGGTGCGCGCGGCGCAGCAGCCCGGCGCGGCGCCGATCCGCGTCGAGCGCGTCACAAGCATGGGCGATCAGATCGCGTTGTCGCGGAACTCGCGGCCCGCGGACGCGCTGGCGGACCTCCTGGCGCAGCCGGCCGTGTGCGGAACGCTGTGGGACTTGCAGCTCGCGACGTTTCCTCTGCGAGACGCCGGCGCGACGGCGCTTGCGTCTGCGATGCCGCGTTGTGTCGGGTTGACGTGCGTCAGTCTGACGTCGTGTCAGGTGGGCGGCGAGGGCGCGCGGGCGCTCGCGCAGGTGCTCGGGAAGCTGTCGCTGCTGCGCACGCTCGAGCTGTCGGACAACCCGCTCGGAGACGCCGGCGTGAGCGCTGTGGCGGAGGCGCTGGGCCCGAGTCGGGCGCTGCGGGTGCTGGAGCTGGCGCGGGTCGGGAGCGGCGCGGTGGGGGCGCGCGCGCTGCGAAAGCTGCTCGGACGACAGGTGCGCGCGCCGCACGGCGCTCTTGGGGCCGCGGCGAGCGCTCGGGCTCCCATTCCGGCAACTAGATACCTGCTTTTTCAACTAGACACCTCCTTGCTTGTACGTGAACACAATATGAGCCTAAAAATACTATCAAGGACTGCCAAATGTGTCGCACATGCACGGTGAAGTGCTCTACTTGTGTATCCGTGTGTACTTGACTCAATGGATCCATCAGAAGTAACATCGTCGTGTTTGTGAGCAAGTTCCGTGCAGTCGGCGCTGGAGGAGCTGTGGCTGGGTGGCAACGTGCTGCGCGACGTCGGGGCGCGCGAGCTGGGCGAGGAGCTCGTGAACGGCAACGCCAGGCTGCGGGTGCTCGACCTCCCCGACAACAGCATCGGGCCGGAGGGCGCGTGGGAGCTCGCGCAAGGGCTGGAGTTCTGCCGGGCGCTCGAGGAGGTGTGCCTGGACGACAACCGAATACGGGACGACGGCGCCGCGGCTGTCGCCGACGCCCTCGCCACGTCGCCGACGCTGGCGCGGCTGGCGCTGCGGCACTGTGGCGTGGGCGACCGCACGGCGACGGCGGCGGCGCGGCTGCTGCAGGGGTGTCCGCGGCTTGCGGACGTCAACCTGGCAAGGAACAAGATCGGCGACGCCGGCGCGAAGACGTTGGCGAGCAGTCTTGAGCGATCTAGAATCACGGACCTGGATCTGTGCGAGAATCGAATTGGCGTGCGGGGGGGGTTTAGTCTCGGACGGGCGGTGGAGCGCATGAGCAGGCGCGCGGAGGTGCGGCTGTTCTAGGACGTGGACTGGCGGCGGCGCAGGTATCTCTTCGAGGCGCCGTGGAAGCTTATTTTATATCTCGTTTTCGTTCGGCGCCCCTTGTTATCGAGATGCGTCACAGGCCCCGTGCGTAGCGGTCAGCCCAGGCGCCCCTACGCCTCTGGGGCCGCTGCGGGAAACCCGGGCGCCTCTGTAAGCGACTCGTGCGCAATCACCATCGCTCGATACGTCTCCCCAAGGCCCGGCTGTGGGCCTTCCGGGCCGCCGGAGCCCGGGGGCGGCGTGTAGGTCCCGCGCGTGATGCGCTCGCACCGCGACACGAGGTCGCGGCGCTCCTCGTCGCTCGTGCACATCAACAGCAGCTGCTGCAACCGCGCGTGAATTCCGAGGCGATCTAGAAACTCCCCCTGCGCACACACGCGCGCGAGCGTCGACACGTCGTCGTGGTTTCATAGCCAGCCGCGCGTTCTCCGCTCGGCGGGCCGGGAGGACGGGTTCGAGGCGCGAAGGAGTAGACGGCAGATGGGAAAAAGAGATTGTTTGTTTGATTGTTTCTTTGTTTCATCCGCGCACCTGCGTGACGGGCCCGAAGCAGAGCACCGACTCCGCGCCGCGCTTCGCCGCCGCCCGCGCCGCGCTGAAGTCCACCCACGCCGACACGTCCGTCTGCCCCGGCCGGTGCAGCGGGTGCACCCCCCGGTGGTCTTTGATCGCAGTCAGACTGTACTCGTACGGCCCGTCCTGACCGTAGTCGACCAGCAGCGCCGCGCCGCCCTCGCGCGCCACGCGCTGCGCGATCCGCTCCGTCACCGCCATGCACGCCAGCGGCACCTCCAGCCCCGACAGCCCCTCCAACACACCCCCCTTCCCCTCGGCCTCCAAGTCGCGCTGCCGCTGCCGCAGCCCGAGCGCCGCCGCCGCAGTCATGCGCGGCGACTGGACGAACCGCAGCTCGTCCGGCGCGTCCCCGGCGGGTTGCGCGGCGCCGACGGAGGGGGGGAGAATAAGCTCGACGGGGGGGGTGTCTCCGCTTTCGCTCGGGACGTCAAGGCCGTCGTCCGGGGCATCCACGAGGACCTCACCCCACCCACCGGACGGCAGCCGGCGCAGGACGTGCACGGGGAGCGCATCCAGGTACTCGTGCGCGATGTACAGCGTTGGCACCAAATCAGATTCTGCAACAACGGAAAGGGCTCCTGCCTTGACTCAGGATCAACCCGCTGGCGGTGACGCGCACCGACATCGCCGCACAGTCACTGATGACGCAGTGAGTCGTCACGAATTGCAGCGCAAGAGAGAAACTGCAAACGCATGCCACGGCGTGTCGCGGCGCAGTGCTGGACGTCGGCGTCCGGCGCAGAAGCGCACCTCTCCGGCCCTCGATCGGCTCCTCCGCGCAGAAGTCGTCGAACGTGCGGTGCCAGAACACGTGGGCCCCGGAGATGCCGCTCTTTCCGGGGTCGAGCGTCGACCCGCCCTCGAGGCACGACAGCGGCGTGCCGCACTCCAGGGACTCGCGCTGCACGCGGCGGAGCGTGGAGCTGACCTCGACCAAGTGCACCTCGACCGCCTCGCTGAAACCTGAGGGTAGAAAGACACGCAATTAATAATACATCAAACATGAAGTGGAACGACGCTCTGGGTCTGCAAGGGGGTCGGCAGGCCTCGCATGCGACGCATGGAACCAGGCTCGCGGGGCGCCGGCGCCGCGGAGACATACTGACTCCCCCCCCGTGTGTGCAATGCATCGAGGCATGACTTGCAGCACGGAGCGGAAAGGCGCGCGGCGACTGTGCTGAGTCGCGCGAATCGCGGCCAGTGAGCAGCGCCAGCGGAGTGCCGCCGCGGTTCGGCTCCGCGGCCCGGCGTGCACGCATTTTGCTTCGCTTTATGTGGCGACACACACACGCACCTGCGAACGCCTTGGTGCCGCGAAGCAGGTCCGCCATGAGCGTGCCGCGGCCTGGCCCGAGCTCGACGATGCGCAGGCGGCCGGGTGTGCCCATGGCGTGCCACGTGGCGGCCGCCCACACGCCGACCATCTCGCCAAACATCTGGGAGATCTCCGGGGACGTGATGAAGGAGCCCGCGGACCCGAACGCCTCCTGGGCCTGGTAGAAGCCAGTCTGCGGGAGTTCGAGCGCGGAACGTGGGTCTCGTAGCCGTGCGAGGCGAGGAACCGCGTCCGATCCCGATCGCGGGCGTGAGGAGGTGTGTTCGGGCGAATCTGCGCTCGGCGGAGCGCTTCGTCGGCCAGTGGTGCGTTTGGGAGGATGATCATGTGTGAGTGTCATCGCTGAGCAACCGGTCGTCTCGGAATCGGGTACTCGCTGTGCCGTTGGCGAGTGCGAGGCACATAACAGGTCGTTGCGGACCACTGCGCGCCGGCTGCGGGGTCGCCGCACCTCGGGGTTCGTCAAGCACTCGCTCATGAAGTCGGCAACCGACAGCGGCCCCGACTGGTAGCGAATGCGGCGCTTCAAGTGCTCGAGGAGCGACGCGCTCCCTGTAGGTTGGTTGTCCTCGCCCTCCACGCCGCCCTCGCCATCCTCTGACACGCCACGAGAGAAGCATCGCATCGCATGTGCGTGATCACGGCCGGGAGCAGGCGTGGCTGGTCCTCGCTGCCCCTGAAACGCGAGCGTGCTCGCATAAGTGCAGATACCATGGCCGGTGATGCGCGTGTCCGGCGCCGAACCCGGCGGAGTCTGTGGCCGCGCGGCCCCCTGAGCGCCAGCCCTCAGCAGCTCGCCGCTGAGCGCGCGCAACGATGCCTCGTGGAGACAGTTCCCGGCAGGTGCTTGCAGGGCGCGTGCAGCCCGTGCGCGCGCTGCCAACGCCATCGTCAGCGCCGTCTCAACGCCGTTCCCACAAGATCTCACCCGAAGCAAACCAACTCGGCGCATCCGCCGCGCCGCGCGCCCGAAGCGCGACCAGGCGCCGAGTCCAGGGCTAGTGTCATGCGCAGTCTCACCAGCACCGACGACTCCCCCCCCGCCGCCGCCTGCCCGCGCCGAGCGGCCCGCGGCGACGCAGCCCCGCTCCGGCGACACCGCTCTCTCGCGCGCCTGTCGCCTGTCAAGCTCTCCACGCAAAAGACGTCTTTGACCACCCGCCGCGAACGCAACTCACAACGCACACAAGAACGCCGGTCCCGCAGCACATCCCACAAGATCACCAGCGATGAGTCGCCACGAGCGCGCATGCATGTGCAGCGTCGTGTCTCGCCGGGGCCGCAGTCACATTGCCACGCCGCCCACGTCCACTCGGGCAGACATTTCTACCTCGACCAGAGTCTCGAATACTCCTCCAAGCTGCATAAATACCCGCGCGCGAGCCCTCGAGCGGGCGCTCAGAGCGGCCCTGCGCGCGCGTGTTGAGTGGTGTGGATCAGCCCCGCGCCGTCCGCCGTGTGGTGCTTCGACGTTCGCGACTCCGCCCGCGACAGCCCGCTGTGCCTGTGCTCCGTCATCCGCCGGTCGGACACAGCGCGCATCGGCAGCGGCCGCCGGGACGACCCGTGCCCGGGCGGCCCCTCGGGCTCCTCGGCGTCGGATGCCCGGGGGAGTATAACTGACAGGTAGTGCCGGAGCTTGTCCTTGTACGCGGGGGACACCTCGAAGGTGGTGGGGAGGTCCGGGACGGACGAGTCCTCGTGCAGGAGGAAGTGCAGGACGGCGGCGGCGTGCTGGTAGAGCTCGCGCGAGCGTGTGGTGTTGCCCGAGAGCTCCTCGACGGCGCCGCCGCGCGACCACGCGAGGGAGGCCTCGTACGCGCACTCGAGGGCGTCGGGGAGGGACTCCGGCTCGTTGAGCGCCTCGGCGACCACGCGGTCGCGCACGGCCTGGGCCTCCTTGACCACTTGCCTGCAAAATGAGGGGGGTGTTATTTGTTGTGAACAAGATCAAGGAAAAAAGACAGAAAACCGAGAGGTCGCCGGGGGCGACGTTGGCATTGCGTGGGAGCACGTCGCGACGCGCGAGCCGCCGCAGCACGCAGCGAGCCGGCACACAATTGGCAGCACGCACCCGATGGCGATGCGGATCTCGGTGTTCGCGGCCGCGAGCGGCTCCGAGTCCCCCTCCTCCTTGCCCTCGTGGCTCGGGTGCGCGTTCGCGCCGTACTCCTGCCCCGTCATTGCCTTGACCACCAGCCCGAGCGCGCACTCCAGGACCGACAGACACGCGAGGAGCAGCGAGAGCGACTTGAAGATGTCGCCGTCCTGCGCCGTGAGCTGCTCGCGCGCCGCGCACGCCAGCGCCGCGGCCATGCACTGCATGTTGTGTACGCGGTGGGCAGTGCGCGGGGGCTCGTCGGTGCTGCTGCTCGACACGATGACGCGCCGGGGCGCGGTCCAGAGGCCGGAGAAGGGGTCGTGTTCGCGGACTTGCTCCTCGGTGACCGGCGGGGGGCCGCGGATGGGCATCGTGAAGGAGTGGACGAGCGGGGGGTGTGTGTGGGGGGGGGGTCCCGCGCCGTGCGTTCCGGCGGCTTCTCCCGCGAGCAGGACGGAGTCCGTCGCGTCCGCCGCGTCGAGGCGCGCCGTCGGCGTCGCGACGTCCCCGGGACCGACTTGGGCGACCCGCCGACGCCCTTTGCATCTGCCAGCTCCGCCCGAGACTCCCCCCCCGGCGCGCGCGGGTCCACCTCGCTGACCGCCGACACCGTCGGCGGCCGCAGCACCATCCCCGTGTCCGACGCGTGCGCCCGCGTAGCTCCCCCGGGGGTCTCCGGGCGAGACACCACCACGTACTCGCTCTCGATGATCGCACTGAGCTGCTGGTTCGCGTCGTCCACCACGCCCTGCTGCCCGCGCTGCTGCAGCTCCGCCCACTCGTCCGCGGTCAGCTTGAACGGCGGCGGCTGCTCCCCGAAGCCCTGCGGGCTCGCGCCGCCCACGCGCGACCCGAGCGGCGACAGCTCCGAGCTCTCCTCGTTCATGAACGGGTGCGCGAAGAAGTCCTGGAACGTCAGCCGCTCGGTCGGCCGGCGCCGCAGCAGCCGCGCCACCAGGTCCTGACAGTCCTGACTCAGGTCCTGGGCGGTGCTGTGCGGGATCTTGGCCTCCCGGCGCTCGATGTTCTTCAGCAGGTGGATGTGGTTCTGCCCCGTGAAGGGCGGGCGCCCCACGAGCATCTCGTACAAAATCGTCCCGACGCTCCACAGGTCGGCGCGCGCGTCATACTTGTGGTATAATAGGATCTCCGGGGCCATGTACAGGGGGCTGCCGCACAGCGTGTCCGCCATGCCCGCGGGCTGGAGGTCGCGCGCGAACCCGAAGTCCGCGATCTTGATCTCCGCGTCGTCGCCCTGCGGGTGGGGGGGGAGTGTGGGGGCGGGTGTTGATTTTGCGGAGTGCGGGGGCGAGGTGGCGAGCGCGTGCGCTGTCGCGGCGGCGGCGCGTGCGCCGAGAGACGCGGCATGCGGCGGTGCGGCGGTGCGCGTGCGCGTGCGCGTGCGCTCGTGGGGGGGGTGTGCGGCCGAGGGCCGGTGCGCGGCGGACCTGGGTGGTCAGGAGGAGGTTCTGCGGCTTGAGGTCGCGGTGGATGAGGTTGTGCGTCCGCAGCGCCTTCAGGCCGGCTCCGAGCTGGTGCATGAAGCGCCGCGCCTGGGCCTCGGACAGGCGGCCATGGCGCCGGATGAGGTCCGACAGGTCGCCCCCGGGGCAGTACTCGAGGACGAGGAATATCCTGCGTCGCGGCGGTCGCGGGGGCGCGGCGGTGGGACGGCGCGGCGCGGCGGGGTGGCCGCGGTGGGTGGTGGCGCGACGCGGGATGATGACGGCGGCTCCCGCGGCGGGGGGGCCGCGGGAGTGCGGCGATTCGGCGCGCAATGCGAAGGAGGTGTCGTCGTTGAGCGCTGGGGATCGGCCTGGGAGCGGGCGGGGGGTCCGGGGCGCGAAAGCAGCGGTGTAGGAGGGCTGGTGGTGGAGGCACGCGACGGGGCGGGGTGGCGGCGCGGCGTGTGGGTCGCACCGGTCCGGCTCGACGATTGTGTCGAGGAGAGAGACGATGTTGCGGTGCCGGACGCAGCCGAGCACCTTGATTTCCGAGTCCAGGCTCTCTTTGAGCTTGGGCGTGAGCCTGGCAGTCGGAATTTCCTTAATTGCTGCGTGCACGCCCGTCTCGCAGTGCACGGCGTGCCACACGACCGCGAAGGACCCGGACCCGAGCTGCGGAGACGCGCGAACAGCGGCGCGGGGGCCGTGAGCGGGCGGAACGGGCGGCCAAGGGAGCAGGATCATAGCGCAGCTGGGGGGGCGTGGGGCCTGTGCGGGGGGGCTGCACGCCCGCGGCGGCCCCGCCCGGGCGCCGAGGGATCCGGGGCGGGGGCTCGCGGCGGGGGACGGGGTTCGCCGCGCGGGGAAGCGCGGGACGAGGCACGTCGTTTGACGGTGGGCTCCAAGGCCATCAGGCGGGCCTCGGACGACGTCCTGGCCATATATGCGGATACGGTGCGCGTGGAGGGGTGGTTTGGAACGCGTTTGTGTTGGAAAACGCGTCGTGAGGGTCGGAGGGGCCTCGCAAGGGCGGGAAACGAGGCCAGGAGATCTGGCTGCGAAGAAACGAGGCATCCGGCCGCCGTCGCGGCCGGGCCGTGCGCGAAAGCGGACCGGGTTGTCGCGCAGGACACGTGGGGCGCCGGCGGAGGCTGCCGCTTCGGCGCAGAGGCCTGGGCGTGCCCTGATGCGGCGACGTTCATGGACCCGGCAGCCTCAAGGAGGAGAGCGCTGCTGGCCGGGCGCCTCCGTGCCGTGTTGCGGGCCGGGCGTCGACGGACGGTCGATGGGCGCGGCAGGTGCGCGATGGGGAGGCAGGCGCGGCTCCGTTGCGCGCCGGGCTGCGCTGGATGATGGAGCTCTGCCGGGAATTCCCAGCTACGGGACGAGCGAGGCGTCGCGCGGAGTGCACGGCGGGTCGAGGGACGAAGTGAGATATCGAAAGAAGCTGGCCGACAGAAAACAACGAAACGTAACGACGGACCAGAGCCGAGGGCCGCTGCGCATCGACCGAAAGAAACCGTTGCCGGCGCGCCGGGGCGGCGTGACGACGCGCCGCCAGCGACGCGGGCCACTCGAGATAAGACGAGCGACCGTTTCGCACCTGAGCACCCACTTCCCACTGCCCCACCTTCCGGCTGCACGGTCCAGCAGCAGACATGGTGTTCGTCACCGCCGCGCAGCCTCCCCCGACATCCAACTCCCCCCGATAACGCCTGGCAGGCTCACTCCTACCTATCCACCGCCGCTCGGCTTCACAGCGCCAACTATCAGCCAGAGAGGAGCCACAGGCCGCTGCTCACAAGCACGCGGCCTCCTCAGATAGTTACCAGTCCCTCTCTTCGCGAGCCTGGACAACCTGGTCTACGTTTGCCGCGTCCCTGCGTCTCGTGCACGTACTGCTCGCTTCTCCGTCGCGCGCGCCCCTCAAGCCGCACACAGCGCGCTGCGCGAACCCCCCCCATCGTGAGACTGACGCCGACAGCACCCCGTCGCCCGGGCAGCTGCAGCCGGCGCCGCGCGCTGGGACCTGCGCAGCTCGACGCGCGCGCCGGTGCCGACGCTGAAGTCGCATCTCGTTCGCCCCGTTGCCGCATCTCAAACTGCGCACGACTGTCGTATTAATACACTGCATGCATCCTCGGGCCGCAGTTGGAGCGCAGCTGACGCAGGACGACGCGTTGAAGGGGCGACGATGTCGAGCCAGCAGGGGTGGATGCGCTGCGGCGCCGCAGGAGCGGTCGTGGACCGCCGGGACGTGCGGCTGCGCGATTTGCGTCGCGTTGCACTGTGCTCGCATCGTCGGATCGAAACGCCCGTCGGAGGGTGTTGCGTGGCCCGCTCGTGCACCGCGGTGCGAGCACAGTCGCGTGTTCCGTGTCGTCGGTCACAAGGCTTTGGGACCTGAAAAGATCGTTCGACTAGGTGGCGGGTCATTCTAAGCCCCCTCCGTTATGGTAGCGACGGGTTCGGCAGCTGGGACGGAGTCCGTGACGCGCATCGGTGCCGCTGGACGAACCGTAACGTCCCGTGCGTCGCAGCACCCCATACTAACGACATGTTGTTTCATATTATGAAAATGATATCCTGCAGGGCTGCGAAGCAACAAGGTCTTGCACGAACTCGGCATCTGTCAGCGACGATGATACCAACGTCTACCTACGCCCCCTGCCTGCCTGGCATCGTCCTGCGCCGCGGACACGCATGCTCAAGTCCGCCGGCACATGGCTTGCGTCGGGCGGTGCTGTCCCCGCACATTCGGCGCCGAAACACGCCGATCCCCGGCGATCCAGCTAGCCCGCAGTCGAGCGCGCGTGCTCCGCCGCCCGCGATGCGGCACAACGTCCGCGGGGCCCGCCGGCGCCGCCCCGCGCGCGCCGAGCGCTGCTTGCTGTCCTACCCCCGCGTCGCTCCGCCGCCGAACGCGGGGTGCGTCGCCCCACGCGACGTCGCGACGACGCGGCGGAGGACCACGCGCGCCGCGGCGTAACGAATCCCGGATCGTCTGACGACGCCTGTGACACTCTCCCGCGCAGCGCCCTGACTGCAGTCGCGGGGAGCTATGATTTCGCGGGGGCGTGCGCGGCGGCCAGAAACGCAGCCGGCGCGCGGCCGACTTCGGAGCAACTGCCTGGAGCGCCTCGGAGAACGTAGCGCGCGCCATGCGGTGACGCGAGCGTGCAGAGCTGGAGGAGCGCACTGCGCCGGTGACCGCGCGCGGGGCGCGGGGGGGGTGACGGCGCACCATGAGCGTCTGGCTGTGGCTCGCCCTCTTCGGGCTCGTCGTCGTGTCCTTCAACTGGTGCGTCCCGCGCTCCCACGCCCGCACACGCCGCCACACGCGCACAGCTGGCACCCTGAACTCAGGGCGCGCGCCCCGCAGCCCGCGGGGCCCAGAGCGATCTTGCGGCACCGTATTCGCACGCACGGGCCCCCCTCGCGCCCGCAGCTGCCATGCACGCCCCAGAATCGCCCCCCGCGACGCACCCCGCGGTCCGTCTCCACCCCGAGGAGCAGACCAGTTAGCCGGCACGAACCGGCCCGCTGGGGCCGCGTGGGCCGGGTTTCGCGCCGTAATCGAGCTCCGTAGATCGCCCTCCGTGGATCAGTGAGCGTGCGCCGCTCGCCCCGGACCCGCAGGCTGCTCGGGCTGCTGGTGTCCGCTGCCCTGGGAGCGTGCGGGCTCCGCGCGTCGATCGGCTTCCTCAGCCACCGGCAGGTGCGGAACCTCTTCGTGTCGCCCAAGAAGGGATCCATCGAGTCCATCAGCGCCACCTCCATCCAGGTCCGCCCCAACGACCCTGCACGATCTGCGACTCTTACAACCACCGCGCCGCGCCGCGCCGCGCCAGCGCACCGCGCGGCGCCACCCTCCATCCCAGCACCTGCAACGGCACCACACATCCCTTTCCCGCGTACCCGCGCGCCCCTGCCACCGGCCCGCGCCCGCCACGCCCGCTGCTCACGAAGCCACCTCCAACGCCCCGCAGATCCCCGTGCTCAAGCTCGCCCGTGTCGCGCTCCTGCTCTTCGTGACGCGGCCCGTGGTGCGCATCGAGATCTCCGGGCTCCACGTCCACCTCCGAGACCCGGATGAGGTGCACCAGGGCGACGATGACGCCGGCGCGAAGCCCCACGGGGACAAGCCCGGGGCCGGCGACGCCCCGGGGGCGAAGAGCGGCGGCCTGGAGCGGCGCAGGAGCGTGGACGCCGCCCGGCCGGAGCGCAAGAAGCTGTCGCCTATGTTCCGCACGTGGTGGCAGCTGGTGAAGAATGCGAGCCCCTCCGTCGAGCTCGTGCTCACGGATGTGCAGGTGAGCTCCGTGGCTGCGCGTGTGCGCTGGCTGCGGCGAGCGCGGTCGCTGCGCGCGCGTTGCGTGGCGCGACGCTGACTGGCTGCGCTCGGTTTCGCGCCGCAGGTGCACATCACGTCGGAGGCGCGGCTGAAGTTCGGCAAGATCGCCGCGTCGTTCGCGGAGCAGGGCGTGCAGGAGTCTCTCGAGGCGATGGTGAAGGCCGAGTCGCTGGCGGTGGCTGCGCCCTGGGGGCCGCTGACGGAGTCCGGGCGGTCGATGCTCCCGGTGGTGGACTGCAGGCAGGTGGACGTGAAGATGGTGACCGATTTGGCGCCAAGCCGCGCCGCGCTGGAGCTGTCGCAGGTCAAGGTGGACGCTGGCGACGTCGTGGTGCTGCTCCCGCGGGACCTGCAGGGCGCCGCGCGCGACGTCAAGGCCTCCGCGAAGCGCCACCTGCCCAAGCTGCAGAAGAAAAAGAAGAAGAAAAAGACCGTGAAACGTGCGCGACCCCGGCAGAGCTGCGTAGCAATGCCGCCCTGCACCCACCCGCCGCACGCCCCCCGGCCGCAGCTACGCCTAGAGACCCCGCAGCTAAGCCGTGCGTCTCCTCTGTATTCAAGCTGCGCACGTCCCGCCTCACGCAGCCCCCGCGTTGTTGCGCCCCTGCAGCGAACGGCGCACCGCTCCTGCAGCGACGCGTGGCGCGCATGCCGCGGACGCTCTCGCTGTCGCTCCCGAGCCTCGTCGTGCAGTCCGCGGAGACGACCGGCAACGCCGCCACGATCTTCGGGGCCGCGGAGACCGTCGTGCTGTCCTTCTCGCGCCAGGCCCACGCCAGCAGCCTCAGCGGATCGAGCTCCGAGCCGCTCTGCACGCTGCACGCCGGGTGCGGCCTCGTCCGCGCGGACGTCGAGGCGCCGCCGCTGGACCGCGCGCCGGCGTCGGGGGCGGAGATCCAGTCGTCGCGGTCGACGATTGTGCTCCCGGAAGTGCTGCGGTTTTCCAAGTCCAAGGGGCTGCAGGGGGGCGAGAGGACGGCGGCGCTGAGCTTCGGAGTGCACAAAGCATCGGTGCGTGGGGGCGCCCGCGCTCAGCTGCGCCGGCGGCGGGCCGAATCGGACCGCTCGCGCCTCGCATGGTTGTTCGCGTTGAACCACAGATATGGATTCTCGAACGAAGACGTGCGCGAGATGTCTCGATGTTGGCCGACGCGCGACGCAGGTGGACATCGTGCTGTTCTGCGACAGGCGGTCCCGCCCGCACGAAACGCGCGTCGTCGGCGGCGTGCTGTGCCCGCCGCCGTCCGAGGACGACAGCGACGACGACGACCCCCCCGTGCCGACAACGCCCCGCGGCACACAGCACCCACGCGTGCCCTACTGCCCCGCGACCACGGGCAAGATCGGCGTGAGCGCGGTCGCCCCGACGCTCACCGCGTGGCCCGCCGCGCTGCGCCTCGTCCCGGCAAAACACCCCCCGGGGAGTCCCAAACTCCCCGTCAGCGTGGCGCCGTCCACGGAGCCGCGCGAGAGCCTCGACGCCCCGGCGCCGCCCCCGCTGGCGTACGGGCCGCGCAAGAAGCCGCTCCTCGACGCGTTCATCCTCGACCTCGCGGTCTCAGAGGGCGTGCGCGCGACGTTCGCCAGCGGCGGCAACGAACACCACCTCTCGCTCTCCGGCCAGTCCGCGAGCCTCGGCTGCCTCGCGTGGCCCGCGCAGCTCGACCCCGTCCCCGCCGCGTGGCTCAAGGAGCGCGACATCACCTTCCTCGTCAGCTCCGAGGTCCCCGTCGGAGCACCCGGCCCCGTGGCGCCCTCGCCGCGGTCGCCGTCCGGCGCGGACGGGCAGCCGCTGACGATCGGCCGCATGCACATCGCGCTCGTCCAGCCGTCGCGGCTGTCCGTGCCCGGCGGCCTCGACCCGGCGTGGATGCCCCTGCGCTGCTTGGAGCGCGCCGACAACCCAGACCCGGACGACGAGTGGTGCGAGGCGGACGACAACGAGGCCGGCGGGCGGCGGCGGACGGTTCCGCTCGTCGAGGTCGACGATCTGCGCATCGACGTCGACGAAGGCAATGCCAAGAAGATGCTCGAGGCGGTCGACATGTGGCTGGCGCTGGCGGCGGTGGCGATCCCGCGGCGGGACTCGGACGGCGCGGACGCCTCGCCGACGAGCCCGACGCGCCGCCCGACGCCGCGTCGGCTGCAGCCGCGCGCGGTCTCGCCGCCGATGTCGCGCGCGGTGGTCTGCGTGTCCAACGCGACGGTGGTGCGGCGGCTCGTCGTGCCGGTGCCGTCGGACTGGTCCGCGTCGCGGCGCGCGCGCTCGGTCGCGCTCGACGCCGTCGTGCACGTCGGGGACCTCTCCGCGGTCCTGCGCGCCGTCGGCCACCCGTCGCTGTTCGAGCTCCACAACATCACCGCGGGGCTGCAGCCGGCGCGCGGCACGGGCGGGAAGGGCGGCGACAAGAAGTCCGTCTTCGTGATGAACCGCCTCAGCGTGTCCGGCACGCCGCCGACGCGCGACGGCCTCCACGGCGTCGAGGCCACCATCAACGCCGGCGACGCTGCGGTGCGGTGGGACCCCGACGTACAGCTGTACGGGATCACGCTCGCGTACCAGGCCGGCCCGCTCCTCGACTCCGTGAAGGCGCTCGCGGCGCGGTTCCGCGAGCTCAAGCGCAGCAACAGCACCGCGGGCAGTCAGCGGGCGCTGGCAGTGGAGGGGGGGAGCTTCACGGGGAGCGTCGGCAGCGACGAGCTGCTGTCGCCGCGCTCCGTCGCGTCGCCGCGGTGGCGCCGGGGCTTCCGCGCGAAGCCGAAGCACGAAGTGCGCGTCGTGGCCGAGGCGGTGCTGTTCGAGGCGTCGGCGCACAAGGATCACGTGCTCGGTCTCAAGGTCGGGCGGGCGACGTACGGGCCGCAGTACCACGGCGCGAAGCTGGAGCAGGTGTCGGTGCTGCTGGACTCGCGGCCGGTGCTGACGGCGGAGAAGCTCGAGCTGTGGCGGCTGACGCCAGGGGGGGGTGTGGCGCGGCCCAGTGGGACCAGCGGGCCCGGGTCGGGCGCGGCGACGCCGGCGCGGACGACGACGGGTGGGGACGCGCGCGACGCACCGCTGCTGCTGCGGACGATGCGGAAGGCGAGCACGGCGCGCATCGAGCTGCACGCTGCGACGGGGCGCTCGATGGCGCGCACCCCGGGGGCCCGGAAGGTCAACACCCCCCCGGCGCTGAAGACGAGCTCGACGGGGTCGAAGGACAGGAAGCCGAAGAGCAGCGGGCCGCGGCGCGTCAGGCTCGCGGAGGAGCCCGAGGTGCTCAACCCTGACGAAGACCCCCGGGGGCGTTCCATGCCTGGCATCCGGTTCGGGAGCGACGCCGGCAGCAGCGCGACGCTCCGGAAGCTCGCGAGCACGCGCACGTCGACGGCGCACGAGAGCGGCCCGCCGTGCGCGCCGATCGAGATCCCGGACAGCAGCGCAGACCCCCCCGGGTCCTCCCGGGAGGTCTCCGGGCTGGCCGACGAGGAGGGGAGTGTCGCCGGGGCGTGCCCGCTCTCGGCGCGCCGCCTCGCCGCCTGCTTCGCCAAGGCCGGCGCCCCGGAGTCGATGATCTGCCTCCCCGACGGCGTGGTCGCCGCCAAAGACATGGGTAGCTTCCGCGGGGACGCCGTTCCGACGGCCACGTCAGGCACGCAGCGGCTGGTCGTGTCGGCCGAGGGCGTCGAGATCCTCCTCCCGCACAATATCTACCCAGGCCACGCGCTCCTGTCCGCGCTCACGTCCCTCAAAGAGCTCAAGCGCGCAACGGGGGACATCGCGGACCTGTTGCGGCGGCGGCGGTCGGGCACGCTCAACCGCCGGCGGTCCGGCGTCGGCGTCGCGAACGTGCGCGCGGACCCGCGCTTCCACGTCGTTCTGTGGGTCCGCGGCGCCCGCGTCCGCGTCCAACACCACCCGATGGAGGCGTGGCTGGCGTCGCACGTGCCGATGCTCAAGGCAGCCGCCGCGGGACGCTCCGCGTGGCACCGCCTCGTGAACGCGTCCGCGCCGATCGACATTCTCCCGCGCCACCAGCCCGAAGCGTTCCCGGGGTCGACCATGCAGATGCCCGCCACCGTCACGCGCCACAGCGAGGTGGGCATGCCGTCGCGGCGTGGGAGCTCCGACGACACGCTCCAGCCGCGCGTCTCCATCGGCGAGGCGCTCACGGGGATCATACGCGGCTCGAACCGGGCCGGGGAGAACCGCAACAGTGGCAGCCGGCACGGCAGCAGGCACGGCACGCCGCTGCGCGAGGGGCGCCGACACAACCGCACGCTGTCCACGCCGGGCACGCCGCTCGACCCCGGCCCGCCGCCGATCGACGCGACCGTCGCGGAGGTCAAGGTCGCGCTCGCGGCAAACGTCCCGCCCGTGCCGGGGAAGCCCAAGCGGCAGCGGCGCAACCGCAACGCCAAGGCGGCGGCGGGGTCGGCCGCAGACGGGGTCAACGCGAGCGGGTCGAACGTGCCCGTGCCGGGCGCGCAGCGCCAGTGGGCGCCGATCCACGTCAAGCCCGAGGAGATGGAGGAGATATTCGAACGGATGAATGCGCAGAAGTACATTGTCGATTGTCGCGCGCAGCGCGAGCGGAGGGAGCGGTTCCAGGGCGCGGACGTCCCGCCGCCCGGCTGCGACGCCCCGGCCGCGGGCGCGACGGCCGCGGGCCGCGCCCCGGGGATCTGCAGCGACATCTTCGAGCTGACATTCGAGGAGGTGGGAGGGGTGTTTTCGCTGGCGCTGCCGCGCGGGCGGTCCGAGGAGGCCGCGGCGTCGGCGCGCGCGCACGAGCTCGCCGCGGGCACGAGCGACGCCGCGGCGCTGCAGGTGCAGGGCGCGCCGGTCTCGCGCCCGCCGCTGACGCGCATTCGCGAGGTCGGGCTCGGGCTGGCGTTCACGAACGCGTCGGTGCGCGTGGCGGGGTGCTCGTCGGAGCCGATGCTGTACTGCTCCGGCGGCGAGGTGTCCGGGCCGGTGATCGTCGCGGACCAGGCGACGCCGCCGCCGCAGACGGAGGTGCGGGAGGTGGAGCTGGGCACGCTGCTGGTGGGGACGACGGAGGCCGCTCTGAAGGGGACGAAGGCGCCGCCGAAGGTGTACACCGGCCTCGACGTGTCCCTCTCGGCGGTGTCGTTCCTGCTGACGTCAGCGATGTACCCTGCGCTGGCGCAGCTGAGCAAGGCTATTGTCAGGCTTGTACCGGCGAGAGACCCCCCCCTGCACCGCGGCGCGCCGCCGCCGCGCATCGAGCGCCCCGGCGTGCTCGGCTCGACCTTCCGCGCGCCCGCCGAGGACATCCTCCACGGCTGGCACGAGGGCGCCCGCCGCCCGGGGCAACCGCGCGTCGCGCCCACCAACGACAGCAAGGTCAACTGGTGGGACAACCTGCGGTACCGCTGGTGCGGAACGACGCGCGTGCGCGCCACCGAGCTCCTCGCGGGCGTCGGCGTCGCCACGACGATGGACCCCCACGTGTCAGCCCCGGAGGTGTTTTACCACGGCCACGACGTCGACGTGGGGTTGGCGCCGTGCGGCGCGCCGCACACGCTGACCGCGGGCTCGAGCTCCGTGCACATCGCGTTCCCGCAGTCCAGCGCGGACGTCGTGCGTCCCGACGCCATGGTCCCGCTGCTGCGCACCGAGCACGTGTCGCTGACAGCGGGCCTGACGTTCCGCCTGACGTCCGGACGCGACCCGAACGACCCGTACCTGCACAGCGTGCCGAAGCACTCGAGCCACAACCCCTTCGCCGGGGACGCCGGCGACGACGTGCAGACCCCCGTCAACATCCCGGAGTTGTTTTCCGCTGCGTCGGTCTCGGTCAACCTGCGCGTGCGCCTGACGCCGGCAGGCAAGGACGGCCTCGCGGCGGAGCAGGGCGCGGGCGGCGGCCCCGCGCTCGTGCGCGTCGCCACTGGCTCCATGTCGGACGGTCCCGTCGTGACGTTGTCGGAGGAGACGCTGAAGGCGCTGCTGACCCTGGTCCGGGGGCTGAAGCACCCGCCCTGCTTCGTGCTGCGCGACGCGTTCCGCGCGCCGCCGTTCGGGGCTCCGCGGCTCGCGCGCCCGCGCGGCGCCAAGGGCGCGTCACTCCCCCGCCTCCTGTCAGACGTACGCGTCGAGGTCAAGTCCGACCCTCTGCAGGCCATCATGGCGTCCACCGCGCTGCGCGACGCCTCCCAGGGCCTCGCGCTGCGCGCCTCGTCCTTCCGGGTCGTCATCGCGATGGACCGCAAGACCGCGGCGCAGGAGCAGCCGAGGGCCACGACCGACCACGCCGCCGCGGGCCGTTCCGGGCGGGACAAGGCGCGGGAGCCCGGCCTGGCGATGACGAGCCTCGAGCTCGAGGCGTTCCACCTCGTCGGGACGATCCCGGAGCCCGACGACAGCAGCGCGCACAACAACTCGCGCGACAAGAACGGCAAGAACGACAAAGGGCGGTCCGCGGTGCCGGAGGACGACGTGGCGGGCGCGGCGGCGCTGGAGCGGCTGTACGGCCTGCCGTCGCCGAGCGTGGTGCAGCCGGCGACGACGCCGTCGCCGGCGATGCAAAAGTCGCTCGGGGGCAGGCTCGTGATGCGTGCCACGAGCCTGATCCTGCGGCGGCGGCACGAGGGCCGCGCGGGGATGTCGCCGCTCCGGATGGCCGTGCAGGACCTCCGCGCGGTGCTCTCCCCGCACACGCGCAATGCCGTGTGGCTTGCGTACCAGCACATCGCCTGCGGCATCGACCTCCCGGCGCGGCAGCGGCGGCAGCGCGAGCTCGAGCGGGAGCAGGCGGCGGGGGTCACCGGCGACGGGTTCGCCGGCGCCATGTCCGGGGAGGACGGCGGCGACAACGAGCTGCTGCGGATTCTCCTCGCGGAGCGGCGGGAGAGCAACGCGCTGGACTCGCCGCGCGGGATGGACACGGCGACGTCCGCGCGGGCGCGGTCGATGTCGCGGTCGTTCGCGCCGTCGCTGGACCGCAACGGCACGTTCACGGGCACCGTCGACGAGTTCCAGGACGCGTTCGAGACGCAGGAGTCGGGCGCGACGAGCCGCGACGGCGACTCGCGGTTCTCGCGCGTGGCGTCGACGCAGGGCGACGAGGCGCCCGGGTCGTCGCTGTCCTACGAGATTGAGGTCCTGCAGCCGCAGATCAACTTCGAGGGCGAGTCCGACGCCGGCCGGCTCCTCCTCACGGCGTCGTCCGGCAGCGTGGTCGGGCGCGCGTTCCACCTCCTCGCCAACCCGGACGCGTGGAACGGCCCGGGCAAGCCGCCGCGGAAGCGCACGATGTCGATCGTGCTCGAGAAGGTGCAGGCGCACACGGTGCTGATGGACGTGGACCCGGAGGCGGACCTGCAGTGGATGGTGTGGCAGGGCGGGCAGCTGACGCCCACGCTGCAGGGCCGCGCGTTCATGGACACCATGTTCCACCCGTGCAGCATGCAGATGAACGTCACCACGCTGCCGCGCCCGACGAACTTCTTCCCCCCGAGGTGCGCGCGGGGAATTCGCATACGCTCAACGCATCTCGAAACACACAGAAAATGAAAGTGTGTCTGATTGATTGATTGATTCACATCCGATGATTGCTGCATCCCTTATTTGTTTCGTTGGCGCAGGCTGATGGTGGAGCTCGCGTCGCAGCCCCGGAAGGCCATCGAGGTCATCGCGCCGGGCCTCAAGGCCGAGATGGCCAACGAGGGCTTCCAGATCTTCCTGGGCGTCGTCAACGCCGTCTTCCTCGACGTGGCGCCCTCGGCGCTCTCCATGCAGTTCAACACCGCCAAGGAGCTCGCGGAGGAGTTCCCCGAGCTCCAGGGCGCGCTCAGCACGCTCACGGAGCTCCGGCACTCCGTCCGGCACATGGAGGACGTCGCCACGGTGCTGGTGGAGACGATGTCGGCGGCCATGCGGCAGCAGGTTCTGGAGCGCGACGAGGAGGACGCCGACCCGCTGGCGGACCCGTCGAGCTCCGTGGGGGGCGTGAGGGAGGTCGTCAAGTGCGCGCACTGCCCCGAGCGACGAAGTCCTTGATCGTCATGTCTTGGTTTTCCTCACTGTTTCGTGTTGAATGTTGGATTCGCTCGATATGAGGAAGTTCCGTCTCATGCGGACGGGCCCGCCACGTGACAGCACGTCGCTCCCGCCGTACCCTCCTGCTCTCATATCAGCCTTCGATGACCCAGCCACGACTCCCTAGCATGTTTCTTCTTGCCCTTGGCCGTCACTGTGTTGCTTTAGCGTCTCGCCACCGCGCAGGTTCCCGCCGGGCCTGGAGGTCGTCGAGGAGCTCATCGTCTCCCGCGGCCGCCTCCACGCCGCCGCGGCCTTGCACGAGCAGGACGCCGAGGAGCGCCGGCGCACCGGGAAACCCGAGGCGCGCCAGAAGAAGCAAGCCGCCGCCGCCGCTGCCGCCGCCGCCGCCGCCGTCGGCGAGGAGCCCCTCCGCGACCTCGCGCGCCGCGTCGCGTCGCTCCAGACGCTCCCCGTCGCGCAGCTCGTCGACGCGTGGATGCACGAGGCTGTCCTGGGCGCAATCCTCCGCATGGCGTTGGGCTTTGACGGCAACGAGGCGACGCTGGCGCAGGACATCTCCGCGCTGCTCGAGCGCGCGCGCGCGGGCGCCGGCGGCGTGCGCGGCTCGGTGCTGGGCTGCCGGAGCAAGGAGGCGAAGCTGATCGAGCTCAACCTGGCGAGTCCCCCCCCCGCGCCCGGGGGGATGTCTCGGATCATGAACCAGTCGCTGTCCGCGGACCTCGTGGTGTCGTCGGTGCCGTCGAGCAGTCCGCTGCGGCGGCAGGGCGCCGCGGGCGCTGTGGCGGCCGGGGCGACGGAGCACGAGCCCGCGGCGCACACGGCGGTGCTGTCGCTCCTGCCGCCGCGCGACCGCGTGGCGCGGTGGGAGTCCTGGGCGAGCGAGGGGCTCCGCACGCAGCTCCAGGAAGGCCTCACGACGATCGGGAACGCGTGGTCGCAGCCCGCGCTCGCGGTCCCCGCCGCAAAGATCGTCGGTGACAACAACAACGGCGCTGCGGGCGCGGAGGAGGCCATCGCACGGCAGCCCTCCGCGGCGGCCTCGCTCGGGCCGTCCGCGACCGTCGGCGACGTCGGCCTCCTCGAGACGCTCTCGCTCCTCGAGTCCTTTGGTGTGGCGCCGGCGCTGCAGGGCGTGCGCAGCAACCTGCTGGACATGGCGAGCTCGGTCGCGGTGCTGTGGCTCGAGGAGCAGGTCGTGGGGGCGCGCGAGGCGTGCCTCGCGACGGCGCAGCTGCTCCTGCGCGTGATGGAACAGGTCCGGAAGAGTGCGAAGAAGGAGCTGCCGTCGATGCGGCTGTCCTTCACGCTCAACCACCTGCACTGGGAGCTGATGAAGGAGGGCAAGGCGTTCGTGGACATCGAGATCGACACGATGGACTACACGATGCTGCGCGACCAGCGCCAGACGGCCAACATGCGCATGTCGATTCACCGCGCGGAGGTGCGCGACCGGCTCGGGGAGGTCGGGCCGGGCCCGGACATGCCGCCCGGCGCGATCCTGCAGGTGTGGAACCCGACGTCGGCGTGGGAGCGCGACGAGCTGCTCCGCGTCGTCGCCATGCGCGGGCAACCAACGCCGACGCATCACATCTACGAGCACCTCGAGGTGCTGGTGCACCCGCTCGGAGTGCACCTCACGGAGAGCGTCGCGAAGGGCCTCGTCGAGTTCTTCCTCCCCGGGAGCTCGGACGCGGACGACGGCGACGACGAGGAGAAGGCGGAGCGGCTGCTGGGTGCGCTGCGCGTCAAGGTGGACAAGGGGTCGCGCGGGGCGAGCGTGGACGCGCCGCGGGACTCGAAGGACCTCACGTCGCTGTGGAGCGAGGCGCGCGAGAAGGAGAAGCACCGCAACGTCATGGAGACGCTGTTGCAGAAGATCCAGAAGCGCCGCCTCAAGGGGCCCGTGGCGACCAAGGCGCTGCCGGGGCCGACGCCGGTCGCGCGGATCACGGACGGGCGCGGGATCGCGGGCGCGTCGGCGGCGGAGGCCGCGCACGGGAAGGGCAAGGGCGGCAAGGGGCACGCGCGGAAGGAGAGCGCGCAGGAGGGGGCGAACCCGGCGGGGAGCACGACGGGCGCGGCGGACGCGCTCGCGGCGATGAACACCGTCGCGGCGGCGGGCGCGGCGGGCGGCGCGGCGGGGAAGCGCGCGGCGCTCGTCGTGGAGATGCCCGCGGTGGCGGACGACTTCACGGCGCCGTCGGGGCGCGCGCAGAAGCGGAAGCTGTTCCTGAAGCACGTGCGGTTCAACCGGGTGTACGCGCGGGTGTCGTACGAGGGCGGGCGGATGCCGTTCTTGGACCTGAAGCTGCTGCTCGACAGCGTGGTGTACCAGAACATCGACACCAAGTGGGGGAGTCTCTTCTCGCGGTACAAGTTCGCGGTGCTGCGGAGCGTGCTGAAGAGCGTGACGGGGCTGCAGAACCGGAAGTTCCACGCGCACCTCGGACTCAGCTTTGGGAAGTCCAAGGAGGTCGAGGAAGAAGGTCTGCGGGTGGAGGTGACCAAGAGGAACAAGGGGCTCATCGGGCGGTCGAAGAAGGTGCGCCGCGGAGCCCGTCCACTCTCCTCGACGCAGCGCACGGCGACTGTCCATGTTCCTGCTACGACAAGAACTGCCACCTTCGCATCGCACATGTTCCGAGCGCCTGAGATCCCTCAAAACACATCTTTCAGTTCGCACCGTTCCTTGGCAGTCAGATCAAGCCGTCATGCTGAGAAGTCGCGTCCACCGCTCTCTCTCCCCTGCGTGCAGGACATGGAGCGCGACATGGAGGAGGTGCGGCGCGAGATGGAGGACAAGAGCGAGGAGGAGAAGCGCCGGAAGCTCCTGGGCGCCGTCGCGCTCACGCCGCAGACCGAGAGCGACCGCAACCTCCTCGCGCTGCCCGCGCCGCCGCAGCTGGGCTCGCCGGTCCTCACGCCGCGCTCCGGAGTCAGCTCGGAGCGGCCCCGCTGACGCCGTGGCGGGGTGCCGGGGCGCTGGTGCGAGACTTGCATGTCGTGGCGGATAGTGCATGATGTGCGCGTGGAGTTTGGGAGGAGTGGCGGTGGGTGGGCCGCGATGTGAGAGCAGCTGGTTGCGGCAGGCGTTTGCGGGGCTGTGCGGCGCAGTGGGCCACCAAGACGCGACTCATGCAGTGCGTTACAGGTCTAGGGGCTGCTCCCGAGGCGCCGTTGCAGGCCCGTGTGCCGTCACGCCCAAGCTCTACGTTGACCGCAGGGAGATCGACTGGACGTCGGGGTTCGTCCCGCGCGACTGGCGGCGCTACTCCCGGTGAACGTCGACATGCGGCGCGATGTTTTCAGCCCCCATGACATTGCCGCAGTTCCTCACGTGGCAGATGTGGAGCTTCGTTGCCCACGGGGCTTCCGATGCCGTGGTTTTCGCCTGAATGCCAAACTGCTTGTTCCCGCACATAGTGCTGTTGTGCACGAACGTGTCGGCGCCGTTGATGACGTGAACGCCGCAGAGGCCGTTGCCTTTGCATGTGCCGTTGTCGACAACCAGCTCCGTTTCCCCCCCCGTGGCGTATGCGCCGTGCTGCTTGTTCGTGCTCATCTCGCCACCGACCGTCACGCGTGCCTTTCGCGTCGCGTGCACCCCGCTGCCACCGTTCCCGCTGCACACCACCTCGGGCAGCAACACCTCAGAACCGCATGCACGAATGCCATCCTCGCCGTTGTTGACGAACACATTCCTCTCCTCGCAGTCGCCGTCTACCACCTCCGTCCCACTCATTGCCGCCAACCCGTGCTGCTGGTTCTCAACGCACTTGACACCCCCCAGCTTGATCGAAGATCCCGGCCTTCCAGTACTCCAGATACCACACTCCGTGTTGCCGCGCAGGGTGCTTCGGGTCAGTGCCAGCTTTGCAGTGTCGACGTAGATCCCGTGGATGCCGTTGCCAGTGAACTCGGAGCGCGTGATGGACGCCGACGAGTTGCCGACCAAAAACATCCCGCTGCATGTGTTCTCTGTCATGTCGCTGTCCTCGACGACCACCCTCGCAAAATTGTCAGCCGCGACGCCACACCCCTTGTTCTTGGTGCACGAGGCGTCGCGCATGTCGACTTGCGCGCGGACGCCCGCAAATATCCCAGATTGGGAGTTGCTGCTGAAAGTGCACCGATCGTAGACTTCCAGCCGAGCCTCGAGGGCTCTGGCTCCGTTGCCGTTCTCCGTGCAGATCACCGCAGTGAGTCTGACCAACGTGTCCTTGTCGTCGGCGAAGACGCCATCCAAACAACGCTTGAACATGCAGCTGTGGACTGCTGCGTCAGCGCTCTTGCAAACCACCAGCCCGTCTGGGATCTTCTCATTCTCGCCTTCCCCACCGTCAACGCAGCAGTATTCCATCGAGAAGCCCTTCGCTCCATCAACGCGAACAAGAGCAGGGTGATCCGGACCTGCAGCGTCCGTGCAGTCCGCCTGCGTGTTCCCCCACTCGACTTTGACGCGCACCAGCCGCGACCCCTGCGCCTCCTCCGTGAACACCATCCGGACCCCGCGCAATGTGCCGTTCTTGATCACGGTGCGAGCATTCTTCACCACCAGAATGTTGCCGCTCCCCCGCACGGTGCGACCCTGCAGGTCGATTTCCTGCTCCGACTCGAGCAGACGCTCAAGATGGGCCGCAGTCATGTCGTTTGCCTGCGCATCCGGCCGCGTCACCGCCTCCTGCGTACCTCCGCCGCCCACCGCGGGCACCAGCGCGAGCGCGTCCTGCGGGTCGGCCGTCGGCACCTCGCCGTCCGTCGGACCGTCAAGCTCCGCCACCGCTGCCGGCTCGTCGCCCACAGGAGGCTCCTCGGCGTCCGCGGGCTCCTCCGAGCCCCCTCCGACCCCCTCCGCACCCTCAGGCCCGTCGGCAAAGTCAGGGGGCAGGCTCGCCGCGCGCTGGGCGCCCTGGGCAGGCGAGCGACCGGAGCTGCCCGCGGGATCGGAAGCGTCGTCGTCCATCTCGACGTCGACCGCGGGCTCCGGGCGGGCCGCGAGCTGGCGCTGGAGCCCCTCCTTCTCAGCACGGAGGTGTTCGTTCTCCGCGTGAGCGCTCTCGAGACGTGCGCGGAGCTCCTCGTTGCGTGCCTCAAGAGCGCGCTTCTCCGCGTTGAGCTGCACGATCTCGCGCGCCTGAGCAACGTCCAGGTTCCCCGCGGACGCTGCCGCGCCAGGGGGCGCCCGCGGCCGCGCCACGAACGGGGCGGGGGCGGCGTGTTCGATGCGAGGGCGCTTAGGTCCAGGCACCAGCCTGGATCGAGCGCCTTCGAAGCTCCGCGGCCGCATGCTGCCGGACGAGGCCGGCGTCGTGCGCTGCTCGGCCGGCTGCATTCTCTCGAGGCCCTGCGATACGCACGGGCGAGCAGGGGGGGTCGGGGGCTGGATTCGCCGCACAGGACGGCGATGTTGAAGCGCCGGCGGCCTCTACCATAAGCACACATTCCGTGTTGCAGGAGATCGAGGAGCATCTCGCAGGATTGTGCCGGTGGACGGAGGTGCAGCAGGGCAGAAGTCGCTGTCCGCGTCCGCGCGAACGCTGCACGTCGATGCGGAAATCGTGCGTTGCTGCGAACGTTGAATAGGACGAGGCTGGATTTTGGCGTTCGGAGCTCTGCGAGGTGGGGGAGGACGAGCGCACCTGAGAGCGATTCCCGGAGGTCGGCCACGCGAAAACGTGCGTCGAAGGTCGATTCCTTCACCGTACGGCACCCGCGGATGAGAATTTTGGTCGAAAGTGCCAAGACTACGGCCCGATGCGACCCAAAGTGCCGCGAACACGGCCATTTCGGACATCCCCAACTCCCCTCCAGCTGACCCTGAGGGGCCGCAGAATGGCACCCAGCGACCGAACCCGCGTCTTCCGCGCGCCCCCGCGCGCTCCCCTGGCAGTGATGGACCAGCACGCGAAGCGGCAACGCCATTCTGCTGTCAAAATCACGCGCACACGGCCTCCGTCTTCACATACTGGCGCCCCAGGGCGAGCAGGCTCCCGGGCCGCTGACCGGCGCGCAGTGCCATCGGAACCGACCTGTAGGTTGAGTTTGTATCCTTCTCTCCGCAGAAAGGCGCAACCTGCGTCGCGAGACGCCCGGAGCGACGTAGAATGGGGGCGGAGCCACTCTGGCGTGGTTGCATGGCGAACGTCGACTCTCTGTGACAGCGCACGGCACGCGACCCGCATCATCGCAACGTACACACTCCACATGTCCCCGTGCTTGCTGGATGGCCCAGGGTGCGCGAGAACCAGAGCGCTGTGCGGCCCTCATCCCCCAGCACAGAGACCTAGCGGTGGCCCTGGACACGACGGCGCGACTCGCATGCCGCGAACCCACAGCTCGACGCTCGACCGCCATCACGACCGCGCAGCCGGTCTCAAACTCCCGCCCCGCGGCAGGCGCGCCATCCCCCCCCATGGCGCCCTCTTGTCCCACCTCCCTCTGCGGCGCCCCGCGCTCCCCGCAGCCCGAGCCCCAACGCAGCAACGCCAGCCACACGACCCCTGCGCCGTTCACCGCACTCCTCGCTCCGCTGCACCTCTCACACCGCTCCCAGCCCACAGCCCTCCTCACCACGACGCGTGCTCGCCGCCCCGCCCACGCCAGCCCGCGCGACCACCACGAACCATCCCCCTCCGTCACACCCAAACAAACAAACACCCCCCCTCAGCACGGCGCCTCCAGCAGCTTCTCGAGCCGGAACTCCAGCGACGCCAGATTGATGTGGCCGTGCCCGGCCACCGACAGGTCCCGGAAGCTCGCCAGGCGGCCGTTGAAGGCCTCGCGCACCTCCTGCATGCGCGCCACGCGCGCCCGCAGCTCCCGCGAGTCGTCCGACAAACCGATGAGGGCGCGCTCCAACGCCATGTCGCCCTGCGACGCCCCGCCGCTCCACCCCTCGCCCGCCTCGCGCATCTCCTGCAGGGCGCAGCGCGCGCGTGCGCCGGCGCGTGAGCGCGGCGCGGACCAGAAGGGCCGCTGCGGCGCGGAAGCAATCGAGAAACCATGTCTGTTGGTGCGCAGGCGCACCTTGATCGCCACGAGGCGCCCCGTGAGGTCCCGCAGGCTCCGCACGAGCCCCGTGAACTCGAGCACGCACGCCAGGAGCGCCCGCAGCTCCCGCATGACCACCTCGGCCCCTTCGCCGAGCATCGTGCGTTCCAGCACCGCGCCCAGCCACGCGTCGTGCGCGGCGATGACCGCGTCGAGGTTCACCGCGGCCCCGAGCCGCTCCTCGAACTCCCCCCACGCCGCGTCGAGCACCTCGAACGCCGCGTAGTACTGCAGGTCCGCCACGGCGACAGCCATGCCCTGCTGCATCAGCTGCACGGACCGCAGCGCCGCCTCGAGCTCCTTCGTGAACCGCACCTCCGGGTCCGGGTCGCCTGCGCGCGGGCCGAGGCGCGGGAGGGTGGGCTTCGGACGGAACCACGCCGGCGGCGCCGAAGGTGGGGGGTGTGTTGTGTTTTACTGTGTGCCGTTTCGCGTCGGTGCGTGTGCGAGGAGGGGGCGGCGGCGCACCGTCGTAGCGCTGGCGGAGGAACTGGCTGCGCATGACGGGCGCGTTCGGCTTCAGGTCGAGCCAGGAGGCGCGCAGCTGGTGTCCGACGCGCTTGAGCGCCCACAGGAAGCTCCACACGCGGCGGTACTTGAGCAGCGCGTCGGGCGTGAGGACCGCGGCGATCGGCTCCGCGCGGTCGACCTCGTACACCAGCGACACGGCGTCCCACCCGGACTCCGCGGGGGTGTGCGCCGACAGCGCGATGCGCAGCCGCTCCGTGATCTCCGGCGGGTCGAACTGCGCGTTCGAGCCCCTGCAAGACAGCGGAGGGGAAGGAGTATGCATTGAGCGAACGTCGGGGCCGAGAAACTGGGCAGCGAATCACCGACCAGGGCAAAAGCAACATGGGAGCGAAAGATGCATCATCGACGCGCGTCGCGTGCGACCGCGCTTGCGTGCAGCGACGGCCGGCCCAACGCACAAGCGGGCAGCACCCCCCCTTTCCGCGTCATACCTGATGGCACTCCCCAGGGCACTTTGCAGCTGGTACTCGGACAGCTGCGAGGCCGGGCGGAGGAGGTCGGCGTGCAGCAGCGACATCAGGTGGTCCCCGAAGTCCCCCTGCCCCAGGAGCAGGAACCGCCGCACCGCGCTGAGGTGCTCCTTGAGTTGGAACTTTGAAAACAGCTGGTGCCGCAGGCGCGCGTCGAGCGCCGCGGCCGCGCGGGACACCTGCTGCATGGCCTCCTCCGGCGCGAGCTCGACGCCGCGTGCGTCCGCGCCGCTGCGGAGCCGGTCGGTGAGGGCGGCGAGGGCGCCGGTGGCGTCGGCGAGGGCATCGCTGTCGGCCCAGGCGGTGTCCTCGCAGGTGTCGCGGAGGAAGCGGATGGTCTTGCCTGCGCGGAGGACCGTCGCGGCGGCCTCGGGGCCCCACCACGGCGGCACCATGGCCTGACGCAGGCGGAAGCGCCCCCGCCAGACGTCCTGGGACTCCCCCCCGCGGCCCGCGAGCGCCTCGACGAAGAACTCCGCGTCCGGGTCGTCGAGCTCGCCCTGCAGCGCCCACCGCCGCACGTGCTCGTACAGCGGGCACGACGCGGCCCCCACCATTCCTACCACAGCACCCCTCCCCTCCACATCCCCCTGCGCGAGCAGGGCCGAGAGCGCCGCGAGCAGCGCGCCCCCGCGCGGCCCCTCGACCGCCGCGCACGCCACTGCGAGCTGCCGCATCCGCTCCGTCGGCTGCGCCAGCCACGCCGCGAGGCGCCGCAGCGTGATGTATGCAGTGCCCGCGCCGGCGCTGGGGTCGCTCGGGGAGGGCGCCTGCTGCATGGCGTGGCGCTCGAGGACGGCCATGAGGCGGTAGAACTCGGAGAGCTCGCGCGCGAGGTGGGAGCGGAAGGCGGCGTGGCACGCGCCGCGGCCGGGCGTGGTGTCGTCGGCGACGGCGCGGACGCGGCGGAAGAGCCAGCCGAGCTCGCACATGACGCGGACGAGGTCGTGCGCGGCGGGCGAGAGCGCGGCGGCGACGCCGGGGCGCGGCGCGAAGGCGCCGCGGGAGAGGGGGGGTTGTGAGGGCGCGGGAGAAGGGGAATCCTCGATCCAGTGGATGTGCTCGGACTCGATTCCCTGGCACGCGAGGATGACGGCGCGGACGAGCGCGGCCTCGAGGCCCGGCGGGCCGTGCGTGACGTCCCACGACTGCGGCGGCGGCGCGGGCGGAGCGGGTTCCTTTCGGACAACGGATACAGCGCGAGGGCGGGAACGAGAGTCGTGGATTCTCGACTGCGGGCGCGCCGAGGGGGCTCGAGTCGCGGGAGGGCGTGCGCGGCGCGCATTCGCGGCGAAACACGCACCTGGATCGCGCCTCTCCGCACGCTCGTCTGGTCGTCCAGCGCGCGCAGCTCCGCGAGCGCGTTCCGCGCCGCGGCACCCCCGAAGAACCCACCCTCCGCAACGACAGCCCCGTCGTGCGCGCCGGCGCCGCCAACGAGCGCGAGCGGCCCCGCGGCGCGCGCTGCGTTGCGCGCGTCGCGCCCCACGGCCGAAAGGAGCGCCAGAAGCGCGCGTCGCGGCCCGGGCTCGGGCGAGGAGCTCTGCAGCGTGAGGTGCAGCTCCGAGAGGCGCACCGCGTCCGGTCCGCGGCCCCGCGACGCCAGGTCGGCTCGTATTCCGTCGAGGATGCTGGCCTCGTCGCCGCCGACCGCCGCGAGGCGCGACTGCTGCGGCGCGGAGCACAGGAGCTTGGTCGCCACGCGCAGCGCTGCCCGCCTCCTGCACGAGGGCCCGACGCGGCGTTTCCGGACCTGAGCGGCGCCGCGGAGCGACGGAGGCGCTCCGTCGCGGTCCGTGCGGGCCGGGAAGGCGCCCCCGCGCCCGCGAGGGTGCCGTGCGACCAGGCCGCGCTCGCGTGAGCTGAAGAAGGCAAAACATAGTCTCAAATGCCACGTCAAGGGCCCTTCTCGACGCCGACGCCCTTCGCAGAGCATGGACAGCGCCCTGGCGACGAGGGCGTCGCGAGATACGCTCGGGAGCGTCGCGGAAAGCGCGCACCTGAGCTCCAGCTGGCGCTGCGTCACTCCGGAAGCGGCGCCCCCGGCGTCGACCGTGCGGTTCACGAGCCGCTCGAGCAGCATGATGGTTCCTATGCTCTCCATCGTCCCTCCTCGCGCGGCCCGGCCCCGTCCAGGGCTCCGCGGGCCGCCCGCGACGTCGAGCCTGGCAACCCCTCTTTGGACGCGACAGCGCGGGCTGCCCGCAACGCGAGGCTGCCTCGCTCGATCTCGCGCTCCCGCCGCCCACGGCTCCGTGACGCGCAGTGTGCCCGCGACGGGGCGTCGCGGGGCCCGATGGGGCGCGCGGGTAGTCGGGCGGACGGGTCTCGTGCGCACTCCTGTTGTACTGACTGAAGTGTGCCGCGAAGGGCGGGCGGCGCATTGGTGCGCGAGCCGCGCGCGCCGCCGCGCTCGCTTCCGCTCTGGTAGGGCCTCCTTCTGATTCAATCAGCTGGATCGGAAGCCGCGCAGGGGAGTCGTTCTTCAGTGTCTGAGCATTCACAGCTACCAAATGGACCTCGACACGCCAGCAGAGGCCACGCTGGCCTACGCGCCGGACGTGGGCGAGAAGTACATGCTCATGGAGCTTCCCGAGGAGCTCCTCAACGTGCGCGCAGCCCCCAGCAGGGCCTCCCGCTTCCACGGAGCCTCCCAACATTGCCGTCGCATTCCGCGGCGCAGCCGCCCTGAACCCCCGCGCACGCCCGCCCCGCGGACAGCTTCTGCCGCGAACGCGCGACGCTCCTGTGCGTTTTCGCGGCGAAGGGCGCCCTGAGTCGCCGCGACCCTGACCTCTGTTGCCCGCACCGCAGGACGTGCTGGCGGGGCGCGCCGTGGTCAAGTCAAGCGCGGGCGGCGACGCCTTCCTGTGCTCCAACGACAAGACGTTCTCCATGCACTCCGTCGGGACCTCCAACCTCCTCGCCCTGATCCCACACCCCTCCAGCCCACACGCGCGGTGCGCCAACCACCCGCGGCCCGCCCTCGACGCAACGCCGCCCCCCCAGCCCCCACCGAGCTCCCCACGCCGTGCCGCGGCCCTGCCGCCACCACGTGCGTCAGCCAGAGCCCCAGCATACATATACCTCGCCAATTGCACACAAGACTTGTTTTCCCGTCTCCGTTCCCCGCGCAGCCCATGTCCAGGCAAACACGTCGTCGCCGCCACAGCCGCGGCCCACGTCGAGGTCCGCGAGGCCCGGCCCGGCCTCGAGGCCCTCCGACAGACCCTCGCCGCGTGCCCTGTCACGGAACAGGAAGCGGAGGGGTCTTCCGCAGGACACCCCCCCCCGCCCGGCGCGCGGACGCGCGACGAGCTGCTCGCGGACCTTCCCATCTCCCCAGCGGAGCTCGACGCCGCGCTGGAGGTCCGCCGACGCCCCGTCCGTGCACAGAGCGCACGCGATCTTTGTGTGTTTGCTCGCGTCTCCGCGCCTCGTCCGGGCCTGGCTCGCCGCGGCTCGCGAGTGCCCACGCGCGCGTGTGCTGTGGGGTGCAGGGGCTGGGCGCGTTCGTGATGGACGGGCGCTGGCGGGTGCTGGACGCGCGGTGTTGCGCGGAGGTGGTGAAGATGGTGCTGCTCACGGTTGTGGAGCACGGGTGGACGACGTTCCGGGTTCCGCGGGACGAGGCGATCGAGAAGACAGCGAAGGTGCGGAGAACAGTGGAGCGCGGCGGACGCTCGCGGCGCCGCGCGGGATGTTTTGTCGAACGCTCCCCCGTGTCAGGGCCCCGCAGGTCGCGTCGCGGATACGTCTGTCTGACATGCGGTCTGCTTGCTGGCACGGGGCGATCGCGTTGCAGGCCGACTTGCGCGCCGAAGTGGTGGCAGGCGCGCTGGCGGCGGTCGCGGCGCCGACGCCCGGCGGCGCGGAGGGCGAGCTCGCGATCGACATGGCGAGAGTCGCCAAGGTCCACGCCAGGGCGCTGCTGTGCGGGCGCGCGGAGTGGCCGGCAGCCGAGCTCGAAACAGCTGTGCGCACGCAGCTACCAGAGGAAGCCCGCGGTGCGCGCCCCACACGTGCGCGTCCGACGCCTCGCGCCCGTGTCACCTCCAGGAGGACTCGGGATCTCTTCCCAGCCCCCAAACCCCCCTGACAGCATGGCGTCGCGCTTGGGTGCGTGCAGACAGTGTGGACGTGGCCGGTGCGCTCCGGGGCGAGGCGGTGACCGTGGGGCAGCCGGGGGCGCCTGTCACGGTCGCGCTCCCGGCGTACGCGCTGACGACGGAGCCCGCGGCGCGCTTCCAGGCGATGTTTGCGGTCAAGCAGCGGTGGACGCGACAGGTGTGGCCCGCACGACCTGCTGTGCTCGCACCACGCGCTCAGCGTGTTCGCGATGCACCGGCAAGCTCCTGCCACGCACGCCTGCGTGCTGTTCGTAGCTCCTGCCGCCGCACAGTGCACTTGCGAGAAGAACACACAAGAACTCAAAGACGCATTTTGGTTTGATATTCTTTGATATTCTTTTGTCGTGAACCCCGCCTTCTTCTTCCCGGACCCCGCGGCAGGAGATGGCGCCGTACCTCGAGGGTCTCGACGTGCCGGGCGTGACGGACGAGGAGCTGCTCCTGCGGTACGCGCGAGAGACCAAGGGGGGGGGTGATGTACCCGCCACGTGGTCCGCGCGGTACAGCTTCCAGTAGGCCTAGCCGCCCCGTCCAAGCGCGCGAACTCGTGCGGCTGGCAGGTGCCCGTGACGCGGGTGTGAATCCGGAGGCGAGGCGACACAGAAAAACACAGCGGCGATGCTCTGCGTCTCGTGCACGGGAGGCGTCGCGCCGGGGCAGCGGCGGTGGGCGCGCGAGCCATAGCCGGGAAGTAGACGACGAGTTCGCTCGAACGAGTTCGCACGGTCTGGCACCAGGGTGAGCGTTATAGTTCTTCGCTGTTGGCTAGTAATTCGCTGACCTACAAGCACCCTCACCGCGAGGATGCTTGAGCGGCCGAAGTGGCACGGCAGACGTTCGAGACCGCAGCAGTCCGGCGGCGCTGTCCAAGGTGACGCGGCGACCTCCGCAGCATTGTCTCTCGCCGAGCCGAGCGTTCACATATCGACACCTAGTCGGCAAGTCTGTGGCAGGCCGCGGTTGCGGGCCGGGGTAGGAAAGCGCAAGGGGGTCGGGAGCTTCTGGACGGAAGACGGTAAAGACGGAGGGGCATCATGTGGGGAATGAGGTGTGGGGCCTGCCGTGCTGGGACGCACAACACACACTTGCGCGCCACAGCGCGGCAGGCCCGACGCCCCGGTCCCCCGCTGGCCAGGGGGGTGCCGGGGGCGCCGCGTCACACGGGTTGAGGTTGGGGGCGGAAGGGGGGGGGGGTTGAGAGGTTGTGCTGCGCAGTAGAAGGCAAAGGTGGTGGCACACAGGAAACCCCCCTGGGGGGGTGTTTTCTGTCAAAAGAGTGCGCCACGCAGGGGGGTCCGCCCCGGCGGGTCCGACTCGCGCGCAAAGTCGGAGGGAATTGTGGTCCGATCGGGATCGCGGCGGAGGCCGGGAGGTGCGGGCTCCTACGTGGTAGGCACGAACGACCTGCGAACGTAGCTGACGCGTCGCAGCCATCCTGCCGTGCGTTGTCGCGTGTTCCCCCTACCGGTCGCAGCGCGCCGCGGCGGCACCGGCACACCCCGGGGGGGGGTGTGCGCAGGCCGTGCCGCGGCGCCTGGCCACTGCCGGGGGCGCGGGGTTGCAACGGCAGAGCTCGACGTGGGTTGCGGGCCACTGCGCGGGCACCGTCGTCGTATGGGCCTCTCGACGGACGGGCCCGGGAGGATCGCGTGTGCGGAAGGCGGGGCGACAGGCGTCGTCGTCGCTGGGGGGCGGGAAGGGTGCGCGGAGAGCGGCACCCTTGCGGTGGGTGGGGCGAGGATGCGCGCCGACGCTGGCGCGCACCGTTGTGGCCGACGCCCGGGCCTCGTCGCGGCGCCCGCCTCGAATGAGGGCGGGCGGGCGCACCGCCGGCAGTGGATGGTGCCGGCGGTGGTCAAGGGGCCGGGCACGCGCGCTCCGCGATGGGGCTGCCGATGCGGCAACGGGTCAACAACGTCCCCGAATTGAGGGGCTGAGTGAGCGGCGGCGGGAGCGCGTGGCCAGCCCTTGCGCCGTGCGCGCCCCGACGCGCTAGTGCCAGGGCTCATGGCACACTGCGCGGGCCGCGACGGAGGGCGGGCGTCGGCCGGGCAAGAGGGTGGAAGCAGGTTCATGAGAGATCAAGGGGGGGAGGCAGGGGGAGGGGGGTATTTGAAAAGAAAGTTGGCGGTGCAACGTGGTCGTTGCATGATGTGTGATGGACTCTGCGCGGCCTGTGGGGGCCGGGTGCGCAGGCACGAGTGGGGTTGTTGACGAAGGCGGGCGGGTGTGGCCGGTCCGCGCGTGGTGCGTGAGGGTCGGTGGTGAGGGCTGCAAGTGCTGCGCGGCAGGTGCCGCGCGGGGCGCCCAGAAGGTGCGGCGCGGGCGACGGCCACCGCGCGCCGCTCAGAGGGTCCGCGTGGGCGGTCCGAGCGGCGGCGACGGTCCGTCGTCGCGCCCCGGGGGGGTCGGGCGTCCCGCGGGCCTCGGGCGCTGCACAGGAGCGTCCTCGCGGGCGACGGGTGGGGCGCCGTTGAGGGACGCGGGCCGCGGGTGGTGGCGATCGCGGTTCGTTCGCGGGTCTGCCGGGGCGGCACACGCGGCGCGAGGCGGTCGCGTCCGTCGCGCGGGGTCGCGCGTGCGTGCGTGGCGCCGCGCGGAGGTTTGCTGCCGCGAGAGCGGCGTGGCCCCCGGCGGCGGGCGTTGCCGGGGGCTGGAGAGAGGAAGGGGGGCGGGCGCGCGCGAAAAAGACCAGCGTGCGCGGCGGACATCGCCCCCGGAGTGGCAAAACGTCGGCCGGTGGAGGGGCCAGGTATAGAGCGCGTCTATCTACGGCGTTCCCGAATCGTTCGATCGGGTTGAGCCACCGGTTTGCGCGAGAAGCACAGGTGGTGGGGGAAAACTTGGGCAGGCGCGAGCGTGCTGGTCACCTGACCAAGTCGAAGGCACGCCGCGGCACTGCGCCTAGCGAGTTCGCCACTTGCCGCGGATCAGATCGCAGTGGAAACACGCCTGGATCTGCCGAGCTTTTCAAGGGGGGGTGTGGGGGGAGGGGGCGGGGGTGGGGGGGGGAACCGGTTCTACAGGGACCGTAGTGATTAAAGGGGGGTGTTGGGGGAGTGTTCGCGACAAGGCGGGGGCGCGCGCAGCGGTCGAGGGGGTGTCAGAGGCAAGGGCCCATATCGGAAGAATCGTCTGCGGCTCCGCCCCGGAGCGGCAGAGGTGGTTGGCGTTGGCGTGGCCGGTGGGGCGCGGGGTGTGCGCCACCGGCCCGCGGGTGACGTTGAGCATGGCGTTGATGAGTCGGCAATCGATCAAGCACCTGCGAGCGCCGACGGCGGTGATTCCCGTCATGATGATGCGCCTCCGTCTCCCGTCTCGTCCAGAGAGCCGAGAGACTTGGCTGGATAGTGGTCAGGTGGGAGTAGTGGTCGGGGGGGGGGGAGTCAGTGGGTACAAGAACAAGCGCGGCACCTGCGCTCGCGTAGGGGTGCTGCTGGCAAGCCTCGTGCGGGACGCTCGGGGTAGGGGGCTTTCGTCCAGGCTAGATTGCAAAGGGGGTGGGCGGGGGAGGGGGGGTGGGGGGGGTTGACGATTTCCATATCGAGCGGCGTGTCCGCCGCTGCGTTGATTGGCGAACAAGCGCGGAGCAGAATGTGGTTCGCAGTCTTCACTGCAAGCAGCGGTCGGACAGTGCGGCGCGGCGCCGGAGCACGAGCGGGGTCCTGCGGTTGGACGTCTCATCGAGCTCGTCCCTACGCGTGCGACTGCGGCGGCGGCGTCGTCGCGGCGGGCGGGCACGTCTCCCGCGCCGCGACCGACGCCGCGTGCAGCCGGACCTGCGGCACCTCGATGCCCACCGTGCGCTGTGGCAGGCACGACACGATGCGGTCGACGACGGACCGGGGCATCTTCGCCAGCGCGCGCTGCAGGCGGCTGACCTGCGGAACCCCGCGCGGGAGGCGCGGGCGTTTCAGCGGCCGCGCGTCGCCGCCGGGGAGCGCGCCAGGGGACTTGGGGCCTGACAGCAGGGCCGTCGCTGGCCGCGCGGGCGGCGCGGCGCCGGCCAAGTGCTGCACCGACGAGCCGTTGTTGTTGCCGTTGTGCCCGTCCGACCCGCGCGTCGCGCCCGGGTCCGACCCGCTGCCGTTCGCGGGCGTCGCCGCGCGCGTGTCGCCGACGCCCGACCCGCGATTCGCACCAGACCCGTCCGCGTTTCCGCCCGACCCGCGGATCCCGCCCGACCCGCCCGCACCGCCGGACCCCGAGCCGTTGCCCTCGTTCGACCCGCGGAGCCCGCCGGAGCCCGAGCCGCCCGCGTTGACCGTGCCGGCGCCGTTGCCGTTGCGCCCCTCGACGCCGCCCGACGCGCCGCCCTGCGGCGTCCCGGTGCCCGTGCCCGTGTTCGGCGCGAGCCCCGGCAGCGCGTGCGTGCCGTGCACGGGGATCGTCCCCGTGCCGGTGCCCGTGCCCGCCCCCTGCACCCTGCCCGTGCCCGTCCCGGTATCGCCGCCCAGCAGCGACTGTCCCGTCGACATGAGCGCGTCGGACCGCCCCATCATGAGGTCCGACGGCAGCTCGCCGCGCCGCAGCGCCTGCGCGATCGCGCGCCGGCTCGCCAGCGCGGCGGTGTGCAGTCCGACTGCGGCCTCGGTCATCGCCGCCGGCAACGCCAGGACGGCTTTCAGGACCTCGTGGACCGTCTCGCCGTCCATGCTGGTGTGCGCCTGGTGGAGTCCGAGCGCCGCGAGCTGCATCGAGGCCATGACGAGCGCCTGGACCTCCGGGAGGCCGTCGGCGGGCGTCGCGGCGCCGTCGGGCGCCACGCGAGCGGCGGCGGCGGCGGCAATGGCCTCCGCGGCTGCGGGGACGGCCGCGGCGGCTGCGCCGGAGGCGACGGGCGCGGCGGAGAGCCCCGCGAGCGTGCTCGGCAGCGCGGACGCCGTCAGCATCGCGAGCCCGCGCGGGAGCGCGCCGGGGCCGGGCGGGGCAGGGACCTCGCCCGCCAGGGCCGGCGCCGGCGTCGCGGCGCGCGGCGTCGCGTCCGCGGCCGGCGGAGCGTCGTCCTCGCCCCGCCGCCTTGCCGTCCGCGGCGCCCGGCGCGCCGCCGCCGCTGCCGCGGCCCGCAGGAGCGTCGCCCCTGCCGTCGACGTCCATCGGGGTCGGCGCGACGGCGTTGTCGGCCGCCTGCATGGGCTGGCGCGCCGCGGCGCCCGGCTCGGACGCCGGGCGCGTCCCGCGCGACGTCATCTCGTGGCCGCCCTCCTCGGGGCTGTCGTCGGCGTGCCCCGCCGACGACACGCCCGTCGGCGCCATCATGCTGCCCTGGTCGTTGCCGCCGCCCCCCGTCGAACCGTTCCCGTGCTGCCCGTTCGTGGCCGCGCCCTCGCCCGGACACACGATCGGCAGCGCGTCCGGCGCAGGGTCCGGGATCTCGAGCCGTGGCGCCTTGTGCTGGTGCACCTCGGGGGGTGCCGACGCGCGCCGCTTCTTGCCCGGCTGCGCCTGCGCGCCGCCGCTGCCGCTCGGGAGGCCGCTGCCGTCGCCCTTGCGCGCGGTCCCCGTCGCGGGCGTCGCCTCGGGCGCCGTCGCCTCGGCGCGCGGCTCGCGCCCGGCGCGCCGCTGCGCCGCGAGCCCTCGGGGCCGAGCGGGCGCGGCGGACGGTCTCGCCGTTGTCTTCGTTTGACCCGCCCGCGGACTGCAGGACGCGCGAGCCCTGCAGGCCGCGCCTGCGCGTCTGCCCCGCGCTCTTCGCGGCGCCGCGCGCCGCGCCCTGCGGGTCGCGCGACGTGGCGTGCCCCGCGCCGCGCGCCGGGTCGCCCTCGGCGTCCTCGCGGTCGCTGCTCTCGGAGCTCGTCTGGCTCTGCGCGCTCGCGCCCTCCTCGGCGTTGTTCTGCGGCTCCATCGCCACGTCGTCCGCGTCCTCGGGCACGCCCACCCCGCCGGCGTTGTTCTGCGCCTGCTTCGACGGCGCGGGCTGCGCCTGCATCAGCACGCCGTGCAGCGCGTGGATCCAGTCCGACTGGTTCGAGACCAGGCGCGTCCACTGCGCGGCGAGGTCGACGGGCGTCCGGCCGTAGTTGTTCGGCGTCTCCAGCGGCGACCCGAGCGACAGGAGCCGCCGGGCGTTCTCCGTGAGGTTCAGGATCGCGACGTTGTGCAGCGGCGTGTTCCCGGACTGGTCCTTCGCCGCGAGGTCCGCGCCGCGCGCGACGAGCGCCGGTCCGACCTTGCAGAAGGTCGCCGGCGACGAAATCGCGGCCAGGTGCATCGGGGTCGAGCCATCGCGCCGCCGCGCCATCACGTCGAGCGACACCGTGTCGACGAGCTTCCGCACGATCTCCGCGGCGTCCGGGTGCAGCGACTGCACGGCCGCGTGCAGCACGTTGCCGCCCACGGCGTCCACCACGCCGCTGAGCCACGCGCGCGCGTCCGCGGGCTGCGTCGCCTTGCTCGACAGCCGCTCCAGCACCAGATCGAACACCTCGAGCGTGCTCTGCGCGGCCACGTGCAGCGAGTGCTTCCGGCCGTCCAGCGCGTTGCGCACGCCCAGGTCCAGCCCCAGGTCGTCGACCGCGAACCGCACGACCGACGGCAGGCCGCTCGCGATCGCGGCGTGCACGAGCGGGCGCGTGCCCTCGCCGCACCCGTCGGGGCCCGCCTGGAGCGCCGCGCGCACCACGGGGTGCGTCAGCACCTTGTCGCGGACAAACGCGTCCTGAAACAGCTCCACGTGGCCCTCGAGGATGGCCCAGTGGACGGCGGTGTCGCCCTGCGACGTGGTCGCGCCGGGGTCGGCGTGGCGGCGCACGAGCGCGCGGATGATCGGCAGGCTGCCCGTGCCGAAGGCGAGGTGCAGCGGCGTGGGGCCGCGGCACCCCCACTGTGGGATCTCGAGGCGGAGCCCGACGGAGGCCGGCGGGCGGAGGTCGTCGAGGAGGAAGTGCACCATGCGGAGGTCGCCCTTGAGGACCGCGTAGTGCAGCGGCGAGAGCATGCGGTGGTCGAACGACCCCGGGTCGGCGCCGCGCGACACCAGCAGCTGTGCCATGTCCGCGTGGCCGTTCGCCACCGCCATGTGCAGCGGCGAGATGTCCAGCGGCCCGCACAGCACGTTCAGGCTCGCGCCGTGCGCGAGCAGCGTCTCGACCGCCGCGCCGCGGTCGAACTCCACCGCGTAGCACAGCGGCGTCAGACCAAGGTCGTCCTCGCGGTTGACCGTCTCCGGGGCGTTCTGGAGCATCTCCTGGAGCACCGCGACGTGGCCGCGGCGCGCGGCGAGGTGCACGGGCGTCGTGCCGCCCGGCAGCATCATCGCGGCGTGGAAGCCCACGTGCTGCATGAGCACCTTGGCGACCGGGAGCATGCCGTCCTCCGCGGCGGCGTGCAGCGCGGTGCCGCGCAGGCGCCACGAGGAGCGGTTGATGCGGTTGTACTCCATGATGAACTGCACCGACAGCTGCGGGTAGTTGGCCTGGAGGTACGCCAGCTCCTGCTCGCGCGACATGAAGAGCCGCGCGCTCGTGTTCTCCGAGCCGCTGTTGCCCTGGCCCGACGACGGGCCGTTGCCCGCCGCCGCGTCCGCCGCGTCGGCGGCGGCCGCCGCCGCCGTCTGCTCCGCGCGCAGCCGCGCCGCGGCCTCGGCGTGCGCGCCGCCGGCGCCTGTCCCCGGCGGCCTCCGCCGGCGCCGCGTCGCCCTTCTCGCGCTTCTCCGCGGCCTCCGGCGCCGCGCCCGCGGCGCCCGCGGCCGGCGCCGCGCCCTTTCCGCCGCCGTTGGGCGTCCGCGTCGCCGACACGAGGTGCGAGAGCTTCCCGTTGCCCGAAGACTTCGCGTTGCCGCCCGAGCCGCCCGACTCGCGGTTGGCGTTCGCGGGGCCGTCCTCGCGCTCCGCGCCGGCGGCGCCCGCGTCGTCGGGCTTGGCCGCCTTCTTCGCGCCGCGCGCCGCGGCCCCCACGGCCTGCCCCGCCAGGTCGGGCCGGTTGCTCCCGCCCGAGCCCGTGCCGCCGGTGCCGCCGTTCGTGCCGTCGCCGGAGCCGCTGCCGTCGCCGGAGCCGCCCTCCGCGTTCGCCGCGGGCGCGTCCGTGCCGCCGTTGAGCGCCTCCTGGCCCGCCTGCGCCGCCGCCTCCTGCCCCACGTCACCGGGCACCTTGCTCTCCGCGCCCGAGGAGCCGCCGTTGCCGTTCGCGCCGCCCTTCTCGTTCCCGGCGGAGTAGTCGTTCGCGTCCGCGTCCGCGCCCTTCTCGCGGCCCTGCCCGCCGCCCGCGCCGGCGCCGCGCTCCCCCGGGGGGAACACGTGATCGCTCGACGGCTGCCGCGAGCGCGCGCCCGCGCGCGACGTGTCCTGCGCGCCGTCGACCTCCGCGTTCTTCGGCTGCTGCCCTCCGCTCGGCTCGTCGTCGTGCGGCGAGAAGCTCGACCCCGACGACCGCAGCTGCTCCGACGAGCTCAGCGACGCGGGGCACGGGTACGACGGCCGCGCGATCTTGAACTTGAGGTCGAGCGAGCGCAGGAGCGACAGCACGTGGTCGCGCCCGAACGCGTACGCCCAGTCCGTGGGCGTGCAGCCCAGGCGGTCGCGCACCTGCAGCGACGCGCCCGCGCGCACCAGGAGGGTGATCACCTCCGGAGCGTCGCTGCTCATCGAGCAGCACGCGTAGTGCAGCGGCGTCCAGCCGAAGTCGTCCGTGGAGACGACGCGGAGGCCCGGCGTCAGCAGCAGGCACCGCACCACGCGCGCGTGCCCCGCCTCGGCGGCCGTGTGCAGCGGGCTGCACCCGTTCGCGTCGCTCGAGTTTGGGTCCGCGCGGAACTCCTCGAGCAGGCAGTTCACGATGCCCTCGTGCCCGAGCTGCGGGGGAGGGGGCGCGGGCGGCGGCGGTTCGGCGTCGCGGGCGCGCGGAGGGGGGGGGCATGACGGTGTGCGTGGGCAAGCTTGTGCGTGCGCTGGCGCGCGTGCGAGCGGGCGCGGACCTGCGCGGCGACGTGCAGCGGGCTCGGGCACCGCTTGTGGATGGATCCGTCCAGCCAGCTCCTGCGGCGCGCGGGGAGCGGTTGGCGAGGGTCGGCGTGCTGGTCGTTAGGGGGGTGGGTACAGTAGACCAGTACTGTCCGGTGCGGCCGCGTTGCGCGCCGCGGCGTCCGGGGCGCCGGCGCGGGGCGCGCAGGGCCGTGCGAGAGCGCTGCGGCGCGGGCGCGGGGCCGGGCGCGGCGCGGCGGGCGCGAAATCGCGGGTGGGGGTGCGGGGCTGCGAGCGGACCTGTTACGTTTGCCGACAGCGCGCAGCGCCGCGATGTCTCCGCCGAGGCAGGCCTGGAGGAGCAGCTTCGCCTGCTCCTCGAGGTCCTTCGGGGACAGCGCGCCGCCCCCGCCGGCGATCACGGGCCCGACGAGCGGGGGGTCGCCAGGGCCGCTGGGGGCGGGGCACTTCGTGGCGTCGCCCGTGCCGGTCTGGCGGTCGTCCGTGGCCGGCCGGGGCGTGCCGTCGTCGTGGTGGTGCTGCCCGGGGGCCGCGTGCGTCCCGGCGTCGTCGTGCGCCGGCGCCGCGGCTGCCGAGGTGCCGGCGCTTCCCTGCGCGCGTACGGGGCGGGTTCCGCGCGGAGTGGGCGGCGCGTCGTGGCGCACTGGGGCTGTGTGGGGCGGGAGGTGGGCGGGGGTGCGCGAGGCGGGCGGGAAGGGCGAGTGGGGACAGACTGCGCCACGCAACTGGCAGGGCACTGGTGCGACCCAGGTGGCCGCGCCGGCGCGGGGGGGGGCGGAGCCGCGGGCGCGGGGGCGTCGCGTCGCGTCTCTGTGTGGAATACGCGTTGTGCGCGGCCCCGCGGCTCCGCGCCGGCGCCGGCGAGCGCACAAGGGTGGTGATCGGAAACAAGGTCGCGGGATGTCGGCCGCCGGGGCGCCCAGCGCCGTGTGCGCGGCGGGACGCGCGAGAGGAAGTCGCTTCGAGGCGCGAACGGCGGGCGCGCGGGCGTCTCACCATCGGGTCAGCCTCCAGCGAGATGTCGACCGCCTCGACTGAGCCATCGTGCTCGGCCTTCTCCCTCATATCAGGCCTCGTCCGCGCGCTCGTCCAACAGTGATTGGGGCTTCGAGTCGGTGAAGCCCATCCTCCGCTCCGCCGCGCGAGGGACTCTCGGAGCTGTCGAAACGCGCCTAGAGCTGCGCCCAGTCGCGCTCGTGGCGCCCAGGCTCGGGCCCGCCAGCGTCAGCGGGTGCTCTCTATCTGGTCTACGTCAGGGGGAGCGCGCCGCCTGCCCCGGGCCGTGGCCAGCAGCTCGGCTACGAACTGCCGTGCTCGCCCGCGGAAGGTGGGCTGCTCGTGGTGCGGGATGAAGCCAACTCGGGGCCTCAGCTCGCTTGAATTACGTGTGCGAATACCCAGGTGCGCAGAATATGCCGCCGGAGGCCCGCGCCGAGCGCCTACGACGCCCCAGAGCTGGAGCTCTCCAGCGGTCCAGTGCTCACGTCAGGCAGGCCAGTGCACGACAGAACGGCCACAACTTCCCGCCGGGTGCACGCCGGACGCAGCATACTCACCCACTTCACACTCCGCTGCGCCACTCCGGTCCGCCGCCGCGCTCTCCGCACCGCCCCGGCCCCGCGACGGCAGGCAGGGCAGATCCCTAGTAGCTCGCGCCCATCGCCTCGCCGCCGCCGCAGGCCGCCGCGGGGACGCGCCCCGCGCACGACGCCGCCTCGGGGACCCCGCCGCGCGCGCAGCCGCGCACGATGCGCGCCGCCAGCGCCCGTGAACGGACCGCGCGCACCCCGACGCCACGCGCGCGGTGCGGGCCGCCGCGGGCGCACGTACGCGGCGAGCGGGGCGCCACGCGGGATGTCGACGATGGGCGGAGCGGGTTGCGCGGTGGCGCGTCGGAGCGCGCGCCCTCGCGGCGCCGGTCGCGGGAACCCGGTGGGCGCAACCGCCGCTTGGGAGGCGGCCCGGACGGCGCGCGCAGGCGGTCGCGCTCCCCGGCGCGCGCGCGCGGGCGACGCTCGGGCCGCAGGCGTGCGCGGGGGCGCGCCGCGCCGCGGCGACGAGGCCTGCCGGCGCCGAACGCGCCGGTGCACTGGACCTGTGCGTTGACCGAGCCGACCTGATATTTAATACTTGCGCAATGCAGTTTGACGTGGACCAATTACGTGAGCACTTCAGCATGCGCAGACTTGGGCGCTGCAGCGTCGTGGAGCACGCCGCGCGCCGCGGCGGGCGTCCGTGCGCTCGCGAGCACGTCGACGTGGACGCCTCCGCGCGCCACCGCACGCGCGACGACGACGACGACTGCGCATGAAGCAACCTCACCGCACATGAAGCATGCACGCACCGCTTGCCGCGCCGCTTCGAGCGCCGGCGCGCGCTGCGCAGATGTCCACGCGCCGCAGCACGCGCCGCCGGCGACGGAGGTCGAGGCAGCCCACGCGCCGGCCTGTGGACAGTCAGACAATCACAGGGGGGGTCTGCTTCTGCTTCCCTCGCTGCGGCCACGTCGCGCCGGTCCTGAGCGCAGCGCCGTGGTGCGTGACACACCCCTCGTGCGCCCGCCGGCGGCCGCCCCACGGCGCAGACCGCCCCGCGAGCCAGCAGCGTCACGACGTCGACGTCATCGCGCATGTCATCGGGGCTGCTGTGCTTCGCGGCGTGGTGCCGCGGCGGCCGTCCGCGCCTGTGACGCCAATGCAGCGCCGCATGCGGCCGCAGTGTCAGCTCCTCTGCGTCCGCCTCGATCACGCCTCGCGACGACAACTCAGTTTTTTTGTCGTCTTCCGCGTCGGCCGCCGGCGGGGCCGGTGGCCTGCACCGCCCGGCGTCGAGGTCCTCCGCCGTAAGTACTCGCGCGCGCGCATCGCCGCGACGCCGCCGGGATCCGCCCCGCACACAGCGTCGCGCCAGCAGCCCCGCCGCGCACGACGGCCACCCGACAGCGCCCGCGATCCGGCCGCGCGCGCACCATGGGATGCGCGTGTCGGGGCGAGCGGGCCCGGGGCGTGCGCTGCGCTTTGACCGAACATTACCCCCCCCCCCGCCACGCGTGCGCCCGCTGTCCGCCTCGTCGCCCACGGACCCGGGACCCGGCCCCGCTTGCCGCCGCGCTCCTCAGCCGTCGTACCCGGGGATGTCCGACCACGAGTACCCGTCGTGGCCGCGGCGCACGCCCCAGGCGACGCGCAGCACGTACGCCCCCGGAACTGCGCACATGAGCCCGAGGCCGAGCATCGTGATCTCCGCCTTGGGCTTCGGGCTCTTGTAGTGGCCCAGGTAGTGCAGGAGCGCGGCGGCGAGCAGCACCGCGCCGGTCACCGCCAGCAGCGCCCCAAGAACGATGCTACCGACGGGCACGCGCTCTCGGCGCAGGAGGGCCGGCGGGCGCCGCGGGACGCGGTCCTCCTGCATGTATTGGATCGGTTCGGCACGTGGGTGCGCGGATTGGCCCGGAAATCGGCGCGTGCGCTGGGGCAGGGGCCTGTGCAGGGGTCAGCGTGCTTGCAGGTGTGCGCGCGCACCCCGTGGAACTGGGCGTCGGGCTCGGAGTCCGACAGGACCGCGTAGCGGCCGAGCGCCGGCCCCTTGCGCTTCAGCATCCCCGGGACGCCGCCGCGCGCCGCGCGCACGCCCTGGCGAGGTCCTGCGTGTCCGTGGCACTGCCGGCACGGCGAACGGCAGGTGCGCTGTCGGCCGACGGTGCGCGGCGAGCGAGGCCGCGGCAGCCGCGCGGCGGAGGTCTCCGCGACGCTCGTGCGGTGCGCGGCGGTGATGCGACGAGGGAAGAGAGGAGGAGCTGGAGAGTGCAGGTTGTGAGACTGACACAGGGGTGTTGGAGCGGTGGGGGTGGTTCGGAGGGTGCGAGGTGCGTGGGACTGCGCGGGCGCGGCGCTGCCGGCGGCCTAGGCCCGGCCAGGGGCCGTCGCGCGTATAAAAAGCACAGGTCCCGCCTATGGTGGAGAGTGGGGCGGCCGTCATGGGTGGGCGCTGAGGGCGAGCTGGGCCAATCTGCGTCGATAGAACTGTGCGTAGGCTCGTGGTACGCGGCCTGGTGGCTTGCGCGGCGGCCCGTGGAGCGCGGAACCGCGCTGAGGCAACGAGCGAACCAGCACCGAGGCCGTGGCGTCCCAGCGACGCGAAACGGGCCGGCTGCCGCGCCACGTGGATGATACCGGCGCCCCCGTAGTGCGGCTGGGCGACGCAAGCGGTCTGGTGCCAGGAACACGCCCCTGTGGCCGCGAGGTGGAAAGTCCCTGGGAAGAGGACCGGCGCGAGCCGACATGACGTGAGGTACGCGCATGCCGGTCACGCGAACCGTCAGATAGGATCGCAGAAATTGACCTGGCGCCGCGTGCAGGGCGCAACGACCCGTCTGTTCGGCGCGCGAGGCTCTCGCGCCCCGCGCGTGGCACGTCTTGCCCGCTACCGCCGCCTCGCGCGCCGGTTTCGCAACGGAGGCAATTCCACGCGGCAGGAACGCGCGCAACGGCCCCAAAAGGGCGCAAGTCCGCGCCGCTCGCGCCTCGCTCGGCTGCAGTCGAGCCTTCGAGCACCTCGCTCTCGCCTGGCTGCACCGCGCCGCCCGCACGCGCCACACATTCCCCGCTCCGCGCGCCCTCGACCCACCTCGCCCTCCACGCCCCCCCGCGCCCACCCCGCGCCCTCGCAGGCCCCCCTGACGCAAGCATTCCGCGGCCCAAAGCCCGCCCAGCGTCCCCACCGCTGCGCCGCGCTGGAGCCCCCCCGCGGCCTCGTCCGCGATGCCGGTCGAGCAGACCCGCCGCGTGAGCTTCGCAGACCCGCGCGTGGACTCCCTCGAGCGCCGTCAGAGCGCCAACGAGGCCCCGCGCACCACGGCGCCCCCAACCCACGCTGGGCACGCCCACGCGCCCGCCGCGGGCTACACGCGCCACGCGCCGCCCTCCATGCCCTTCCCCAGACCCGAGCCGCCCTCCCAGCGCGCCGCCGGCCGCCTCGGCACGCCGTCCGGGGCCTCGGACAGCGCCAAAGAGGCGCCATTCCGTCGCTCGCTGACCGAGGCGCACTACTCGGGGCGCGGGATGCGCGGGCGGCGGCCGTCGGACCGCACGCTCGTCTCGCTCCCGCTGAGCGAGGTCCGGCGGTCCACGGCGGAGGAGGGCGGTGTGGGGACCGCGCCGCAGACGCCGCATGCGCCGGACGAGGTGCCGCGGCGCGGCTCCGGCCCGCTGTCGGCCCGGGTGAGCTCCGGCGCGTTCACGAAGCTCGTGTGCCGGTACGGCGGGTTCTACGGCGCGGACGAGGCGTCGGGCGAGATGCGGTACAGGGGGGGGGAGTCTCGGCTCCTGGTCGTGCCGAACGACGCCAGCCTCGAGGAGCTGCAAGGTGCGCCGACGCCGACGCGGCTGCGTGCCAGTTTCCGGCCGCAGCGAAGCGATCGTTCGCGCAGTCGTGTGCCGTCCCTTGGTTGTTATTCTTGTTGCGTCGCGCTTGACTTGTGCTTCGCGCCTCGCCTCCGGTGGCCGCAGAGATCATCCAGCGGTCCGTCGCGACGGCGGAGGGCGACGGCGCGTCGTCGGGGTTCCAGCTCAAGTGGGAGCTCCCGGACGTGCCGGGGGAGTTGTTGTCTCTGGACACCCCGGGGGACTGGGACGTCTGTCAGGCCGAGGCCGCCGCGAACCGCGCGTCCGGCGCCGTCGTCAAGGTCATCATGCTCCCGCTCGGCCCGGGCGCCGTCCCGCGCCGCACGCGCACCGCCCACGCCCACCGCCGCTCCCGCTCCGCCGCCGACAGCGACCTCCAGGGAGTCTTCGGCTCCCCGACGCGCTCCGGCGCCAGCCCCGAGGCCGCGCTCGCGTCCGCAGCGAGCCCCGACGGCACGCCGCACCGCGGCACGCCGTCCGCGCCGACCAGCGCCCGGGCGTACGCGTCGGCCAGCACAGTGTCGCGGGAAGGCAGCGGGGGGCCCCGGAGCCCGGTCGGGCCGCCGAGCGCGCCGAAGCCGCCGCCGCCGCCGATCGACACCGCGTACGATGAGAGCGGGCCGAACAGCGCGCGCTCGTTCCACCGCAGCGGGTCCACGCGGTCCCTCAAGGACAATCATAGGACGCTGGTGCGGCGGGGGACGCCGACGAGCGCGCACGCGCCGGCGGGGGCGGCGCAGCCGCCGAGCGGGTCGTCGCCGCCCACGCGGCAGGTGTCGGGCGGCGGGATGCGCGGGTTCGGCGCGGGGCGGGCGGCGCGCAGCGCCGCGGCCGCGGCAGCCACAGGCGCCACCGGACGGTGCGTGCCCGCTGCGGCGCCCGAGCGCCTTCGCGCGCGCCGGGCTGGGCGACCGAGCGCGCGCGCGCGGGTCCGCTCTCGCTGCATCGCAGTCGCGAAAGAGAAATCGCCGCTCTAAGAGATAGAGCGACGGTTTCTTATATATAGTATAGAGGTTGCTGAGTGTTATTTTCTTCTCTCTGGCTGCTCGCAGGGTCGCCTCCGGATCCGGACGCGGCGCACGCAGGCAGCACGGGCCACTCGGCGGGCCGCTCGTCCCGGAACATCTCCCCGGGGAGGCTGATCGAGCCGCACACTCCGCTGGGCGCGGCGTCGACGGAGATGAACGACCAGCACCCGTCGACGGGGCCGTCGGGCAACACCTCGCGCGCGTCGACCGCGCCGTCGCCGCGGCCCTCGGCGCCGTCGCCGCGGCAGCCGGCCCCGCCCGCGCTGGCCGAGGAGGGGGAGTTCTCCGAGGTAGAACTTCAGGGCCACCTGACGTCAGCCGTGCGGTCGCAGATGCTCGCGAAGAAGCGCTTCTCGCAGGCGCAGCCGCGGAACGCCTACCACGTGGTCAACGACGCCGACGCGGGGCTCATGCCAGAGGAGTCAGGCCTGCTCAAGGTCGACGGGGCGCCGATGCGCGCCGGCTGGGGCACGCCGGGCTCCACCGAGGCCGGCTCGAACGCCCACTCCGAGTTCGGCTCCCAAGCGCCCATGTCGGGCCTCAGCGCCAACCCTCTGATGACGCGGCTCAACATGTTCGCGAACCGCGCCAACAGCCTGCACGACCCGTCGTCGCGCGGAGACCACTCCTCGCAGGGCACGCAGCGCTCCACGGCCGCGGCGCTGCCCCCGCGGCAGCCCTCTGGGGGCCTCCCGGTGTCGTTCCACGCCCCAGTGTCGCCCCAGAGCGGCGCTCTGTCGGACGAGGAGGACGGGTCGCTGAACGACAGTATATCGCACGGGAGCCTCGCGCGCGCGAGCGGCGGGGCGCAGGCGGAGCCGGCGAAGAAGGAGGGGGGGCACGCGCGGACCCCCTCGGGGGCGTCGGGCCGCCCGTCGCGCCCCGCGCACCGCGGCGCGCAGGACTCGATGCAGTCGATCCAGAGCTTCTCGTTCGAGGGCGGCCTCGGCAGCGAAGGCAACGTCGCGAGCAGCGCCGACGCCGACAGCGGGCCGGCGCCCGGGCCGCAGTGGAGCGGGGCCACCAGTGAGCGGCTCCGCGCTCCGGCGCCCGCGCCCGCGCCCGCGCCCGCGAAGGGCGGCCCGCGCAAGCCCCCGGGGCTCGCCGTGCAGGGCCTGCACGTCGAGGTGGGCTCGCAGCTCGCGCAGGGGCAGTGGACTGACTCGGGCCAGTGGCAGGAGGCCCCGCCTCCGGCGGCGGAGCCCTCGCTCGAGATGTTCGCGTCCGGCGTGCAGCGGATCCCGATCGAGGACCTGAAGAAGGTCAAGGAGCTCGGGCGCGGGCAGTTTGGGTCGGTGTGGCACGAGCGGTGGCGCGGCGTCGACGTCGCCGTGAAGGAGATGCACTCCGTGGACCCCAAGTCGCGCGCGGAGATGTTCCGCGAAGCCGTCACGCTCGCGTCGCTGCGGCACCCGTGCGTGGTCAACTTCTACGGCATCGTGGCCGACAACAGCATCGCCGCCACCGTCCTGGAGTACGTGCGCGACGGCTCCCTCAAGGCCGCGCTGTGCAAGCTGCGGCAGGCAGGCCTGTTCGCGCGGTGGCCGCCGCGCCGCGTCGACGCGTTCCGCGTCCGCTGCGCCCTCGGCGCGGCCCGCGGAATGGAGTACATGCATTCGCAAAAGGTGGTGCACTTTGACCTGAAATGCGACAACCTGCTGTGCGACCTGAGCAACCTGGACGCGCCGCGGGTGAAGATCTCCGACGTCGGCCTCAGCAAGCAGAAGGCCACCACGTTCATCTCCGGCAACATGCGCGGCACGCTGCCGTGGATGGCGCCGGAGCTCTTTCCGGGGCTCGCCGGGCCCGCCGTGGCCCCCGCGGGCGACGCGGGGCTCGTGAACGAGAAGGTCGACGTCTACTCCTTCGCGGTCGTCATGTGGGAGGTCTGGACGCTCGGGCAGCCGCCGTATTCCAAGCTGGCCATGGGCGCGGTGCTCTCCGGGGTCATCGCGGGCAACCTGCGGCCGCCGGTGCCGCAGGGGTGCCGCCCGGCGTGGGCCGCGCTGATGCAGGAGTGCTGGCGACCCGCGCCGCGGGCGCGCCCGGGCTTCCCGGAGATCTGCGACCGCCTGGAGGCGATGCTGGAGGACGTGTTGCGCGAGGAGGAGGCGAGCCGGGCGGGGGGGGAGTGATAGAGCGTGATTGGGGCGCGAGACGGCGGGAGCGGTTCGCCCCGGCGCGGGTGGGCGGACGGGCCGCAGGTTGCGCGATGTGAGAGGTGTGTCAGGTGTGTGTGCGTGGTGCGCGCTGGGCGGCAGGGCCGTTCCTGCGCAGCGCTGCGTGGCTTGCGCGAGAAGAAGTGTTGATAGGTGTCAATTACTACTCTGTGTTGATAGGTGTTTTGAGGTTTTGTTTTGAGGTTTTGTAGTCTCTGATGGGCGCCGGCGCGGTGCGCGTTTCGCGTCTTGCGCGGGTGCATCGATGGCTGCGTTTGCGGCGCGGGGCAACCGCGGCGCGCAGATAGGCCATCACATGTCCTCCGCAGACCTCATTTCCCTTCTACTACTTGGTCTTCTTGCGCGCGGTCCTCCTGACGGGCACGGGGGCGAAGAAGTGCTCCCAGGCGTTCTTGAAGTACACGACGAAGGACGCGACGGTGAGCAGCGCGGCGCCCCACAGCCCCGCGAAGGCCACCACCGTGGTCAGCACGCGCCGGTCCTCACCGTCCGACAGCGACGGGAACAGCCCGACGGGCAGCCGCCGCGCGAACAGCAGCACGGTCATCGACGACATCTGCAGCACCGTCTTCCACTTCCCCAGAGTGTTCACCTGCGTCGCACCCCCATCACACACTCATGCAAATATATATATCTGAAATATATCAAAAAATCCACGAAAGATTCATATACGCACCTTGACTGCCTTGTGGGCGTCGCCAGAGGACGCGGCGGCCCACTCGCGCAGGGCCGACATGGAGATCTCGCGGCCGATCATCAGCGAGGCCGGCACGGCCATCATCGCCGGCGTGATCGGCGCCGGGGGGTCCACTGCGAGGTAGATCAGCGCTGCGGACACACAGCAAGGCAGCACTGGTCAGAATTCGCTCCCAGCGGACGGTTCGCGGGTGCTGTGGCGAGATGCAGCGAGGAGGCGGGGTTGGGTACCTGTGGAGACCATGATCTTGTCCGCGACGGGGTCGAGGAACGCGCCGAAGGCCGACACGAGTCCGAGCATGCGCGCCAGCATGCCGTCGAGCCAGTCGGTGAGGGACGCGACGAGGAAGCACAGGGCGGCGTAGAAGGGGAAGGCCGGGTCTATATCGCGCCGGGGGTCGTACAGGAGCGCGAACAGCGGGACCATTATAACCCTGTACAACAGAACGCGACGCCAGGGGCGATGTTACGTATATTTAGCCGCGCGAGCGCGCTCGCTGTGGCGCATTGTGCCGGTGCATGCCGCGCAGCGCAAAGCGGGGGCAAGAGGGAGGCCGTGCTGGCGGCGGCGGGGCGATTGGAGACAGCGGACGCGCAACGAACGGCTGCGTGCGCGTCGCAGGGGCGCGCGCGCCCTCGTTCGGCGCGCGCGGCAGGGCTGCGTGGCGCATTCTCGTCGCAGCGCACCTCGCGATCGTGAGGACGTTGGGGATGTTGAAGAGGCTGGGGGTGACCAGCTCGACCTCGCCAGGAGTGACCGAGGCCTTCCTAGTCATGCGGTAGAACTGACTCCGCCGGTCCACCGTCGAGATCAGGTCCTCCTGCGCCCAGCGCGCACGCTCCCTCGCACGTTCGACGCGAGCACGCGCCCGCGCCGCGGTATACAGCCCAGATGGCTGCAGCGCGGCACCGCGCCGCACCGCGAGTACAAGCGCCCATTTCGCATCAATCGCCGTGCGTGCTGTAGCCAATACGATCGCCTATCACGGGGGCGGGCCCCTCTGCTTGTGTGTGTGACGCCGCGGCGGCCATGGTCCGGGCAGGTAGGTACTCCGTGCCTACCTCCGTGCCTCGCCGCAGGAGCGGCACGCGCTCGATGCGCGGCACCGACAACGACCTGCCGTCCATGGCGGTACCTCCTTCCCTGTCTGCTCCGCCGTCGCGGCCTCGCGCAACTCACGGCGTGTTGTCAAGAGACGTTGCTCTTCCCCGGTCCGCACAGACGTCTCAGGCTCCCGCGGGCGCTTCGTAGCTGGCGTTCCAGGATGCGGGGCTCCAGCCGCGAGCGCGAGTGCCGCGGCGGCCGCGGTGGCGCCGGCAACCTTGTGTTGTGTGCTGCTGCTCTGCGACTGACTGATGTGCGGGACGACCCGGGGGGGCTCTGGCGGCGTGCTGACGGGCCGCGAGCTGCGGGGTGCGGCGCATTCCCGACGGTCTGTCGCTGGCGCGCTTCCCGGCACGTGTGCGGCCTCGCTGTGCGGCGCAGACAACGACAGTTGGTCTTTGGTGGTTGTCGTTCGCGTTTTCGGCCTCGAATCACGGCTTGCGGCCATGACGCGCCGCGGCGGCTGAACGACGCGCACGATGGTGGCCGGCAGCGCGAGGAACGAGTTCGCCGGACTCGGGGCGCGCGGCAACGAGGCGCCTGGCTCGGCCCCAGACACTGAGGACCTCCGTGTGCTCGGTTTCGCAGTGGACCTCGCGCGAGACGACGCGGCGGCCGCGCGGCAGGAAGGCGGGCGTCTTCTCGTGCCCTGCCTCGGCGACGCGTCCGTCATGGTGGACCGGTTCGACGTGCGTTGCCTCCTGCCCACTGTGGCGGGGGCACCCAGGACGAGTCCGGGCGCTACAGGTGAGCCGCGCGTCGATCTGGGAGCAGCGCAGCCTGGCCACATGGTCTCTGGTCGCCCAAATTTGTCACATTCACGCGCATGTCGCCGCGCACACCCGCGCACCGAGCGCCGACGGCCTCCACCAGCCCTCCTCTGCGCGCGCTCCGGCGACGTGCGCCGCCCAGCGGCCGTCTATGTAGGTTCACTGCTCGAACACCGCCTGAAACGCCACGGTCCGCGCAGAAACTCCGGAAGATAGCGACCTGGGCGGCCGCTGGGCGCAGCGCACGAACGTGGACGCGGCGCCCGCCGACGTCGCGTGCTCCGAGGACCCCGCGCTCGGCGGCCCGCTCGACCCCGACAGCCTCGACTTCGAGCGCTTCGCCGAGCTCCCCTCCGCCGACTCCGCCCCCGAGACCCCCCCATTAGCTCCCCCAGTAGCTCCCCCCCCGCCCGCTCCGCTGCCCGCCACCGCCGCCGCCGCGAACGGCGACCCCGCGACGCCCTACGACCCCGCGGGCGGCGCCGAGCTCCCCGCGGAGCTCTATACGTCCCCGGGGGGACTCCCAGGCAACGTCCGTGAGGACCGCATCATCCACCAAACCGCGGCCTTCGTGCGCGCGAGCGGCGGGCAGGCCGAGTTCGTCCTCGCGGTGCGGCACGCGCGCGACCCGCGCATGCATTTCCTGCGCCCCGAGCACCCGCTGCACGCGTACTATCAGTGGGTGCTGCGGGCAGCGCCGCACGTGGAGTGGCCGGGCGGCGGCGGCGCGGCGGAGCGCGCGCGGCGCGGGGAGGACGGCGAGGGGCGCGCGCTGGTCGGGTACTCGTCGTCGGACGAAGAGGACGCCGCGGCGGAGCCGGGGGACGGCGGCGAGGAGGGTGTTCAGGTGAGAGACGCTGTGTCGTGCTGGGGGGGTTTTGTTTGCGCGGGTGCGTGCGGGGGTGGTGCTGCGTGATGCGTGGAGCACGTCTGGTGTGCGTCTGTTGTGCGTTGTGTGTGTGTTTGGTATTTGGATCCGCAATCGAGGTTTGGTGGTGGTTTGTGCGTTGCTTGGTGCAGATCCCGGAGCGGACGCGCGCGCTGATCGAGCGCATGGCGTCGCGCGTCGCGACGAACGGCGCGGCGTTCGAGGCGCGCGTCAGGTCCTCCGCGCAGGCCTCGCTCCTCCCCTTCCTCAGCCCAACACACCCCCACTTCTGGTTCTACCGCCAGGAAATCGAGCGCCGGTGCGGCGACGACGTCGCCGCCGAGGTCTTCGCGGGCCTCGCCGTCCCCGCAGGCCCGGAGCCGCCCCCCGCGGCCGCCGCGGCGGAGGACGACCCCCCCGGCACCAGCACCGACCACGACGCCAACGGCGACGGCGACGTGGCGTCGGAGGGCGGCGAGGACGACGGCGCGACGACGGGCGACAGGGTCGGCCTGCGCGCGGCGGACAGCGCGCACGACGACGGGTCGGGCTCGGCGACCTCGCAAACGGACGCGGGCGCGTCGAACGGCGACGGGGCGGCGGAGGGAGACAGCGGGGGGGGTCTCGACGCGTTCCTGGCCGGAAGCGCGCCGCTGAAGGGCGCGGACGGCGGCGCGGAGCCGCCGGCGGCGGGGCGGCCGTTCCGCATCCGCAGCAACCCGCTCATGCCGGGGGTGCGGGGAGTGCGGCGCGGGGGGGGGGGTGTTGGTGTGGCGAGCGCGGGGGGCGAGAAGGCGCCGGGGGACGGCGAGAAGGCGGCGTCGGAGGAGGCGAAGCGCGCGGAGCGCCGGCGGCGGGCCCGGGAGGTGCTCGCGCGGATCGCGCGGGCGCAGGAGAGGTCGGGCGGCGCTGGGGCGGCGGCGCGGTCGCCGCTCGAGGTCTCGACGCCGCCGGAGACCTTCGCGCACATCCGCAAGGCCAAGGCTGCGTTTCTGCGGGTGAGTTGTCCCGTCCGTCTCCTGCGTGTTGCTGTTGGTGCAGACGTACGCGGCGGGTGTGTTTCCGACGGCTGTGCGCCGTGCGGCGCCGCGGACCGCAGGAGGACGACGATCTGGGGGATATAGTGCCGGAGGCCGGGGGCTCGCCGGCGGGGTGGGGCGAGGGCGACGCGGATGGCGAGGAGAGGTGGGGGAGTGATGGCACGGGGGGGGGACTGGGAGCGGTGAAACGGCCGCGCGCTGCGTCGCCGGCGATGGACGTGGGCCCGCGGAGCAGGCGGCGGAGAGGCGTGCTGTAGCGGGCCTGCGGGGGCGCGTGATCGCGCGAGGTCGTGTGACGCCAGGACATGACAAACGAGTGAAGCGCAGTCGAGAAAACCAGACTAGGCCTGTCGCGAGACTTCTGTTCCACTGGCTACCCCGGGCCGCCCCGCGTGTCGCGCCGAGAGACCGTGAAAACCGCACCAAAACAGACTCCCGCGGTCAACTAGGGCAGCGACCGCACGCACAGCGCACAGGACCCCAGTGCGGGCACGCACGGAGCCGCTTCCCACGCACGGTAGCGGAGACGACATCCGGCGCTCTGGCGCTTCACATGCCGGCAGCGACACGCGCAAGCGCTCCTCCGCTCCCCCTCTCTCCGTCGCGATCACCGCACGACGCCTTCACGCCCTCCCGGGCGACCCCCGCGCCACCGCGGCGCCCAATGGGTCCAGACTCGCGCCGTGCTTGCGGGCGGCGCGGGCGGCTTAGAGGTTGATCTTGCCCTCCTCGACGAGCGACTCGACGCGCAGGAGCACGAAGCCGAGGGCCAGGCCGACCAGCGTCATGCCGAACATGGTAGCAGCCGTGCCCCCGATGAATCCGGCCTCGCCGGCGACCTGCGCAACCTCGACGGGCGACACGGCCGCGACGACGGCCTGGCGGGGCGCCGGGCGGGCGGTGCGCGAGGCGACGCGGGCCTGCGGGGGCGGCGGGGCGGGATTCGAGCGCGGTGGGCCGGGGCAGGGCTGTGGGTGCTTGTGAGCGCTGGGGCTGCGCGACCGCGGCGCGGGGAAGGCGGGCGCGGTTCTCGTTGGGGGATATGTGGGAGGGGAGGAATTGGGGGGAGGGGGGCGGTGGTTTGGCCGGGGGGCGGCGCGATGGGAGGGGGTCGGGGAGCGCTCGGGTGCCAGGGCGCGTCTGTGCGGTCGAGCGGGAACGCGCGCCCGTCGCGCGAGCGACGCGCGAGGCTGGCGGCAGGGAGGCGTCGTGCGCCGTGTCACGCGCGCTCGACGTGTAGAGGGGCGAGGCAGCGAGATGCTCGGTGCATCCTTCCTCCTCGCGGCGTGTGGGGGCGGAGACGCGCGGCCGAAACGGCGGATGGAGAATTCGCTGCACGAGGGGGCCGTGGGCGCCGAGCGGCGCGTGCCTCACCTGAGCGCGAGCGCGCGAAGCCGTGCAAGGCTTGGCCAGCGTAGGGCGGACGGCGGAGGTCAGAGCGCTCATCTTGATACGATCGTTCCGGACTCGTACAGCAGACAACGCGTTCCCTCCTTCGCCGCGCGGCAAACACGCCGATTGGCCCAGCGACGGAACCGGAACCGCGCTGTCAGCCCCGAACGTACGTCAGTTCGAACGCGCGCAGCGCCCCGCACGAGGCGGCCGCCGCGGAGGCCCAGGCCACTTCGAACAGGCCGTTTCGCGCCACTTGCGTGTGGCGTCGCGGCCATGTGCGACGTCGAGGATCGCGCTGCCATGGGGGCCGCAGCACAGGGCGACTCCCTGGACCCTGCGCGCAGCGCCTCGTTCCCCGCGGCGCCTCCCCTGGAAGACGCGGCCTCCGGGCTCGCGCTGGGCAGGCCCGCGACGCCAACGATCGACGTCAGCAGGTGCGAGGCCACGGCGGGGCCCTCTGCAGCATCTTCCGCACCGCACACCTCCCGCTGACCGGTCGGGCGTTTCCGGCGCAGCGAGGCCGGCACCTGCGGCCCCCAGGCATCCAGAACCGCGGTTGACGGACGGCCTCGGTCTGTTTCCACGCTCTGAGCCGGAGGGCCGTCTGCCGTTGATTCCCCTTCGCGGCCCGCGCGGCAGCAGCGGCGTCCTCGCGTCTCCGCCCAGCCGCGCCACCCTCACTTCATACTGCTCTCGGTCGCGCACCCCGAGCAAGCAGCGCCCGCGCCCGCGCGCCGTCCGCACCGACCGTTACCCACCACATGACGCGCCGCGTCGCCGCAGGCTCGAGAACGGCAGCGAGCTGGGCGAGGGCGCGTTCGCGCGCGTGAAGATGTACGACTACGTCGACGCCGAGGGCCTGAGCGTCAAAGTAGCCATGAAGATGCTACGCCGCAACTCGGTACGCTCTCTGCGCGGAATGCAGCGCGAAAAGCTCCTCGCGACGCTCCTGACGCAGCTCGGGGGCCACGACCACATCGTGATGGCGTACCCGCTCGACGTCCCGGGCCCGGACGACGCGGCGGGCGTCAAGTCGGGCTCCGTGCGGCGGATCATATGTGAGGGGGTTGGCGGCGCGGAGGACGACTTGGGCGAGGAGGGGCCGAGCGTGCGTAGCCAGGGACAGGACGCGATCATGGCGCAGGAGTACGTCCCGGGAGGTGAGCGAGTCCGGGCCCTGCGCGTCTCCGTCGTCGCGTGTTTTGTATCTGTTTGCTGCAAATTGTCAAATGCAAGATACAGGAGGTGAGCTCGCGCACATCGCTGTGGCGCGCGCGTGGCGGTGCTTGCAGGCAACCTCCGGGACCTGATCTTGCGGCAGCGGGAGGCGCGGCTGCAAGGAGCGGAGCCTGCGTACACCCCCGCGACGGCGCTGGGCGTGCTCGCGGACGCCGCGCAGGGCATCGCGTTCCTGCACGGCTGCGAGCCGATGATCATCCACAGGTCCGCACGGCGCGCACGCCCACGCAACACCCCGCGAGAGACCCCCCCTCCCTGCTCGAGCGAGCCGAGCCTGTCCGCCCACGGCACCGCCTGTGCAGGGACGTCAAGCCGGAGAACATCCTCCTGCTCGACGAGGACACGCACGGCGCGCCGGGCGGGCGGATTCGCGCGAAGATTTGCGACTTTGGGCTCTGCGCGTTCGTCGACCGTAGCGGCCGGGTCGACGGCGGGGCCGCGGTCCTCGGGTCGGACCTCAACAGCCGGCGCGGGTCCAGCGAGGTCGCGCCGGCGCTCGAGCGGCACAGGGCCCTGACGCAGGCGCGGGGGGGGTGTAGCCAGTGCTCGGGGGAGTCGGTGGCGCGCGCGACGGTCCCCGGGCGCCTCGAGCAAGGCAGCGTCACGTCGCAGCACGTGCCGCAGAATCCGTCGCGGTTCGCCCCGAGCTGCACCGAGCGCATGATGCAGCACACCCCCCCCGCGCAGCCCCCGCCGCGCACCGGCGGCACCGACGTCGAGCTGCGCAGCGGCGAGGGCGGCAGCGCGACCCGCGCCCTGCCGCCGCAGACGTCCACGGTCGACCTCGCGGCGGAGGCCGAGGGCGGCACCTCGTGGCCCGGGAAGCACGCGGACGGGCCGGGGGAGGCCCGCGGGCTGCTGTGTCTGACTGGCAGCACTGGCACGGTGCGCGGCCCGCGATCGGGCGAGGGACACGCGTTCCTGCCTGCTTCCTGCGTGCGAGCGTGGGGAGGCGAGGGACCGATCGCAGCCCCACCGGTGCGTGACTGCCTGACTGCGGTGCAGGTGCCGTACATCGCGCCGGAGAACTTCGCGGGGGGGGAGTATGACGAGAAGTGCGACGTGTTCTCGCTCGCGCTCGTGATGTACGAGGTCATGACGGGGGACGTCCTCTCGCGCAAGTACCACCTCGAGCGGTCCGCGCTGTCTGGGAGGGAGTTCATGCAGCGCCTGAGTCAGGGCTGGAGGCCCCCGCTGCCGGCGGACCCGGCCTGGCCCGCGGAGGCGCTCGCGGTGATGCAGCGGGCGTGGGCGCCGGCGCCGCAGGACCGGCCGAGCATGCACGAGGTGGCGTGCGCGTTGCAGGAGGCGGCGGGCCGCGCGGGGCCTGGCGGCGCGGGGCCGAAGGCGGCGCGGGTGAAGCGCACGCAGAGCGCGAAGTCGCGCAAGGGGAAGTGCGCGGTGTCCTGACCGCGCGGAAATGGGACACCCCCCCCCCTTTTCCCTGTTCAGGCGAGGGCTGACGCAGCGCTGCGCATCTGTGGGCGTCCCGAGCCCCGCGACCGGGCCCTCGGCAGCATATCTAGTATTTGAAGTGCAAGCGCCGTCGTTGGCTGCTCGCCGATATGTCCCTTTCATGTTTGTATATCGCGCATGTTTGTTTTCCCAACGTTTGGTAGCGCGAGCGCCAGAGTGCCCGCCGAAGCATTCGGACGCAGGGCGCGCTGGTCGGGAGCTGCTGCGCAGGCTGCGGCGGTGTGCTGCCGCCCGGGCGCGGTGCACCGCTGCAGCCTGCGCGCGCTGTCGTGGTGCATCGTGTGACGCACGCGACGGCGATGTGCGAGGCGTCACGTGGCTGGCGATGAGCTCGCTCTTGCTGCTCGTGTATGCGCCAGGGATGCTCGCAGGGCTCGCCGCACGTGCCGTGCAGCTACGCCCAATTGAAAAGGACGCTTGACGTGCACTGGGGCTTCGTTGGCACTGCAGCAGCGACTTGCAGTTCCACACTTGCCACGTCGCGCGGCCGCCCCTCGCCACACGCTCAGCGGGGCTCAGCGCTGAGTCAGACACAGGCCTGACGAAAGGGGGGTCTCAATGCTTGTGTCTGACGCCTCGCAGGACGCTTGCGGGGCTGCTATTGCGACAGCTTGGCGCTGCCTGAATCGCTGGTACCACTTCAGGTTCCGGGAAGAGACGGCATACACGCCGGCAGCGGACAGGGGCCGTTGAACAGAAAAGTGGACGCGGCGCGGTCGTGCGCAGCGGAGCGGAGTGCTCGGCTTGGCGTGCGCCCAGGTGCGTGTCTGATATTTTTGACGCCCGTAAATCCCTCGATCACGATGTGCGCGGCGACGAACGGCGAGGAATCGGCCCAACTGAAAGTCGTCCGCGCTTTGAGCGACCATCAGCACGTACGGTGCCCTCGCGATGCAGGACTCGAGCCTCAACGTCGAACCACGATGCGCGACAACGATCAGGCCGGTACAGCTGACGCTAGTCGCCCAGACGGCTCGCGTCTTGCGGAGATACCTTCTGTAGAGAGCCAGCTCCGTCGCGTGCTCCTGGAGGCGCCCGTGCTGGACCGACTGCTGGACGACGGAGACAAGGCGAGCCTCGCGGCGACGAGCTGGGGCGCGCTCGAGATCGTGCTGCGGAAGTCCCGCGCGGTGCTCAAAGTCCACCCAGACGACCCGGTGCTGGCCGGTGTGGCAGCGCGGCTCAAGCACGGGCCATGCGACGGCGCGGTGACGGCGTGCGGGGTGCGGGTGCCGGCGACGGACGCAGGGGCACTGGCGCAAGCGCGGGCGCTGCTGGTTGCCGCAGAGAAGCTATACTTTGACGTGCCCCGGGCTCCTGATGAAGACTGCGGGGAGCGCGAACTGCGCGGCAACGCGAGCAGCGAGGACGCGACGCGCGCGTGGGTGGAGCTCGTGGGAGCGCTGACGCGGGGGCCCCGCGGGGCGCGCGTGACGGCGCTGACGCTGCCGGACCTGCGCGATCGACCGACGGCGACGGCGGAGGCGCGGGCGGTCGCGGAGGTCGTGCTGACGCCGGCGGTGAGAGACTGCGTGCGGTCCGTGAAGGTGGTGATGGGGCGCGAGGCGACGTTGCCGGACGAGGCCGTCGGGGAGTTGCACAGCGCGCTGCGGTGTCTGTTGGCGCTGAAGGACCTCGAGCTCGTCGATATTCCCCTCAACTGGGCGTGTCTGGTCGGCCAGTACAGCTGTCCGACGACGCTGGATCTCCGGCAGTCGGCGGCGGCGTTCCCATCGGCGGGGTGGGGCTCGTTCTTCGACGCTATGGAGAGCGCGGAGCATCTCCGCAGTCTCGCTCTTCCGAGCGGCAACGTCCGTCTGACCATCGCAGGGCGGCCACGGACTCTCCCCGCGGGGCTGGAGCACCTCTGCGTGAACAGCACCGACGACCTGTGTTGGTGGGAGGCGACGGACCTGCGTTCGCTGCGGCTGATGACGACGAACTACCCGCCGCACGTCTTGGGGCGGCTCGCGGAGCTGATCGGCCGCTGCGGGAAGCTGCGGCGGGTGGTGGTGGATTTCGCGGACATCGAGGATCCGCGACTCTTGGTCCCGGTGTTTGCGGCCCTGGGGCGCAGCGCAGTGCAGGAACTCAGCTTCGCCGCTCCGGAGTGCACGCCGCACGACGAAACGGAGCTGGCAGCGGCCAGGGCGGCCCTGACGGCCGCCGTCGTCGGCGCCGTGCGCGACAGCGCGGCTCTGCGCCACCTGGAGATGTTAGGCCTCGAATTCTTCGTGCTGGACCGAGCTGCCGTGGTGCGCGCCCTCCACGGCCACGCTGCTCTCCGCTCGCTCGCGATCGACGCTGCGGTCGACGCAACGGGGAATCTCGGCGCGGCTCTCGGCGCGCTGCTCCGGAGCAACACGCCCCTCGAGGAGCTACGCCTGGGGGCGTTCAACTGGTTTCCAGACGGCTGCCGCGAGCTGCTTCGTGGGCTGGGCGACAACAGGACTCTGCAGGTCTTGCGCCTGCGCTGCGATCCGTTGTACCCGGACCTGGATGACGGCGCCGTGCTTCAAGTGTTGGATGCGCTGTACGGGGGGGGGCGACACGAAGGCCGCCAGCTGCGCGAACTGGGGATAGGCTCGTTCTACGCCGGGGCGCGTACCCTCGAGTGCATCGCGACCATTCTGGGGGAGCAGCGGTCGCGCAAGCTGCGCCGGGTGGCTGTGCAGGTCCTCGCCGTTGGCGACGGCGGGGTGCAGGCCATCGCACGGGCGCTGCGGCGGAACTGCTGGCTCGAGTCGTTGGTGCTCGGAGGACTGCAGGGCGTCACTATGCGAGGCTGGGAGGCTTTGGGGGCGGCGCTGGTAGACAACACGACGCTGCGGCACCTGGACGTCAGGGAGGGGCGAGGCGACACGTTGGACTCCGTTCCGGTGGCGAGGCGGCTGTGGAACGCGCAGCAATACGCGATCGCGCAGCGGCAAGCGGCAGGCCACGGCCACTGAGCGCCTACGATGGCATGCCGGCTGCAGCAGCGCGCGCGACCACCGGCAAGCAAAGAAAGTCATCGGCAACCCGCGCGTGAACGAAATGCCGGTGCGCTGTCGTCCCGATCAAGGTGGCAACGTGCCAGAAGGAAGCTAGGTGCACGAGGGGTGCGCCGCGCGTGCCGTGGAGGGCTGCGCAGCCGCGCGGCAGCCACTCACTCACTCATCTGGCGCAGCGCACGCTCCCTGGTCGCGGCCGCCGTGTGACCGCGCCGTCGCACCAACGATCGAGTTTCACAGTGTGCTGATGCACCACACGCGTATGTGTGCGCGGCCTAGTACTTGCCCGGCCAGGCGCCCTCCTCGCGCAGCTCGTCCCACCGCTCGACCCACTCCGTCGGGCACAGCTCCTTGTACGCGTGCGCGAACCTGCAACGCAAACAGAAACACAAACACACCCATTTGATGCAGCAGAAATCAGCCTCCCTCTCTCTGCCCGGAGCCGCGCGGCCGCAAACGCCGGGCGACGCGCCGCGGCCCGCTCCGGAACGCGGGCGGCGTGCGCTGGGCGGGTGCGCGGCGCTGGCACGCACCACTTGCACTGGGGGTCCTCCTCGCCGTCCGCGCGCTCCTTGATGCACTTGTGGAACTCCTCGTACCGCGCCCAGCAGTGCTTCGTGATGTTCGTGCTCGGGAAGCGCCAGTCCTTCTGGACGTGGTTCTTCGGGTTCTGCACGAGCGGGGAGAGAGGTGCACTCGAGGGAGCGGTCAGCGCGCCGCCAGTGGCCCGAAACGCGTCGTTCGGCGGGCGTGCGGGCGCCCCGTGTGGTGCTAGGCCCGCGGGCGGCGCAGTCGCCGACGCGCGGCGCGGTGTGACACCGCCACGCGCAGTTGGTTGGACAGGGCGTGCACTGGAAGCGGGTTCGGGATGGTTGGGGGGGTAAAAAGGGGTGTTTGGCGCGTGCAAGGGGATGCAGTGCGTGGGAAGGGGGCGGCGGGCGGGGCTACGGGGCTGGAGCGGCCGTGTGCGCGCGGCACGGGCCTGCCCGGCTGCGCAGCGGAAGTGGTGCGTGTCTCTTGCGCGCGGCTGCGGGGCGACCCAGGGCGGGTTCGGCGCGCCGCGCGAAGCGTGTGGGGTAGTTCTTTCGGGGACGCACCAGCAGCTTCTGCGGGGAGAACGCCTCAGACTCGTCATCCTCCTGGGCACTGAAGGCCACCGGCTGGGCCGGCTTGGCGACCTGCACGGGCAAGGGTCGCGCGGAAACGGAATGTCACGAAGTTGAAACCGAGGCCCGCGCTGCGGGAACCCGCCTGTACGACCTCGGCGCGCCCGCACCGGGCCGTGCACCGAGCCCGAGCAGCCCCGCGGGCCGCCTGCGCTCTCCCGCCGGACAACGCAATGACCGGCGGCACATCCACGGCACGTACGCGACCTCGAACCGTCTCGACGGCCCGCTCCGCGACCCTCGCGCACGCACCTCGGGCTTCTGCTGCTCGGCAGCACCCTGCTGCGCCATAGTCTCCTCCTTGCCCGACATCCGTGCTCGCCAAGGTACCTCAGGTCGCGCCCTCTCCAGCGTGCACGCCCGCCGCGCCCCTGCGGCCCCTCATCCCCCCGCAAACCCTGACACAACCCCCCCATGCACGCGTCATCGCGTGCTCCCCCCGCCTCCGAGGTCCTGCGCCTCCTCCGCGCCGCCCTCACTTCGTGACTGTCCTAGAGAACCCGAGAAATCGCTTTGATTCGTCGCTAGGAGCGCGGACGAGCCCCCGCCTTCCTTGCACCTTCGCGGGCCGGTCGGCGCGGCGTGGCGGCGATGGCGGGCCACGGGAACGCGTCCTACAACCTCGTGGGCGATGAGGGCACGCTCATGGGGAACTGGGTCGAGGAGCGGGCCCTCTGCGAGGCCTCGGGGAACACCAGATACAAGGTGCAGTCTCGCGGGCAACAATCACCGTCTATTTTTTTTCAAGGGCGGTTCTCGGCCCGACGCAGGCGTCCCGCGCAGCTCCGAGCGCGCCAGCGCCTCGCAGCGACGCCAGCCTTGCTCGCGCGCCGCAAGCGCCGTCACCACTCCTCGTGTGCGTGCTGCGCTGGCACGCACAAGCACGGCAGCTGAGAGGTCGGGGCAGCTGCGGGCTCCCCCGGGCGAATGCGCGCGCCACTGCGCCGCATTCGTCCTCACGGGACAGCTCACACACGGTGCTGTTCGCGGGGAAGCGCGACGGGGCCGGACGAGGCGTGCGCGCGCGCGGGTGGCCCGTTGCCTGCCGTGACGCGGGGCTGAGCATGCTCGCTGGCCGTCTGACGATGGGGCCGCCTGCGACGCACGTACCTGCCGCGGAGCGCCGTGTATGTGGCCTGGAGGGGCGTTTCAGCGCGTGTGTTGGACGTCACGTCCTGCGTGGCCGTCGCACGGACCCTGCACCCACTGCGCTCCTGCAGCCACCTCCGCGCACCGCATACACGCGTCTTGGCCTCCGTTGTTGCGAAAACGCTCTATAATCATACGTTCAACGCGTGAGTCTGCGAAGATTCGCGCAAAAACGCGCAGAAACTTCTCACCGGAGCCGGCTTCTGCGTTGTGCGACATGCAGAGCTGGCTGGGCGCGAACGCGGAGAAGCCGAAGACCGTGTACGCGACGCGCGTCAAGAAGCCGGACTACTTCGACTCCTTCCAGCGCGTCTTCGAGCAGGCGCGCCCCCGCCCACTGTATGACACAGCACCCCCCGCCGCGCGGTGCCCACACCCGCACGCCCCGCGCCGCGACGCAGGTGTGGCACGAGGACATCGCCGCGGGCTACGAGTACCAGTTCAGCGGGAAGGACTCGGACCACTTCACGAGCACGCACAACGCGGACTTCCTCAACCCCGCCACGCGCGGCGGGCCCTGCCAGTACAGAACGATCCCGAAGTACGGCCGGAGGGAGCTCGCGCGGCAGAAGGAGGCCGCCGCGGCGGCCGCGGAGGAGCTGGCGTCGCGGCAGCAGCACGCGCCGGAGCCGGCGCTCACGACGTACCGCGCGGAGCACTGCGGGCCTGAGTCAGGGGCGCTGCGCGAGACGGTCGGGCGGCGGATCACGCGGGACCGCGACGGGCGGCCAGCGCGGCGCGACGGTGCGTTCCTGGGGTTCGTGGCCCTGTCAGACACGTTGCAATGCGTTGCGCAGTCTGACGCTGGGGTGTGTTTGGCGGCGTGCGCGGTGCAGGGACGTGGCTGGCGGAGTCGGGCCTGCTGTCGCGCGGGCTGTCGGAGCGCGCCGCGGGGGAGGGGTACGAGGGGCCTGCCGGGGACAACCCGGCGTACCTCCTGGGTCGGACTGGCCCGCGCAACGACCTGGCTGCGACCAAGCTGAAGCGCGCGGAGTGGTTCGGAATCGACTCGAACTACACGATGCCGATCGGAGACTACCGGAAAAAGGTGGTGGACTGACGCGCGGGGGTGTGTATGTGCGCGCGCGGTGTGGTGGGCATGAACAAACAAACAGCTGGCGTCGGGAGCGGCACGTGGGGAGAGAAGGACGCGGCGGGCTTGGCGTCGTCGGGACGGTGTGTGTGATGCCGGTGAGGGCTGCGCGGGCGGGGCCGAGGACCGTGCGGCGGCGTTCGGGGTAGGTGGCCGTGTCGCGGGGTTGGCAGGTGGTGGTGTGCGCTGGGGGGGGCGCGTGCACGGGTCGATGGTGTGAATGCGTTGACGCGGTGGTGGCGCTGCGGGTGCGCTGCGGGCGGCGGTGGTGGGGGTTGCCGCATTCGAGGGTTGCCGAGAGGCGAGGCTGGTGATATGATATGATATGATATGAGGTGGCGGGGAATTGTCAGTCGAGGAATCCTGGTTGCTGAGGGGGCGAGATCTCGTGGTGTGATGTCGCTGCCCGACCGCCTCTCGCGCCGTCGAGGCCCACGAAGCCGCGGCGCCGTGCGGCGCGCACGCACAAACCCTCCACGGCGGCGCCATCCGGGCGCAGCACGGCTGAAACGGACGCCCTGCGGCGACGTGACGCGCTCCTGCAGCGAAGTTGCCGCCCAGCAGAGACTTGGGCCTCCTCCTGGGCGCTCGCCAGGGGGCCGCTCTGCGGCCGCGCCGCCCCGTCGCAAGGTTTGGTGCGTAGTCAGCAGCGGGAGCGGGTAGAAGGCGCAAGTTAGCGGCGCGGCGGGCCGTGCGGGCGGCGAAGTGGCACGATGCATCACACGCGCTCGAGTCGCGGCGCGACGAAGGCGAGGACGACTCTCGGGATGATGACGGGGTCGGGGTTCGGGCTGTCGGTCGGCGGGGGCACTACGGGGACGGGCTGGCCGGACGTCGTCTTCAGCGAGCCGATGAAGGAGCTAGTGCAGGCACGCCCACCCGCTCCCACTGCAGCGCGCGGCGCCGCGCGCACACGCGGTCTCCGGGCCCGTGGGGCGCCGTGCGGCACGCTCGCGGTCCGCGCCGGGTCCGGGCAGCGTTGATAGGGCCCGCGCGGCGCTGTGCGGCGCGGCGCGGGGCTGCCGACATGCGGGCGACCCAGCGACATGCTCGGACGCTTGTTCCGCCGCACTGCTGGCGATCGCGGGCTCGCCGGCCTGTCTGACGCGCCGCGCTGGATCGTACGGGGACGGTGCTAGCGCCACGGTGCGAGATCTTCGTCTGGGCTGGCGCCTGGCGCGCTGCGTGGGCCGTCTGAGGAGGCGCCGTAGCACGGCGTCGCCCATGTGGCGCTGCATCCGCGTGCTCCGCGCGAAACGGCGCGGTTTCTGGTATCCGGCTGCGGAATATGCCGTCTAGCTTCGATCAGGGGCCGCTCAGATCCAGACGCGATGAGCAGCGGGGCGGAACGGGCGGGGGGAACGAGGCAGCACTCGGCGCCGCGCTGACGGCGCTGCCGCGGCCCCGACGGCTGCTTCGCCCCCCTGATGATAGATCCGTCCTTCAGCAGGCCGTGCGCGCTTCGACGCGCGGGATCAGGCCCGTTGCTCCGCGCACGGCGCTGCCTCACTGCCGGCACCATGGCGTGCTCGCGCGGCGCAGGAGGGGCGGAATTTCAAGTACGTCAAGCAGTGCACCGCGTTGCATCTCGCGCACAAGGGCATCACCGACCTCGTCGGGTTCGAACCCCTGTGCTACCTCGAGGAGCTCTGGCTGAACAACAACCGGCTGATCGAGATCACCGGCCTCGACGAGAACGTCCGAATCAAGCACCTCTACGCGCACGAGAACCTCATATCCACGCTGGAAGGGTCGCTCTCGGTGCGCGCGCCCCCCCGCGCACTCACCCACCTTGCCGCCAGCTTGCGCACACTCGCGCGCCGCGGCGCCGCACGCGGGCGCGACCGCCGCAGCTAGGCGCTCTGGCGCCTGCGCGCCCTAGCTGCGCCGTGACCCGCGCCGTCCGTGGCCCGCATTCGCGTTCGCAGCGCTTCAAGTTCCTGACCTCGCTGGACGTGTCGAACAACCGGCTGAGGGACCTCGACAACGTCCTGGCGTTCCTCTCGCGCTTCCAGCACCTCGAGAACCTCAACCTGCGCGGCAATCCGTGCTGCGAGGAGCCGTCGTACCGGCTCATCGTGCTGTCGCAGATGCCATGGCTGACGGTGCTCGACCAGCACGTCGTGACGCAAGGTGCGCGCCCGCGCGCCCGCCTCCGCGCTGCGATCCATTCTTCTCTCGCGGCAGGAGCTGCCGCGAGGAGGGACCGGGCCCGCGCCGCCGCGTGGGGGAGGGCACGACGCTTGCATGGAGCAGGCCCTTCGGCGCGCAGTTGCGGGGGCGCGGCAGGGTGCTGACGCGGTACGGGCGGCGTTTGATTTTTCGCAGGGGAGTTGGCGCGCGCGGAGCGGTTCGTGGGCGGCGCGCGCGGGCTGCCGCTGCTGTCCTTTGGGACGAAGTCGCCCCCGTTCTACGGGTACTGGAACGCCCCGCCGAAGCCGCGCTTGCAGACGGACCTCGAGAAGGCCGCGCGGCGCGTGCGTCGGCGCATCAAGAAGGAGCTGGCAGAGGTGCGGCCCGACGAAAACAACCTTGACCTCTGCAGCTGCAAACTCGCGTCGTCCGATGCGCGCCGCGACCGCGTTCCACCACCGAGCTACCTCTCAATTCGTCGAGCAACGCACGCGCGAAGCCCGTGCGCCTGCGAGGGCGTTCCCTGCCGCTGTGCGCTGACGTCGGCCGGGCTCCCGCCCGCAAGTGCGCAGGCGGAGAAGAAGCTCGCGGACGAGGACCCGCATCCGCCGGTCGTGGCGCTCGCTGCGCCCCCCGCGCCCCCCGGGTGGCCCGAGTCCGTCATCCAGCGCTACGAGGCAGACTGGCGGTCAGGGCGCATGGCCGCCGCAGCGAAGGCCCGCGAGAAGGCGGACGAGATGGCGCGGCGGCACCTCGCGGCGCAGCGCTCGTCGATGTCGCTGGCGTCCAGCCGGCGGAGCCTCATGTCGGGCGCGTCGCAGGGCGGCGGCACCATGCGAGGTCCGCGCAGCGCTCCCACGCGACGTCCCGTGCGCAGCTTGCTGTGTTTTGGCGCTTTTGGGTCGCGAGAAACGCATGCCGGGGCTAGCTGCGGCCTCGCGGTGCGATCGCTGCGTCGCTGACTTTCGTGTGCTGGCTGGCGGTTGGTTGTTGCAGCACGCATGGAGGAGGACGAGAGCGATACGGAGTCGGAGGAGGCGAGGGAGGCCGCTGCGGTGGAGAAGCAGGTCGAAGCGATGGAGCACGAGTACCGGACACGCGACCTCTACAAATTCTACACGGTACGCACAAACCCCCCCCCCTCCTGCTCCCCAATCTTTTTCCTGCTGCGCTGGGTCGCGTCGCAGCCATCCGCGCTGGCGCCCCGAAGAGCGCGGCGCTGCGCAGCTCGCCGAGCTGCGATCAGCTGTCGATCGCGCGCAGCTGTCAGCCACGTGCGGGGGCCGACTGCGCCGTCCCCGGGCGCGCGTGCGGTGCAGATCGAGCGCGAGCAGATGGAGAACACGGAGCTCCAGTTGACCAAGAAACTGCGATTCAAGTCTTCCGGCATCGCGCTGGACAAGAAACGATACGAGAAGTACCTCCGGCGGAAGGCGCTCGACGCCCCGGGGCACGTCGCGATCAAGTCGGTCGCGCTCTGACGGCCCGGCGCGCGGGATCGCCGCCGCGGCCCCGCCCCGACAAAACGGCGAAACATGCACAAATGTTGGGAATCGCGTCACACGTCTGTCCGGGGCGCAATCGCCGCCGTGGCGTCGCTCTTGGGCCGCGTGCGCGTGTGAGGCTGCTCCGCGAACGTTTTCTGCGTCCGTCGTGCGGGCCGCGCGTAGACTGCCTTGCGGAAACGCTGGGAATCGAGAAATCGTGTCTGGGAGCGCGGCGGACGCCCGGGTGGTCCGGCGGCGGGCTCAGCCGCAGCGCGCGTTGTCGAAGACCGACCGGGACGCGTCGTCGACGAACACCCGCACCCTGCAACCGCGCAGCCACGGCGCAGTGCACCTCAGCGACCAACACACCACCCGGTGCCGATTCGGCGCGCAAAAAGCACGCTGCGGTCGCGGAGACGGTCCGCGGGCACGCACCTGGAGAGCGAGTAGTCCATGGTGACCATGCTGTTCTGCGGCACCTCGATCACGCGGACTTTCGGGCAGTCCCTCAGAATCATGGCCTCCACGTCATAGAACGAGCGGTCCTTGATGCCCGACCACGAACAGATGCAGTCTGCGCGCAAGGAACGGCGTGTTCGAACGTGTGGGCGACGCGGAAGCGCGCGCGAGGGCGGATCAGCCGCCACGTCGCACTGCAACTGCTCTGCCTTCCTTGTGCTGAGGGAAGCGTGCGTGGCGCCCCGCCCGAGCGTCCCGGCCGCATGCGGCGCCGCGAGCGGCCGTTCATGCGCAAGAGACCGACGTGGTATGCGCCGGGGGCGGTGCGTCGCCGGCGTTGTCGCGGAATTCGGGGCCTGAAGAAACCATGACTGGGCGCCCCAGGCGCGGCGCTGCGCACCGCGCTTCGAGCGAGAGTGCGCGCGCGGGTCGCTTTGGGGTACCAGCGAGCGGAGGGTCGCAGTCGCAGCGCTCGAAGCGCCCCTGGGAGCCCCGCGTGCTACGTGCTGGTTGGGCTTGCAGCCACGATGGCCCTCTGCGCTGCGGTGCTGGGCGGCCGCGTGCTCGGCTTTGCGCTCACCGGTGACTTCGGGGTCCGTGGGGATGTCGAGATTCTCGAACGTCGCCGCAGCGGTCAGGAACAGCGCCAGCACGCACGCCAGCGCCAGCGCCACGCTCCAGCGGGCCGACACCATGCCGACGACGGACGCGGAGTTTAATCTAAACAGATGTCAGAAGTACGCAGCAGGGATCGCCCGGACGCGAGCGACCGCCAAACAGCGGCTCCCCCGTCGGCCACTCCTGTCTAGCTGCACTCTGCGCAGCTAGTAGATGCCCTCACGACGATCGGTTCGTTGCTGGGTATCCGCTCCGTCGCGCTCGCAAATGCCCCCACGCCGCGCCGCGCGTCAGCGAAGCGGCCGCGGCTCCCTCGCGGGGGCAGCCAGACTGACTGGCCAGGTACAACAGATACAAAGTAAAAAAACGACAGCAGGAGAAATACCTAGTCGCGAAGCCTTGTCCAGCGGAATCGCGCAGCAGGTGCAAAGAACTCACGCACGGCGGGTGCACGCCCCGCCGGCCTCCTCTCCTTCACCCGCGCGCGGGCCCTCCAAGGGAAAGCTCAGCGTCAACCCACGTGCCAACCTTCTTCAGCTTTGTGGCGGTGCGCTGGGCGACGGATGAGGTGAGGTGTCACATTCTCGATGTGCCTGCGAGTATGATCCCACTGCACTGCAACGCGCTGCATGTTCGGCGCCGACGACACCCCCCCGGCAACAGAGGGTCACACCGGCGTCAGACTTTGTCATCCGGGCCCGGGGGCGTCAGCGCCCACCAAAGCCCTTGCCGCCGCCGCGCCCCGACGACTTGGAGAGCTTCTTCTTCCTCCGGACCTTGCCCGACGCGACGGGCCGCGGCCCCGCGCCCTCGAGCGCCGCCGCCATCATCTCGTCATCGCCCATCAAGTTCATACCCATGTTGCCCGCCCCGGCCTGCATCATCTTCGCCATCGTCTTCATGCGCCCGCGCAGGCTCGTGAACATACCGATCAGCTCCGTCACCTGCGCACCACGCCCCACAACACGACACCCACTCACGCCCAGCACGCGCCCGAGCGCAGCGTATCTTTCGTTTCAGGCCAGACGAAGCGAAAGAATCGCAACGAGCGGTCCGCGCACCTGCTGCTCGGTGCGCCCCGCGCCCTTGGCGATCCTGCGCCGCCGCGACGGATTCTTCGCGAGCAGCTCGGGCTTCTCGCGCTCCTTGGGCGTCATGGAGTTGATCATCGACTCGTACACCTTGAACTGCGCCTCCGCGGCCTGGAGCTGCTTCTCCGTGATCTGGGCCATGCCCGGCATCATCTTCATGACGCTCGACATGCTGCCCATGCCCGCGACGAGCTTGTACTGCGCGAGGAAGTCGTTGAAGTCGAACTTGTTCGACATGATGCGCTCCATCTGCCGCTGCGCGTCCTCCTCCTGCGACGGCAACGGAGCCACGGAGCGCGGTGAACGCTGGCGGTGCGGGACGCCCGCGCGGCGCCTCAGAGCGCCCGCGCACGCTGCTGCGTGGTGGAGAGCAGGCGTCGCGCGCAGGGACCGCGCAGAGGCTCTTCGGCCCTTCGTTCCGTCGTTGTTCGTTATTTGACGATAATGATTATTATTAGTCATTAATTGAAGTTTTTGCGTGGGCCGGCGTACCTTGATGGCGTCCTCGGCCTTCTCGACGAGCGTCAGCACGTCGCCGAAGCCCAGGATCCGCCGCGCCATGCGGTCAGGGTAGAACCTATCCAGAGCCTCCATCTTCTCCCCCACCCCGGTGTACTTGATGGGCTGGCCAGACACCTCCCGGACGCTGAGCGCCGCACCGCCGCGGGAGTCGCCGTCCAGCTTCGTCAAGATCGCGCCCGTGATGCCCACCGCGTCGTTGAACGACTTGACCAGCCCGGCCGCCTCCTGCGCCACACAATGACGCAGGGGTGTTTTTGCAGCTGTTGGGCGGTGTCGCGCCGTGGCTCGCGGCGGCAGCGCGCGCCGCACAGCTCAACAGGTACCCCGCAGACAGCCAGATCGTCGCTGGGAGCGCGAGCGACACGCGGCTCGTGACAGCTTCGATGCGGGCACGCGCGCACCTGGCCGGTCATGGCGTCGACGACGAGGAGCGTGTCGGTCGGCTTGACCTGCTTGCGCACGTTGCGCAGCTCCTGCATCATGTCGTCGTCCACCTGCAGCCGCCCCGCCGTGTCGATGATGACGGCGTCGCACCCGCGCTTCTTGGCCTCCTCGACGCCGCGCTTGGCGATGTCCTCGGGCTTGGCGTCCGTGCCCATCTCGAAGACCTCGCACCCGACTGCGCGCAGGCGGCGGGGCGTGGAGTGCGGCGGTCAGACAGCGCGCGAAGTTGAACAACAAACATCAAACCATGGTTGGTCGTTCCTGGCGCTCAGAGCTCAAGGGCCGCGATCCGCGCGGCACGCGAGCGCGGCGCCGGCCAGACGCGCCGGTCCCGGAACAGTCGAGCGTTCGCACGCAACGCAAGTCGTGAAACCAGGTCTCCCAGCACGTGCGCGCACCTTGTTTCCCGAGCTTCTGCAGCTGGTCGATGGCCGCGGGGCGGTACACGTCCGTCGCGACCATCAGCACCTTCTTCTCCTCCTTCATCAGGCTCAGCGCGAGCTTCCCGCACGCCGTCGTTTTGCCCACGCCCTGCAGCCCCGCCATGAGCACCACCTGCGGCTGTCCCGCCGGCGCGGCGTTCAGGCCCTGGCCCTCCTCGCCCATGAGCTGCACGAGCTCGTCGAACACGCACCGCACCAGCTGCTGCCCGGGCGTGACGCCCTTCGTCACCTGCGCCCCCGCGATGCGCCCCTCGACGTTCTTGATGAAACGCCGCACCACAGGCAGAGACACGTCTGCACGGACACCGAAGAAGCGGCGTTTGCGCGCCCGTGTTCGTGCTGGCGGGTTGCGAGCGGTGCGCGGGCCCGAGCGTGGCGCATCGGCGGCGCGAGAGTGCGCGTCGGGACGTGGGCGGCGCAGATGCGTCAGGGGGGGTGTTGGGTGCGGCTGAGGTGCGCGGGGCGTGCCTGCTTCGAGGAGGGCGCGGCGGATGTCGCGCATCGGCTCCTTCATGTTGTCCTTCGTCAGCTTCGCGTCTGGGCCCAGCTTCTCAATGGCACTCTGGAGGCTCTTGGTCAGGTTGTCGAACATGGCGCGGCGGACGACGAGCGACCCGCGAGAGCGCGCGGAGAAGAACGGGGCGCGCGGGGCCGCGGGCGCGAGCGGCCGCGCGGGCGCCGCGAGGGGCGCGCGCAGAGCTGTGTGCGCCGCGCTGAGCGGCGCCGCGCGCCGCGGTGCCGACAGCGTCCGCGCGGGGAACGGCATCAGGGACCCACTCATCGCCGCAGGTCGAATAACGTATCGCGCTCCCGGCCCGTAGGATCGCGGGGAGCTCCCCAGAGACGGATGTCCCGTCGCCAGCTACGCTGCGTGCTCGCCGACGGCGCCGCCTCCTCACGCGATGCCGCGAACGCACCGCCTGAAATCCGCCTCGATATTTCTCGCGACGGTACCCGCGCTCGCCCGGCCTTCCAGGCCCAGAACGCCGCCTGACGACCGGTCGGTTCGACCCGAGACCCCTCTACAGGGCTGAACCGCGGCACCCGCGCGCCAACGGGCCGCGCACGCGGCCGCCGAGGCACGCGCGAGGCACTCGAGCTCGCCACAGGCAACCCGTCCCTCCCGCGCGCCTCGCACCGCCCCGGTCCCCCCCACCACACCACGACCCTTCTCAGGCCAATTGCATCCCGCTCCACGCGCGCCCCGCCCCGCTCGCGCAACGATGCGCTCCGCACTGCGTCTCTGCGCGCTCGCCGCGCTCGTCCTGGCCCTCGCTGCGCCCGTCGCCCACGCCATTGAGTGGTCGCGGTGCGATGACAACCCGGACGTGTCCGTCGACAACGTGACGTTCCAGCCGGACCCGGCCAAGGCCGGCAGCGACATCGACATCCACCTCCTCGGCACGTCAGGTGCGCCGCGCGCGCCCCGCCGCGCCCCGTGCGCCAACCGCCTGCGCTGAGGCTCGGCGCGTGCGTAGGGGCGCCGAGGCCGCGCCCGAGGGGGGCCCGTGCGTGGCTGTGCGGGAGACAGAGCCGTTGCGCTGCGCCTGGGCCACGTTTCGGCGCGACAGGCCGCCCGCCGCGTCCCCGAGCGCTGAACTGAGGCGCACCGGGCCGAGCGTTCGTGCGCTGCGGGGCGCGAGTTGTGCGGTCTACGCGCGACGTCCTCGCCTCTCCGTGGTTGTCCTGCGACCTGGGCGGAAGCACGGCCGCTCTCGTCGCTTGCGCGCCCTCGACCGGGCTCCAGAGCTCAGCGCCTACACAGACGCGAGCAGCACGGCCCGCTCGCGGCTCGCGAAGCTCCGTGGCTCCATGTGCTCGAACCCTCACACTGTCTGAGAGCTGCCGCGCCGAGGTTCCCGTCTCGACCGGCCCGTTCCGCCCCGCGCGCCCCGCAGGTCTCTCGACGCCAGTGTCGGCTGGCACGGTCAAGATAGTCGTCAAGTTCCGCGGGAAGTTCCAGGTCCTGGACGAGACGGACGACATCTGCGACCGCACGACGTGCCCGCTCATGCCCGGCCCCGTAGACATCGCTGCGAAGCAGAAGCTGCCCCCCATCACCCCACCGGTGCGCGCCCTCGCTCCCGGCCGGTTCCGCGCCCGCACGCCGCTCGCACGCGCGCCACACACTCACGGAGCAGGAAGCGCGCCGGAAAACGACTCCAGCGCCGCGGAGCCGCGCGGACGCGCCCGGCGCTGCACGCACTGTCCCGCAACGGGCCTCGCGACGTTCGCAGTTGCCTCTCGAGCGCGTCCCCGCGGCCCCCCGAGCCTCACACGCGCCACCACGTTCCAGCACATGGCCCACACACGCCCCGCGACCCGCCGTCCCGGACCACTAATACCTCACCCACCTTTCGTATCTAATCAATCGAGAGACGCGAAACGAGCCCCCCCGCGCCTCCGCAGGGCGACTACGAGGTCCACATGGTCGCCTCGGACGCCGACGGCGAGGAGCTCATCTGCGTGGACCTCAAGTTCAACGTCTCGCCGCCCTTTGCGTCCACGGAGGACGACATCCTGACGCACCTGTTCGCCACGCAGGCCGAGCTGGCGCGCGCCGAGGCGGACGACGGCGCCGCGGCGCAGAGCTGGCCGCGCAAGTCCGGCTTGTTCAAGCTGCCCGCTGCGTGACACGGCGCGTGGCTGGCCGGGGTGCTGGCGCCGTGGCTGCGTGCGGACGGCGCGGAGTGCGCTGGTGTGCCGTTGCGCTTGCATCGTGCTCTGCGCAGCGGGGGGTGTTGCGCAGAGGGTGGGATGGGAGGGGGTTGAGGACGAGAGAGCAGGCGCTGTGTCGCCCGCTATGGCGGTCTGCGTCCGGCAGCTGACGCTTTGTTTATATGAGAGGCTGCGAGCGCGCGAGACTCCCTGACGCGCGACCGCGGGCCGCATGTGCTGACCGGTGTGGGGGGGGGTGGAGTGAAGCGCACAACCCCCGCGGTGTAACAGGCTTGCCAGAACAGCACAAGCGCCGCGCGAGGGTGAGCATCCTCCTCGTCGAGGCGTGTTCCAGCGAGGAGCACTCAAGGGTCGCGAATCCAGCGCAGTGCTCCTAGCTGGAAGAGTGCCTCAATGAGGAGGATTCTCACCCTTGCGCGAAACGGTCGCGCAGCTCGCAACGGGGTGGCCGCGAGCAGCAGCGGCGGTGGGCGTGCCGAGTGTGCTGAGTTGCGCAGAACGCGGGTGCCTGTGGGATCGGCTCGTCCTAGCGCTGCGACAGATGCGCGCTCGATGACACGGCAGCTAGATAGTTTTGTTCGATGCTGTCGTGCCGGCCAGCGCAGCTTCCAGACCGGGACGGCCGCTTGTGTACATGTCTTGTCATGTCATGCTCATGTTCCGCATGTGGCATGTCATGTCCTTGTGTGCGGGGGTATTTCGGGGAGGAGAGCCTTGGGGCTGGGTGGAGACGGCGGATAAGGCAAGCAATCAACGACGCGCCTCTTGTCGGTCAAGCGAGCTCGTCGACTGTGAGCGACAGTCGCCGACGCGTCAGGGCCAGGCTTCTCTGTTCAATGCCACGACACCCGCCCCTGATACGACTTTTCGTCGAACGAGCCGAGCACGCTGCCCCGCAACACCGTCTCCAGTCGCCCACGTTGGATCACGGATCACTCAGTCCACACACCCCCCATTCTCCCAAAACCCCCCCACTCTCATCCAGCGTCCCACCTCTGGCCCGCACCCACCCCCACGCACCCTACACCACATTCAGCATGCCCTGCAGCATCTCCCGCACGCGCCGCCTCCTCGCCTCCGCCTGGGCCACCGCCGCCCGCATACCCTCCTGCTCCTTCCGCCACCCCCGCACCTCCTCCTGCAACTGCTCCTGCCGGTCCAGCAGCTCCTGCTGCTCCTGGTCCACGATGCTCCGCCGCATCAAGAGCGCCTTGAGAGACTGTGCTTCCTTGTCCGCGTGCTCCTTGGCGACTGCCGCCCACGCCGCGACCGCGTCAGGGCCCTCGTGGCCCACGAGCGGGTCCAGGTCGGTGTCCAGGCAGCCGGGCGCCACGGACCCCGCGCCCCTGCGGGTGGAGGGAGGGGGCGGGAGCGCGCGACGTGAGATGTGGAGTTGTGGTTGCGGTGCGAGCGGAATGACCATGGTGCGTTGAACGCGATGGAAGGAACGCGCTGGACGATAGCCCGTGAAACGAGTAAGCGAGGACGCGCCGTGCACGAAGGTGCATTCAAAGCGACGGGCACGCGCGGCACAAGAAGCAGTAAGAAAGAGGTGTGTTGGTAGAACACAAAACACCCCCTGCGGGACGCGGCAGGTCGCGGGGGGGCGTACATGCCGCGCGCCAGGCTAGGCGTGTCTTCGCCTCTCGAGGGCGCCGGCGCACGGAACGCCAGCGGCGCCCGCCCGCCCGCGTCGCCCACCGCCACGCCGCTTGCCGGTGCCGGCTGCCGCTTCCGAGGATTCGCCCGCGCCGCCACCGGAGCCTCCGCGCCGCCGCCACCCTGCCGCCCCACCGTCCGCGCCCTCTCCATCTCGACCCCCCCTCCAACTCCCCCCCGCCGATCCAACTCCCCCGACGCCGACGCGCTGTCGTCGTCGCAGTCCGCGTCGCCGCCCGCACTCCCGCTGCCCGCAGCGCGCCGCCTATCGAACCCAGGATCCTCGGACTCGTCCTCGCGCTTCCGTTTCGGCTTCCCTTGCAGCCGCATCGGCACTGCGGAGGCCACTGCGCCCCCGCCGCCGCCCGCGCGCCCCCCCTGGCTGGCATGCTCCACCCAGGGGTCCTCCGCGTTCATGAAAGCGAACGCCATGTTCCGCGGAAGCAGAAGGCCGCAGTTGCGGAGGCATTCGTGGCTCGCGGCGCCGATCTGCCCGCACCGACCGTCCTTTCTCATCATGCAGAGCTGGCAGCGTGCCAGCTGGCCGGGGCGGTGCTTCGTCCAGCCCGCGTCCACGTACGGCCGAATCAACCCGCATCTGCGCCCGAGGGACGAACGCGGGGCTCAGGCGGCGCGCAGCGGCGAAGCTGCGGCCGTGGCAGTGGCAGGGCGCAGCTACGTGCAGTTGGGCCGGCAGGGCGCAGCTCGCACCTGAGGAGCTCCTGGGGGTCGAAGTCGCTGTCGACGAGCGCCAGGGCGCGGTCCATGTGCCCCATGTCCGCGACGTCGCCCAGCACGCTGCGGAAGCGCTCCCGGTAGAGCCTCTCTTCCGTGCGCGCTCCGTGGCCCTCCTCGGGCGTCGGCACGCCCAGGGGGTGCCTGCGCCGCTCGAGGCGTTCCCGGAACTCCGCCAGCTCGTCGCGGAAGTCCTCTGCGTCCCTGCTACGCGCCTTCTCCACCCACCGCGCGCGGTACAGCTCCTGCTGCTTGGCGTAGAACGCCTCGAGGTCCTCCGAGCCCGTCAGCGGCGCGTCGTAGATCTCTGCGAGCACCGGCGCCGCGCACGCCGAGTTCAGGACGCGGAGGCAGCTCCAGCACCAATCACGCCAGCGTGGTCTAGTCTCGTCGCCCGCGGCCGCCGACGTCGCCGAACGCACGGCAGGTACAGCTCAGGCTGTTCGCACAGGCGCGCCCGTCGGCGCTGCAGCCCGCGGCGCGGGGCCGCTGAAGCCCCGCCAGCTGCGTTGTTGCTGCTGCGCTCCGCGCGCGTCGGGCGGGCGGCGGCTTGCCTGTCAGAGCTGCGAGCTGCCTCTTGTACGTGAACTCGCTCAGCGGCTTCCCCGTCGGACTGATCTCGTTCCCCGCCCCTGTCTTGGACTGCAGCCCCGCCTTGGGCCCAGGCTCATACCTGAACGGCGGCTTATACTTCCCGTGCCTGCGGTCCCCGGGGCCGGGAGCGCGACGAGGATGAAGCGCCAGGCCGCGAGGGCGCGTGGCTCCGCCGGGGCGCGCGGAGGCGCGCAGCCGGGGCCGCGCGGGGCCGCGCTGTGCAAGGGGTGGGGCGCGCCTGATCTTCCCGGGCTTGATTTTGAGCCTCATGCCGCCCGCGCCCGCGGCGCCCTGGTCTCCCTCCGCGCCAGAGCCGTTCTGCGCCGAGCGCCGGCGGAGCGCGCGCGGGTCCCGCGGCCCGCCCTCGCCTCCCGACGCCATGGCGACAGCGCGGGAGGGTGCAGACGTGCTCCCGCGGGCCTGCGAGGGGCGGATCGCGTCGAAGGGCGGGGTTTCCGCGGTCAGTACACCGACTTCGTTCCGGGGGAGGCGCGGAAGCGGAAGTTGGGCCGCATCCGGCGCCGCGCAGGCAACGCACTGTGCAAGTCAAAGTGTTATGCGCCTGTTCAGGGACGATCCGCCGTCGATTCCGACGAGACGTTGCGCCTGCGACGTCTTCTTTGATGGAATGTGCGGGGAGGCGAGCGGGAAGCGCGTCTGTGCGGTTCTGCGAACGCCGGTGCGCCTGAAAGCGTGCTCGCGGGCCAAGCGCGCGCCCCGCGCCGCGTGGGCATCGCCCGGGCGACCGACGCGGCCGCGAATGGCGGGACAACTGTGTCTCCTACCTGCTCGAACCACCGAGTGGACCGGAGGCGGGCCCTGCGCCGCCGTTCGTGCTGCCCGCCCGCTGCGAGGCTCCCGTTGTCTCCCCTCCGCTGTCGTGCTCAGATGGAATCGCCTCGCCCGGCACGAATGGCCAGATGCGGTGGCAGCTGGGGCCAGTGAGCGTTTCGCGTGCTTGCGGAGCGCGATGTCCCCCCCCGGGCCGGGCCCCGCGGGCGTCGCCCCTCGCACAGGGGGGCAGTCACGACTTCTTCCCCGCGGCAATCGAGGAAAGAGCTCTCCTGAAGCTCCCCCCGCGGCCGGACCCCACGGCGCGCCCTGCGCTCGAGTCCCCGCCGCCCAGCCTGCGCCCGACACTCTACGCGACGCAGACGCACACGCGCGGTCCGCTCGGCCCACACGCGACCAGCACAGCGCCCGACGTGGCAGTTGGATCCCCCACACGGACGCTCCTTGTCCGCGGCCGTTTCCGCGGCAATTTCGACCGCGCCGCGACCGCCACCTCGGAGGTGGTTCGGTCAGTGATTCGCCATGGAGCAGGAGCCGTTTAGCGACCTGCTGCCGGCGCGAAAGCCCAAAGCGAGCGACGCTGAGACGTCTGGGGCCGCGGCGCACGCGAACGGCGCGGAGCACGACCGCAAGAGCGACGGCGTGAAGAAGGACAAGGACGACGACGACTTCTGGCGCCCCGGAGGCGCCCCCCTGGGCGCCGGGAGACAAGGTGCGCTCTTGAGCTGAGACCCTTCTCTCCTCTTTGCCCGCGTCCTGGCGCCCGCACCGCCGTTTTCCCGCGTCCGCACGGCCCGTACGCGCGCGATCCTTCCGTTCCCCGACCGACCTACCGCACGAAACCGCGCCCGAGCGCCGGACAGCGCGCCCGCGCCCCCGACCTCACCCGCGCCACTCACGCGCCCGGATCCGCGCCCCCCGCCGCGCTCGCCCCCGCGTCCTTCGGCGCCCCGTCTCACACGCCACTCCCGCCACCTTCTCCCGCGGCGCCGGCCCCGGAAACACCGCTCTACACGCAATGCCGCGCCCCGCGTCCACTGCGCGCGCCTCCCCTCCACGCTGGCCCCGCGCGACGCCGCGCGCCGCCCCCGCGTCCGCCGTGGACCCGCTCCGCGCGTCAGCCGACCCCAGACCTACCCCCCGCCCGCCCCGCGCCGCCCGCAGCGTCGGACACGCCGTCCCGGCCGGCCCCGATGCGGCACGACGACGTGCACGAGATGGAGGCGATTGTGCAGCGGTGCGTGGAGCGCACGATGCAGCGCTTCGTCGGCGGCCTCAAGGACGTCCTGGCGGACATGTCGCGCCGCCTCGCGTCGCTCGAAACGGTGAGGCCGCGCGCCCACGTGTCGCCGAGAGCCACGCGCCCACACACCACGCACTTCCCCGCGCACCGCGCCCGCCGGCCTCGAAACGCAGAGAACCGTCGCCGCGCAGCAGATGAGCGCACGGGCCGTGCGCGCGCGGGGCGCGGCGGCCCACCGAGCGCTCCGTGCGCCGAGCGCGCTCCGCCGAACGCGTCGCGCCCACCGGTGTCGCGCGCAGGCCTGCTCGGACATCCACGCGGCGCTCGGGTCGGTCTCGGAGACCGAGATGATGCGCGGGGAGACGCTGCAGGAGAAGCTCGGCCAGGTCGACTCGCGCGTGCGTGAGATCTCCGCGACTGTCCAGGCCATGAAAGACAAGCAGGGGATTCTGGAGGCGCAGGACGAGCTGAAGGCCGTGGCGCTCGCAGCGACGCCGCAGAGCGAGGAGCCCGCGCCGGCGGCGCCGGCGCCGGCGCCGCCGAGCCCGTCGCCGAGCATGCCGCAGGGGGGGGGTGTTGCGGCGAGTCAGGCGCCCAGCGGGCCGCCTCCGCAGCCGTACCAGGCGCCGCCGCCGCCGCCGCCGCAGCACATGCCGCACCACCCGGGGCACCACCCGCACCACACCGCGCCGCCGCCGAACCCCCCCCCGCACCACGCGCACCACCAGCCCCCGCCGCCCGCGTACCCGCCGCGCCCGCCGTCGCCGCACGGCAGCATCGCGAGCGCGAGCACGCAGCGCGACCACGTGCCGCAGAGCAGCGCCGGCTACGCCGCGGGCATGCACGGGAGCCCCTACGCGCCGCCCGCGCCGTGGCCGCAGCACGCGTACGGCGCGCCCGACGCCGCGCCGCCGCCGCCGCAGGCGCCGCACCACCACTACGCGCCGCCGCCGCCGCAGCCCGGGCCGTCGGTGCCGTACGGCGCCCGGCCGGGCCACGACGCAGGCCCCGCACACCGCAACGCGCCCCCCCCCGCGTCGGGGACGCGCGTCACGCTCGACCGCCTCGTCGACGACATCGCGGCGATGGGCTTCGCGCCGTTCGAGGTGCGCGAGGTCGTGCAGCCGATGATGGCGCGCGGGGAGAAGATCGACGTGAACGTCGTCATCGACAAGCTGTCGTCGCGCGCAGCGGGCGGGGGCGCGGGCGGGGGCGGGGGCCGGTACCGCTGAGGGTGGGCGCGGTCGGCGCTGTGTACATGTGAGTGAGATGACGACGAGGGCGGGGACGTGACGATTGAACAACATCGGCGCATCGGCACTGGGTGGTGTGGGCTTTGGGGTGCATGGGACGTCCGCGCGAGCAGGCCTGGGAGAGCGGTGGGCGCCCGTCGGGTTCGCAGTGGGGTGTGGTGTTCTTGCGGATGGCCAATTCCGTCTTTTGCGGGGATGGCTGGCTGTTTGAGGAGCAGGGAGGTGCATGTGTTGTGCGGCCAACTGTGTGCGGTGCTGAGGCGAGAGAGGTGTCACGAGGAGAGTGAGCGATGCGTGGAGAGCGCGGGGGACCCTCCGCGGCGCCTGTGAGGGCTCAAGCAGCGCAGTCTGCCTCGGGGGGAGTGAGGGTAGAAACCACGCGACCACGTGGCAGAACGGACGGCTGCAGCGCTTGACGGGCGGCCGGACGCAGCGCCCGCCGCACAAAGACCGCCTCGCCCTTCCTCTCGTGACAAGTCCACGGAGCGGAGCGGAGCGTCAGGTCTTTGGTGCAGCAGGCACCACTCGCAGTCGGCAGGCCGGGCGATCGACGCGATGGAAGGTACGGCTCGTCCTGCCACGTGGCGCGGCCTGCGAGCTTCGCTGCGTGCAGCCGGCGCGTGGGCGCCGCGTCTGCGTGCGGCCACTGGCGGGTTTGCGCCGCGAGTTGAGCAGGGCACTTTTTTGGGCGGGTTGGGCGGTGCGGCGCCGCGCGCGGGCATCCGCGGTTGGTTCTGCCGTCCTATCGCGCCACGCACGGTGCGGTCGACGCTCGCAGGGCAGCGTGTGGTCGCGATCGGCGGCGCGGGCGAGGGCGGCGGCCGTGCGGGCGGCGGGGGGCGCGGCAAGCGTCCGCGCTCCGGGCGGCCCCGCAGCGGGCGCGGCGGGCGCGGCGGGCGCGGGGGGCGCGGCGACCAGGACGACGGCCCCGCGCGGCGCCGCATGCACACCGGGCCCTCGCCGTATCCGCTGCAGGGGGGCAGCAGCGACGAGCCTCCAGGGTTCGCGCCCGCGCCGGCGCCGGCGCCCGTGCTGGCGGGCGCGGTCAAGGACTACATGACGAACCAGCTGTTCGACGAGCTGCCGATCTCGGCGCACACGAAGCGCGCGATCCGGGAGATTCTGGGCTATGCAACCATGACGACCGTGCAGGCCGCGTCTATCCCCGCCGCGCGCACGGGGGGCGACATCCTGGCCCAGGTGCGGCGCGGCGCGTTTGCTCGCCCCGGGGGCATGCGGGACGGCCGGGGCGCTGGCGTCGCCGCGCGGCCGCGCGCGCGCACGGCCGCCATGAAGCTGCCTGCATGGACCTGACGCGCTGGATTGCGTGTGTGGGCTCCGCGCAGGCCAAGACCGGCACGGGCAAGACGCTGGGGTTCCTGATTCCCGCGATTGAGCAGATGCTGGCCGCGGGCTTCCGGCCCGGCGCGGCAAAGACCGTTCCGATCCTGGTGCTGTCGCCCACCAGGGAGCTCGCCGCTCAGGTGCGCACCGCCGCGGAGGGACCCCGCCCGGCGCGCGAACGCGCGCCGCGAGCGGTCTCCATGCGAACGGCGCCGAAATCCGTACATGTCCACCGCGCTATTCGCCGCAAAAGGCACACCGGCCTGGAATTTGGCCGCCAAAGCGCGCCAAGCGCCGTGCCGCCCGGTACCGCCCCCCGCGCGCCGCGAACCCTTCACGGCCGCTCGGTTCACGCTCCACCGATCGACTGGCCGCCGCACGCGCGCCGCGCGTCGCCTCGCGCCGCACCCGCCACGCCAGCCCTCCTGGCCCACCCCCGCGCGTTCGGCGCGCCCCCCCGCGGCCCGCAGACCCGCGAGGAGGCCCGCAAGCTCCTGCACTTCCACCGCTGGCGCACGGACCAGGTCGTCGGCGGCACGAACATGCGCTCGGAGACGAACCGCCTCGCGAACGGCGTGGAGGTGCTCGTCGCGACCCCCGGCCGCCTCCAGGACCACATCGACAACACGCCGGGCTTCGCGCAGATGCTCCAGGGCGTCACCGTCCTCGTCCTCGACGAAGCCGACCAGCTCCTCGAGATGGGCTTCCGCCCCGCCATCCTCAAGATCCTCGAGTCGCTCCCGCCGCGCGAGCGCCGGCAGACGCTGCTCTTCTCCGCGACGGTCCCCAAGGACGTGCACCACGTCGCGAAGCTCGCGATGCGCCCGGGCTACCAGTTCATCAACACGATTCCCGAGGGCGAGGTGCAGACGCACGAGAGCGTGGCGCAGAGCATGCTCGAGGTTCCGATGGAGGGGCAGGCCGCGGCGCTGGTCGGGATCCTCCGCGCCGAGGCCGCGCAGCCGGGGCACAAGGTCCTCGTGTTCTTCGTCGCCGCGAAGGTCACGGCGTACATGGCGGCGCTGTGCCGCGAGGCGGGGCTCGAGGTGCTGGAGATCCACTCGCGGATGTCGCAGGCGCAGCGCACCAAGGTGTCGGACGCGTTCCGCGCCGGCACGAACTGCATCCTCTTCTCGTCGGACGTCTCGGCGCGCGGGGTCGACTACCCCGACGTGTCGTTGGTGCTCCAGGTCGGACTGACGACGCGCGAGCAGTACATCCACCGCCTCGGGCGCACGGCGCGCGGCAGCACGGGCGTCGAGGGCCGCGGGCTGCTCCTCGTCGCGCCGTTCGAGGCGAACCCGATGCGCCGGGAGCTCCGCACGCTGTCGATCACCAACGCCGACGGCGACGTGGCCGCTAGCATCGCGGCGCTGCGGCCCGAGCAGGACCCGCTGCTGTCGCGCGCGCTGCGCGCCAGCCGCGGGGACGTCGCGCGCCTCAAGAGCCAGGCGTACCAGGCCTGGCTGGGGTACTATAATGGCAACCTGAAGAGGCTTGGGTGGTCCAAGGAGGACCTGGTGGACGCGGCGACGCACTGGGCGCGCGTGAACTGCGGGCTGACGGCGGAGGGGCAGCCGCCGCCGCTGCAGGCGAAGACGGTCGGGAAGATGGGGCTGAAGGGGGTGGGGGGACTCAACGTGGAGCGCGGGGGGGGTGGCGGCGGCGGGCGCGGGGGTGGCGGCGGCGGGCGCGGCCGGGGCCGCGGCGGCCGTGGCGGCGATGGAGGCGGGTACTAGGCCGCGCTGTGTGATCGATGCGGGCGGTGCGCGCGTGCTCTTGGGCGACGCTGTACGGCGAGGTGGGCGCCCTGATGCTGCGAGGCCGTTTGCCGTGGGATCGCGGTCTTTGCTTGTTCTTTGCGACAGGCGGGGATCATCGGACGACCCCGCGGACGGATCGAGGCGGCCGCTGCCGTACTCGCGGTGCGCGCCCTGTACTGTCGGCAGCATGTACGAATTCATTGTCCGGGCTTGTCGCGGACGTGGCGCGCGTCGGAGCACGCGTCTCGCTCCCGTGCTCGCGGAGCGGGCGCTGGCGAGGTCTCCTGGGGCGTGCGCGCGCTCGGGGGCGCGTGGCAAGCGCCGCGGCAGCGGCCACAGTGTTCACGCAGGAGGGGTGTGGCGTTGCTCCGCGGGCGCGACGCTCGGTGCGCGCTGACAGGTGGGGGCTGCGCCGACGTGCCGGGTGCCTGCGGGCTCCTCGCGGTCACCCTGGCGGTTCCGTGCGCGGGCGTGAGTGCGCGTCGGTTGGGAAAAGACGATGCATTCTTTAAAGTGCAACTGGCAGTCGAGGAAAAGCGACTGGCGTAACGCACTTATACGGCCCTGGGCCCTCCCGTGGTGGCCTTCGCTCCACACGCGATCCAGACCGCCGCGGACATCGCCGCCCGGCGACGCGCACCGGGCAGACATCTTGCGACCCGCAAGACGTGCGCGCCGGGCCCGCAGCGCTACCATCAGGCCCGTTCTCGTCCTGCCCTGGTGTGTGCCCTGGTGTCGCAGGCGGCACCTCCGGAGCCAAGCAGCATGCTACGCCGGCTCTTCAGTAGGTCGAGGAGCCGCGCAACGGCGGACAACGACGCGGAGACGCACGGCGCCGGCGAGGACGGCCTTCTGGGCACCGACGCCCAAGGACAGGCCAATGCGCAGGTCCGGGGCCAAACACCACCCGTTTTTCTCCGCCTTGAGGCTTGGTAGCACGCGGATGTGCCTCTCGCTGGGGTTGTGAAAGCCCAGGGGCTCCGTTGGAAGCACTGCGCCGGCGCTGGGACCTCGTGCGTGCCCTAGTGACGTCGTTGCTTGTCCCGCAGGCGCAGGACGCGGGCGATCTGGGTGCTCTCGGGCAGGACATCGAGAAGACGCTGTCGGAGCTCGTGAGCGACAACGTCGGGGACGGCGGAAACGACGCCGCCGGCGATGCACCTGATCTGTCGCTTGCAGCCCACCGTGCGTCCCCGCGCCGCCGCGAAAGATCGGTATCTCAATCGCGCCCGGATCCATCGCATCTATGCAACATTCTGCCGCGATTTCGGATCGAAGAGATCGCTGAAACGAACGCGACGGTCCCTAGGCGCCACTCAACGGCACACACCGTCACTCCCGCCTGCCTCGCAGGCCTCGAGCACCTCGACATCAACGACGACAAGGACGCGGAAGTGCCGGGCGACCCCGAGAGTGAGTGCACCCGCGTCGCCACCTGCAGCGCAGAAGCACAGACATCACGCTGCATCTGCCAACACCTCAGCGCCCCCGGTCGCGCTGCAGAGTGCGCGTACTGCGGCATCGGCGACCCGCGCTGCCTCGTGCAGTGCGTCGCGACGCAGAAATGGTTCTGCAACGGCCGCGTCGGCACCGGGCACGCCTGCATCGTCCACCACATGCTCCGCGGGCAGCACAAGGACGTGCGGCTGCACCGCTCCTCGCCCCTGGGCGACAGCGTCCTCGAGTGCAGCGTCACGGGCGCGCGCAACGCGTTCAACCTCGGCTTCGTGCTCCACCCGGACACGAACAAACCCATCGTGGTGGCGCGGTCGGTGCTGCTGGGGACGGGCGCGCCGCTGGACGTGGCCGCGGACTTTGACAGCTGGGAGCCGGTGATCGTGGAGCGGCAGTTCGTCCCGGCGCTCGTCGCGCACCCGTCGGACGAGCAGGTGATGGGTGCGCGGCGGCTGACGCCGTCGCAGCTGCGGCGCCTCGAGGCGGCGTGGAAGGTGGACCCGAACGCGACCGCGGAGGACCTGCCGAAGGACGGGGAGACCGCGTCCACCGCGCCGCTGGAACCGGTGCGAACGATCGCCGCGTGTTTGTTTTGTTTTGTTTTGTTTTGTGTGCAACAAGAGACTTTCATCCTCAATTGCCGTTCACGGCTTCGCTTCGCTGTCTGCGACGAGTGCGCTCGCCGTGGTGAAACGCTCCAAAACACCCCCCCCTTCTTCGCAGGTCCCGCTGCGGTACAGTGACGCGATGAAGTATGAAATATCCTGGAAGCATTTGGTCGAGATGGACCGGCGGGAGGCGCAGCGGCAGACGATGAGCAAGCGCGTGAGCAACCTCAAAGTCACGTGGGTGCACGCGAAAGGTCGCCGCACCGCAACCTTCGTCCTCCCGCCCGACGACAGCACCACGAAGCTACGTGTAGCAGACCAGCTCACGCTCACGCACCCGACGGCGCCGGGCTGGGCCGCGACGGGCGCGATCGTGAGCGTCGACCGCCTCGGCATCGTCGAGCTCCGCATCACGGAAGGGGGGACTCCGCCGAAGACCCCTCAGGGTTATACCGCGCAGCCGACGTGGATCGACGCGACGTACCGGCGGATGGAGAAGGCGCTCGGGCAGCTGGCGCACGACAAGAAGTGCATGTCGACGGTGCTCCAGAAGAAGCTCCTGCGCAACGACGTGTCGGACCTCGTGCTCCCAGCGCCGCTGCCGGCCGACATTTCGGCGCCGGGCCTGCCGCCGCTCAACGGCCCGCAGCAGGACGCGCTCCGCGCCATCGTCACCGCGCCGCTCGCGCTCATCCAGGGGCCGCCCGGCACGGGCAAGACCGTCACGTCCGCGACGCTGGTGTACCAGCTGTGCCAGCTCGACGACGGCAAGCTGCTGGTGACGGCGCCGAGCAACGTCGCGGTGGACCACCTGGCGGAGCGCATCAGCCGGACGGGCGTGCGCGTGTCGCGGATGTGCGCGCGGTCCCGCGAGTCGGTCCTGGAGGAAAACTCCCCCAGGACGCGGCACCTGATGACGCACGTGGTTGCGGCGCAGGGCACCTCGGTCGCCGCGGAGCGCGCGCGCAAGCTGCGCGAGCTGCGGGACAGCGGCCATGAGCTGTCGAAGAACCAGGAGCGGAACCTGCGCAAGATCGAGCGCAAGGCGCACAAGGAGGTGCTGTCGCAGGTGCAGGTGGTGTGCTGCACGTGCGCAGCGGCGGGCGACGCCCGCCTGGACGAGATGGGCTTCCACCGCGTCATCGTCGACGAGGCCACGCAGGCCACGGAGCCCGAGTGCCTCCTGCCGATCGTCAAGGGCGCGCGGCAGCTCGTGCTCGTCGGCGACCACTGCCAGCTCGGGCCGGTGTGCCTGAGTCAGGCGGCGGCGCGCGCGGGGCTGAACGTGAGCCTGTTCGAGCGGCTGCTGTTTATGGGCATGCGGCCGCACCTCCTCGCGGTGCAGTACCGCATGCACCCGGCGCTGGCGCAGTGGTCGAGCGAGGCGTTCTACGAGGGGTGTCTGCGCAACGGCGTGACCGAGGAGGAGCGCACGCGGCGGGCGGTGGCGTTTCCGTGGCCCGGGCCGCGGCTGCCGATGATGTTCGTGGCGTGCACGGGCTTCGAGGAGATGGCGGGCGCGGGCACGTCGTACGTCAACCGACACGAGGCGAAGGTCGTGGAGGAGGCCGTGATGCAGCTGCTGGACAACGGGGTGCAGGCGGAGGAGATCGGCGTGATCACGCCGTACGCGGGGCAGCGGACGCACATCGAGATGGTGCTCGCGCGGCCGGGCAACGCGGCGCGGGCGGCGCAGTGCGCGCGCGTGGAGGTGGCGTCGGTGGACGCGTTCCAGGGGCGCGAGAAGGACTACATCATCCTGTCGTGCGTGCGGTCGAACGAGCGGAAGAGCAAGGCCATCGGGTTCGTGAACGAGCCGCGGCGGCTCAACGTGGCGCTCACGCGCGCGCGGTACGGCCTGGTGGTGATCGGGAACCCGACGTCGCTGTCGAAGAGCGCGGTGTGGTCGGGGTTCCTGACGCACATGTCCGAGCAGGGCTGCCTCGTCGACGGGCCGCTCTCGCGCGGCCGGCTGCGCGAGAGCCTGATGCCGTTCACCCGCCGGACGACCCCGTATCAATATGTTCCGGAGAACCACACCGTGTTCCGGGAGCAACTGAAAACGAGTGCTTCCCACCCGCCGCCGCCGCCGCCGCCGCGCAAGGCCGTGGGTGCGCAGGCACCTCAAACGGCACAGCCCACCAAACAAGCAACTCAACAGAAGAAGAAACAGAAGGTTGTTGCAATGCCTGTTTCAAGGCAGGATCCGGTGCAAGTTCACGACGTCAAGGACCTCGCGCCCGGGTCGCTGGTTGCCGTGCCGCTGGAGCGCCAGACGCACGCGGTGGTGGCGTACCTGAAGGAGGCGGTGAGTCAGCGGCGCAAGGTGCTGGTGTTCACCGCGTTCAGCGATGTGCACCTGGGTTTCTTGGGCAAGCTGTGCCGGGCGCTCGTGATCCCTGTGCTTGAGGCGCACACGGATGGGATGGACGCGGAGGAGCGGCAGGCAGCTGCAAGGGCGTTCAATAATACCAAGAGCGGCGTGCTGCTGCTTGGGAACACCGGTGATGGTCAGATGCCAGTGAAGTGCAAGGACGTCAACGTGGTGCTGCAGATCGGCCGCGTGACGGCCAGGGTGTACCAGCAGCGGCTGGGGGCGGCCAAACCGCGGTCGGCGGGCGAGCCCGGCTGCGCTGTCGTGATCGTCACACCTGGTGAGAAGCCAGACATGCTGAAGAGACTGGGGGATGTGGGCGTCGTTGACGGGTCGGACTCGCTCGCTAGCGCTTTCAGGCCGACGCCCACACTGAGCGCGGAGATCGACGAGGCGCTGCGCGGGGTCGACTTGCAGAGAAAAACAAAGGCATACTTCGCGCTAATGAATATCATAGGGCCGCTGCCACGGGAGTGCGTCGGGCTCGACAAGGCGCAGGTGGTGCAGATGATCCGCGGATGGGCGGTGGCGAACCACGCGCTGACGTCAGAGGGCCATCCGCCGGCAGTGCCAGCGGCCTCGGTGGCGAAGTGGGGGCTGGAGGGGGTGGGGCTGGAGGGGACGGGTGTCGCGCCCGGGTCGCTCGTTGCCGTGCCGCTGGAGCGGCAGACGCACGCGGTGGTGGCGTACCTGAAGGAGGCGGTGGATCAGCGGCGCAGGGTTTTGGTGTTCACGGCCTTCAGCGACAGACACCTGGGATTCTTGGGCGAGCTGTGCCGGGCGCTAGGCATCCCTGTGCTCGAGGCGCACTCGGATGGGATGGACATGGGGGAGCGGCAGGCGGCTGCAAGGGCGTTCGACGAGGCCGAGAGCGGCGTGCTGCTGCTTGGAAACACCGGCAGTCGGGTGCCGGCACTGACGTGCAAGGACGTCGACTTGGTGCTGCAGATCGGCCGCGTCATAACCAAGGTGTACCAGCAGCGGCTGGCGGCGGCGAAACCGCTGTCGACGGGAGAGTCCAGCAGCAGCAGCAGTGTCGTGATCGTCACGCCTGGTGAAAAGCCAGACATGCTGAACAGGCTGAAGACGTCGGGCGTCGTGGACGGATCGGACACGCTTGCTGGCGCTTTGGAGCCAACGCCCGAGCTGGACGCGGAGATCGACGAGGCGCTGCGCGGGGTCGACTTGGAGAGAAAGAAAAAGGCGTACTTTGCACTGATGGGACTCTTGCAGCTGCCACGGGAGAGCGTCGGGCTCGACAAGAAGCAGGTCCTGGTGATGACACAGAGATGGGCAGTGGCGAACCAGGCGCTGAAGCCAGAGGACAGCTTGCTACCAGAATATGCTCCTGTCAGGGAGCCCGCGCGCGGGACGCTGGTTGCCGTGCCGCTGGAGCGCCAGACGCACGCGGTGGTGGCATACCTGAAGGAGGCGGTGAGTCAGCGGCGCAAGGTGCTGGTGTTTACGTATTTCACCGATGCGCACCTGGGATTCTTGGGCGAGCTGTGCCGGAGGCTGGGGATCCCTGTGCTAGAGGCGCACACGGATGGGATGGGCACGGATGAGCAGCAGGCGGCTGTTGAGGCGTTCAACGAGGCTGAGAGCGGCGTGCTGCTTGGGAACGCCGGTCCGGTGCCGGCGCTGACGTGCAAGGACGTCGACTTGGTGCTGCAGATCGGCCGCGTGAAGGAGACCAAGTACCAGCAGCGACTGGCGGAACCGCTGTCGAGCGCGGAGGACTGCCAAAGTATTGTCATCGTGACGCCCGGCGAAAAGCCAGATGTGCTGAAGAGACTGGAGACGTTTGACATCTTTGACGGATCGGACGAGCATGGCCGGCATCGCGTTTGCGAGCCAACGCCCGAGCTGGACGCGGAGATCGACGAGGCGCTGCGTGGGGTCGACCTGGAGAGAAAGAAAAAGGCGTACTTTGCACTGATGGGACTCTTGCTGCTGCCGCGGGAGAGCGTCGGGCTCGACAAGGCGCAGGTCGCAGAGGTACTGCGGGGCTGGGCGACGGCGAACCACGCGCTGACGTCAGAGGGCCATCCGCCGGCACTGCCAGCAGCCAAAGTGGCAAAGTGGGGCCTCGCGGGAGTGCATGGGTTGGGTGTCGCGCCGCGGGTGGTGGGGAGCGGGACGGTGGCCGCTGTGTGAGGGTGTCCCGGCGTAGAGGCGGGCTGGGCTGGCGGGGGGCGGCGCTGCGGGTGTGATGCAGTGCGGCGCAACTGTCGAATGCCATCATCATCGTATGCGGAGATAGGACCCAATGCGCCCGAGGCGCTCTTAGATCGAGCTCGCGTGAACAGTCTGCGGCGTGTGTGGCGGAGAGGAGGGGGACGTGCAACCACTGGCGCATGACCCTCCCTGCTGCACGCGCTCGTGCAACAGTGCAGATATTGGTTCGTGGTGCCACTTGGAGTCGAGGAGACGTGACTGCCGCGGCTAGAAGTCCTCTGGGGGCGTGTGTCGCTCCACGCCCCCGCCAGGCCGCGGCGGACATGACCGGCCGGCGGGGCACACCACCCGGACATCAAGTGCTACGCGCGAGACGTGCGCAGCGGCCCCCACACGGACGCTCGGGCTCACATACGCTGTTGCCGTGTCCCATGCAGTGCGTGCTGGGCCTGTAGCCGACACCTCCATGGGCAAGCATCATGGTGCGCAGTCTTTTCGGCGCAATTAGACACGGTAGCGGCGACGGGGCCCGCGAGAACGCGGCGCAGGATCCGGATATGAACGGCGCGGCCACGGACAGCTCGATGCGCGACGTCGCTCAAGGCGGGGGCGAGGGGCAGGTCAGTGCGGCGACTTGTCCGCTTTTCTGATGCGTACCGCAGGGATGGATGTCTGGGCGTTTGCTTACGGTCGCAACATGATTGCTTTGAGGCTCGTGGGGCGAGCTGAGGGCGCCCGTGGCTCATGGCATCACTAGGTCTCGCTTCTGCACGCAGGCCTCGAACGCGAGCTATGCAGATGCGCCGGAAGAGGATGATGAGATGATGTGGTGTCCTGGGCCCGCGAACGGCAACGTCGTGGGCGCCAGACACGACGTTCGCGATGCACCTGGTGCGCAACTACCAGCGCACCGTGCGTCCCTCTCCCTTCGTAATCGACCCTGAATTTGGCTCCGCCGGGCCCACAAAGCATGTATCAGCGACTTAGTATCAAAGCGATGCTCACGACGATCAAACTGTCGAGCTGGCGCAACCCAACCACCGCCTCGCAGGCATGCGTCACCTCAGCGTCGACGAGGACATGGACGTGGACGACGACGAAGTCACGAGCCGCCGGATCCCCCTCCGCGTCGCCAGCTCCACCTCCGCAACACGACGGGACAACACCCCCCCAACAACACCCCCCCCAGGCCCCTCACACCCCCCCAAGGCGCCCGTTGAGTGCGCGTACTGCGGCATCGGCGACCCGCGCTGCCTCGTGCAGTGCGTCGCGACGCAGAAATGGTTCTGCAACGGCCGCGTCGGCACCGGGCACGCCTGCATCGTCCACCACATGCTCCGCGGGCAGCACAAGGACGTCCGGCTGCACCGCTCCTCGCCCCTGGGCGACAGCGTCCTCGAGTGCTGCGTCACGGGCGCGCGCAACGCGTTCAACCTCGGCTTCGTGCTCGACCGGCGTACAACACGGCCCATCGTGGTTGCGCGGTCCGTGGTTCACGCACGAGCACAGGATCTCGTGGAGGGCGTGGGCCTGCCGCCGGGCGTGCGCGCGGACCCCGGGAGCTGGGAGCCGGCGGTCGTGGAGCGGCAGTTCGCGCGGGCGCTCGTTGCGCGGCCGTCGCACGAGCAGGTGATGGGCGCGCGTAGGTTGACGCACGGGCAGATGCGGGCGCTGGAGGCGGCGTGGAAGGTGGACCCGAACGCGCGCGTGGAGGACCTGCCGAAGGCGGAGGAGGAGTGCGCGCCTGCCGCGACGCTGGAGCCGGTGCGCGCGTCCGCCGCCGTTGTTTGTCTGTTCCATGCCCACACACTCCTTGCTGTTGTTGCTTTTATCACGTGGATCTTACAAGTCGCTTTGTCGGTCTTGTGGTGGTGGTGTGCGGCGGGGGTCTTGAATCCTCGACCACCCACAACACCCACACCCCCCCCCTCCCAAACACCCCCTTCTCCAGGTCCCGCTGCGGTACGCCGACGCCACGAGCTACGAGACCTCCTGGAGGCGTCTCTTGGAGCTGGACTGCCGCGCGGCACACCAGCAGACCAAGGCCAAGCGCGTGTGCAACCTCACCGTCACGTGGGCGCAGACGAACGGCCGCGGCATTGCAACCTTCGTCCTCCCGCCCGACGATAGCAGCACGAAGCTCCACGTCGCCGACCAGCTCACGCTCACCCACGCGGCGGTGCCGGGCTGGACGGCGACGGGCTCAATCGTGAGCGTCGACCGCCTCGGCCACGTCAAGCTCCGCATCACGCAACAGGGGGGGTCTCCGCCGGGGACGACGCAAGGGTACAGCGCGCAGCCGACGTGGATCGACGCGACGTACCGGCGGATGGAAAAGGCGCTCGCGCAGTTCGTCCGCGACAAACAGTGCATTTCGACGGTGCTACAAGACAAGCTGCTTCGAAACGACGTGTCCGATCTTGCGCTCCCAGCGCCGCTTCCGGCCGCGATCGCCGCGCCGGGCCTGCCGCCGCTCAACGGCCCGCAGCAGGACGCGCTCCGCGCCATCGTCACCGCGCCGCTCGCGCTCATCCAGGGGCCGCCCGGCACGGGCAAGACCGTCACGTCCGCGACGCTCGTGTACCAGCTGTGCCAGCTCGACGACGGCAAGCTGCTGGTGACAGCGCCGAGCAACGTCGCGGTGGACCACCTGGCGGAGCGCATCAGCCGGACGGGCGTGCGCGTGTCGCGGATGTGCGCGCGGTCCCGCGAGTCGGTCCTGGAGGAAAACTCCCCCAGGACGCGGCACCTGATGACGCACGTGGTCGCGGCACAGAGCGCCTCGGTCGCCGCGGAGCGCGCGCGCACGCTGCGCGAGCTGCGGGACGGCGGGCACGCGCTGTCGAAGAAGCAGGAGCAGAAGCTGCGCAAGAGCGAGCGCGAGGCGCACAAGGAGGTCCTCGCGGACGCGCAGGTGGTGTGCTGCACGTGCGCGGGCGCGGGCGACGCCCGCCTCGACCAGATCTGTTTCCGGCGCGTCATCGTCGACGAGGCCACGCAGGCCACGGAGCCCGAGTGCCTCCTGCCGATCGTCAAGGGCGCGCGCCAGCTCGTGCTCGTCGGCGACCACTGCCAGCTCGGCCCCGTGTGCCTGAGTCAGGCCGCGGCGCGCGCGGGGCTGAACGTGAGCCTGTTCGAGCGGCTGCTGTTTATGGGCATGCGGCCGCACCTCCTCGCGGTGCAGTACCGCATGCACCCGGCGCTGGCGCAGTGGTCGAGCGAGGCGTTCTACGAGGGCTGTCTGCGCAACGGCGTGACCGAGGAGGAGCGCACGCGGCGGGCGGTGGCGTTTCCGTGGCCCGGGCCGCGGCTGCCGATGATGTTCGTGGCGTGCGCGGGCTTCGAGGAGATGGCCGGCGCGGGCACGTCGTACGTCAACCGACACGAGGCGAAGGTCGTGGAGGAGGCCGTGATGCAGCTGCTGGACAGCGGGGTGCAGCCGGAGGAGATCGGCGTGATCACGCCGTACGCGGGGCAGCGGACGCACATCGAGATGGTCCTCGCGCGGCCGGGGGGTGTCCGCGCGGCGTTGATAGAGGTAGCGTCGGTGGACGCGTTCCAGGGGCGCGAGAAGGACTACATCATCCTGTCGTGCGTGCGGTCGAATGCGCAACGCGGAGGGAACACGATCGGGTTCGTGAAGGACCCGAGAAGGCTCAATGTGGCGCTCACGCGCGCGCGGTACGGCCTGGTGGTGATCGGGAACCCGACGGCGCTGTCGAAGAGCGCGGTGTGGTCGGGGTTCCTCACGCACATGTCCGAGCAGGGGTGTTTTGTTGACGGGCCCCTCACGCGCGGCCGGCTGCGCGAGAGCCTGGCGCCGTTCAAGCGCCGTACGGCGCCGTACAAGTACGTGCCGGAGAACCACGCCGTGTTCCAAGACCAGCAGGAATACCCCCCCCCGCCGCCACTCGACGGCGCTGCGGCGCCGGCCGGGCCGCCTGCGAAGGCGCAGGTCGGCGTCCAGGACCTCGCGCCCGGCGCGCTCGTCGACGTGCCGCTGGAGCGGCAGACGCACACGGTGATGGCGTACGTCGCCACGGCGGCGCAGCAGCCGCGACACAAGGTGCTGGTGTGCAGCGCGTTCGGCGACGAGTACCTGGGCTTCCTCGGCGAGCTGTGCTGCGCGGTGGGGATCCGCGTGCTCGAGGCGCACGCGGACGGGATCGGCGAGGGCGAGCGGGAGGCGGCGGCGCGGGCGTTCGATGACGCCGACAGGGGGGTGTTGCTGGTGGGGGACTCTCAGCTGCCGGGAGTGACGTGCAGGGACGTCACGCTGGTGGTGCAGGTCGGCCGTACAGGGAGTGCGCTGTACGAGCAGCGGATGGCGCGGGCGGTGCCGCGGTCGGCGGGGGGGTGCAGCTGCGGCGTCGTGATCGTCACGCCCGGCGAACGGGAGCGCGTGCTGAGGAGGCTGGGACGATTCGGCGTCGTGGACGCGGCGGCCTCGGTCGAGTGCGGATCGGACGCGAAGGTCACCTGCGCGCTGCCCGGCGTCGACTTTCAAAGAAAGACAAATGCGTACTTCGCTATCATGAAGCATTTTGCGCGGCTGCACGGGAGCTGCCTCGGGGTCGCGAAGGCGCAGGCCGCGGAGATGCTGCAGGCCTGGGCGCGGGCGAACTACGCCTTGACGCCCGAGGGCGAGCTGCCGGCGCTGCCGGCGGAGGCTGTGGCGAGGCTGGGGCTGGGAGAGTTGCAAGGGGGGGGTGTCTCGGCGCGGGTGGCGGGCGGCGAGGTGGTGGTGGTGGCGTGAGGGGGGCGTGGCGAGGGGGCGGGGGCGCGTTGTGGGTGTGCGAGGGCAACGCTGCTGGCATGATGCAGCGCGGCGAGTGGTGACGGTCGTGCGGAGACAGGTCGCGCAGGACCCGTGGATGGGGTGTTATGCGAATGGCTTCGTGCTCCAGAGGGAGAGGCGCGCATGGCCGCCGACGCGGGGTTGATCAGGAACAAATACAAATATTGGATTTACAAGTCGTTGATTTTTGCTACCTTCTGATCACCACATCGAGTGCGCTGCACGCAAGAAATGTTGCTCTCCGTCCAAAGCCTGCCCTTCCGAGCAGCGAAGACCCGCGTCCCTCGCCCGCACTGTCCGACAGCCGCTGCCACCGCCGCAACAACATGCCGGTCAGACTTGAGTCAGTTCGAGGCAGGTGGCTGCACTGAGCCCGCGTGCCCCGTCCTGCACCTCCGCTGCTGCATCACGCGCTTCACCTGCGCCCGCGCGAGCCCCCGAACGCCGCCCGGTTGGCGCTGAAGCGCATGTCGGGGGTGCCGTCCATCTTCAGCGGGCCCGGCGCGTACGACGCCGACGTGTACGAGGACGTCGGGGTCGCGTACGCGGTCCGGTTGGCGCTGTAGCGCATGTCCGGCGTCCCGTCGGACTTGAGCGGCCCGGGCGCGTACGCCGCCGACGTGTACGTGTGCGACGGCGCCGCCGGCGCGTACGTGGTCCTGTTGACGCTGTACCGCATGTCCGGGGTCCCGTCCCTCTTCAGCGGACCCGACACGTTGAGCGAGGCCGACGACGCCCGCGCCGGGGCCGCCCGCGGCGCAGCGGCTCGCAGCGCCGCACCCGCGCTGCTGCTCGCAGCGGACGAGGACACGACGCGCGTGGGCCGGCGGAGCTGCGGCGTCGCGTAGTCGCGCTGCTGCTCGACCGGGAACGAGAACTGCGACGGCCCCGCCGACGACGCGGTGTCGCTGGTCGCGGCGCCGTACATGGCCTTGTTGGCCTTGTACCGCATGTCCGGCGTGCCGTCCTCCTTGAGCGGGCCCGCGCTCGACGCCGTCTGGAACGACGCAGCGGGCGAGGACGTCGCCGCGCCGGCGCCGGACGCGGCCCTGTTGGCCCTGTAGCGCATGTCCGGCGTGCCGTCCTTCTTCCGCGGGCCCGTGCTGGTTGCGGTGTAGAAGGAGGCCGAGGAGGCGGCCGGGGAGGAGGTCCCCGCGCCGTCCTCAGCCCTGTTGGCCTTGTACCGCATGTCGGGCGTGCCGTCCTTCTTGAGCGGGCCCGTGCTGGACGCCGTCTGGAACGACGCCGTCGGCGAGGACGCCGCCGCGTTGCGCGCCTCCCTGTTGGCCTTGTAGCGCATGTCGGGCGTGCCGTCCTTCTTCAGCGGCGTGTTGACCGGCGTCGACGTCCCCGAGGACGCCTCCCGCGCCGCCGCCTCCCTGTTGGCCTTGTACCGCATGTCGGGCGTGCCGTCCTTCTTGAGGGGGGTGTTGGGCGCCGTGCTGCTCCCCGCGGCCTCCTTCGCCGCGGCCTCCCTGTTGGCCTTGTAGCGCATGTCCGGCGTGCCGTCCTGCTTCAGCGGGCCCGCGGCGGCCTCCGTGCCGCCCGTCGTCCGCGGGAGGTGCGCCCCTCCGAGGCGCCGGCGGTCCATCACGCTCCTGCCGCCCGCCTCGCCGTCGCGCAGCGCCGCGAGCTTGTCCGCGAGCCCCTTGAGGATCGGCTGCGGGATCTCGTTCTTGTGCTTGACGACGAACTCGACCTGGTGCTTGACCTTAGTCAGCTTGTGGCCACGCAGGGTGCGGTCGCCGTCCGACGCGACGTTGCCGTTGACGATCGCGGCCGTGACGCGCTCCGTGAGGCCCTCGTCCTGGTTGCGCGCGCGCGACAGCGGGCGCAGGTTGTCCTTGCTGCGCAGGAGGTCGCGCAGCGCGCGCATGTCGTCGACGGTGACGGTCTGACGCTCGGCCTGAGTCAGCTTGTTCATGGTGTCGGCGACGACCTCGAGGTCGAGCCAGTGGGCGTCGTCCTTGCCCGGGATGGACAGCACGTCGGCCCGGCCGTTCATGCGGAGGGCGCCGGTAGTCGAGATGTCGGCGCCGCCCTGCCAGTCGAGGAAACTCGACTGCCACTGCGTCTGCTGCCGGGTGGCCGTGGCCATGGTGTCGGGGGCCGTGCTTGCCGTCGCTGCGGCGTCAGTCGTTCAGTAGGTTGTCTGCGGAGCGACGAGAGGGGGGGGCGTCGTAAGGAGACGGGCCGCGGCAGGGAATCTGTAACGGGGTGCTGATGGCCCCGGGCGCATCGAAATGCAGCGTTTCGAGGAATCTGCGTCAAGCGGTGCGGTCTCTTGCTATGGAGGAGCGCATCGGAGTCGCTGAGAGTCTCGTTGGGATCGTGTGTGTGAGCTGCGCGGCGTGGCTGGGCACAGCTCTGTGGTCGAGGGCAGGGGCGTCGTGGACATCGTGGCGGGCGAAACGCGGGTCATCGCGCAACCTCGCCCCCAGAATTATTAATGGAGACCCCCTCGGCAACGCAGGATGTCGCGGAAAGCCCACTCCGAGGCCGAACGAGCGGGCTGTTGGAGGCGCTGCGTGCTGGTGCCCCTCGAGCGGCGCTCGCGGCATACTGGCACGTATAATCTACGCAGATCCCATGTAACGATAGCGAACGACCCGCTGAAGCGACATAATGCGACGTCACGCAGAGAGGACCACGCACGCGAGCGCGCCCTCTACCAGACGGCATCTGCCGGAGTGTGATCTCACCTGTGCGTCGGAGTGGAGTATCTTGATCGGTCGTCGCGGAACTGTATCCGTGGAGCGCGGCGGTGGGCCCGTGTGCCCGAGAGAGCCGCCGGTCGGGGCCTGAGACCGTGTCAGGGGGGGTCGATCGAGCCCCGCCCGACACAGGCTGCCCCCGCCACGCGCCCCTGGGTCACCGGGCGCGCCCCGCGCGCACCGCCCGCACGTGCCATTGTCAGCGCAACGCCGTCACAATGTTGCGGTCACGCCTCGGGGCCCGAGCGCGGTGCAGCGGCGGTTGAGAGCGCCGGCGCATGATGAGGTGGGCGCTGGCGGGGGCACGCTGGGCGCGGGCGACACCGTTTGCGTGTCAGGGCCCTGGCTGATTGTTGAGGAAGCGTGCCAGGGGCACTGAGATGGCGCAGCGCCTGCGGACACGTCGGTGTGGAGCCTGGCCTCGACTGCTTTGCACACGCCTCCCAGAGCGGTTGGGAAGGCCCAGGGTGCGGCTACGCCCGCGTGACGGGTATTTGAAGGCAATAACAGTCCAACAAAGCGAAAACGGTGAGGTCAGCGCGACGGTGCGCCGGGAAGCGGGCGGTTTCAGGCAACCAGTGCTTTGCCGCGAGGATGAGCGGCGCGACGGGGTGGTGAGTGGCACGACGGCGCAGAAGGCGTCATGGAGAGGTCACGGGCGAGCCTGGGCCCGTCTCACGCGCTGATGGCCAGCCGCGGGCGCTGTGTTGATGCTCTCAGCGCGCTTCTGCGCAAGACCGCGACGTTTCGTCGCAGAATGTTGTGCCCGGCACGGAGGCAGACCTCAGTCATGTCCACTCAAGCGTCGAGTCCCTCTGTGTGCGGTGTGCAGGCCAGTCACGAGCTTTCGCCTCTCCAAGGCTGCACGCGGGGCACCTCTGCCGGCCCTCCGCCGCTGCTTGCGTCGCGGCACGGCCGAGGGCCCGCCAGCTGCGCAAGACACGCACCGGACGGGCTGGCCGCGGCGCTGCAGGCGGTCCTTTCACGATTGCGATGTCGAGACGGGTCCGCCGGTGACGTGTGCAAGTGCGAGTGCGCCGCGAACGGCAGCGAGCCCGCACGAGCGTCGGCTCTGGCCCGGGGGTCGCTCGAGATTGCGGCAGCGCAGCGGGGCTGCGACAGCGCGCGCGAGGTGCGGAGCGGGGCGTGGACGGGCGGTGCTACGCAGGTGCGACGCTTGCAGTAGCCCACATGCGCCACGATTGCGGCAATCCACATGCTCCGGACGCACGTGAGCTGGCGCGGGCGTGACGGAGAGTGATGCGTGTGCTGCGTGCAGGGCGGGCGCGGGCGCGGTGTCAGCGAGGGCTGCGTTGAGTTTGCGCGCAGCACTTGCTCGCAGGCCCGAACGCAGGTCGCAGCACTGTCGCCCTCACAGTCTCGCGGCGGGGCGTGCTGAGGCTCGGCCGGGCGCGTGAAGCACGAACTTGCTCAGGACGCAGCCGCTGTTACGCAGCCCTCGAAGAGCGGCGGGCGGCACGGGCCGCGCCTGACCTCCGACGCGAGTCCGAGCTTGACGGACAAGCGGGCTGCTCCTCGCTGGCGGCAATGCGGCCGGCCGACGCGCCGGCGTCGACGTCGGCGTCAGAAGCCGCTGCCTCGGCCATTGCCTCCCGCGTGTTGCCGATGATCGCGATGCACGCCACCATCGTCGCGACTCGTCCGACGGTGTTCTCGACGAGGAAGCAGATGGCCGAGGGCAAGATGTACGCCTGCGGTGTCAAGGGAGTCGTGAGCTTCGCTGGTGACCGGCCCTGTTGGCGAACAGTGCGGCGCCCGCTGCATGAGGTGTGCGGCCCCGACGCCAGAGCACCGACCACCCGTCAACGTGGCGGTACGCGCGGCGCGCCTCCCGGAACGCGCGGTCAGAGGCGTCCCGGCATTCCTCTCGGTGTCGCGAGGCGGTCGTCGAAATCCACCGCTCATCGTAGACGCGGTGGACTTCGACGACCTCCTCGCGACACCGAGAGGAATGCCGGGACGCCTTTGACCGCGAATTCCGGGCATGTGACATGCGATAGACAGGCGGGCTCACCGCGGTCAGCTTCGCCAGGGTGCTCGACAGCGAGCGCGAGAACGACCTCCAGCTCCGCTCCTCGGGGTGTCGAGGGAATCCGATGAGGTACCACAGCGCCCAGCCCGCAAGCCCGCGGTAGAACGCGACGTGCGCGCGGGGAGAGCTCAACGTGGTCAGGGCGCCCGGGAGCGAGCTCAAGAGCAACCTCGAGCTCGGCTCCTCGGCGCGTGGAGCGGGTCCGACGCAGTGCCGCAGCGCCCAGCTGAAGCCCGCGAGCCCGAGATAGAACTCGACGTGTGCGCACTCCTCGAGCGTGCCCATGACGAAGCGGCCGAGCACGTTGCGGATCGTGTCCGTCCACCACGACATGATGTAGACAGGCGCCGCCGCGAACCACGCGACCATGACGAGTGCGAACGCGCACGCCATGGCCAGGCCCACGCACGAGATCGCGAGCACGAAGGGCGCGAGGAATATGAGCGCCAACGCGACGACGCGCGCGCACGTCTCTTCCACGGCCGCGCAGAAGTGCTCCATCGCTGTGCGCAGCCTCAAACTGCGTAACAACATTGGAAACGAACGACTCGGAAACGCGCGCACGTGCAGAGTATGTAGCGGGTCTGCGAGTGGATCTATTCGACGCGAACTTGCACAGTCGGCGCTGCGTCACGTGCACGCACCTGGGCACGACGTAGTCCACGCCCCGGGCGAACGTCCTGCATACGAACCTGAAGGATGCACTAGCAGCATGTCTCGACGTGGCGGAAACCCAATTGAAGGACGCCGACCCTGCCCACGAGACCACCCTGAAGATGTCGAGCAGGCTGGAGCCGTCCCAGTGCGTGACGTCCCACCGCGTGTCGCCGAACGCGGATCTAACCTTCCAGTAACTCAACTTCCACAACCACCGCATAATTGGGACCACGGGCCCGAGCATGAGCAGCAAGACGACGCACAGCTGCCGCGCGCTCAGCCTCGCGCGGTGGGACACCTCGCACGACTGCTCCGTCCGCCGCGCGCCCGGCCGCCGGCTCGCCAGCCACCTCCACGCATGACCCGTCCAGCTCGTTCCCTCGAACCGCGCGTCCACGTGCGTGCGCGGGATCGCACTGAACCCCCCGAGCACGGCGCACTGCTTCGCGCCGACCAGCGGCGCCGCCTCGAGCGAGTCGACAGGAGCGACGTCGACGCTCGCGCACGTCCGGCCGAAGGGCTCGGTGTCAGAGTTCGCTCCCTGCGCGAACTCTTCGACGACGTCGCCGCCGTATTTGTAGACCTGTGCCGCCAGGACTGCTTTGGCGGACTGCACGCTGGGCCCGGCTCCGACGGCTGCGGCGACGTGGTCGATCATCGTCAGCGAGAACGTCATCATGTCGCGGTAGACCTGCGGCGTCATCGCCAGCACGGCGTAGCTGAACGAGCGCTCCCTCTTCTTCGTTTGCTCCACGCAGACCTCGACCGGGCTGCGACGCAGAGCACACGACGCGAGCAACTCAGCAGCGGCGCCGCAAGCCGGCGCAGCGGGCCAGGTCCGGCCTGCCCTGGTGGTTGTCGTCTCGTGCTGGACGGCAGCGTGCCTGGCAAGCCGTGGAGCGCAGATCAGTCTGTCTGTTCGCGGAGGCCGAATCGACACGCGCGAATCCCTAGCGGTCAGGGAGAGCACCCTGCTGGCGAGGCCGCGGAGCGCATCAGCCGCAGAGGAAGATTATCGGTCTTCGTGGACATGAATGACAGCCCGTGCGCTGAACCACGCGGATTCCGGCCCGCGTCGGCCAACAGGCGCAGCTGAACCCTCACCAGAGAGACGCGCGCCACACGGCGTGGCGACGACGGACATCGTCCGCCGAGCTAGCCCGCCAGCTTGGTTTTGAGCTGATGGACGGTGCCCGACCCACAGATGTGCGCACCTGGGCTCGTGGATGCCGTGTTCGCAGCAGACCTTGACCTCCAAGTCCAGCAGGGCGCTGTAGCCGACCCACTTGCTCGGCATTCCCGGTACCTCGGCGTACAGGTTCCTGAACCCCTGCTGCATGCTCTCCGCGCTGGCGGGCGGCACGGCGCACAGCGCCAGCAGGAGGACGCAACCCACGGCCCTGAGCCCTAGGGTGGGAACATAGCCGTGACGTGACCCCATCGTTGGCCCACGGACGTCGTCCGGCGCTCGCAGACGCCTTGCACGCCAGTGTCCAACGGCGCGCTGCAGGCACCGCAGGAGCCTTGAGCCCCGCGCGATCAGGGGGGAGTGCGATGTGTCGGGTGCCCACGCAACGCGACCGCCGCTTCCCGCGCTCCGTGCGGGCGTCCGATCGCGCGCCGCGGCCACACATGCGCCTGACATCCTCGCGGTGACGCGCTTAACGCGTCAAATCACGCACACGGTCGCGCAGAGGCCACCCGCCAAAACCAGCGCTGTACCGTCGTGCGGGGAGCCCCAGCGGACGCGACACAGCGCAATCATGCCGAAGAAGCAAAAGCGGGGTCGGGGGTCATCTAAGAAGCCCGCGTCCGGGGCCGAAAACGGGCAGAGCAAGCCGAAGACCGCGGAGCGCCCGCTCAGCCCCGTGTCGCAAGCACTGCGGGCACGCTTCAACCCCGACGACGGGCCGACCGGCACGCGCGGGGGCTTCCCTCACCCTGATGAAGTGCTGGACCGCCCGTTCCCCGAGGGCGGCCTGGCCGCGTACCTGGAGGCCGTGATCGCTGCCGATGCCGAGTTGGGGGAGAAGGAGCGCGCGCTGCACGAGGGGAGCAGTTCCCTGGACTCCAAGTCGGAGAAGGACGAAGAGGACGTGGACGCGTCGGGCTCCGAGGACGAGATAGACCGGCACGTGGGCGCGGTGTTCGAGGATCCGAGTGTTCCGGCGCACGTCAAGATCGACACGTGGGCGGACGCGTACGTGCCGGAGGCGCTGAGGGCGACGTTCGCGGCGATGGCGAAGACCGACCCGCGCGCGCTCAGGGACATGTGGGCCATCGCGGCCGCGGGGGGGGAGTTCGAGCAGTGGCAGGCAGTGCAGGAGAGGCGACGCGGCTGACTCGGTCGGACGCGACGGGGCGGGGCTGGGGAGGGCGGGGCGCCGGCGCGAGGAGGCGCTGCGTCGGTGGTGCGCTGCGTTGCGCGGTCGCTGTGGCGCTTGGCGGTTTGATCGCGGTTTGATCATCAGATGGAATGTGACGTTGCATGGCGAGTGAGCTGTCGACGAGCGTCGCGCGACGCAGCGCAGCCGCACCGCTGGCACCCCTTCGCTCGCGGAGGATGAGTCATGCTCCCGCCCAGCGACCCACCACTGCCGGCGTTTGCCAAACTGTCGCCGCGTGGTCCGACCGCGTCGTGTGTGCGTCGTGCAGGACGTCCGACGCCGCCGGGAGGCGCGCCGCGCGCACGCATATCCTGGCCGCGTCGTCCGCGATCGCGCCGAGAAGGAACCACGCAGACGAGCCAGGCCCTGTGTTGGACGGTGTGTGTCAGCGTGTGATCCCATCTTCGTGTCGGGCTCGAGGTGGCTGATCCGTCGTCGCGGCCCCTGACGCAACATGAGGTAGCGGCAGGCCTGTGTGCGTGAGCGAGACGCAGGTCGGGGCCTGAGACCGTGTCAGGGGGGGTGTTCTACCCCGCCCGACACAGCCCGCCATGCGCCCGTGCGTCTTCGGGCGCGCCCCGCGGAGGCCGGGCGCACGTGTTGCGGCGAGGGCTGTGCCGTCACAATGTTGCGGTCACGCCTCGGGGCCCGAGCGCGGTGCAGCGGCGGTTGAGAGCGCCGGCGGGCCTCGAGGTGCGGGCCGAGGGGGGCACGCTGGGCGCGGGCGACACCGGTTGCATGCCCGAGCCCTGGCTGATGAGCTGAGGAAGCACGGCGGGGGTATGGAGATGGCGCAGCGCGTGCTGACACGTCGGCGTGCGGCCGGAGCTCTGCTGCGTAGCACACGGCTGCCCTCGGGGCGGCTGCACGAATCATGGTGCGGCTGCATGCAAGGAACGGATATACTTGAAGCTGAGGGAGCCGCCGGAGCGAGAACGGCGGGGCCGCGGCGACGGAGTGCCAGGGAGCGGGCGGTTTCAGGCCAGCCTGTGTGCGGTGGTGGGCACGCGCAGAGGCTGCGGTCCACGGGCATGGGCGCGGCGCGTCGGGATGGCCGGTGGCAGGGGAGCGAAGGGCGCGTGCCGGAGAGGGCAGCGGGTGAGCTCACACGCGTCCCACGCCCCGTTGATCGACAGCGTGCGCAGTGTTGATGCTTTCAGAGCTTGCCACTGCACAGGAGCGCGAGGTTTCGTCGCGTGATGCCGTACGGTGCCCTGAGGGAAGCGTCGGTGTCCCTGGTATGCGTCGTGCAGGTCGGCCGGGAGGCTCGTCCCTGCAGGACTGTGTCGCGCCCCCCTCCTGCGTCTGTCGGCTCCCGCCGCCGCTGCCTGCGTCGTGCCACGGCCGAGAGCCCACCAGCTGCACCAGGCACGCACCGGGCAGGCTGGCCGCGGCGCCGCACGCGATCCGTGCACGACGGCGATGTCTTGACGGGTCCGCGGGTGACGTGTGCTAGTGCCGCTGACAGTGGCCCGCCCGAACGAGCGTCGGTGCCGGCCTGGGGGTCGCCGAGTGTCGCAGCGGGGCTGCGACAGCGCGCGCGAGGTGCGGAGCGGGGCGTGGACGGGTGGTGCTGAGCAGGTGCGACTTTTGCAACCGCCCACTTGCCACGATTGCGGCAAGCCACGTGCTCCCGACGCACGTGAGCTGGCGCGGGCGTGACGGTGAATGACGCGCGTTGTGCGCGCAGGAGGGGCGCGGGCGCGGCGTCAGCGAGGGCCGCGTTGCCTTTGCGCGCACTCGCAGCACTCGCTCGCAGGCCCGAACGCAGGTCGCAGCACTGTCGCCCTCACACAGTCTCGCGGCGGGGCGCGCCGAGGCTCGGCCGGGCGCATGAAGCACGAACTGGCTCAGGACGCAGTCGCAGCCCTCGAAGAACGGCGCGTGGCCACGCCTGACGACCGCTGCGGCTCGGGGCTTGACGGACGGGCGGGCCGCTCCTGGCTGGCGGCGGCGCGGCCGGCCGACGCGCCGGCGTCGACGTCGGCGGAAGAGGCAGGTTTGTCCTAGGCTGTCTCCACAGACAGAATCAGGAGATTGCTACGTCAGGGGGAGTATCCCAACTGAGAGGCTCCAGGCGCGCCAGCCCATAGGGCCGCGCGGCACCCGTGCCGGGGCAGTTCGACACACTTGTGAGACATCACATCTATTCGAGTGGTTGCGGGCCCTCAGCAGACTAAGACCAGGCTTCTCCTGGCTCGCTCGGTCCGCTGGAGCCGAGCATCTGCTGGCCAGGGTACTGCCCGGATAGGTCAGTGCCCTGACATGGTGGAGCCGCGGGATATTAAGCGAACTTCGGACCAAGCGAGACGCTGACGACCTCGTTTCGCACAAGGGCCGTGATTGCGATGCACGCCACATTCGTCCAAAATCGTCCGTCGACGTTCTCGGTGAGGAAGCAGATGGCTGAGGGCAGGATGTACGCCTGCGGTGTCAAAGGAGCTGTGAGACTCAATCTCAAACGGCTTTTTGGTTCTGCAGCTGTCGCTCGCCAGCAGTGCTGCAACTTTGTGTGTGCCATCATGCCGTACAGGGGCGGGGGGGGCTCACCGCAGCCGTCTTGGAAAGGGTGGTGGACAGAGAGAGAGGCCTCAGACGAAACTCTCCAGCGGTTGGGGAGCCCCAGAAGGTTTGAGGGTTGTGGTGCAGCGCCCAGCCGAAGAACACGAGCCCGAGGTAGAAACCAAGTTGTGGGCATGGCACAGGGGCTCGCATGGTTGCGAGACCTATCCCCTCGACAAGGCCCCGGAACCCAAATATCGAAAGAATGATCGCCCCAGCATTGAAAAAAGATGCCTTAACAGATAAATAGACCATAACCATCAGGAACAACACCCAAAGCACGAGCAAGCAATCAGAACCCACTTGTTTTGCGATATCCATCGGGGCCCATTTGTTGAAGTCATTAATCAGACGCTCGAAACTATCCAAGATCGCGAATATAGCAAAGAGTGGTAGTGGACCAAGGCCCGTGAGTAGTAGTACTACTAGTAGTGGTAGTACTGGACCAAGGCCCGTGAGCAGGAAAGCAAGGCCCTGCAAGAAGACACCCTCCAGACCCAGATAACCCCACCACGCGAGCCGCACTGCCGGCCCGATCAGGAGTATGAGCGCCAGTACGACGCACACCTGCTGCGCGCTGGGCCTGGCCGTGTAGGTCACCTCGCACGTCTGTTCCGCTCGCCCCGCGCCTCCAACCCAGCTCGTCAGCGACCTCCACGCGCGGCTGGGTAGCGCGAACTCCGCGTCCACCGTCGTGTTTGCGATCGATCTCACCCCGAACGCCACGCAGTGCTTGTCTCCAGTCGGCGTCTCGAGTTGCGAGAGCGAGTCGGCAGGAACGTCCACGGGCTTGCAGATGCGACCGCCGGTCTTGAGTTGTGCGTCGTCGGCAGTTGGCGTCACGCAGACCTCTACCGCACTGCGACGCAGAGCACACGAGGCAGGTCAGTCAGCATCCCGTGCCTGCGCAACGGGTCCAGCCTGCCGCGCTGCGTGTCGTCGTGCCGGCCATGCCGCCGTCGCAACATGTGGCTCTGTATATCATGCGCGCTCACGCGCGGCAGCATCGCAGATTCTGGCCCGCACTGGCCTCAACGCGCCGGGAGTGCCTCATGATGCCAGCGCCACACAGTGTCGCGCGGCGGTCTTCGTGTGCGATCCGAACACCGACCGCATCGGGACCGGCAGATCGTCTCTGGTACTGTCATCGATAGTCCACCCGCAGATGCGCACCTGGACTGGACGACGGCCCTGTCGCAGCAAACGTTGACCTGCCAGTCCATCAGCGCACTGTAGCCGATCCACCTGCTCGGCATTGCAGGTATGTCACTGCGCAGGTTCCCGTGCCACTCCTGCATGCTCTCCGCGCTGGCAGGCGGCACGACGCACAGCGCCAGCAGGAGAAAGCCTAGCATCGCCCCTAGTCCTCGGGCAGCGGCAGAATTGCCGTGACGTGACCGCATGGTGGGTCCGAAGGAGCCTCGCTAGCACGAGGAGCTGACGAGCACCCTGTGCAACAGGTGACCGGTCGCCTGCCGCAGGAAGCTTGAGCCCCGCACGGATTGGGGGGAGTGCGATGTGTCAGGTGCCCACCCGACGCGACCGCCGCTGCCCGCGCTCCGTGCGGGCGTCCGATCGCGCGACGCGGTCACACATGCGCCGTACATCCTCGATAACACGCTCGTCGGGCGTCGAAGCCCGCACACAGTCGCAGGGCGGCCACCCACCAAACAGCGGCGCGCGGCTCTGCGGGGAGCCCCAGCGGACGCGACGCGGCGCGATCACGCCCAAGAAGCACAAGAGGGGCCGGATCACATGCAAGGAGCCTGATGCCGGGGCTGGACGCGGGCAGAGCGAGCCAGACACCGTGGCGCGCTCGCACAGCCCCGTGTCGCAGGCAGCACTGCACTGCCACCACGTGTACAACCCAGGACAGCGGGCCGAACCGCACGCTCGGGGGGGCTGCCTGGCCCTGGGCGGCGCGATGCCAGGCAGGGTGCGTGGTCGGATGGCGGTCTGACTGCGTGTTGAGGCCATGATCGCTGCTGATGCCGAGTTGGGTGAGAAGGAGCGCGCGCTGCACGAGGAGAGCGGTTCCCTGGACTCGAGGTCGGAGAAGGACGACGAGGACGTGGACGCGTCGGGCTCCGAGGACGAGATAGACCGGCACGTGGGCGCGGTGTTCGAGGATCCGAGTGTTCCGGCGCACGTCAAGATCGACACGTGGGCGGACGCGTACGTGCCGGAGGCGCTGCGGGCGACGTTCGCGGCGATGGCGAAGACCGACCCGCGCGCGCTCAGGGACATGTGGGCCATCGCGGCCGCGGGGGGGGAGTACGAGCAGTGGCAGGCAGCGCAGGAGAGGCGACGCGGCTGACTCGGTCGGACGCGACGGGACGGGGCTGGGGAGGGCGGGGCGTCGGCGCGAGGAGGCGCTGCGTCGGTGGTGCGCTGCGTTGCGCGGTCGCTGTGGCGCCTGGAGGCGAAATCGCGGTTTGATCATCAGATGGAATGTGACGTTGCATGGCGAGTGAGCGGTCGACGAGCGTCGCGCGACGCAGCGCAGCCGCACCGCGGGCACCCCTTGAGCGGAGGAGGAGTCATGCTTCGGCCCGGCGACCCACCACTGCCGGCCTCTGCCACACCGTCGCCGTCTGGTCCGACCGCGTCGTGTGCGCGTCGTGCAGGACATCCGCTGCGACTTGTAGGCGCGCCGCGCGCACGGGCATCCTGGCCGCGTCGTCCGCGATCGCGCCGAGAAGGAACCACGCAGACGAGCCAGGCCCTGTGTTGGAGGGTGTGTGTCAGCGTGTGATCCCGCCTGTGCGTCGGCGTGCACGTCGGCGGTCAGTTGCCTCGAGCCTGACGCGAGGAGCGGCAGCAGCAGGCCTGTGCGCGTGAGCGAGACGCAGGTCGGGGCCTGAGACCGTGTCAGGGGGGGTGTTCTACCCCGCCCGACACAGCCCGCCCCCGCCATGCGCCCGTGCGTCTTCGGGCGCGCCCCGCGGAGGCCGGGTGCACGTGCTGCGGCGAGGGCTGTGCCGTCACGATGTTGCGGTCACGGCTCGGGGAGCGAGCGCGGTGCAGCGGCGGTTGAGAGCGCCAGCGGGCCTTGAGGTGCAGGCCGAGGGGGGCGCGCTGGGCGCGGGCGACACCGTTTGCGTGTCCGAGACCTGGCTGATGAGCTGAGGAAGCACGGCGGGGGTATGGAGATGGCGCAGCGCGTGCTGACACGTCGGGGTGCGGCCGGAGCTCTGCTATGTTGCACACGGCTGCCCTCGGGGCGGCTGCACGAATCATGGTGCGGCTGCATGCAAGGAACGGATATACTTGAAGCTGAGGGAGCCACCGGAGCGAGAACGGCGCGAGTAGCGCGACGGAGCGCCAGGGAGCGGGCGGTTTCAGGCCAGCCTGTGTGCGGTGGTGGGCACGCGCAGAGGTTGCGGTCCACGGGCGTAGGGGCGACGCGTCGGGTGGCCGGTGACAGCGAGGGATACGTGCCGGAGAGGGCAGCGGGTGAGCTGACACGCGTCCCACGCCCCGTTGATCGACAGCGTTCCGCGTTGATGCTTTCAGAGCGCGCCACTGCACAGGAGCGTCGCGTGATGTCGTCCAGCGCCCTGAGGGAAGCGTCGGTGTCCCTGGTGTGCGGTGCGCAGGTCGGCCGGGAGGCCCGTCTCTGCAGGACTGTGTCGCGCCCCCCCCCTGCGTCTGTCGGCTCCCGCCGCCGCTGCCTGCGTCGTGCCACGGCCGAGAGCCCACCAGCTGCACCAGGCACGACCGGGCAGACTGGCCGCGGCGCCGCACGCGGTCCGTGCACGACGGCGATGTCATGACGTCTGCGAGTGCGAGCGCGCCGCTGACAGTGGCCAGCCCGAACGAGCGTCGGTGCCGGCCCGGGGGTCGCCGAGTGTCGCAGCGGAGGCGCGACGGCGTGCGCGAGGTGCGGAGCGGGGCGTGGACGGGCGGTGCTGCGCAGGTGCGACGCTTGCAGCAGCACACATTTGCCACGATTGCGGCAAGCCACATGCTCCCGACGCTCGTGAGCTGGTGCGGGCGTGACGGAGAGTGACGCGCGTTGTGCGCGCAGGTGGGGCGCGGGCGCGGCGTCAGCGACAGCTGCGTTGCCTTTGCACGCACGCGCAGCACTCGCTGGCAGGCCCGAACGCAGGTCGCAGCACTGTCGCCCTCACACAGTCTCGCGGCGGGGCGTGCCGAGGCTCGGCCGGGCGCGTGAAGCACGAACTGGCTCAGGACGCAGTCGCGGCCCTCGAAGAACGGCGCGTGGCTACGCTTGACGTCCCCCTCGGCTCGGGGCTTGACGGACGGGCGGGCCGCTCCTGGCTGGCGGCGGCGCGGCCGGCCGATGCGCCGGCATCGACGTCGGCGGAAGAGGCAGCTTTGCGGTCGTCTTTCTCCGATGGAATTGGAATTCGCAAAAGGACCGTGATGGCAACGCACACCGCTATCGCCCAACGTCGTCTGCCGGTGTCCTCGGTGAGGAAGCAGATGGCTGAGCTCAGTATGTACGCCTGCGGTGTCAAGGGAGCTGTGAGTTTCAACGCAAATGGCTTTTTGGTTCCGCAACGGCTGTCGCTCGCCACGGCTGCCAGCAGTGCTGCAGCTTCGTGTGTGCCGAACAGGGGCGGGGGGGCTCACCGCAGCCGTCTTGGCGAAGATGGTCGACAGAGAGAAAGGCCTTAGACGTAGCTCTTCAGCGGTTGGGCGGGCCCAGAAGGTTTGAGGGCTGTTGTGCAGCGCCCAGCCGAAGCCCACGAGCCCGAGGTAGAACTCAAGTTGTGCGCATGGCACAGGGGCTCGCATGGTGACAAGACCCAACCCGTCGCGAAGGCCATGCCACCAGAACACCGAGAGAACGACCGCAGCCACATGGAAAAAACGTACCTCAATCCCAGTGCAAGCATACAACGTAGCCATCAGAACCAGCACCTTAGTCAGGTGTACGCAGCAATGACCCACATTCACGATGAATTCTGCGTCCCAGGATATTGTCTTGTTCTCTTGCAGATGTGTCAGACAGACGAAGATCGCGAACGCTGTCAGGTAGAACGAGATCTTGACTAGCAGAGCTAGGTCCTGCGAGACGAAATCCTCCGGATGCCGAAAGAACCACCACGCACGCCGCACTGCCGGCCCGATCAGAAGTATGAGCGCCAGTACGACGCACACTTGCTGCGCGCTGGGCCTGGCCGTGTAGGTCACCTCGCACGTCTGTTCCGCTGGCCCCGCGCCTTTCCCAAGGCTCGTCAGCGACCTCCACGCGCGGCTAGACAACGCGAACTGCGCGTCTACCGTCGTGTTTGCGATCGAGCTCGCCCCGAAGGACACGCACTGTTTGTGTCCAGTTGGCGTCTCGAGTTGCGAGAGCGAGTCGGCAGGAACGTCCACGGGCTTGCAGATGCGACCGCCGCACGTTCCGTAGAGCTTGCACGCGAGGAACTCGAGGGACCCTTCGTCGCTTCTAAAAGGTGCTGTGATGGCGTCGAACAAAAGTGACCGTCGTGGAGGAAGCAAAGAGGCAGCCTGCCCGATCGCGTCAAGAGTGTCTGCGATGACGTTCTGTTTCGTTTGTCCCACGCAGACCTCCGCCGCACTGCGACGCAGAGCACACGAGGCAGGTCAGTCAGCGGCGTCTCGTGCCTGCGCAACGGGTCCAGCCTGCCGCGCTGCGTGTCGTCGTGCTGGCCGTGCCGCCGCTGCAACATGTGGCGCTGTCGAGACATCACGCGCGGCAGCATCGCAGATTCTGGCCCGTATCGGCCTCAACCCGCAGAGAAGACCCATGATGCTAGAGCCACACACAGCGGTGCGCGACAGCCTTCGTGTGCGATTCGAACACCGACCGCATCGGGACCGACGGGTCGTTCCTGGCATTGTAACCGTCAATTCACCCGCAGACGTGCGCACCTGGACTGGACGGCGGCACGATCGCAGCAGACCTTGACCTCACGGTCCATCAGCGCGCTGTAGCCGACCCACTTGCTCGGCATCGCAGACTTCTCACTGCGCAGGTTCCCGAACCGCTCCTGCATGGTCTCCGTGTGGGCAGGCGGCACGACGCACAGCGCCACCAGGAGAAGGCATGCCACGGACCCTAGTCCTAGGGCAAGAGCAGAATTGCCGTAACGTGACCGCATGGCGGGTCCGAAGGAGCCTCGCTAGCACGAGGCGGTGGCGAACACCCTGGAAATCAGGCGCTCGGTCGCCTGCTGCAGGAGCCTTGAGCCCCGCACGGATTGGGGGAGTGCGATGTGTCGGGTGCCCCACCCGGCGCGACCGCCGCTAATCGCGCTCCATGCGGGCGTCCGATCGCGCGCCGCGGCCGCACATGCGCTTGATGTCTTCGTGTGGACGCTCATCGCGCGCCAAAGCCCGCACACAGTCGCAGGGCGGCCACCCACCAAACAGCGGCGCGCGGCTCTGCGGGGAGCCCCAGCGGGCGCGACGCGGCGCGATCACGCCCAAGAAGCACAAGAGGGGTCGGATCACATGCAAGGAGCCTGATGCCGGGGCTGGAGGCGGGCAGAGCGAGCCACAGACCGTGGAGCGCCCGCTCGGCCCCGTGTTGCAGGCAGCACTGCACTGTCACCATGTATACAACCATGTGTACAACCCGCACAACGGGCCGAACCGCACGCTCGGGGGGGCTGCCTGGCCCTGGGCGGCTCGATCCCAGGCAGGGTGCGTGGTCGGATGGCGGTCTGACTGCGTGTTGAGGCCGTGATCGCTGCTGGTGGGCGATAAAGGAGCGCGCGCTGCACGAGGAGAGCGGCTCGCTGGACTCGAGGTCGGAGAAGGACGCGCGACGCAGCGCAGCCACACTTTGGCCACGGTCTCAGCGCTGCGGCGGAACCAGTCACACCGCCCCCCCAGGCCCATCACCGCCGCTCCTCATAGTACCGGTGCTCATCATGCCGGCCGCGCCGATCGTGCGCGTCCCGCCCAGCGTCCCGGTCGTCCCCGGACCCATACCGCGCCCTCGCGCGTTCCGGGCACCGCCGCGCCTCGTCTTCGAAATCCTCGAGCTTCCGCCGGTGCCGCCGCGAATGCTCTCTTGCCTCCGCCTCCTCCACGCCCGCCGCGACCAGCTCCGCCCGCAGCGTCTCCGCGGCCTCCGCCGGCGGCGGGCCCGCGGTGCGGCCCTCGACCGCAGCGGCCTGCGCCTCGCGGAGCGCGTGCGCGGCCGTCGCGAGCACGTCCGCGACCGTCGGGGCCTCGCCCTGGCGCGCCTTCGCGCCGCCGTCGCGGCCGCGCCCGACGCCGCGCCGCTCGTCGCCGTCTTCGTCGTCGCTGTCCGCCCACTTGCTCGCCAGGACGGCGGCGTCCGCGCGCTCCTGCATCGTCATCGTGCCGGAGCGCCGCTGCGTCGCGGCCCGCGCGCGCTCCGCCGCAGCAGCCTTCGCCTTCGCCACCGCGTCCTCCACGCCGGGGAGCCCCTGAGCGCCCCCCGCGAGCGCAGGCACTTGCGCGCCGTCGTCGTCGTCGCGGCCCGTCGTCGCCGCGTGCGGGAGCTTCGCGCCGCTCTCGGCCGCGCGCTGGAACGCGTCCGCGGCAACGATGCGCGACACCATGGCCTCGAAGCCCCCGGACCGCGGCAGCCCCAGCCGCCGACACCGTGCGACGGCGCCATCTTCGCCGATCTCGACGAGCCCGGGACGCAGCCGCTGGTCGGCGTCGTCGACGAGGTGCTTCGGGAGGTCGTAGACGGCGCACGCGAAGGTCGCGTGGAGGCCCCGGAGGAGTTCCGCGGGTATAACCATGGAGTGCTGCCAGGCGCCGAGGACGTCCGCGACGTAGCGGCCGAGCGCGCGGGCGCCGCGCGGACCCGACGCGCGGTAGCACTTCTGCGCAGGGAGCGACGAGAAACCACGGCCGATCGTCGCCGTCAAAGCAAACAAATGTAAAAGAAACGAAATTGCTCCACATCACGCAACGAGACGAAGAGCCAGTGTGGGAAATCGCTAGACGGAGCAAGAGAGCGAACGCAGCTGCGCGAACACGCACCGCCAGGGACTCGAACGCGTCGGGCAGCCCGTCCTCGAGAGCGCGCCGCAGCGCCGCCGTCTGGTCCGAGCGCGTCGCGTGCGCGTTGTGCAGGACGTCCGACACGGCCAGGAGGCGCGCCACGCGCGCGGGCGCCCTGGCCGACGCGTCCGCGAGCGCGCCGAGCAGCAGCGCGGCCACGTCCTTGGCGTGCGCTGCCGAGTCGAGGCACAGCATCGTGACGTCGCCGATGAGCTCGCGGTCCGGCGCGGGGAGCAGGTCGTCCAGGGCGGCGCGGATGCGCGCCGCGTCCGCCGCCGGCAGCGTCGCGTCCGCCTCGGGCCTGCACGTGGCGCGTGTGGACGCACGGGGTCGATCGGTCACGTGGCTGGCGTCGTGTGCGTGCGTGACGGAGCGGCAATGAGGAGCACCGAATGCCGCGGATTATCTGCGGCGGAGCGCGTGGCCGTTCCGTGCGCGGAGACGCGCGAAGCAGCGCAGACGGTGTGGGTGCCGTGGTGTTCCGGGGGCGAGCGCAGGGCGCGCACCTGTCCTTGACGACCTTGTGCGCCGTCATCGTCGGCGGGAGCCAGCGGGGGGAGTCCTCGATGAACTCGAACGGCTCCACGCGCCACCGCGACAGCGTGTCGCCCTGCGCGAGGCTGTACAGCCGCCAGCGGTAGTACGCGTGGTCCTCGGACGCCAGGTCCGTCAGGAACTGGTACGCCGGCTCGTCCTTGTGCTCCTGGGCCAGCATGTGCTCGAACACGGGGCCGAGCTCCAGAACAAAGGCGGCGGCAGTGTCCGCGAGGTAGCGGACGCGCGGGTCCGCGGGGAGCTTCACCTCGCGCCCGCCCTCGTCCAGAATTGCCTGCACGGTCCACGGCACGGCGGTCGCGCACATTGCGCCCATGCGTGAAGAAAAAAAACAAATATAAAACAAAGATGTTTGTTGAAACGGTAAAGCACCCTGCCGGGCGACCGCACGGCCGCGCGCGCGCGCGGGACGCCACCGCAGCCCTCACCTGGAGGTTGATCTCCGCCGTCGTCGTCGGCGCGGTCCGGATGTCGGCCTTGTGCGGCCGGTACAGCGGCTGCGCCGCAGCGCCGCTGCCCGGCGCGGGCCACACGGGCGCCCGCGGGATCGTGATCGCCTTCGACCACCCGAGCATGATCGCCATGTCGTGCAGCCGGCACCCGTTCAGCCCCTCGAGCGCCTTCTCGGCGTCCTCCCGTCGCATAAACGCAACGAACGCCGTGTTGCGTCCCCTCCGGACCTCCTCCTCGCACCGCGGCCACATGACCTTGACGCTCGCGATAGGGCCGTAGTGTCCGAACTCGCGCAGCAGGATGCCCTCGTCGACGTCGGGCGCGAGGTTGCTGATGTGGAGGTTGGTGGTCGCGGGGTCGCCGCTCGACAGCGTGGCGAAATCCTCGGCGTCGTCGAGGCCCATGGCGCGGCGCTCCTCGCGGCGCTGCTGGTTCTGCTTGAGCTCCTGGAGCATCTCGTCCAGGACGCGGCTGCCGCCCTTCTTGCTGCGTTTCGCCATGGGCGCTGGCGCGGTCTGAGGCGGCTCGGGCGGAGGCGCGTGGCGGGCGACCTTGGGCGTGAGCGTCGGAGCAGGCGACCTCTCGGTGTGGTGGTGGTGCCCCGGCGGGGGACGGGGCGGAGCGGTGTCCCTGCGCGCGGCGGGAGGCGGGGAGGGGCGGCCGTGAGCGGACTGGTGCGTTGTGCGGGCCGTGGGCGCCGCGCGACGCAGATCTGCCGCAATGCTCCGTTCGAGCGCCATGGAGCGGACATGGAGGCCGCGGGCGGCGGGAACCGCGGTCGCGTACCGTCGCCGGCGCTTCGGTGCGGGGTCTTCATCCTCTGGGCCTCCAAAGGCCTCCACGAAGGACTCGAAAACCTTATCTGCCTCGGCCTTTTGCTTCTCCTCCCGCTTCTTCTTCTCCTGGGTGTACAGCTGCGGCGACCCGGCGACCGCGCCGGCGCTCGAGCGTGAGCGCGCAGCACAGGAGCGCAGTTGCGCCTCGCGCGCGTGGCTCGGCCGCCGCACGCATCGAGACGCGCTCTTTTTCGGACGATGAGCAGGACTGGCATCCGAGGAACCCTCGCGCGGCGACCAACGCCGCCGGACGCGGCGGACGGGCTCTGGCGCGCGGGCGAGAGGGCCGGAGCGCACCGCCAGCGTGTTCTTCCGCTTGCCAATGGAAAAAGAGATCGGCGTCCCCTTCATCCTGCCTCCTCCGCGCCCTACCGTCCACGGACTGTCTCCCGCAGCGCCGCAGGTCCCGCGAAACGCATCGACGGGCCCGCGCGAGGCCGCACCAGCTAGTCGAGGCTGCTCGGCCCCACGAACCTCGATCCCCAGATATCAATATCCTCCACGCAACACCAAGACCACTCTCACCCGCTGCTCACAAACGCGCAACTTCCCGCACCACCCCACCGCCCGCGCCCTCCACGCCCCACCGCGGGGCCCGCGCGATCGAACGCAAACACCCCCGCCCCGGCTGTCGCGACTTGACACACGCACCGCTGTCGTTGCTGTCAGACGCCACCTGCCCACGTGCCCGCGGACGTGGCGGCCGCGAGACACCCGCCGCTGCCCGCACCAGGCGCCCGGACTCGCCCGCTGCGCTCGCGCCGCCGTCCAAGCGCCAGCGCGCCACCAGCAACCCTGGTTTCCTATCTCGCGTTCGCGTGTTCCTCCAGGTGGCATTCGCGGCGCCTGCGCGGCGCGTAAGGGGACGCGAACGGCCGCGCGCGACCGCCGCGGCGCCCGGCTGCCGGGTGCGCGCGGAGACGGATCTCTCACGGGAGGCTCGTGGGCCGCAATGGACCGCAGTTGACATGTCATGCGTCATGTGGTGCCGGGAGGGCACGTGCGGCCGGTGGCGGCGGGGACGGGACTGCGCACGGTGCCCGGGGGCGATGCCGCGCCGGGCCGCGCGGGGGGCGCACTGGCGCGAGCAGCAGCACGCGTGTCCGTGTGTCGCTTTGACGCGGTGCACCGGCGGCTCCCGTCGCGTTCGGGCGTTTTTCGTACCACGAGGTAGGTTCTCACGGAGATGACAGCACGAGACGTGAGAGAGAGGCCCGGGTGTTGGCGGAGAACGCGTCGCGGGGCGCCTGTGCGAGCTGTCTGGTACTCAGCAGTGTGGAGGGCGCGTGCGACGTGGCGTCAGGGGGGCCGTGGCGGCGGGTGGTGCGGCTGAGGCGTCCTGGGCGTGCGCATGCGTGCGGGCGGGGGCGCGGCGTGGGTTTGGCCGCTGAGCGGCGGCGCGGGCGGGAGGAGTGTCAGCTGCCAGGTAGGTCAGCGACTGCGGGCGGCCAAGGGGGCGCGTCGCGGCGCGGCGGCGGCATTGCGGCATTCCCGGCCGTTGCAACAAATCTTATATACGTGTGTGGTAACCTATCAAGGGTTACTTCGTGTCGTTCCGGCTCATTCCCGTGCGCTGGACGGCATCGACGCAATGCGCGCGACGACAGGAAACGTCACGGCGGGGGCGCCCGGGATCGGGCGTCCCAGGATCTCGAAGAACCGCAACACGCGCGTGCGCGTCGCGGGGAGCAGGGGAAAGGCTCCTCGCGACGCCCGTGAGCTGTTGAGCGGCCTTGCGGCCAAGGGGCGCGTCCCGGGCGCCTCGACGCCGCTCGGCGGCACCCTCGTGCAGAAGAAGATCGCCAACGATAATGAGGCCCGCCAGGTGAGCGCCGCCCGCAACACACGACGCGCGAGCCGGCTCGGCAGGCACCCACAGAGGGCGTGAGGGCAGGCGAGCGCCGCGCCCTCGCGGCCCGGGTGCTCCCTATTCCGCGAGAATCCCATCGCATTGAATCTGAGCTACCCCCGCCCAGCGCCAGCTAAGGCACATTCACGCCCACGACGCGATTCGGGACCATGCGGCTGCACCACTCGGTTGCCCGTCGCGCGGGCCGCGCGGCCGCGCGGGCACCAGCATTCCCCACTCCCCGCGCGCGATCTCCCCCACACTCCACCCTGCGCCGCGCCAACCGCCCCCTGCGCCCCGCACGAGCCCGCGCGGCCGCCCCACCTCCCCCGTAGGGCAGCCCTCGACGCGCCGCGCCCCCGGCCCCGCGCCGCGCCAACCGCCCCGCAACACCCGCCCCTGACACGCCTCGCGCCGCATGGCGCGCGCACTCCCCTGTCCGCGCCCCCACGCCCTCGCCCGCCACCTCTGGAATCTCACCATCAACCACTTGCTCACCCTTCTTCCGCAGGCTCCCGTGGCGGAGGCTCACAACGGCACCCCGGACGCCGCCGGTCTGTTCAATCCCGAGAACGACCGCGACGCCTGCGGCGTCGGATTCATCGCCCACATGGACCGCAAGCCCCACCGGTGCGTGGCCACGCCGCCGCGCCCTGTCTCGCCCCGCAACGCGCCGCGGCGCGCCCTCCCGCGCCCTATTCGCGCCGGCCCCGCGCCGCCGCGGCACCTCCTCGCCTCCGAGCGCCGCGCACGCCCCCGGCCCGTCCCGCCGCCGCGGCGGCTGCCTAATGACCAACCACCGCCGTTACATGAAGGCGGCCGTTGCTGAGACGGCGCGGCGGCGGCCGCCGCGGCTCGCGCAGCCCGCGGTCTGTGCGGAACGCGCGGCCGCGGCCGCCGCCGGCCGCGCGGTGCCGCGGCAGCGGCCCGCTGCGTGTGTAGCGCCGCGGTGGTTCCAGGGCGGATCTTGCGGGCGTCCGTCGCTGATTCGCGCCCGCGCTGGCGGCGTGCTCGCAGGTCGTGCGTGACGCAGGCCCTGGAGATGCTCGTCCGCATGTCGCACCGTGGCGCGTGCGGCTGCGAGGAGGCGACCGGCGACGGCGCCGGCATCATGCTCTCCATCGACCACGAGTTCTTCTCCACGCTCGCCAAGGTGCGACCCCCTCTGACACTACCTCATCCACGTCGCGCCTGCAACACGCAACGAATATCTCGCCGGACGCCGCGGAACGGGCTTCAACTGCCACGCAGCGCTCGCGCCCCGCTCCGCCGCCGACGCGGGCGCCCTCCGCCCCCCCTTCCGCGCGCAGGAGGGCCTCGGCATCGACCTCCCGGAGCAGGGCAAGTACGCGGTGGGCATGGTGTACCTCCCCAAGGACGCGCAGGAGGCTGCCACGGCGCAGCGCGTGATTGACGAGACGCTGACCAGCCGCGGCATGGACGTCCTCGGGTGGCGCGACGTCCCCGTCGACGGCTCCATGCTCGGGAAGTCGGCGCTCGACGTCGAGCCCACGATCAAGCAGCTCTACGTCGCCATTCCCAACGTGAGGGTCACGCGCGCGATGCGGGGCAAATGTCGTGCGTGGATTCGCTCGCCGCGGTGTGCCGTGCGGGGCGTACCGTGCGCGCCGATGTCAACGGCACCGGTTTCTCACGAGACTTGTTTTACTTAATTAATTAATGTTCTTGTGTTTTGTCTCGTTGCGCGCGCAGGCCGAGACCACGGTGGAGAGGGACCTGTACGTGGCGCGCAAGATGGCCGAGGGCCGCCTGAGGAGCGAGCACGGCTGGGGCGAGGACGACGTCTACTTCTGCTCCCTCTCGAGCCGCACCATTGTGTACAAGGGCCAGCTCACGCCCCAGCAGGTCTCGGAGTACTACGCGGACCTCCGGCGCCCGGACTGCAAGGCGTACCTCGCGCTCGTGCACTCGCGCTTCTCCACCAACACCTTCCCGAACTGGTCGCGCTCCCAGCCGTTCCGCATGATGGGCCACAACGGCGAGATCAACACGCTGCGCGGGAACAAGAACTGGATGCGCGCGCGCGAGGGCAACATGCGCCCCTCCTCGCTGCACCTCTCGGACGACGAGCTCAAGCAGATCCTCCCGATCGTGCCCCCGGAGACGTCGGACTCGGGGTCGTATGACACGGTCCTGGAGCTGCTGGTGCGGTCGGGGCGAACGCCCGCGGAGGCGATGATGCTGATGATCCCCGAGGCGTGGCAGCGCAACGAGAACATGGACCAGGCGCGCCGCGACTACTACCGGTTCATGTCGGCGGTGATGGAGCCGTGGGACGGCCCCGCGCTGGTGACGTTCACCGACGGGCGCACGATCGGCGCGACGCTCGACCGCAACGGGCTGCGCCCGGGGCGGTACTACCAGACGTACGACAACCGCATCATCATGGCCTCGGAGGTCGGCGTCGTGGACATCAAGCCCGAGGACATCAAGCACAAGGGGCGCCTGCGCCCGGGCAACATCCTGCTCGTGGACCTGGAGAACGCGCAGGTCGTGCGCGACAAGGCGCTCAAGTCCGGCGTCGCGGAGGCGTTCCCGTACGGCGAGTGGGTCAAGCAGCACACCATCACGCTCGAGGAGTTCGCCAGGGACGCCGGCGTGGACCTGGCCATCCCGGAGCTGGCCGCGCCGCAGACGCTCGAGGACATCCAGGACGAGATGCGCGCGTTCGGGTTCTCGCGCGAGACGCTCGACGTGCAGCTCCTGCCCATGGCGCGCACCGCGAACGACCCGCTCGGCTCGATGGGCAACGACGCGCAGCCGGCCTTCATGTCGAGCCGCCCGCGGATGATTCCGGACTACTTCAAGCAGCTCTTCGCGCAGGTCACGAACCCCGCGATCGACCCCATCCGCGAGGAGGTCGTCACGTCGCTGCGGTGCATGATCGGCCCCGAGGGGGACATCACGACGCCGACGCCCTACGCGGAGCAGGCGGGGCGGTTCGAGCTCGAGCGCCCGCTGCTGACGATCCCCGAGCTGGACGCGATCAAGAAGTCGAGCCCGCGCGGGTGGAAGACGCAGGTCATCGACACGACGTGGGACGTGGCCGAGGGCACCGCGGGCATGCGCAAGGCCATCGAGCGCGTCTGCCAGGAGGCCGTCGACGCGATCCACGCCGGCAACCGCCTCATCTGCCTCTCGGACCGCGCGACGTCGCCCGCGCGCGTCGCGATCCCGCCGCTGCTCGCCACGGGCGCGGTGCACCACCGCCTGGTCCAGGACAAGCTGCGGACGCACGCGGGCATCATCGTCGAGTCCGGCGAGCCCCGCGAGGTGCACGCGTTCTGCTGCATGGTCGGCTACGGCGCGGACGCGATCTGCCCGTACATGGCGTACGAGGTGCTCATGCGCGGCGCCGACGAGGGGCTGGTGGCCAAGGACGCCACGCGCGCGTCGGTGGTCGACAAGTACCTGTACGCCGTCGACCACGGCATCCAGAAGGTGCTCTCGAAGATGGGCATCTCGACGCTGCAGTCGTACAAGGGCGCGCAGATCTTCGAGGCGCTCGGGCTGGCGCAGGAGGTGATTGACGTGTGCTTCGTGGGGACGCCGTCGCGCATCGGCGGCGCGGGCTTCGAGGGCCTCGCGACGGACGCGCTCCGGCTGCACGCGGACGCGTACGGCGAGGCCGTCAGCGACGCGATCCCGCACGTGGGCGAGTACTTCCACCGCCGCGGCGACGCCGCCAAGACCGACCTGCACCTGAACGACCCGCGCGCGATCGCCAAGCTCCAGGAGGCCGCGTCGAAGAAGTCGTACGCCGCGTACAACGAGTACGCCAAGGTCACGAACGACCTCGCCAAGAAGATCACGCTGCGCGGGCTCCTGGAGTTCAAGAGCGTGGGCAACAAGCCGCTCCCGCTCGACGAGGTCGAGCCGGCCTCGGAGATCGTGAAGCGCTTCGTGACGGGCGCGATGTCGTACGGCTCGATCTCGCTCGAGGCGCACACGACGCTGGCGCGCGCGATGAACCAGCTCGGGGGGAAGAGCAACACGGGCGAGGGCGGGGAGAACCCGAAGCGGCTGATGCCGCTCCCGGACGGCTCGCAGAACCCGGAGCGTTCCGCGATCAAGCAGGTCGCGTCGGGGCGCTTCGGCGTCACGGCGCACTACCTCACCAACGCTGACGAGATCCAGATCAAGATCTCGCAGGGCGCGAAGCCGGGCGAGGGCGGCGAGCTCCCGGGGCACAAGGTCGTGGGCGACATCGCGGAGACGCGCTCGTCGACGCCGGGCGTCGGGCTCATCTCGCCCCCGCCGCACCACGACATTTACTCGATCGAGGACCTCGCGCAGCTCATCTACGACCTCAAGTCGGCGAACCCGTCGGCGCGCGTGAGCGTCAAGCTGGTGTCCGAGAACGGCGTCGGCGTCGTCGCGTCGGGCGTCGTCAAGGGCCACGCCGACCACGTGCTCATCTCGGGCCACGACGGCGGCACCGGCGCCGCCAAGTGGACGTCGATCAAGGGCGCCGGCCTGCCCTGGGAGCTCGGGATCGCGGAGACGCACCAGACGCTCGTCGCCAACGGCCTCCGCGGCCGCACCGTCCTCCAGATCGACGGCCAGCTCAAGACGGGCCGCGACTGCGTCATTGGCGCGCTGCTCGGCGCGGAGGAGTTTGGGTTCTCGACCGCGCCGCTCATCGTGATGGGCTGCATCATGATGCGCAAGTGCCACACGAACACGTGCCCCGTCGGCATCGCGACCCAGGACCCGCAGCTGCGGGCCAAGTTCGAGGGCGTGTCGGAGGACGTCGTCAACTACTTCTTCATGGTGGCCGAGGAGATGCGCGAGATCATGGCGCAGCTGGGCTTCCGCTCCGTCGAGGAGATGGTCGGCCGCGCCGACGCGCTGCAGCTCGACCCCGAGGCGCAGGCCGCGAACCCGAAGCTGGCATCGCTGGACTTCTCCAAGCTGCTGCTCGACTCGCGCACGCTGCGCCCGGGCGAGCCGATGGTGTGCGTGCAGAAGCAGAACCACGACCTCGAGTCCTCGCTCAACCACAAGCTCATCGACCTGTGCAAGCCCGCGCTCCCGGACATGGTGATGACGCACGAGGGACCGAAGCCGCGCTCGGGGCGCCCCGAGGACGCGCGCGTGCTGCCCGTCGCGCTCGACCTCCCGATCGTCAACGTCGACCGCGCCGTCGGCTCCACGCTCTCGCACGAGGTCACCAAGCGCTTCGGCAAGCCCGGGCTGCCCGACGGGACCATTCACCTGAAGTTCAACGGGCACGCCGGGCAGTCGTTCGGCGCGTTCACGTGCAGCGGGATCACGCTGGAGCTCGAGGGCGACGCGAACGACTACGTCGGCAAGGGCCTGTCGGGCGCGAAGATCGCGATTTACCCCCCCGCGGGGAGTAAGTTTGCCGCGGAGAAGAACATCGTACTGGGCAACGTGGCGCTGTACGGCGCGACGAGCGGCGAGGCGTACTTCGCGGGCGTCGCCGCGGAGCGCTTCTGCGTGCGGAACTCGGGCGCGATCGCCGTCGTGGAGGGCGTGGGCGACCACGGCTGCGAGTACATGACGGGCGGCACCGCGATCGTGCTGGGCACGACGGGCAAGAACTTCGCGGCCGGCATGTCCGGCGGCGTCGCGTACGTCCTCGAGGAGCCCGACGAGGACTCCCCCGGCTTCGCCAAGCTCTGCAACATGGAGCTCGTGGACCACTTCAAGTTCGACGCCGACTCGGCGGAGTTCGGCAGCGCGGACGCGAGCCAGCTGCGCGCGCACATCCAGCAGCACGTGCGCTGGACGGGCTCCGAGAAGGGCAAGCGCATCCTGGCGAACTGGGACGAGTACCTCCCGATGTTCACCAAGGTCTTCCCGCGGGACTACCGCCGCGCGCTGCGCGAGGCCGCGGAGAAGCTCGCGAACGACTCGGTCGCCAAGGGCCTCGCCGCGCCGCCGCCGACGGCCGCGGACGCCCCCGCGGCCCCCGCGACCAACGGCGGCGGCAACGGCGCGCCGGCGTCCTCGGGCGACCCCGCGCGCGACCTCGAGACCCTCAAGGCCCGCGCCGTCTCCGGGCAGTCGGTGAGCGGCTTCGCGGCGACCTGGGAGGCCAGCCGCCCGCAGATCGTGCCGTCTGGCTCCGCGAACAAGGCGCGCGGCTTCCTGGAGTACAACCGCAAGGCCCTCGACTACCGCGCGCCGGAGGAGCGCCTGGGCGACTGGAAGGAGGTGCAGCAGCACTCGACGACGCGCACGGGCGACGCCGCGGACCAGCTGCACACGCAGGCGGCGCGCTGCATGGAGTGCGGCACGCCCTTTTGCCACCAGGACCACACCGGGTGTCCCGTGAACAACAGGATCCCGGAGTGGAACGACCTGGTGCACAAGGGGCGCTGGCAGGAGGCGTTCAACCGGCTGATGGAGACGAACAACTTCCCGGAGTTCACCGGCCGCGTGTGCCCCGCGCCGTGCGAGGGCTCGTGCGTGCTGGGCATCAACCAGGACCCGGTGTCGATCAAGTCGATCGAGTGCTCGATCATCGACCGCGCGTACGAGGAGGGCTGGATGCGGCCGCGCCCGCCCGCGACGCGCACGGGCCTCAAGGTCGCGATCGTCGGCTCCGGGCCCGCTGGCATGGCCGCCGCGGACCAGCTCAACAAGATGGGCCACGAGGTGCACGTGTACGAGCGCGCGGACCGCATCGGCGGGCTGATGATGTACGGCGTGCCCAACATGAAGGCCGAGAAGACCGAGGTCGTGCAGCGCCGCGTCGACCTCATGGCCGCGGAGGGCGTCAGGTTCTTCACCAACGCACACGTGGGCCAGAACGTCGACCCGAAGGCGCTGTACGCCGAGTACGACTCGGTGCTGCTGGCCGCCGGCGCGACGAAGCCGCGCGACCTCGCGATCGAGGGCCGCGACCTCGGCGGCGTGCACTTCGCCATGGAGTTCCTTACGGCCAACACCAAGAGCCTGCTCGACTCCAATCTGTCGGACGGGAAGTTCATCTCGGCGGCGGGGAAGAAGGTGGTGGTGATCGGCGGCGGCGACACGGGCACGGACTGCATCGGGACGTCGCTGCGGCACGGGTGCGCGTCGGTGGTGAACCTCGAGCTGCTCGACATGCCGCCGCCGTCGCGCTCGAAGGACAACCCGTGGCCGCAGTGGCCGCGCATCTACCGCGTGGACTACGGCCACGCCGAGGCCGCGCACCGCTTCGGGAAGGACCCGCGCCGCTACCACGTGATGACCAAGCGCTTCCTGGGCGACGGCGAGGGCAACCTGCGGGGCATCGAGATCGTGGAGGTGCAGTGGGAGAAGGACGCGGAGACGGGCCGGATGAACATGAAGGAGGTCCCGGGCTCGGAGGAGGTCCTCGAGGCCGACATGGCGCTCCTCGCGCTGGGCTTTTTGGGGCCGGAGGACCGCCTCGCCGACGCGCTGGAGCTGTCGCGCGACCAGCGGTCGAACTTCGCGGCCGAGTACGGCGAGTTCGCGACGAGCGTCGAGGGCGTGTTCGCGGCGGGCGACTGCCGCCGCGGGCAGTCGCTGGTGGTGTGGGCCATCAACGAGGGCCGCGGCGCTGCCGACAAGATCAATGCGTTCCTCAAGGCGAAGAAGGGCGTGCAGCACGTGCCGAACGGCGTCGTCGGCGGCATCGAGTCGTTCGAGGGCGCCGGCGCCGCGCTCTGAGCGCCCCGCGATCCCACGCACCTCCCCTTACTGTTTACACACTACATAGAACCATCCAAGCGCTGGCGGACCGGAGGGGACGCCGGCGGCGGCCTGGACTCCCGGGGACGGCGGGAGGGTGCGGACGGCCGCACGATACACTAGATGCATGCGACGAGGAGTGATGTAGCGGCGTGGTGCTGCGCGGGCGATGCGTGTGCTAGGAACGGGAACCTGGCGCAGGCGAGCGGCCGCGCAGCGACGCAGGGCCGTGGGCGGTGCCTTCGGCGCGGGTTTGAGCGGCGGTGATTCCCCCACCGCCGCTCTCTTGGCCCGCGGCGGGGCGCCGGGACCCGCCCACGTGCCTGTGACTTACGACGCCGGGAACGCGCAGTGGCTGTCACCCGATCACTGTTTGCGTGGCGCCCTTGGTCTGCTTGTCTGTGTGCACGGCGCGATGCGCGGTGGCAGGTTCGTCGGCCACGTTGCAGGCGCGTTTTTCTCGTTCCGCATAAAGGGGGAGTTTGTTGTGTCAGTTCAAACAGGTCAGTTCAGACTCGAGTCGCTGTTGCCGTGCTGGCCTCGAAGACGACGTGCGCTGTCCGACGCGTTCGCCACAACTCGAGTTCTTTGTGCACCGTGCAACTTGATGTTCCATTTTTCTGTCACACTCAGCCGAAGACGACCGCGCCCTCCTCCTTCATCAGGTCGCGCTTCCCGTGCTCGGCCACCTTCCGCTTCACCACCTCCAGCAGCAGCTCCGGCGTCAGCGTCAGGTTGTGGCTCCCATAGCACGCCGCCTGCACAGACGCAACCATCTTGGCGATCTCGCGCCCGCTGAACCCGTCGCACAGCCGCGCCGCCTCCGCGATGTGCGAGTCCTCGACCCCGGCCACCTTGATCGCCACCGGCGCGCCGCGCCCGATCCCGATCTTGCTCAACAGCCCCCCCCCTGACTCGCTCCCCGCGCCGCCCGCCTCCGTCCCAGCCTTCGCGATGTACTGGTCGATGTAGAGCTCGAGCATCAGCTTCCGCTCCGCCTCGCCCGGCAGCGGGAACTCCACCGCCTCGTCAATCCGGTCCAGCACCGCGGCGTCGAGATCCGACGGCCGGTTCGTGCACAGCACGACCACGAAGTCGCGCGACTGGTCGCCCGTGCGGAACAGCAGCGCGTTCAGCGCGCCGCGGAGGCCCTCGGACTGCCCCGCGCCGCGCCGCCCGAGGAACGCGTCCGCCTCGTCGATGAAGACCATGAGCCCGCGCGTGGAGGACTCGGCCCAGTCGAAGAGCTTGTGGAGCTCGGTGACGGCGTGGCCGCCGAGGGGCGCGACGTCGCCGCCGGACATGATGGCGTAGTCGAGGCCGGAGGTGCGCGCGAGCTTCTTGGCCACGAGGGTCTTGCCGGTGCCGGGGGGGCCGTAAAAGAGCATGTGGCGGAACGGGGCGCGGTGGACGCGGGTGTTGGCGGTGGACGCGGCCATGCGCTGGACGTGCTCCTTGAGGGGCGCGGGGAGCACGACGTCGCTGAAGCCGCGCGAGATCGCCTCGGGCTTGGCCATGTTGGCCTGCACGGGAAGGAGGGTTGGGGAGTTATTGTTAGGAAGGCGGTTCGGGCGCCGGTCGATTGCGCGACGAATCGGACCATTTCTCATTTTTCATTCATCGAAACCATGTTGTTCAATCAATTGATATCCTTCAATTCAGTTCAGTGTTCAAGATCGAGAGCGAGGCGGTGTCCACGTTCATGCGCAGCTGCGCCGGTGCCGCCCCTCAGCGATCGATACCGCGGGCGCCCGCGCACCTGCTTCGACCGCTTGACGAAGTCCCACGGCCGCGTGTAGCTGCTCTCGCGCACCAGACTGGGAATGGTGAGGTACCGTTCGATAGCGCGCCCCGCGACGCGCGTCCCCTCGCGCGCGCCGTACACGAACGCCGCGACGAGCCCCAGCCCCGACACGAACACCAGCCCCTTGTCCGCGTGCTCGATCAGCTCGTTCACGCCCGACCCCAGCCCCGACAACCACGCCTGCGCCACCGCGATCGCCTTCTTCGTCTCCTCGCCGTACTTGAGCACCATCTCGCGCCGGTACACGTCCTCGTTCTCGCGGCGCTCCTTGATGCGCCCCTCGGCCTCCGCCAGCGCCCGCTGCGCCTGCACCTTGCGCTTTTGCTCTGCGCGGTACTCCTCCGTGCGCCGCCGCTCGGCCTCGATCTCCTGCTGAATGCGCAGCTTCTCGGCCTCGCGCCGCCGCTCGCTCTCCTCCTGCAGCCGCACCAGCTCGACCTGCGGGCGCGGCGCGGGCGGCGACGGCGGTCGGCGCACGTGTGCGCGGCTGGCGGCGGGGGGGCGTCGGCGCGACGCGCGGGGCGGTGGCGCGGAGGCCAGGCGAGTTCGCGGCGCGGGCGCGCGGCCGAGCGGTGCGTGCGCGGCGCGGCGGGCGCACAGGGTAGGTCGCGCGGGCCCCACCTGACGCTCGCGCTCCTTCTCGTGCTGCGCGGCGGCGCGGTTGCGCGCGAGCTCGTCCTCGTAGCGCTTGATCTCGGCCTGCCGCTGCGCCATCTGGTCGTTTGTCTTCCTCTGCTCCTCTGCGCGCACCCTCTCGGACTCCAGGTTGATGCGCGCAGCCTGCTCCTGCGACTGCGCCGCCTTCAGACCGGCCTCCGCGGCGCGCGCCTTCTCCTGCTCCTTTGCGAGCTCCAGGACCTGCGCGCGACGCAGAAACCCGCCCCGTGACGCCGGTCCGCGGCCGTGGTGCCCGCGCCGCCTCAGGGCTCTCGGAATTGCGCGCGAGGGACGGGCCGCGCGGCGCGATGCCGCGGCGCAGATGCTGGTGCAGCGGATCGGGGAGACGGGTACGCCGCGCAGGGGCCTCGACGCGGGCTCAGCGCGGCGCGATGCGCGCCTGGAGGGTTCAGGGTGCTCCGTGCGACCTGGGGCGTGGGTCGCGGGCGCGCACCGACTTGGCATTCTTGGACTTCTCGATCTCCTTGAGGGCCTTCGCGCCGCGCTCGAGCGCCTCGGGGTCGAAGTAGTCCTTGAACGAGTCCTTCGCGAGCGCGACGCCGCCCGCACCGGCCGCGCAGGCTGCAGCGGCCGCTGCCGCGGTGGCCCAGCGGCCAGCCGCGCGCGCTCCGAGTCTCCCGAGCATCCCTCTGGTTTGGAGGGCCCCGCGGGCGCGCCTCCGCGATCAGGGGCGGCCGGGACGGGCCCTGCGGGGGTGTGTCGGGGGCGCCGGAGGCGTGTGCGAGTAGCTCGCCGGCCGGGCCCGCGGTCGCTCGGTGGCGTGGAGGGCGGGCCGGGGCTGGCGGGTGGGGCACTCTGGTGTCGGAGGTGCCCTCGGTGGACTGCCTGCGCTCTGGAATAAGGGAACGCAGGCGGGGACGAGGAGTGCTGAGAAGGAGAGAGGTTGAGGCAGGATGCAGAGGGCCGCGGGCGAGTCGAGGTGCGTTGCGCCGTGGTTTCTCGTTGGCGTCTGCGTCGTCGCGCGTTCGTTGGCCGTGCGCCGCTGTGGGCGCGGGGCCAGGTCCACGTCGTAACCGGCACTTTGCCTCCCGCGCGCCCGGCGGTACAAACGAGTCCGTGACACGCGCGCCGGCATGTATGCACCGACCTCACGGCCGAACGGCGCGTGGAGTGGCGGCACGCGCGACGCGGGGGCGCTGCGGGCACCCCTGTTGCCTCGCGACGTGTCTCCTGCCCGCGCAGCCGCAGCCCACGCGGAGCGGCACCCTCGTCTCGCGACCTCCTCTTCCATTCTCACCTACGATACGTACAGCCGCGCCCGCGTGCGCCCCGCGCGCCCGTTCGCGCCATGTCTTTCCCCAACTCCTTTTCCTCGCCCCGCGCCGACCCCTGCGGCGCCCCGCGGACCGCCGCGCCGCCCGACCCCGCGCACACCACTTCCGCCCTCACGCCGCCAGCGCCACCCTGGCCCCAGAGCGCCCCGCAGCAACGCCCGCGGCCCCACTCCTCAAGCACCAGCTCCCCGCCCCGTACGCTGCAGGGCCGCGCTCGGCAGGCTATGGCTGGCGACCCAGTTCGCCCAGCAGTCCCGGAACGCCACCACTGACGTCGCGGGCCACGCCCGGGAGGTCCGCAAGTGGCCTGCCTACGTCAACAACCTGTACGCACCCTCCCCACCGCGCCCCGCGTCCTTCCCGCGCGCCCCCCCCACCCCCGCACGCCCCCCGGCCCTCTCTGCGTCTCTCCGCGCGCCGGGCTCCGCCGCACACCGCCGCACAGCCCCCCACCTCGCCCCGCCGCCGCTCTCCGCGTCCGCAGCGTGCGCAACGAGAAGTCCACGGGCCTGATGACGAAGTGGGGTCCCGTGAACTACGTCCCGCGCGGGTTCCCGGGCCCGCGCGAGCGCGCCCAGCGCGACTACATCAACAAGTTTGCTCCGCGCTTTGGCATGGACGGCCTGGACGACTCGTTCTTCTGGTTCCGGTTCCGCGAGCTCTTCAACGAGACCAAGTCCAAGGTCAAGGTGTACGAGTGGGTCATGTACGCCTCCATCCCGCTCTGCATCTTCGGCACCCTCTACGCTGTCGAGTGAGTACCCCCGCCTCGCTCCCCCCGCGCGCCCGTGCCTGTTCCCGCGGTGTCCCGCCGCAGCTGCGCCCTCCCGTGCTTCCTGCACCCTCGCGGACCGCGCACCGCCGTAGCTGCACCACCGCGCCACCGCCCTGCCTACCCACTGGCACAACGCCGCACCGCGCTGCTCGCCGCGAACGCCCGCCGCAGCCGCCCTCCCCAGCGCTCCTCTCGGCCTCCCCGGCCGCGCGCCGGCCTAGCTGCGGGCACCAACCGCGTTCCCGCACTGCGCTGCTTTTACTTTTCCTGCACTGCACCCTGGCGCTCGTCTCATCTCGTCTCGTCTCGTGTCTCTCCGCCCGCGCAGCCACGAGTACGCGCACACGTGGAAGATCGCGGAGAAGCTGCGCCGCCAGCCGGACCCCGAGTACCCGTACATGACGTACCGCACGCGCCCGGGTCTGTCATGGGGCGAGCAGAACTTCTGGGACTGGGCGTTCGGCCTGCCCGACTGGAAGAAGACGCCCGAGCAGCTCGAGGAGGAGGGCAAGGTCTGGCCCTTCCCGCTCGAGTACGAGGAGGGCGCGCCGATCGACGAGAGCTACGTGCACGGCCTCAAGGGCGAGGCTCCCAAGAAGAAGTAGGGGGTGTATTGGCGGGATTCGGTTCGGTTTGGTTTGGTTCCGTTCCGTGCGCGGGGTGGGCGGAGAGACTCCTTGTGTGACACGCAGACTGCTGCGGCTCGTGCGGAGGGCCCTCGCGCCCTCGCGCCCTCACCTGCTCGCCTACGGTGGTCGTGTCGTGCTACTGGCGGCGTGCTGTGCTGCGGCGCTCGGGCGAGGATGTCCGCGCTGGCATGGTGGCTGGCATGCGCAGACGCGAGCTGCGGGTCGGCCGGCGCAGGGGCGGGCGGCGTTCCGGCTCCGCAGCCTGCACCGCCCCGCCGGCGGGTGCGATGTCCGCGCCGGGCGGGAACGGGGGCGGCTGGGCGCGTAGAGCAGCTGGCGGGGCCCTGCGCGCCGTTTGCGCGCGCAAGGGGGGTGGGGTCGTCTCGATTACACCCTGCAGCGACCGGCTGCTGTTGCCGTTGCAGCAAAATTAGTAACTAGCGGCTCGCGGCCCGGGCTGAATCAGAGGGAGAAGATGGGGGCGACGACGAGGTCGCCCAGGAGCCCGAACGGCGCCTTCACGAGCACCCACGGCGCGCCCGTCACGACGCGCAGGAACCACGGGAGCGTCTCGGGCAGGGGACGGCCCTGGTAGAGCTCGCCGAGAGAGAGCAGGAACGCGCCGGCGAGGAGCGCGCAGGCGGCGAGGAGCCCGGCGAGCGCCAGCCCCGCCGCCTTGAGCGCCCCCGTCGTCGACGGCTTGCGGCTGACGGCAGGTGCCGGCGGGGCCCCCCGCAGGACGCGGTCCTCCATCGTCTCCGCCATGGTTCCGTGGATCTGCGGCGGGGGGCGGCGGGGAGCGTGGGTGGTCGCATTCGCTGCGCGCCGGGTGTGACGCCGCAGCTGCTGTTGCACCGGCGCTGGAGGGGGTGTGCGGGGGGGAATGCGCTGTACGTGGGCGCTGCTGCGGATGGGCTCGGGAAACGCGCTCGCGGGGGTCGTTGCGCGGAAAGATGCGCCCGGGGAGGCGCAGCGGGAGAGATGGCCAGAGGTGCCCTCTCGGCGCAGCGATCGCGGACCGCGCCTCGAGGACGGGTTTCGACGGCCGCACGGCGCAGCGGCTGCATGATCGTGTTATTTCTGCTCGATGTTCCGTCGTAAAACGGCGGAACACCTCCGTCCGGCACGCGCGCAGCGAGGAGGCATCCACCACAGGCAGGGACCCGCACAGCGATCCGCACGTCCAGCTGGCCCGATCGTCTCTCGCGTGCCGGCCTACCCCTCCGTGCAGGCAAACGCGGCGCCAGTCCGCCGCGCCGCCGGCGCTTGTCCGCTGCGCTGCCGCAGCGACGCTGTCACTGCGCAGTACCCTACGCGGCAGGCAGGAGGCCCTCGACGGAGTCAGGGGGGGTGTTCAGGCGCGTGTAACGCTCCTGCCGCGTCGTTACCTGTTCGAGGAGTGCGTCAGACGCGCTGTTTGGGTCAGACTAGACTCCTGACGCACAGAGCGAGGTGATGCAGCTCGTCTTTGCGAACGCCCCGCCGGCGCGCTGGACGGCCGCGCAACGCTAATCCGCGGGTATCTGCGGTCTATACATGCACGGAATAGGGGGGCCAGGTGGTTTGGAGCGGATTTGAGGTGCGGAGCGAGGCGTCGCGCACGAGTGGCCCCTAGGTCGCCGGAGGTGTGCTGACCAGTGCCCGGCGGCCCCGTCCGGGCGCTTCCGGCGCTGACCGGCGCGCCGGCGCCGCGTCCGAGGGCATGTGAGGCAGGACGATCCTCGCCCGAGTCGCCGTCCCGAGTTCCGCGGCGAAGCGCATTACGAGTGGGGCGCGTGATAGTGCAGGCAAGGCCCCCTCTCTCTTGCGATGAGATTCAGCCTCCTGGCCGCGATTTCCAAGCAGTAACACGTTCGGTCCGTGCCCGTGGGGGGTCGAACGTGCACGTCACGGCCCGGCGCGTGGTCGGGCGCGCTGCGAGCACCCGGCCTAGGTCGTGTGCCCCGGCGCAGCGTATGGGAGGTTGATAGGACCGCGACGCAGTCGCTGTGGCACAAGCCGTTACGGCCCTGAGCAACGGATTTCTCGAGAACGCAAAATCCTGCCCAGGCAGGCCCTGCAGCCGCGCCTCCTCACCGTTGTAGCGCACCCACCCTTGCCGTGCGCAGCCTACGGGGAGGACATCGTCGCCAACACACAGCAGAGCGACCACCGCTCGACATCACAGAGCACGTGTGCGGCGTTGACGTTGCCTATACGTCCCGGGCGCGACTCCAGCGACGCCTCCACCACAATCCCAACGATGGCCCGTTTCAGGCCGTCATCGGGTGCCCGCGACGCCCAGAAGGGCCCCACCATTGACGATACGCAGATCAGCCGTCCCGGACATCTACTCTTAAAGGCTGCGGCGGCGGCGGTCGTCGCGCTCGGCGCCGCGTGCGCTGCGCGGCACGTTCAGGCGACGCGGCGCCCGGAACGTCGCGCCGCCGGACGTGCTCGCGACGCGCCAGGGAAGCCCGAGGCGCCGGCCGCGACCCTCGACCGCCTTGCGTCCTGTCCGGGCGCTCACGCCCCATTTGACACAGTATGCGCGCTGCTCCCCGCTGGCGACCGCGCGGCGCTGGCCGCGGCGTCGGCGACGATGATGGCGGCCGTCCTCGAGGGCTGCCGCGGCGCGAGGTGGCACGCGCGGAGCCAGGGGACGTGCTCGGCGGTCGCGGGGAAGCTCCGAGGGAAGGTCGCGCGTGACGCCGCGTCGTACGTCGGTTGGGCGGAGAGCGGGTGGCGGGTGTACTGCGACGCCGGCGGCGAGTCGCTGGACGTCGCGGGCGTTGTCGCCGTGGAACTCGTCGGCGGCGAGACAACACCCCCCCCCGACATCCCCCCCGGTATGACTGCGCTGCGAAGGGTTGCCGTGTCGGCGAGGCCCTCGCCGCGCGCGGACGTGCAGGTAGCGGACTGGCTCGCGCGGACGCCGCCGGGTGTGCTCGGCGCCATCCGGCACCTCGACGTCGCGGGCACCACCGTGGACCGCCTGCCGCGCGGCATGTGCGCCCTCGAGCACGTCGACGTGAGCGGCTGTGCCGGACTGGTGCTCGACTGGCTCCCTCCATCGAGCTGCGGCCGCGTTCGCACGCTGCGGGCGCAGGGCAGCGCGCTCCGGAAGCTTCCGAAGGAAGGTCTCGCGTCGCTCGTAGACCTGGACGTCGCTGGGTGCGTCTGCCTGGACGAGGACTTCGCGCCGCGGTCGTGCTGCGGGAAGCTGGCGCGGCTGGTGATGCGCGGGACGCAGCAGCAGCGGGTGCCTGAGGGCATGGCGTCGCTAGTCGAGCTAGACATAAGTGGCTGTTGCAACTTGCTGCCTAATTGGCTGCCGGCGTCCTCGTGCGGGCGTCTGCGCGTGCTGCGCGCCCGCGGCAGCTCCGTCCAGCGGCTCCTCGGCGGCATGGCGGCTCTCGAGGACGTCGACGCCTCCTCCTGCCCCGCGCTCGACGGCGACTTCCTCCCGCAGTCGTCGTGCCTGCGCCTGCGCCGGCTCGCGGTCGAGGCGACGGCGCTGCGCCGCGTGCCCGTCGGGACGGCCGCGCTCGAGGAGCTCGACGTCAGCGACTGCGCGAACCTCGCGGAGGACTTTGTAGCAGCGTCGTCGCGGGGGCGGTTGCGCGTGCTGCGTGCGCGGAACAGCGCGGTGCGGAAGCTCCCCGGCGGGATGGTGTCGCTCGAGGAGCTCGACGTGAGCTCGTGCGCGAAGCTGGTCCGGGACTGGCTGCCTGCGTCGAGTGCTGCGCGCGTCGTGACGCTCAGGGCGGCGCGCACTCCGCTGAGGCACGTGCCGCGCGGCCTCGCAGCGCTGCGGAACCTCGACGTCAGCGCCTGCACGGAGCTCGCGGGGCCGTTCTTCCTCCCTGCTTCCAGCAGCGCAAACGTGCGCACACTCGTCGCAAAAGGCAGCTCGATGACGCGGCTCCGCGAACGGATGGCGCACCTGCGGGAGCTCGACGTGCGGGACTGCGCGCGCCTGGCCGACGACTTCCTCCCGGCGTCGTCCTGCGCGCAGCTGCGGACGCTGCGTGCCGCACGCAGCTCCCTCGTGCGGCTCCCGCCCAAGGTGCCCGTCCTGGCCTACCTCGACGTGCGCGACTGCGCGCTCCTGGCCGACGACTTCCTGCCGGCGTCCAGCGCGGCGCACGTGCGGGTCCTACGCGCGGCGCGCAGCAAGCTCCCCAGGCCTCCCTCCGGGCTGACGGCGCTGCGGGACCTGGACGTGCGGGACTGCGCGTGCCCGGACGGGGCGCTGCTTCCGAAGACGTCGTGCGAGCGCCTGCGGACGCTGCGCTCGGACGGGGGGGGGAGTCAGGGCAGTGCGGCTCGGGGCGCTGCACAAGCCGCGTGAGCGGCGCCGGGGGGCTGCGGTGCCGCGGCGACGACAGCGGAGGCAGCTGGAGACGAGCAGGGCAATCGCGTGTGGTGCTGGACGCGTGCTGGCGATTGCGGGGGTGTCCCAAACATGCCGTTCTTGTTCTTGTTTAACAATTTGATTGAATCAAATTGTATGAACGCCAGCGCGGGCGACCCCGTAACGGTGCACACGGGCGGCACTGAGGCGCATCACGATGCAGGAAAGCGTCACACACGTCCGTCAGGCGCCCCTGGCTGCACGCCTCTGACGCGTACAAGTGTGTCGAATGCATGCGAGCTGTGAGGTCCGTCAGTCCGTCCGTCCTTACCGGGGCGTAATCACCCGACATAGAGTGGCACGTGGAGTGTACGTGTGTTGGGATTCTCCCTCGTCGTCCGAGGCCTCCTGCCGCGCACGTCGCCTGTTGACCCGGCGCCGTGGCACCCGTGGGCGAGCGGCGTGCGCGGATGATTCGGGCTCGTCGTCCGAGGAATCTTCCGGCTGCTGTCGCGCGTCGATCTTGCGGGTGGCGGGCAGTGCGGGTGCGTCAGGCTCGTCGTCAGAGGCTTCTGCTTGCAGCTCCTCCAGCTTCTTCCGGACTTCATCCGCTTTCTCCGGCCCGAGGGACTCCTCTGCGATCCGGAGGGCGCGCTCGTACTGTCGGACAGCCTCCTGCAGCGAGCCTTGCTGCTTCCTGACTTTTCCGAGGTCGATCAGCAGTTCGACGAGGTGTTCGATATCGATGTTCTCCTCTCCGCTGTCCTGGAGCTTTTCTCTGATGCGGATCGCGCGCTCGAGGGCCTTCGCCGCCTCGTCCAGCTTGCCCAGCTGTGAAGAGCAGAGTGCGATCAGGCCCAGCTTTCGGGGTATTTTACTGACGATTCGCAGATTGCTCTCGTGCTTGTCATAGATCTCGACAGACTGGACGAAATAGTCCTTCGCCTCCGCGATCGCCTGTTCGGTGTTCATGTTTGTCAGCTGAGGCTTCTTGCGCATTGAAAGCATCAGGCCTCCGAGCCCGAAGAGCAGATCTCCGACCTCCTCCCGCTCCGGACCGACCGCCCGCTCGATCTCCAGCGCCCGCTCGTACAGCCGCTTCGCCTCCAGGTGCTCGCCCAACTTGTCCTTGACGCCACCCAACGTCTCCAATACACTGGCCAGCGAATTGTGGTCCGGACCGAGGGCCTGTTCGCGTATCCGCAAGGCGCGTTCGCACAGCTCTACGCACTTCCGCAGAGCCTTCTCGCTCGGGTTCTCCCGCTCCGCCCGCAGCTTGGCCATGTTGACCAGCAAGTCGGCCACGTGTGTGTGATCTGCACCGTGAACGCTCTCGCGAATCTCGAGCGCGCGCTTGTACGCTTTCATGGCCTCATTCCTCCGCTTCGGTCCTTCCATCAACGACATGATGTCGCCCATGAACATCAACGTTTTCGCCACCCGAGGATGCTCCGACCCCAGGGCCGCTTCCTCGATTCGCAGGCAGCGCTGCAACATCGCAATCGCGTCCTCGCGCTTGCCCTGCAACTTGGGAATGTCGGCCATCGAGTAGAGCGAGGCCGCGACGTCCGTGTGGTCCGGCCCCAAGACCTTCTCTTTGATGGCAAGCGCACGAGAGTGCAGCTCCAACGCCTCCGACCAGTTGCCCGCGAATTGTTTCATTCGCCCGAGGTTTCTGAGCGTCGACGCTACGATCAAACTCTCCGGGCCATCGGTCTCCTCGCGCATGGCCAGGCAGCGCTCGTAGAGGGCGATGGCATCGCCGTGCCGCCCCTCCCTGGACCTGAACTCAGCGATCAGTCCCAAGACGGGAGGCAGTAGGGTTCGAGATTCGTCGGACGTCTCCGCAATTGCTGCCGCCCGCTCGAAAACGCGGAGCGCCTCGTCGTACTTGCCCAGCGTCTCCTTTACCCCCCCGAGACGGCGGAGCGTTGGCACAAGTTTCGCGTCGTCGGGGCCGAACAGCCTCTCTTGGATCGCCAGTGCGCGCTCAAACAGGCTTGCCACTTCGCCATGCTTCCCCTGCCGCCCACGAAACACTGCCAGGTTCTTCATCGCCTGTACGACCTGCTGATTGTCCTCGCCGTGTTTGCGCTGCAGTCCCTTGAGAGCGCGCTCGGCCAGCTCCGCCGCACGCCCGTAGCGTCCGAAGTGGTCCTCGATGGCCGCCACGCGCCGCACGAGCACGCTGTCGTCGTCGCACAGCTCCAGGGCGCGGTCGATGTTCTTGTTTTCCCGACTGGCGACGACACGCGCCTGCAGCTGCTCGTCCGACTTAGTCGAACCTTCGAGCTTGATCACCACGCGGGTCATGTGCTCCACGAAGCGCTTCTCGGCGGAAGCAGCGACGCTCTCGTCGGCATCGCCCTTGCCGCGCAACTGCTTCGCCAAGGCCCTGCCGTCCTCCACGATCTCCCACCGCCCGCCCTCCTTGAGGTACCGCGCGTACCCCGCGTCCTTCAGCTCGCGCAGGAGCGCCGTCGCGTCCAGCTTGCCCGACACGCTCGTCGCCGCCTCGGCGTCAAACGTCGACGGAAACACCGCCAGGCCGACCAGCGCTTCCCGCAGGTGCGCAGGCAGCGCGTCGTCCGCGCTGCGACCACGGCGGCGGGTCTGCGTGCGCAGCATCTTCAGCGCCCTCTCGTCCACTGGTTTCACTCTGATCTGCTGCACAGCTCTGCGGATGTCGTCATCCACGGCGGCAACGTCCAGCTCGCCCTGCACGCGCACCAGCGACGGCACGTGCGTTATCGTCTGGTCAACGGCGATGCAGGGGGGTCGGGGTGACAAGACGAGCACGCGCGCTTGTGAGGCGAGGTTCGGGGCGCACCTCGGATGTGACGACCACGGTGAGCCCGTCGCGTTGCCCGAGGCCCTGCATGCTCTCTGCTTTGAACTTCTGCAGCAGCCCCACGAGGAAGGGCCGCACGCCGCGGTGGTCGCCCTGGCGCGCCTTGGCCCACGTCGCGCACGTCACCCCCGCAACGACCAGCAGCATCGCGCCGCGGTGCACGCGCGTCGCCGTCTCCGCGAAGTCCGCCACGTCCCGCGACGTGCACCAGTCTCTTCCGAGCTTTATCCCCAAATCAGACACGATGTCCTCCTCGGACCGCCACGCGTCCTCTAGGTCCACGTAGAATACGCCCGCGGGGTGGTCCTTGGCGAGCTTCCGCGCGACGGTCTGCGCGAGCACGCGCCGGCCGGACCCGGGCGCGCCGTGCACCACCGCGACCGGCCAGTCGTCCAGCGCCGCGACGATGCGGTCGACGTCGTCCTGGCGCGGGTACAGCGGGTCCGGCAGCTCAGGCACCGTGCAGAAGCGCACGCCGCCCCCGAGGATCTCCCCCACGCGCTCAGGCAGCGTCTTGTCGGCCAGGAACACGCCGTCAACGACGTTGGGGTTGACTGTCGTGGACGCTGCCTCGCCGATGTTGAGCTCCACGGCGAAGTCCTTCGCGTTGCTCGCCAGCCTGTCCGCGAGCGCCGGCTCGAACGACGTCTCGCGCAGCCAGGACTCGAGCTTGCGCACGAAGAGCATGGCGTCAACCTGCACGCAGGGGAGGGGGGGGGGTTCGGCCGGAGTCAGCGGTCGTGTCGCCGCGGCGCGCGCTCCGCTGAGGGGATTTCTGCCGTCATGCGTGCGAAAAGTATCGAGCCTTTGTGGAACGATGAAAAATAATATAATAATATACGTTATGTTTGTATCATGTTTGTATCGTGTATGTGCACCTCGCTTTCTTTGATCTCCTCGCTCCAGAACACCCGCAGCTCGTCGTTCCGGATGATGCTGTGCGTGCCCTTCCGGTGGAACTCCATCAGCTGCTGCATCGACGCCGCCACCTCCCGCGTCAGCCCCGCCACCACCTGCCCCTGCGCACCCATGCTGGCGATGACGTCGCCCAGGGCGTCGTCGCTGCTCAGGACGGCGCTCATGCCGCCGAGGTCCTCGATCTTCCTCCGCAGCGCCTCGTTCTCGTCGTTCCGAAACACCTTCCCGGACGAGATCTGTGCCTGCAGGGCCGCGACCATCTGCTTGACGTCCTGGACGTCCGCGCCGGTGTCGACGACGATGTCGAACTCCATCAGGTCGACCTGGCGGAGAATGTTCGCCGTCACGCCCTGCGGGGGACGCGGGCCGGCGCGCGAGGTGACGCAGCGTCCAGGGAGCTGCGTGTGCGCTGCCGGGCGCACGCGCAGCCCTGCGACTGAGAATCCGAGGCGCGAGCGGAGAAGCGTGCGGACGACAAGTGCTCGTTCTGCTGGCCGGTGGCGCGGCCAAACCACCGCCGACGACGCGTGGCAAGGCTTGGGTTTTGCTGCATCATGGGGCCATCGAAACCAGGTGTCCCCGGGGGCTGGCGCACCTCGAACTCCTCCGTCGTCCTCCGACAGAAGTACAGCTTGACCTGCACATGCGCGACGGCCGTCGGACCGCGACGTCAGACGCCTCCAACACATATGAAATTGCAATCTTCGTTCCTCCGTCGCAACCATGCGGGGCTGCACAGCGGCGCGGGCTCCTCCGGGCAGAGAGCGCACCAGGAACGACCGCTTCCCAAACTTCTCGACCAGCTCGATCGCCTCCTCGAGCGCGCCCTCTAGCGCCTGCACCTGCTGCGACGTCTTCGCGCCCTGCTTGATCTTGCTCTTGTGCTTGTCCAGGGTCGAGGCGACGGTGCTGCGCGAGACAGAGGACGCGTTTCGAGCCACGGCGCTGTGATCGGCGCCTTGACGATGATTCCGAGCAGGATGGCGACGATCACAGGTGCGGTGTGGGGAGCGAGAGCGCATGGATGCGTGACAGCTGAGCAAGGCAGCCGGGGGACCGCGGCGTGGCGCGGCGCGTACCTGGCGATCTCCGCGAGCTCCAGGCAGCTCCCCTTGGCGGCGTGCACCGCCTGCACGCCCTCGACTAGCTTGGCGCAGAGCTTTACTGCGGGCCCGAGCCACGGGGCTGACTCCATCACGCTGGTCACGCAGGTCGCCAGGGGCGTCACCAGCGACCCCACCTTCTCCAGGAAATCCGCCCCCTTGCCCGTCGCCGCGATGACGTCCGTCACGTGCCCCACGACGTCTTTCGCCGCCTCCAGATTCTCTGTAGAAGCAAGACAGGGCGCGAGCGAGCTCAGAGTCGATCGAGTTCGCGCCCTGACGCACTGGAACGTCCTCGGAGTGGCGCTGTACCTGTGAACTCTTCCACCGCCCCGGCCGCTGTGTCTACGGCACCAGCGACATCTAGTGCCGGGGGCTTTTCGACGCCGCTCGCGTCCTCGGAGCGCATGAGGTCGTCCAGCGCGGCGTACAGGGGGAGCTTGAAGACGCCGAGCATGTTCGACGGGTCCTGAATGCCCTCGGCGCTGCGAGGGAAAGCGGAGACGAGGAAACGTGAGATAGGATTCCTAGCAAGCGACTGGTTCAGGGCCGCGTCCGGCGCATCACGCACCCTCCGGCCGCCTTCGCCTGCTCGTACATCATGGTCAGAGACCGGCCGTCGAACGGTTTGAAGAAATCCTGGACCGAGTCCGGCATCTCGAGGCTACGAAGCCAAGCCTGCACGTGTGATGCCGGGGATGCGCGATCAGAGCACCTACAACCGCACGCGTCCCGTATCAGGCAGCTACGATCCCACCGCGCCCACTGATACCGCGAAAGCGCACGCGGACCGCCCCGGGCGGCGCCGTGGGAAAGCGCAGGGCATGCATGTTGCACAAAACAGGGCGCCAGCGGCGTTCCGGACAGCCGCACGCACAACCACTGCATCTATCTCATAATTCAGAGCTTGAAAGACCCTGTGTGGCGCAAAACACGCCCCCACCCGGCACACACGCCCGCCGCCGCGCACCTGCAGCATCGCGCGCTCCCAGGCCTGCACCGGCGTCGTCGCCCACGCGGGCTTCGTTCCGGCGCCCCTCCCGCCTCCGCCATGCTCTGGCGGGACCGCCGCCTGCCCCGCGGGGGCCGAGGCGCCGCATCCCATCGCGGTTCGCGCACGCGACTACTGCTGCGTGCACGGCATGGAATCGGCGCAGCGCGGGCGAAAACCAGCCGAGCCGCGACCCGTGCGCCTGCCGATGGTCCGGGGCGGCCGCCGGCGGCTCCCCACAACCCCGACGGCCCCCCTGTCGCGAAGTTGTGGTGTCAGGGGGGGCGTGATGAGGACCCGGGTCCGCGGCGGGCCATCGGGCCGGGCGGTCGGGACGAAAAGGACTCCGTTGGCTGGTTATCGCCCGAGAGCGTCGAGGCCATCTGCGTGGGCGAGGTGTGCGCGAGGCAGGCGGCGTTGCTGAGTCTCTGAAGGGTGGGCGTGGTCTTTTCTAAAGGATTGACGGGCCCGAGGGGCGCAGAGCAGGATGTCGTCGGGCAAGCAGGGCGTTCCCGACTTTGCCAAGAAGGTCAGTTGGTTGCCGCTGCCGCGCGCGCGGCCGGCGCGACGCGTGCGCGGCCGTGGGGGCACAGGGCATCCTCTTGCCGCCGCGTGGGGGCGTCTCAGGCGCCCGCGCGCCGGGTCCGCAAAGAATATGTACCCATCATGCGAGTTTTGGGCGCGAGGCGCCGCGTGCCGCCCCGGGCGACGCGTTTCCGACGAGGACCCCGGTCGTTTGCGGTGCAGGTGGACCTGGAGGATGAGAGCCTGCCCATCACGTACCGGCGGGCCCACCAGATCATGACGGAGCGGACCGAGCGGGCGGTCCAGCGCGCGTTCCTCGAGCAGCTCAAGCAGCGCCTCAAGTGGTGCTACCGCTTTGCCGGGGCGGTCGACCGCAACCACATCGAGGACTGCACGGCCCTCCGGCTAGCCTACATGAGCGCGTACACCGCCAAGGGCATGGACCTCGAGGACGTGCACCTCACGGAGTCCAAGGAGTGGATCAAACAGGAGCGGGCACGCAAGGCCGAGGGAGGGGGCAGCGCCGACTGACGCCCCCGGCGCAACCCCGCCCCTGTGACTCTCTGCATCGACGACACCGTCCATTCCCGCCGCCGCGCCCGCGTCTCGGCCCGTACTAGCCACCGTACCACGGCCCATGACACATGACATCGCGTGTGGCGCTGTCGCTTGGGCGCGCGCGCGACCCCGTTCCGTGCGCGCCCGTCCGCTCACACGAGCTGCCGGATGCAACGTCGGCAGCTCGGCTCCGCGCGCCCGCGCTCACCCGAACATGGGGAGGAGCTTCGCTAGCCACCCCGCACGGCGCGGCTTTGCCTCGTCCGCGCGGCTGCTGTTGAAGACCGCCTCGAACATGTGGTCGCTCGGGCGCTCGCCGTACAGCCGCAGGACGAGCCGGCACGTCGCGTGCACGCCCGCGGCGTCGGAGGTCGTGGTCCGACTCCAGAGCCTCGCTGTCAGTTGTACCTTGCGGTTCTTGTCCGACAGGTCGACGCCGAAGGAGCGGTACAGCTGGTCGCGCGCCTCGCCGCGCGGGTACCGCCGGCGGATCTCCCCCGCGAGCCACTTGCGCTCCTGCGTCGTCACCGGCGCCGACACACCCCCGCGTTTGCATCGCGACCAAAGATGACACAAACACACACATGCGCGTGCGCGCACACGCCAAACACACACACGGGCGACGATCGACACAGACAAAGGTCGCAACAGCGGCACAGCGAGAAGAAGCGGCAAACTTCACGTGCAACAAGACGAAAGGTCAAGGGGCTCGTGCAGCGCTGCACGCACGCAGGCACGCACCTCCTCGAGCACCGTCGCCGCGTGCTGCAGCGCCCGGCGCGCCTCCCGCGCCTCCGGCCCCGGCCCGTCCAGCTTGGACCGCTCCCACGTCAGGCGCCGGTGTTCTACCTCAAAGTAGAACGTCTCCTTCCCGCGGAACCCCAGGACGAACCGCGAGCGGTGCACGAGCGGCGTGTGCAGCTCCTCCCACAGCCGCAGGATCCGCGGCATCAGCGTCGCCGCCGACGGCGCCAGCGCCCACGACTCGTCGTCGGGCCGGGACTCCCCCCACGGGTCCTCCATCCAGTCCGCCTCGCCGCCCGCGCCCTCCTCCGCGACGCCGCCGAGCTTCCCGCCGCCCTGCTCGCGCTCGCGCTCGCGCTCCCGCTGCAGCACGCTCGCCGCCGCCGCCGCCATCGACGCCCGTTGCTTCGCGTCCGCCAGCTGCATCTCCCGCTTCTTCGCCTGCCGCTGCAGCTTGCGCTCGCGCGACGCCGCGTCCTCGGCCTCCATCTCCAGCCGGATGACCTGGTTGAGGAGCAGCCGCTTCTGGCATTCGAGTCTTGCTATTTGTTCGTTGAAGTCCGTGAATGCCTGTTTGATGGACGAGAAGTCGGCCTCGAAGGACTTCTGGATGTCCTCCTGCGCCTGCGCGAGCTGCCGCTCGTACCACCCCTGCGCCGCCGCCCACGGGTCCTCCCCGGGGGGTGTCGGGACGTTGCTGGGGGTGTTGTCCAACACGGGCCCGTCGAGACCCCCCTCCGCGTCCCAGCGCCCCGCGCTCACGGAGCCCCCGACCGAGCACGCGTCCAGAACCTTCGGGCCTGCCTTCGGCGAGCGGTTCGTCGAGTCCCGCAACACACCCCCCGCGTCCTGACTCGTCGCCGGACAGTCCCCCTCCGAGGGGCTGAGCAGGTCCGCCCGGCGCGCGCCGCGCAGCCCCGCGAAGGCCGCGACCGCGGCCGCCGTCGGGGACTCCGCGAGCATCGGCGTCGCCGCCCCGCCGCCCGCCTCCGCCTCCGCGCCGTGTGCCGGGCGGCCCCGCGCGGCCGCGGTGAGCGGCGCGAACACGAGCGCGCTCCGCGGCGACCGCTCGAGGAACTCCATGCTGTCGCCGACGCCCTCCGCGTCGTCCGCAGCAACACCCCCCCCCTCCGCGCTGTAGATCACCACGCTGGCCCCCGACCCCCCCCCCTCCGACGTGCGCGCGTCCCCGTACGCCCCACGTGGCGGCGCGACCCCGAACGACGCCTCTCCGCCGCTCGTCTGCGACGCACCGGCGCCGTGCAGCTGCCGGTGCAGCGGCGACGCGGCCTCCGTCACGTTCGAGCGTGTGCGATCAATCATTGCGGCGGGCCACTGCACGGAGCACGACCGGCCGGACACGCCGCCGGGCGAGAGCGGCGTGTTGCCCGGCCCGCAGCCGCCCGCGAGCGACGGCAGCTGCGACGGCGTCAGCGACATGGACACCCCCCGCGTGATCTTCTGCTGCAGGGACGCCAGCGCGCGCGACGCGGTCGCCTCGGCGTGCTGCGCGAGCTGCAGCCGGTGCAGCTCGCTGCGGAGCGCCTCGATCGTCGACTCGTGCGTCTTGTCCAGGAACTCTCCAATCACCCTCTCTTGTTCCATGCGCTCCACCTCCATCTCCAAAGCCCGAATGCGCTCGCGCTGCTGCTGGTCCGCGGGCGTCCCGCCCTCGGCCGCGCCGCTCGGCTGCCGACTGAGCCTCCCCGGCGTCCGCGCGCCCCGCGCCGCCGCCGCCTGCGTCAAACTCGTGTCAGGAGCCCAGCTGCGCACCCTGCTGTGCTTCATACACCGCACCTCCGCCTGCAGCGCCTGCAGCGCCTCTTTCTCCGCGTCCCCGAGCTGCGTCGTCTGCACCAGCGCCGCCGCGGCGTTCGCCGCGAGGTCCCGCGGCAGCCCGGTGCGCCCCACGCGATTCGACCCCCCGTCATCCTCGTCATCGATGTCGTCCTCCGCGGCGCCGTAACGCGCGGGGGACTGCCCCGCGGACGGCGTCGAGATCGACCCCGACGCGTGCCGGGCTACGTGGGGGACGGGGCCCTCGTTCGACGCCCCGAGGCGCCTCATTCGCCTCTGCACGTCAGGAGTCAAGAAGATGTCAAGGAAGAATGTTCCGGGGAAGAGGCGGCGCCGCACGGACGCGTTGCCGGCGCGCTGCCCGCCCGCGCGCCCGTCCTCGTCGGACCCGTCGTCGGACGAGTCGTCCGACAGCGCCGCCAGCGGGGACCGGAACGCGCCGCCGCGTGCGCCCGCTCGCAGGGCCGCCGCGTTCAGTGTGTCGCCCGGGTTCCACGAGCGGCGCAGACCCGCGGCGGCGCCTCCGCGGCGCGACGCGCCGTGCAGCGCGGCCGTCTGGACGTTCGAGAGGTTCGCCGGGGACCCCCCGTGCGGCGGCGAGACACCCCCCGCATCCACCGCGGCTTCCGCCTCCCGCACGTGCACGGGCGTGTTCCCGGGCGACCACGACGCGCGCCGCTTGATCGTGCCCGGCGGCGCGCGCAGGATGAGCCGCTCGAGGTTCCGCAGCCGGCGGTGCGCGGCGTCCCTCTGCTCCGCCGTCAGCCGCGCCGTATTCTGCGCATCCAGCAGCCGCGAGGTGAGCGAGCCCTCGTCCTCGTACACGGCGAGCTGGCGCCGGAGCTCCCCGATCTCCCTGCGCAGCTTGCGCATGACGGCCTCGCTGTCGACGACGCGGTTGACCATGGGCCGCGTGGTGACCTTCTTGGCCGTCTGCGCAAAGTGCAGCGTGTTGCGCGTGTTGTCGGCCTGCGACGCCTCCGGCGCGACGGTGCAGATGATCGCCGTGCGGCCGTTCCCGGACAGCGAGGGCTGCAGGATCCGCGTCAGCTTCGAGTTGCGGTAGGGCACGTGCCCGCGCCCGTTGCCGTTGCTGAGCTCGCGGATGATGCTCCCGAGCGTGAGGAGCGAGCGGTTGATGTGCGACCCCTCCTTCAGCCGCGCCGAGTCCATCTGGTCCCCGATCTCCGCCGTGCGCGCGCGCTCGGACCCCGCCAGGTCCACGAAGTATAACCTGGAAGATATGACGTCGCCCTTCGGGCCGTCGCGCGCGGCGTCCGCGGCGTCCTCCATGCCGTCGAGGTCCGTCGCGCCGAGCGGCAGCTTCGGGACGCCGGACCGCGGCGTCTGGCTCGCGGAGTGCGCGCGCGGGGTCGCGGTCGGCGTCGCTCCCGACCCCTGCACGCAACGGACGCGAACGCGACGGATTTCGCGCAGCCGCGGCGCGCGCATCGGGCGAAATAAATAGAAAAAATACAGGCCGTCGTTCCGGGGGGTCGGGAGCGCACCGGACCGCCGGGGCGCGACTCCACGTAGAGCCGCACAACCTGGTGGGAGCGCGAGGAGGACGCGTTGGCGCCGGTGTCGCGGACGTGCCGGCGCTTCTCCGCCTGGCGCAGCAGGTGCGCGAGCTCCTGCTCCGACGACACGCCCACCTCGGACAGCCCCTCGACCTGCACGCCCTGCCGCGGGTCGTCCAGCAAACGCAGCGGCGGCGCGGTGGCCGCGTCGCCGACGAGCAGGTCCTTCACGACCTCGTTGTAGATCTCGAGCGCGCTCACGCGGAGCAGGAACTCCCGCCGCGGCGTCGCGTGGATCGCCGCGAACACCTCCTGCACGGCCTGCGTCATGACGCCGCGCATAGTGAACGTCTTGCCGGAGCCGGTCTGACCGTACGCGAAGACGATGCCGTTGACGCCCTCCATCGCGGAGAGCACGAGGTTCCGCGCCGCCGCCTGGTACACGTCCGCGGTCGGGCATTGCGGCGCGAACACCCTGCGACGTGCGCGGAGGTGCCGGGGCGTTGCGCGGTGCGGCGAGGGAGCGCGGGCGGTGGCTCGCGGCGTCGGACGAGAGAATCATGTCGGTGCGTCGAGATCAGGCAAGAATGCGGGACGCTGGGGGCGCGTTGGGGCGCTGCGGAGGAAGGGACGCGCAACAGCCACTCTGCACAGATCGTAACGTCCCACGCGCTGCGGGGGACGACATCGGCCGAGTTGCGCGGTCGCTCAGCATGCTTGGATAGTGTTGCTTGCGTGGCGGGGCCCGGACCTGTCGAACGCGTAGGATTTCGGGAGGTATTTGTCCTTTTTCTCGACCCGGCCGCAGAAGGAGATTTCCGTCTCGTTTTCCTCGCACTCCCACACGAGCTCCTCCTCCCTCTCGGCCCTCAGGTGCGGCCTCACGCGCACGCCGACCCAAAAGTTCTCCGAACCGGCCTGGTTGCCGCCCGCCGCGGCCGCCTCCGGGGCCGTCTGGGGCCGAGGTGTTGTTGAGGCGACCGGACCGGACGCCGGGGGCGCCGTCATCGGGGCGCGGGGGGGTTGCCTCGCGCCAAGCGGCGAAATGTATCTATTTCTCGCGCGAAACCCCTCGATCGACGCGCTGCGAAGCCGCGCCAACGGCTCACGGGCCGTGCGCCAGGGGCTAGTGGAACGCGTGCGCCGTGCGGGTCCCCACGGTCCCTCTCGATCAAAGCGGCGTCGCCTGCGCGAGACTGTGGAGCGCACACGACGCCGTCCGGCCGTTGTGACCCGCCGGGGCGCCGTGTCAGGGCGGTTACGGCACGAGAGGGGTGTTGGGGGGGTAATTAGCTCGTGGCGCTCCCGAACGGGGCTTGCCGGCGCCTTTGCGGGCCGCGGCATCGCGCTCGGAGCACAGGGGAGCGGGACGGAGCTATGACGTGCAGCCTCTCTGCGCGTGCGGCCCTGCAGGGCCCGTGCAGTGCCGGGCGGGGTGCGTTCACGCGCCGGCCGGTCGCGGGAGCGCGAGCCGCGCCGCGAACGCGGGCGCTGCAGGATGAGAAGGAGATCAGGGTCCCGATCGAGGTGCGAAACCCGCACAGCCTTGCTTGCGGGCCTCGTGCTCAGCACCACAGAGCCCGTGCGGATCGCTGAGCGCATCTCAGATCGAGGCCCACGCCCGGATCGAAGCGCACACTCTCCTCTTTCCGGCGAAGCGCTCGAGACGCCGCGAGTGGGGCCTCGGACGACCCTTGGGCCAGCAAAGCTACTGCAGAGAAGGAGCACGCTGGGTCGGGCTGCGCGCCGTCCTCTGGACCGAACCGCCCCTCTCCTGCGCCGCGCTGTCTCCTGCAGTATCAACGCAGTAGCGACAGCCGCCGCTCGGTCCACGGGGGGGTCTGTGCGACTCCCCCCCGAGAGATGGCGTGCGTCGTCTAAGATCTCACGCACGCGTCGCGCCGCCGCCTCACCGCGCCGCCCGCGCCGCCCGCCGCGCAGTTCCCGCGCGAGTACCTCGACTCGACCGGCGTGGAGCTGTCGTCGCTCAGCGTCGACGAGGCCACCGCGCAGGGGACGCTGCTCCACGTTACGCAGCCCGTCACTAAGGACTGGCCCGCCAACGACGTCATGCCGTTCAACCCGGACCTCTACGGCGCGTTCCCGAGGTGCGCGCGGACCGCCCCGCCACCACCACGGCCGCGGCGTCCCTCTGCGGTGCCGAGAATATATGGAAAGAGTCTTGAAGTGGCTCGAGTTGCTCGTCTGATGGGCCGCGACCCCCCGAGCTCGCTCACCGGCTGCGCAGGGTCGAGGCGCCGTCGCCCGGGGAGCCCATCGTGATTCTTCCGGGGTTCGGGAACGAGACGGGCGACTACGAGGCGCCGTTTGGGGTCGTGGACGCCGCGATCGCCACCGCGCTCCGCCGCCGCGGGTTCTCCGTGCACGTCCTCCAGGTCGAGCGGAAGGACTGGTTCCAGGTCGCCAAGGGCCTCCTGAGCCTCGCCTTCTGGCAAAAGAAGGCAAGCAACCCACCGTAACTGCTTATGTATGACTTTTGTTCTTTCGTGCGTGGGAACCCGCCACGTCCGCGCGGGCGCCTTCCTACAGGCTGGCTGAACTCGCTACGTGTTTACCAAGCCGCTCCGGCCCGTTGTGCGCTACGTTGCGGGCCGGAGCGGCTTGGTGAACACGTATGGTGAGTTCAGCCAGCCTGTAGGGAGGCCCGTGCGGACGTGGCGACTGCTCTCGGGTCGACAGCAGCAGACAAAGTTTCGCCTTGACGAGTATGCCTGACGTCGAGGTTCTCGAGCACCAGGCACTTGGACACGTGCGTGGTCGACGGGGTGTTGCATCAGGAGGATGTGCGAGATCGGATAGCGGCCGATCTGACGGAACGCCATCGGATCTCGCATATCCTACCGATGCAACATCCAGTCGGCGACGTGTCGTTGACAGTCTGTGTTCCTTTCGCCAACCATGCTTCGCGTCGGAGTTCGTCTTTCTGCCCCATCAGGCGGTGGCATGCGCTCAGCAGACGTTTCGCACCCGCAGCTGTGTGCGCCACTCCCGCGCTTGCCCAAACCGCGCCCACGCGCAGCGACGCGCGACTCCCCCCGCATTACGCCCCCGGTGCGCACCGTGACGCTTCGCCCGCGGCCTCGCTGCAGGCCACTGTCGACCCGGGCTACCGCTGGTACCTCGACCGCGCGGACGCCGCCGTCCGCGAGGCCGTCGCAGCCTCGGACGGCCGTCCCGTGACCATTCTGGGCCACTCTGCCGGGGGGTGGCTGGCGCGCGCGTACCTCGCGGACCCGAAGTACCGCGACGACGGCGCGGAGGGGCCGAACCCGAACGTGCGGGCGCTCGTGACGCTCGGGTCGCCGCACCGCAACACGTTCCGCGACATGGTGGGGACGGACCGGACGGGGGGACTGTTGGGGAGTGTTGACGCGGAGTCCCCCGGGGCGAGGTTCGCGGGGGAGGGCGTGCGGTACGTGTGCGTCGCGGGGCGCGCGGTGCGCGGGCGGCAGGCGGCGGAGAAGGGGCAGGTGCAGCTGTACGCTCACAACAGGTACGACACGCGCGCGCAACAACACCACGTGTTGTGTGTGCGACCGCTGCGCAGACGCGGCGCGCGCTCGCGGACGTGGCGCTACGCTGCTCGCTGGGCCGCGGGCGCCGCATGAACCGCCTCGCGCCGTGCTGCTGAGCCTGCGCGCCTGACGGAACTGTTTATTCTTCAATGCTGCTGTGTACGTCTGTGTGTATGAGTGCAGCTACCTGGAGGTGTGCGGAGAGGGCGAGGGCGTCGAGGGCGACGCGGTGGTCCCCACGCGGTGCTCGTTCCTCCCGGGGGCCACCAATGTTCTACTGGACGGGGTGTTCCACAGTATGAGCAGGGTGGGGACCTTCGAGGAGGGGACGAGCAACCGGTGGTACGGGTCCGAGGACGTGATCGACTCGTGGCTCGGGCGCGCGTTCGAATGAGCGGCGCGGAGACGCGCTGTGAGGGCGTTGGGAGAATCCGTGGTTGCTGGTGCCTCGCTGCGTCCAACTGGTTGGGGTTCTCACCACGGGCGCGCGGTGCGGTGCGTGCCGCGCGAGCGCGCAGATAGCCTTTGGCGGGGCGGGGCACGCCGCGCGTCCGCCTGACGACGGGGGTATGACGTACGTGGCTGAGAGGGTCAGACGCCCCCCGCGGGCTCATGCGGTCCTCTCCGCACTCTCCAGCGGCACAGAAGACTACTTCAGACCTTCTCCCGCCGCGTCAGTGCGTTTGCGAGCGCGTTTGCGTCAGGAGCGCGTTGCACATCGAGCGAGGAAACCCAAGCCATGAACACCACTCTGTGCCCCTCCAAGGGCGCTGCCGGCCTCGCGCCGCGTGTTCTGGCGCCCCGCGGCGCCGTGAGTGCTCGGTTGTGCTCTCACGCGCCGCGCGCGGTCCCGGGCGCCCAGGAGCTGGCGACAGCGGTCACTGAGGCCGGCCAGCAGGCTGCAGCTCTCGCGCCGTCGTGGGCGTCGTCCGCGGCGGTCCTCGCCGACCTCGACTCCGGGAACAGCTTCAGCGTGGGGCAGTCGGCCGCGACGCTGATCGAAGAGCAGCTCAAGACGCTGTCGCCGGTCACGTTCGCGGCTTTGCTGGGTGCGGGGCTGGCAACGAGCTTGAGCCCGTGCACGCTGTCCGTGCTGCCGCTCACGATCGGGTACATCGGAGGGTACCAGACGAACCAGTCTGCGGAAGGTGAGCGCCGCGAACGGCCGCACGTGCCCCTTGCCGCTGCAATCGAGCCGGTGGAGCCAAGCTAAGACATCCAACCATAGGTCATCGTCAGCTGCTGTACTTGGAGCCACTTCTGTGGACGCACGCGCGCAGCCAGCTGCTCTGCACTCGACGTAGACTGCATCGCGTTGATGGTTTATACCATTCAGTCCCCCCACGCTGCGTAGTGCGTTGCTTCTGTGAGTTGCAGACGAAGAGGGGCAGCCGCCGCTCGCTCTGCGCGCCACCGCGTTCTCCCTCGGCCTCTCCTCGACGCTCGCGCTCCTCGGCGTCGCCTCCACCTCCCTCGGCAAGGCCTACGGCCAGCTCGGAGGCGGCCCCGCCATCCCCATCGCGGTGTCGCTCGTGGCGATCGCCATGGGCCTCAACCTCCTCGAAGTCGTCACCATCCAGCTGCCCTCCGTCGACGTCGACGTCCGCAAGGCCGGCCTCGGCCCGCTGCCCACGTCGTACCTCGCGGGGCTGACGTTCGCGCTGGCGGCGTCGCCGTGCTCGACGCCGGTGCTCGCGACGATTCTCGCGTACGTCTCGACGCTCGACAACCCGCTCGTCGGCGGCGGGCTGCTCCTCACGTACACGACGGGCTACGTCGCGCCGCTGCTGTTCGCGGCCACCGCCACGGAGGCGCTCGGCAAGGTCATGTCGATGCGCGAGTCCAGCGCGTGGATCACGCCGGCCAGCGGCGCGCTCCTCATCGCGGGCGGATCGTACACGCTCGCGTCCCGCCTGCTCTGAGCCCGAACGCGCGGGGGCGACAAAGACTCAAAGACCTTCGACGCACGCGCGACACGCACGAGGGACAGGGGGCGTTCTAAGGCACGAAAACGCGGACTGTGAGCCGACCACCCCGCCCGCCTCGCGTCAGCGACGCTCACAGCGCCGCCTACGCCTGCAGGCCCTCTCGGCGCGCACCATCGTGCCACGCCGCCCTCGCTCGCCGCGCGTCGCTGACGACGCACAGCCCCGCACGCGCACCCGCCGCCTCACTCCCCCGGCACCTCCGCCACCAGCCCCGCGCCCACGAGGTAGTCCAGCACCTTGCCAGCCCGCACAGGGTCCAGCCGCGCCAGCGCCGCCACCTCCGACCGCACCATGCCCGCCCCGCCCTCGCTCTGCCGCAGCACGAGCGCCTCCTTCGCCATCGCGAACTGCGCCGGCAGTATCCGGTGCTGCGCGCACAGCTCCTGCTCCGCTGCGTCGAGCATGCTCGCGCCCGGCAGTCCGTCGACAACCAGCTCCACCCCCTGCGCCTCGCGCCACTGCTTCAGCTTCGCGTCCCCGCCCGTCGGGACGTCGCTCTCGAAGGTGTTGACGAGGCGCTGGAGCTCCCGCGGCGGGCCCGCGGTCGCGCCGGGGCCCGTGGGGAGTCCCCCGGGGGCGTCGCCGTGCTCCCCCCCGCGCGCGATGTACCGGAACGCGCGCTCGCTGACCGGCGCGCCCGCGTCCGCGCCGCCCGCGCCCGCGGCGACCTGCCCGAGCGCCGCGCGCTGCGGGTAGAACGACGGCGGCTGCACGGGGTGCGGGCCCAGGCCCGCCGCGCCCGCAATCAGCGCCTGGCGCTTCCGACGCTCGCTCTCGAAGACCTCGGCCTCGGCGTGCGTGCGGATGCCGTGCCGCCGGAGCTCCTTCAGCCGCCCGATCTGCTGGCGCAGGGAGTGTTCGACCAGCAAGCCCGACACCATGAGCTCCATGTCTGACGCCGAGACGAGCCGCGCGAACGGCCGGAGCCGCGCGCGCAGCGTGCGCTCCTCGACGCTGCGCCGCTTGTCCGCCGCCTGCTGCCGCCGCACGTTCAGCAGCCCGCGCTGCGCCACGAAACTCCGCCGATGCTCCCGCTCGTCCAAACGCCGGTTGTATATCTGGAGCATGCGCAGCTTGGACCGGCGGACCTCCGCGGTGTCGTCCGGAGCGAACTCGAGGTCCGCGATCGGTATTTCCGCCTCGTTGTCCCACTCGTGGTCGAACTCGCCCCGTTTGAGGTTGAAGCCAGTGACCTCCGCGGTGTTCGCGACGCCGCCGAGCGGCTCGCTCCCGCCCGTCTCCGCGGCCGTGCGCACGTGCCGCGTCGACCCCGTCTTGTCGTGGTGCGCCTCCGGCCCCGGGGACGCCGGTCCGGACTTGCGCGGCGTCCCCCCGCCCTTTCCGCCCTTCCCAGGCGCCCCGCCGTCGACCCGCTTGCTCGCGCCGCCCGCGCCGGCCTTCGCGGGCTTCCCGCCGTCCTCCTCCTTCACCACCGCGCCGCCCTTGCGCGCCTCCGCGCCCTTCGCCGGCGCGGGCGCCACTTGCAACACCCCCCGCGCTCTGTCGTAGTCCTTCATCGCTGGGAGCACGCGGGGCCGCGGGGCGTCCGCGTGGTGCACGTACACGGCCATGTAGTGCTCCCGGCACTCGTCCGGCGTCTTCGTGCCGAGTCCTTCGCTGATGGAGTGCCACGCGCCGGGGCCGCATTGGTCAATGAGCTCCAGGAGCCGAATCTCCTCGTCCGCGCCCCACGTGGGCTCGAAGATGGGGATCGCGAGGCCGGAGATGACGCGGTAGCGGTGGGAGCGCAGGTGCGGCTGGAGCTGCGCGCCCGCCGCGAAGCATTCGACGCACGCGTCAACGTTTGTGCACTCCGCGCACCGGATGTGGATGCGGTTGGTCACGTCGCGCTGGCAGTTGAAGCAGCACGAGAGCGCGCGGCGGGAGCGCGCGTCGTCGGGCCGGGGCAGCAGGGAGCCCTCCTGCGGGGAAGGGGTGTTGTTGTTGGGGGTTGGGGGCGAGAGGGGGGGGTGAACCGCGGGCGGACGGCGCGGGGGGCGGCGGGGAGGGAGGGCGTGGTGTGCGGGTGGCGGATGCGGGGGCGGAGTGGGCGAGCGGGCGCGTGGGCCGCGGGAACGGGCGGGCAGCAGACAGGTGAATTTTCACGTGCTGGGACGCCCCGTGGGCCGCGCTGCGGCCGCGCGAAGCGTCGGGGGCGATCCGGGGACGGCGGTTGGGAGCTATCGGGTCGAGCAGGGGGGTTGTGTCGCGAGGAGCGCGGGTGGGGCGGCCGCGGGAGGGCGCTTGCCTGCGTAGGCGCCTTGCGGCGTTTGAGGCGCTCCGCCATCGCGGGAAGCCGCTGTGAGCGCCCGCGTTTGCGCGCCCGCCCGGCTGCGTCAGTCTCGAAGAGTCGCCAGGGCAGGTCCGGTCCGGGTGATTTGTCCTGCCATGCGCGGGCCGGGGTCGCCGCGCTTCCCAAGGTGCGCCGTGCGGGCCGCAGGGGGCGCCGAGGCGCGCCGAGTGCCCCTGGACAATCGAGGCGCTTCTGTTCACGTCGAGGGGGTCGCGCGCGCGGGCGGTTTCCGCGCGAACGGGGCCGTGGTCGTTTCGTTAGAGCGAACGAGCCGCGAAGACGGCAAACACGCCACCTCTCTCGCCCGAACCAAGATACAAACACACGCCTCGACTTTCCCGCTATGCGACGGCGCCTCGCCGCGACGCCCCATCACCTTCTCCGTGCCCAGCAACGTGCCCGCCATAGCCCCTCAGTACCCCGAGGCACCAACGCGCGCCCGAACGGCCGCGTCACGGCTCGTTGGCGCGCGCGCACACATGCCACGGGCCACCACAAGCCCCTGCGCGATCCGCGCGCCCTCGAGTCACGTCGCGCGCTCCCCGGTGCACACCTGCGCCATGCTGCGTCTGCTCCTCCACGCCCGCCTGGCCGCGTGCGCCTCGCAAGCAGCGGCGCCGTCCAGCCTCGGGGCCGTCGGCGCCAGGGCGGCGTCGTTCGCGCTCGACGGAGCCCCGGACGTCGTGCACCCGCCCCCTAGGGTGCCCAGCAACGCGGAGGAGCCAGCGTCGTGGACGGACGCGGCGTGGTCCGCGATCGCGCCTGTCACCGATGCCCTGGAGCGGATATTCGACGGGCTGCTGCTCGCGGTGCCCAAGCACAAGGTGTCCAAGCACCAGCGCGGCCCGAAGAGAGCGGCCGCGATGAGCAACAAGTACAAAATGCGCTCCACGCTCAGCATGTGCCCGTAAGCGACCCGAATCACCACCTCCAGCGCCCCGTGATCCGCATATCTACGCTCTGCCGCCGCCATATCCTCAAAGAAAGCTTTCAGGCGCGAAACGGCGGCGCTTTTGGTCTTGCGTGCGCCCCGCAAAGCGCTCCGCGCGGCTTCGTCAGTGCGGCGACCGCCTCGCATCCTCCTGCGGCTGTCCCGCAGGACCTGCGGCAAGGTCATGGGCGTGCGGGAGGTTCCGCTCCGGTGCAAGCTCAGCAAACACGGCGGCTGCCCCGCGCTGGGACAGACCACGGACGTCCCGCGATGACTGCGCGCCGGCAGCGACGGACCGAGCTGCGCGCGCGGAGCGCGCCATGGACAAAAGACTCCCCCCCCCCCGCGGCTCCAGTACCTCCTTTTTCTGCACCACCACCGACGTTGTGACGAAGCGTTCACGCGCCGGCGTCCTCGGCCCCACGTGCGGGCCGCACTGCCGCTGGGCGCGCTCGGTCCCGCGGCGCTGCACCGTCTCGCCTTGCTTGCGGGGTGCCAAGTGTGCGCGTGTGTGTGTGTGTTGGTCGCCTGTCCGTCGCGTGATCGCTCAGGTCTCACGAAGGAGCGCGCAGGGCCGACGGAGCAGCTGCGCGCCGTGGCCGCCGCGGTCGGCGCGACCTCGCGGCGCGCTCGACGCGTCACCCCGTGCGAGCGGCCTGCCGCGGGGGTGGTGCGTGGGGGCGCGCTGGCACCGGGGCGCGCCCCGGCACGTGCTGCGGGGCTGCTCGCTCGGCCGCGTGCGGGCTGCGGTGCCAGGGCCTGCCCGACGGTCGCTGCGTCGGGCCTGTCCGTGAGTCAGTTGTGCTGGCTGGTCTGACGGAGGTGGGCAGCTAGTGCCGCGCGCTCTCCCGTGCAGCGAGCACGTTGTGTCTTGGTGACCAGAGAGTGCAGCGACACCGCGATTGGTGCGCTGACGGTCGGCAGTGAGGATGAGAGCAGCCGTGGGCGGTGCTGGCAATGCTGCAGCGGGCGCTGGCACGCAGCGGGGCGTGAGCGGCAGCTGCAGGCGCCCGGCTCCGCGGCTAGGATGCCTGAGACAGTGCGGATCCAGCTCGCACGGACTGAGTTCACCCTTGTGCGCACGGGAATCGAGCAGGAGAGTCTGCGGCAGCCAACGGAGCATTCCGACTCGGGTGCGTCGCTCGTCCAGCGTCTCATTCCCGGAACTCACCGGCGCGTTGCGCTGCGATCACGCACAGCAAGGCGCCAGACGCGCGGATGCCGGGCCCGCGGCACTGTGCCCGCGCCCCGCAGCGCCCCTTGAAAGACGCACGGAGCGCCCGACTGCGGGGCGTGGCGGCCCGCCGAGGCATTCCCCGTCCGTTGCCGCCCTCGCGCGCGTCAGTTCCCCACGCCCGGCTCCGATATCATGCGGCTCCGCCCCCGCCCACCGCGAGGCGCCGGCCTGACTGCCTGTGCTGGCGCGCACGCTCTCGAGCAGCACGGTGGCGCGGTTCGTGGTTGCAGGCCGGCGCGAAGACGCCGGGAGGGGACTTTGACGATCTGTGGACCGTCATGCCGGCGGACGACGAGCCCGCGGCCCGCGGCCCTCCCCCGCCCGCAGACGACGACTTCGATGGCTGGGCAGTCTTGGAATCAGGTCTGCCGCGCACACAACCGACACCCACGCCCCCGCGCCGCACCCCGCGCACACACAGCCCCCGCGTGCCACCCTCGCACCCCTCCTCCTCCGGGGGGGTGTCTCTCTCCACTCCCCCTGCGCACACGCACGTGCCAGCGACTCCCCTTTCACCCGCCCGCCGCGCCGCCAATACGCCCCCCCGCAGGCCCCCCTATGTCCGGCGACGACGACTTCCCCTCGCCGATCGACGCGATCGCGCGCATCGCCGAGGAGCACAGCGTCGTCGACACCGACACCACCACCGACGCCACCACCGACGACGACGACGACGACGGCGACGACGGCGACGACGACGACGTGTGGACCGACGTGCTCGCCGCGGACGCCGCCGACTCCGGCGGCGAGAGCGAGGAGGAGATCTTCAGCGTCGACGGCGGGTGGCAGCTCGACGGCGCTGAGCTGGCCTCGATCCTGGAGAGCGCGCGGCTCGCGGAGGACGAGGACGAGCTCGCGGACCGCGGGGAGGACTACGCGCGCGCGGCCGCGGCGCTCGTCGCCTCGATGGGCTCCGGGGCGATCGCGGACCTCGGCCGGCAGCAGCAGGAGGCACAGGCGGAGAAGCGGGCGCTGTCGAAGCTGCGGCACGCGCGGGGGAGCCCGAACAAGATCCACCGGCGGCTGCGGATCATCGCGGGCGCGGCGGCGGGCAAGGCGATTTACTCCCCCCAGGACGACCGCACGCGGCCGATGATGGAGAAGGTGCGCGCGGCGGTCTTCTCGATGCTGCTGAGTCAGGTCGGGCCGGACGGGCGGTTCCCGCCGGGCGTGCGCTGGCTCGACCTGTACGCTGGGACGGGGTCGGTCGGCCTCGAGGCGGCGTCGCGGGGCGTGGAGGAGGTTCACTTCGTGGAAATGGACCCCTGGGTGATCAATAGGGTGCTGGGGCCGAACATCAAGATATGCGGGGCGGAGCGCGCGGCGACGGTGCACAATGCGAAGGCCGAGGCGGTGCTCGCGCGCGCGGAGAAGGCCCCGCGGAGCCTCGGCGGCCCGTTCGACTTTTTGAGCGCCTGCCCGCCGTACGAGAAGGTGCGGAGAACGAACGAATATGCATCGAAAGAACTGCTTTTTTGTTGTCGTGCTGGTTGCGGTGCCTTCGTCGTGCGTGGCTTCGCGCGCTGGCGTGCCGTGGCTGGAGTCAGCAGTGTGTGGCGCGGCGGGCGTGCGCGCAGGTGTCGTGGCCGGAGATGATGGCGGCGCTGGACCGGACGCCGCTGCTGCACGACCGCTCGTTCTGCCTCGTGGAGTATCCCCAGAAGGAGTGGGCCGCGGTGCCTGACTCACTGGGGCCCCTAGTCAAGTTCCGGGACCGCCGGTACGGCCGGACGTACCTCGCGCTGTACGGGCCCGAGGACCTCGTGGAGCTCGACGCGTAGGCGCGTGCTCGGCCGCTGTGAGTGGCGCAGTGAGGGGGGTTTTTCTGGATTCAGGGGGGGATGAAGTTGACCTGGTCTGGCGAGGGAGCTCGCGGGCGCTTTGGCGCGCAGCGCAGCGGGAGGGGGTCAGCTTCGACGCGTCGTCGCAGCAAAACACGAGATAAACTAAGACCTCTGTGGGGACACCTCAGCTGGCGTGGCCAGGGCGCGCGGCCAGCCCGCGCGATGGGCGACGCAGAGGACGCTGGTGGTGCACGTTCCGTGGAGTATTTGAGGTCCTTGCTTCCTCCTGGAGTGGAAGGGCCGGAGATCACCAACGTGGTCGCGCAGATCAAGCTGAACGCGCCGCTCGACCTAGAGGCACTGCCACCCTCCTCGCGGCCCCCGCCGCTCGTGCGGCACAGCCCAGCCCAGGGCCGTGTCCGTGCGGATTGCATCACAGAGAAGCGCCGAGTGCGGTGTTTTGGAGCAGTTCGTGGCTCTACACGAACGATGGGACCCGCGTCCCATCGTTCGTTCTACGCTGCAGTTCGTGCCCCACAAAGCACGGACGGGTGCGGAGAGCCTCGTCGTCGTTGTTCCGCCAAGACTGACCGCCGGCTGCTGCGGGTGCCGTCCTGCAGGAGCTGCACAGGCGTCTGAACAACGCGGTGTACCAGCCACTCACAGGCTTCAACGGCGTGATCGTCCGCCCCCAGCGCCCCAAGGTGACGTTCACCGTCCAACACAACGGCAGGATCCAGCACGCGGGTACGTTCGTCCGAGCCCGCGAACCGCCCTCCGCGGGCTCAGCGACGGAGCCCGCGCGCGTGAGATGTTGCGGCGGCACGGGCTCTTTCACCGCCTGGCGCGCAGGTCTCACAGTCCGCATTCCGCGGAGGCGCCACAGTTTGAACGCGTCCGTCCGACCGGAACTCACGCGTCGCGGCCGCCGTCCTGCAGGCTGGTCGGGCACCGACGCGCGGCAAGTACTGTGGGCCTTTGCTAAGAAGGTGAAGGGGAAGCTTGGGATCAGCGAGGAGGTGCGGGCGGCGTATCGCGTCGTGAACGTCGTGGCCAAGGCCTCGGTCGGGTTCCCGGTGGACCTCGACGCTCTGGTCCGATCCACGGGCAACCTGGGGGTCTGCAAGTACGACCCCGAGAGGATGTCGGGCGCGGCGTACCACATGGAGTCGCCGAAGGCCACGCTGCGCATCTGGCGGAGCGGGGCGGTCAAGATCATGGGCGCGAAGTCCGAGCTCGGCGCCTGGGAGGCCTTTTGCAGGATATATGTCGTACTGTGTCCGTGCCGGATGGCGCGGGGCGACGCCGGGGAGGGCGCACGGGGGGGCGCGGCGGAGACGTCTGCGGAGGTGTCTGCGGAGATGTCTGCGTCGGACTCGGACGCTGCGGAGGAGTGACGCGGCGGCGCGGCAGGGCTGTGCGCAAGGCAAAGGCACTGGCGGACCGGGGGGGGGGGTGACTGAAGGCAGGTCGGATCGGGAAGGGTGCAGCCGGTGCGGCAATCCGGGGGGATGGACGGGGGCCTGCAGCGGGTTCCGGCGATCGCGATTCCAGCCTTTTTTTTTAATGTGATTCATTTCTTGGTATGCAGCAAACATCATGTTTGGTGCTCTCGTGGAGCCATGGCCGCGAGCGTCGCGTGCTCTGCAGCGGCCAGGGCCGCGGCGGCACCCCACGGCCTGTGTGATCCTCAGAGCGCATCGAGAACAGCCGTCCTGCGTGGTCCTGCGTGCTACACGTCGCCGTGGGCGAGGGATCGCACAAGGAGGCGAGGGATCTTCTCGCAGGCGGCGGCGCGGGTAGCGGGGCGATCGGCCGCTCGAGGGTGCTGCACGGCGCCCGCCACGCGTCGCCACGCGTCCACCGGGCGGGGGGGGGTAGTCGCCTTGCACATGAGTCAGGTGGTGCAGTGAGGACGGTGGCTGCGGGGCACATGGCCGGCGGGCACGCGGCGCGTCGCGCAGTTTCGCTGACTCCCCGGGCTCCCAGCGAGTGCGTGGTCCGACTGCGAGTGCCGGCACCGCGGGCAGGGGCTGCTTGCCAACGCGCCGTGAGCCACAGCCCCGCTCCGTGCGGCGGGCACCGCGGCCGCCAGCACCAGCTGCGGGCCTCGCGCCGTCAGGAGTGCCTTCCGGGGCCTCGTCCCGGCCGCAACGGGCGGATCGCGCGGCCGGCGGCGCGCTGCGGCGGACCTCCGAGCAGGGGTAGCTCCTTGAGAGCGTGTTTCGGGCATGGGTGACCCGGGAGCCGGGGGCAGCGGCACCGCGCTGAGCTCCCTGCTGCCTCCTGGGATCGAGCTTCCCAAGATTCAGAACGTCGTCGCGACGTGCTACCTGAACGTGCCGCTCGACCTCCAGGTGCGGAGTGCCGAGGCGCCCCGGACGCTGGGGTCGCGCAGAATGCATGCGCCGTACAAGCACGTCTGCCGCACGACGTCCTCCAGCGTGCAATGCACCGCCAGCGCGCTCGCTGACGGTGCGGGCCGGTGCGCTTGGCATCATGGGCTAAGGCCCGGTTCTGCGCCCGCTGGGCCGTCTGGGCGCGCAGGAGCTGAACAGCAGGCTCAAGAACGCCGAGTACAACCCCCGGCGGTTCAAGGCGGTCATCATCCGGAACGCAGAGCCCAAGGCGACGGCGCTGGTCTTTCACACAGGGCGCATCGTGGTCACAGGTGCGCGCCTCGCCCGTACGGGTGCAGCGGCCGATCCCCAACGGTCCGTTGCGCACAGCAGCCCATTTCTCGACGCATGCGTCCGTCCAGGACGCCCCCGGCGGCGGCAGGCCGAGCCTGAGAGCTTGCACCCGGACGTAGCGGCCGCGGCTGTGCGGCTCGCGGTCGGGTCGCGCCGCGGCTCTGGCCCCCAGGCCCGTCACGACGCGGCGCGGGGGGACTCGCGCGCGTCGGCGCGGTCGAGGGGCTGCGCGGCGGCATCCTCTGCGACAGCGTGGGCTCGAACGTGGCGCGCGCTCGCGTGGCTGCCGCGCAGGGACCAAGGGCGAGCAGAAGGCCAGGGAGTGTGCGAGGTTCTTCGCGAAGCGGATCAAGAAGGCGCTCGGGTTCGGCGACGTGCGCCCCCTGCAGAACACACGCCCACGCCCCGTGCTCGGCCACGCGCGCAGGCGCCGCGGGCCCCGCCCCGCACGCACCCTCCGACACAGCTGCGAGCTCGCAGCCCGGCCGCGCCGCCGCGGACCCGCTCTCTCGCCCGTTGGCGCGCACCGCAGCCCAGCGTGGCTCCGCCCGGCCCGCCCCCGACGCGCAGGAGCTCAAGTTCTCGGAGTTCCGCATCCAGAACGTCGTCGGGTCCTCGGAGGTCGGCTTCCCCGTCCGCCTCGAGGGCCTCAAGCTCACGCACTCCAAGGTGTGCCGCTACGAGCCAGAGATCTTCCCGGGGGCCATCTACTACCTCGGAGACCCCAAGGTGGTCCTCCTGATCTTCGTGTCCGGCAAGGTCGTCATCACGGGCGCCAAGTCCGAGAGCATGGTCAGCGAGGCGTTCTGCAAGATGTTTGTCTTGCTGCAAGAGTTCCAGATGGCCAGGTCGGAGGTGGACGCGGAGAAGGCGCGCGTGAAGCAGCAGGTGCAGGAGAAGAAGAAGGGCAAGTAGGCGGCGGCCGCGCGGGCGGACGCGGGCCGGAAGGCTGCGGCGCAGCGCGTCGCAGGCAGGGGGGGGGTTCGGGCCCGCGTGGGCGCGCCGTGGGGCTCGGCGGCTGGAAGGATATGGTGCGGTATGATATGGAGTGGTCGGTGGTACATAGGGGTAGTATGGTTGGCGTGTACGTCACTCGGAACTATCACGTAGACAGAAGTGGTTGGGTGGCGCGGTGGGGCGCCGGGTGCATTGATAGGGGCCGGCACAGCGCCCCGGAAGAGCTGTGTGAAGATTTTGACCTTGAATGCTCGAAACCGCGCAGCGCCGCCGACGAGTGCTTATCTGATCTTAGGTTTGCATGACTCGCACACCAGCCGGCGTCCTTGCGCCCGGCGCGTGCACACATGTGCAGGGCCGCTGCGGGGCGCGCGTGCACGCGCGAGGCGCCCCTCGCCTGGCACGTCGATGCCGCCGCTGCCACGCACAACAGTGAGTCAGACAGCAGTGGTGTCGGCGCGTGCTGCTCGCGTCATCCGCCGGCGCGCGCCGAGCACGATGCCGCCGCGCGCGCAAGGCCGGCGTCGCATCAGCCCTGTCGTCCGGCGTCCTCGAACGAGCGCAAGAGCCGTCAGAGAGAGATTCCCGATTCTGCGTCCGCAGATCGCGACGAGCTGCGTACGCAAGGAAAGCCCGGGCGTGCAGGGGGCATAGCGCGCCTCGGACCAGGTGGGAGAGGGACGCGAGCTAGAGGGCAGCGGCGCTGCGGCATCCGCGGACGGGCGCCCGGAACGTTGCGTGTGGGTGAGTGCCAGGGCGCTTGCGCCACGTTGCAGGCAGTGAGTGCAGCGGTGGTGTTTCCGAGGCAGCCGGCAGTGCGTGGGCGCGACGCGGCGAGATGGTGTGTGAACTCGCGGGCGAGTGCGCCGTGGTGCCGACGGTGCACAACGTGGTCGCGGGGGGCAAGCTGAGCGTGCCGCTGGACACAGAGGTGAGCGCGCGGGCCTGGGTGGCGCGTGCCACCGCAGCGGCGGGTGGATTTTGTATGTTTAGGTGGCTGTGGTGCCCGAAGAGACTGAAATGTGTCGGGAAGTCGCTCGCTGTGCCCGCACACGCTGCCCCTCGCTTTCGCGCTGAGGACAACCGAAGTGCGACGTCTGCGCGCGGCTGTCCTTTCTTGACGCGGTTCAGCGCCCAGATGCGGCTACAATTCGAATTTCGGACGTCGTGCGACGGGCACGGGCGCCGCATCGCCCAACGCGGCGCGCTTTGCCACTGCACCCTCTCGCGCAGGAGCTGTCCCGAAAACTGAAAGCCGTGAGGTTCGACGAGCGCGCGAAGGCCGCGGTGTTCAAGGTAGCGGTGGCGACGGTGCGGGTGTACCGCACAGGGCGCGTCTCCGTCGCAGGTGCGCACCGCGGGGCAACAGCACAAAGGCTGCAGCGCTGTGCGTCCACCGCCGGCGTGGCGGATAATGCAGGCACGGCCGCGGCCGCAGCGGCCTGGATGTCCGCGCCCTGGCCGGCTGAGGGGCGCCCGCCGGGGCGAGGTGCAGCGCGCTGTCACGCACCCTGGTCTGTCAGGCCACGTGCGCAGCGTCAGCGGTGGTGCGGCGTCCGACGCCCGTGCAGGCGCGAAGAGCGAGGCGGGGGCGAGGGAGGCCGCGGACGCAGTGGTCCAGAGGGTGCGGGAGACAGTCCCCCCCTCGAAGCAACAGGCAAGTCCGACTGACGTCAGCGCTGCCGACGCGCGACGAACGGGCGCGCCGGGACGCGCGCCGCAGTCGGCGCGCACTGCAACGGCGCCTGAACGCACGATTTCGCCCACGCGATGCGCAGGACGTGGCGCTGAGGGACTTCCGCGTCTCGAGCGTCGCAGCGACGGGGGCAGTCGGGTTCCCCCTGCGCCTCGAGGCCGTCAGGCTCGTGCACCCGTCGCAGTGCACGTACGTTCCGGAAGTGAACCCTGCGGCGACCTTCAAGCTCGAGTCCCCCAAAGTGACTGCGCGGCTCTTCGTGAGCGGAAAGGTCACGATCCTGGGCGCCAAGTCCGAGAGCGCGGTGCACGACGCGTACCGCCAGCTGCAGCCCCTGCTCAAGGAATACGAAATGGTGCGCTACCGCTAGTCGTGGTGGTGCGAATCGCGTCGTACGCGTATGCTGGGGAGGGCGTTGTTTGCCGAGAGATAGGTGGCCGGGCTGGTTCGAACACGGGGTGCTTGAGCGGACGGCCACGGCGCCGGCGTGGGCTGTGAGGCCGTGCGTTTCGCGGCCACTCCGGCGTCGCGCGAGGCCCCACTCCCCCCTGATGCAAGTTGACGTGGCGTGGGGAGGTGGGGCGTCTCGCGTCGCCGGGCGACGATGCCGAGCGCTGCTGGGCTAGGACGTCACTAGCAGGGATCGCGCGCGACAAGTTGTTCGCGTCTGCGACCCTCGAGCGCTTGCAAGGCAGCAAGCTGGCCTTGGACCGGGTCTGACGATCCGTGCGTGGGGAAACTGACCGAAGATAAGGCGAGACACGTAGATTGGTGAGTCAGCAGGCCGCGGCGATGCTGTTCTGCGGTCCCCATGGGCTCAGTCGCAGGCACTCGCGCGCAGGAACACTGTGCTGAGGCTTTGTGCTCGCTGGGCTGATGTACGACCGTCCTGCGTCCCGAAACAGCACCACATGTGCGGCACGAGCTATCTGTTTCTTCGCACTTGGATTGAATCAGTGTCCAATGCGCCGTTACCGCTGTGGCGGCGATGCCTGGCTGCGGAGCTGCTTTCCATCCGCGCTCCTGCTCGGTTCTCGGTAGAATCCCGCGCAAATCCGCACAACGCCTCGACCAGCTATCTCCGGTCCAGCATCCGCGCGAACATCCTGTTACGGCCGCAAGACCGTGAGGCGACCTGCGTCGCTTCCGCCCGGCGCCGGCTGCCAGCCGAGGCGCCTGCAAGCAGCCCGCGGCACGTTACCGACCCGGCCGGACCAACGCTCACACGGTATAGCGCCAGTCTCGTTGGACGGCACGCGCGTGGCTGCTCGCAGCGCACCTCCACAGCCCCACGCCTGCTCCTGCTGAAGTGGCCCCTCCCAGGGCCGCCACGCAGGCATTGTTCTCCGTGGAATCGCGGCCCGCACCCAACGGTACTGTCCTCCCCCCCAACGTACCTCGCAGGATCTCCGGACGCACGCACACCCGCCTCTGAGCGCAACAGCTCTCTCCGCAGGCACCCAGGCCGCCCACGGGGCGCGGCAGCAGGCCTTTCGGCGCCCGAGCGCTCCGCCTCGAGCATGGGCCGCGCACTGGACGCGAACATCGCAGCGGACGCCTGCGACGTGTGCGGCGCGCAGGACGGTCCTCTGCAGTCGATGCCGTGCTGCGCAGCCCCCGTGCACCGCGCGTGCCTGCGCCAGCACTACGCGCTCCTGCGCCTGAAGGACCGCCCGAGCACGTGCCCGCGCTGCTCCAACGTGCACACGCACCCGCGGAACGAGTGCAACGGGTGCACGCTCAACGTACTGGACTACGACCCCGGGAGCCGCCGCGTGGAGATCGACGGGATCGCGATGCGCTTCTGCAGCGACCGCCTGAGCTGCCCGACGCCGCTCGTGCGCCACGCGATCAACAAGTGGACCGGCGCGCGCTTCGTCGAGCCGTTCGACGCGCTGTTTGAGAACCAGGAGCGCCACGCATTCGTGCGGTTCGAGGTGCGGCGCGGGCTGGCGTACTTCCTGCTGCGGCCGCGCGAGGGCGCGGGCGGCGCGGGCGGCGCGGGCGGCGCGGGCGGCGCGGGCGGCGCGGCGCCGTGCGCGGAGGTGTGGGTGCCGCAGTACGACCTGGTGTGTACGGATCAGATGCTGAGGTGTGTGCTGCGGCACGTGGGGCACGAGGTGGACAGCTCGGAGGAGGAGGAGGACAGCGACGGGGACACGGCGATCACGGCGTTCGAGGACGACGCGGAGGAGGAGTACGAGGATGACGCGTACACGTGAGGGGGGAGTGTTGTGACGGGAGACTCCCGCGGGCGACGCGTTTCTCTCGTGGTCGAAGTTGTCACATTTGTTCTTGTACGCAGAGGGCGGAGTGCGGCCGTGTTCGTCGCGTCGCGGCCCTGCATCGTGCTGCCCCCCCCTGGGCGCGAAATGATTGCTCACCCACGCGCGACCTTGATCATGGTGAGGTCGCCCCCGAAGCCCGCGAAGTTGAGGTAGCACTGGTAGATGCGCTCCCCCTGGGCGTTGCGCAGCTCCGTCAGCATCTCCACCAGCTCGCAACATGCCGGCAAGTCAATCCTGATTTCAAAGTTGATGATGGCCGGCAGCAGCTGCTTGAGCTCCTCGCGGAAGCTCCACAGCACGGGGCAGTCGAGCCGCTCGATGTCCAGCTGCAGCACGTCCAGCCGCCCCAGGCCTGACTCAGCAAACACCTCCCGCAGGGGCACCGCGGGCACGGGGATGGTGCGGACGGCGTGCGTGAAGCCCGAGAGAGGCAACGCGAGCTCCGCGGACGACAACCCGGTCACCCATTCGACGTCGTCGGTAATGGTCCGCGTGCGGAGGCTCTCGGGGTCCACGAAGTGCAGGTCCAGCGTTTTTTGCTTGGCGTCCGGCGTCACTGCGAGGGTTGGAGGTGGGGGGGAAGATGCGTCTTGCATCGTCGAGCAGGTGACAACGATCCGGCCCCAAACGCCGTGCTCGCGCGCGTGAGTCGCGGCTACGATGTGATGACCGGACAGGATACGTCCTGCGAGCAACATCCGCAGCTGCGCCGGGGTGCTGTTTGGTGGCGGTTGTGCTGTTCAGTTCGCGACGCGCGGCTCGGTGCAGGTGGGGAGATGACGTCGTCGCGTTTCTCCCTTTTGCTTTTGACCGCGATTGAACCTGGCACTGGGCGCCGCGACTCAACACGAGATGCATCTCGTGTTGGGTCGCGGATAGTCGGACATCGTGGAGAACTTCGCGTCGGGTACGGCGCCCAGCGGCGGTGGCAGGCAACACCAGGAAGGGGAGAAATCGCGCTGTTAGTGCCTCTGCAGGGGGGTTCGCCGGGCCCCGAGCGCGCGGCGCGCTCCGCATGCACGCACCTGCCACGTTGAGCAGTCTCAGCCGGTGCAGGTCCTCCTTATAGTTGTTCAGCAAGTTGAAGTACATCTTAAACATAGGCTCCACGAGCACGCCGCGCCACGACGGCGCCTTGCGCACCGCCGCGCTCAGGGGGTCCACCATGACGCCGTCGTGCGCCCCGAGCTGGATGAACCGCACGTCGCGCCCCAGCAGGGCGTCCAGGGCCAGCTTTGCGGGGTGTTCCTGGACAGCCTTGCACTGTGCCTTGATGTAGCACGCGAATAGGGGATGCTCGGGGTTCGTGGACCGCATGGCCGTCAAGCCGTCGAGGGACTTGGGCCGGAAGGCGATCGGGGACTTCTCGAGCTTGCCTGCAACGCACAAGATGGACTAGGTGTGCGATCTGGGCAGAAGTCGAGCGGTGCGGCCGGAGCGATGTCGTCGACGTGGCGCGTGAGAGCCCCGTGCTGGTGCTGAACACGGCGCGCCCTGGCGTGGACCAACGTGGCCGCGAAGCGCCACCGTCCTCTCGTTCGTGTCTCTCGGTGTATCCGTGCCGTTGATCGATCACCGGGGGGGGCGGCGCGCGCACTCACCCATGCTCTCCTCGCCGACCGGCACGCCCTCGACCGCCGAGCTCCCCGCCGCGAGCCCGCGCGTCTCCGCGCTCCCCACCTGCACCTCCACCACCTTGCGCAGCTGCTCCAGCAAGTCCCTGTTCGTGCGCATGCCCCGCACCGCCCGGTCGACCTCCGGCACCCCGCGCGCAAACAGCCACGCGCGCTCGTCGCGCCCCGCCACCGGCCGCGTCGTGCCGATCGTCCGGGAGCACATCACCGCCCACGGCTCGTTCGTGACCCCCCGCGCCAGCCCGGAGATCATCCCGCTCGTGTATATGCGGTCGCGCAGAAACGAGGTGTTCCCGCGGTCGAAGCCCGCGTCCGCCATGTGCGCGTCGAGCGCCTGCATCGCCGGACGGCTGTCGTCGATGTCGAACGCGAACGCAACCATGATGACGGTGACCGTCCCCATGCCGAGGTCCTTCGCGTCCGCGAACAGCCGCGCTGCGTGCTCCTCGCTGCAGGCCGGCGCGGGAAGGCGGCAGCGACGCGTCACGTGCAATACACCCCCCGCACGGCACGCGGGAGGGTTGGGGGATGAATGGTGCGGGGTGCGCACCTGGCGGCGTGCACGACGACGAGCTCGAGCCTGTGCACGCGCAGCGCATCGAGGACCTGCTTCACCGTGCTTCCTGGCCCGGGCTGCACCGCGTACGCTCGTCGGTTCAGCGAAGAGAGCACTTTGTATGGAATGTCGTCCTCCTCGACGACGACGCCGGTCCAGCCGTGGCGCTTCTCGAGCGCGAGGGTGACGGACTCGGCCTCGCCGCCGCGCCCCTCGCCCCACTCGAGGAACACGCCCGGGCCTGCGGGGTGCGTGCGGCAACGCACGAGACGCCGTGAGTCGTGCGGGACAGCGTGGTGGTCCGTGACGCATCGCGCGGTGCGGAGCGCTCGCGCAAACGTGTGGAGAGGTCGCAGCGGGCGGTGTGAGGATGCAGCGGTCTGGGCGCGGTCGTGGAGGGGCGACGAGAGCCCAGTGTGCTCACTCTCTTCCGCATACAGCATCTGCGCCACGATGTGCGTGCGGCACGACGACGTCCAGACGCCACGCTTGTCGAGCCCGTCCGGATGCTGCAGGACGTACGGCTCGCTGTCGGCCGGCGGCGTCACGGTGAGAGTGTTTGCGGCGGCACAGCATGGGGCCGCCGCGAGCGCGAGGAGGCAGGCCGCCACGGCCACGGCCTGGCGCGTGAGGCTCCTGAAGATCATGTGTCTCCAGTTATCTGCAAATGCGAGGCAGACGCGGCCGTGAGCGACGGGGTGGCGCTGGCAGATGCTGGACGTGAAATCGCAGCTCTCACTGCGGTGTGTGGCCCGCGCAGGGGCGCCGGTGAGCGGACAGCGCGCGCGGGAGCATGTCACTCGCTGTATCAGTCCGGTCATGCTGCTCAACTTCCACCACTCACCCTCCAGGCTCCCAGCGGACGCAGCGCCACAGGAGGCTGCTGCAGCGTCAACAGCTGCGGGCTCTTCCGAGGGTCTCTTACGGCGATCCTGGCTCCTCACAGCATGAGAATGCAGGGGAAATGGCGAAACAGCCTGTGCGCGACGAGACCACGCCGTAAATGTAAACGACTGGCCAAACAGCTCCTGCACCCGTGCACGCGCGCGGTCCGCACGTGCCGGCGACAGAGGCGGTCGAGACGCAACGAGAGCAATGTTGTGACCACGCCCGGGGCGCCTCGCCCGCATTGTGCGGCCGAGCCGACCTGGGGCGCGCCGGGGAGCATTATCACTAGTGCAGTCCGCCTGAGCTCAGCTGCCCACACGTCAAGTTTGCGCCTGAGACAGCCTGTCGCCTGGCTGGACACGAGGCAGCGTGCGCCACCCTCAGTAGCGGCACGGCAGCGCCGCTCAGCGCGTCGTCGCGTGGCGTCGCCCGTCGCGCCAACCACGCGCATCCTGCAAAGAAGTAATCGACCACCCGCGCAAGAGACGAAATGCGGGTGCGCTATCGTCCTGGCCAAGGCGGCAACGCGCTAGGAGTACTCGCGGCATGCCATGTGGGCACGCAACCCGCACCACAACGACGCGCAGCACTCGCGCGCGATCGACACCGCAGCACCCGAGCAGAGACCCGCAGCTCGCACGACGCAGCATCCACGCTCGCCTACCGCCCGCCCAGCCACCGCCAGCCCCAACCCGCTCGCCACGTCGTCGGCCGCGTCACAGGGGGGAGTAGTCTACGCGGTTGCACACAGGAAGGAGTCTGTCCGACGCGGCGGCTCCGTTCCGCTCCGGCTCTACGCCAGCATCGCCGACTTGATCTCGCCGAGGCGCGTCCGGATCGCCTGGTCCGTCGCCTCCGACAGCACCTTCTCCTTCTTGATCGTCTCGCAGACGCTGTTGAGGCCCGAGTCCGCGAGGATCGCCTTCTCGTACGGCAGCACCTTGTCCATCGGGAGGTCGTCCAGGAAGCCCTTGGTCGCCGCGAACAGCACGCACACCTGGCGCTCCATCGGGATGGGGGAGTACTGGTCCTGCTTGAGGACCTCCGTGAGGCGCGCGCCGCGGTTGAGGAGCTTCTGCGTGGCCTCGTCGAGGTCCGACCCGAACTGCGCGAACGCCGCGACCTCGCGGTACTGCGCGAGTTCGAGCTTCATGGTGCCCGCGACCTGCTTCATGGCCTTGACCTGCGCGGCGGAGCCGACGCGCGACACGGAGAGGCCGACGTTGATCGCGGGGCGGATGCCCTTGTAGAAGAGCTCGTTCTCGAGGAAGATCTGCCCGTCCGTGATGGAGATGACGTTGGTGGGGATGTAGGCCGACACGTCGCCGCCCTGCGTCTCGATGACGGGGAGCGCCGTGAGGGAGCCCGCGCCCGTCTCCTTGGACATCTTCGCGGCGCGCTCGAGGAGGCGCGAGTGCAGGTAGAACACGTCGCCCGGGTACGCCTCGCGGCCGGGCGGGCGCCGCAGGAGGAGCGACATCTGGCGGTAAGCCACGGCCTGCTTGGACAGGTCGTCGAAGATGATCACCGCGTGCTTGCCGTTGTCGCGGAAGTACTCGCCCATCGCCGTGCCGGAGTACGGCGCGAGGAACTGCAGCGGCGCGGGGTCCGACGCCGTCGCCGCCACCACCACCGTGTACTTGTCCGCGCCGTTCTCCTTCAGCGTGCGGCACAGCTGCGCGACCGTCGAGCGCTTCTGCCCGACCGCGACGTAGATGCAGTACACGTCCGTGTCCTTCTGGTTCAGAATCGCGTCGATCGCCACCGCGGTCTTGCCCGTCTGCCGGTCGCCGATGATGAGCTCGCGCTGCCCGCGCCCGATCGGCACAAGCGAGTCCACGCACTTCAGGCCCGTCATGAGCGGCTCGTGCACCGACTGCCGCGCGATGATGCCCGGCGCCTTGAGCTCCACACTGCGCTCGCGGGACGAGGGGGCGGGTGGCGCGTGAGACGCGGTGGTTGGGAGGGCTGCGCGCTTCCGCGGGGAGCGCGTCGCGGAAGAACCCTCCGCGCATCGACGGCTGGGAAGGAAGCAAACATTGCGTTGCGGGGGCGCTCGTGGCGCGGGAGCGAGCGCGGGAGGCCAAACAACCAAGCTGCAGGCTGCACGGCGACGAGGCGTGTCGCGGCGCGGGGTTGCCACGCGCGGGCCGGCCCGGGCGCGCCGCGGCATGGTCGGCGACTGGAGCGCTGCGCGGCGGCCGTGCGGGGCGCGGAACGCACCGGCGGGGCGTGCAGTTCTCGATGGGACCCGCGCCGTCAATGGGGTTGCCGAGACCGTCCACGACGCGGCCGAGGAGGCCCTCTCCGACGGGCACGTCGACGATACGCTGCGTGCGCTTCACGATGTCGCCCTCGCGGATCTCGCGGTCGCTGCCGAACACCACGACGCCGACGTTGTCCTCCTCAAGGTTGAGCGCCATGCCCTGGACGCCGGAAGCGAACTCCACCAGCTCGCCGGCGCGGCACTGCGGGTCGGGGTGGGATGTAGGGGCGGAGTGGTGTCGGGTGGGGGGGTTGGGCGGGCGGGGGGCGCGCGGGGAGGGAGGGTGGTGGATGCCGTGTTGAGTTGCGAGCGGTGTGGGGCCGGCGTGGGGGCGGCAGCGGGTGGAGGGGCGGGTGCGGGGCGACCGTGGTTTCTGCAGATCTGTGGCTCGCGGGCGCGCGGCGTGCGCGGGGGCGCGGGCGGCGCGCGGGGCGAAAGAGCAACTGTCGTTGAGGCCGGGGACCCGCCGGGGCGTCGCGCGCGGACCGCACCTTCGAGAGACCGTACACACGGGCGATACCGTCACCAATGGTCAGCACGCGCCCGACCTCCGACAGCTGCGCCTGCGTGGTGCCCGCGAGCTTCTCCCCGATGATCTTCGCGGACTCCGAGATGGAAGGCTTGTCGCCCTTGGCCCACGATGCCGAAGACGTGTGGATACCCTTCCGGACCTCCACGTCGGAAACAGCTGCAGGGGCGGAAGCGCGCGCGGGGGGCACGAACACTGCCAGTGAGCACCGGGCGGGCGCGTAGACGGCACGACGGGCGCTGCCGGCGGCGAAAAAAGCATGATTCGCACGCATCCATGCGACCGGGGCGCCGCAGACGCGGCCTGGCGCGCCCACGCGGCCACCCGGGCGGTGCTCGAGGGAGCTCGGCGCTTCCGATGCCCTGGACCGCCCGCGTGGGAGAGCACGCGGGCGTTCCGCAGCACGCGTCGCAGGAAATCGCGACGTGCACGCTCGGCACGCGGCGGCCGGCCGCGGGCGCCCCGCGCGCGCGCACTGGGGCCGGTGCCACTCACCTCCGAGCCTCTGCGTCGCCACCGCGGAGGCCTCCAGGCCGGCCAGGCGGCCAGCCAGGCCGCGGAGGCCAGTGAGCTTCCGAGCGCCGTTCCTCAGCATCGTGACCGACTACTGGCCCGCTACGGCCGCGCACGGAGCATCAAAACGCGACACAACGCGCTGCGGCACGCTGAAAGTCCTCCGGGCCGCACGCTGGGTCACCGCAAGCGGCTGTTGTCCGCGGATTCCGGCGCTCTCGAAGTGAGAGACCAGCTAAATTTCGTTATACTCGACGGCGGGGCCCTGTGCGACCGAACTCCGGAGCCACAGCAACGGCCAGCATTTTGCAAGCCGACTTTCGCTGTGTCCTGCGGACCCTCGCTTCGGCATGCTCGGCCCGCCAGCAGCTCCCACGCGCGCCCCAGGCTCCCGGCTCGCTCGCGGCGCAGCGGGCGGCGGTGCCGCGCCAGCGGGCTGGCCGCGGGTCCGCAGCAGGCGTGGCGTGGGTGCGCGCAGCAGGTCAGACAGCTCGCTTGTGGCCTTGGGGGCGCGTCGCGGGCGCAGCGCGGCACTCGCAGCCGCCCCCGGGACGTCACGTGCGTTCTGGCGCCGCGCGTCGGACACTGCGGTCCGCGACCGCCATCCTGCGCGTCGTATGTGTGTGAGAGCAGAGGTCCCATCATGAGCGGCGGAAAGCGGCCTTTCGGGGGCTACGGCGACGACGGAGATGAGGCGAAGCCCTTCGCGGTGCTCGGGCCGCGGCCGAACGCCGCGCAGACCGGTCCGGTGAAGAAGCGGAGGGCGATTCCTGGCGCCTGGACTCCGCCAGCCCTGGCCAACCCCCTGGCGCCGCACCCGGCGTTTGACTTCGACCACCCGCCTTGCGCGATCGATATGATGACGGGTGCGCGGACCTCTGCCGCTCGACCGGCCTGCGCGCGTCCCAGCGCCTCCCGCGCTGCGCCTGCTCTGCAGTGGCCCACACGCCTTTCGGACCCCGCCCCCGCCACGGCCCCGGCTGGCCCTGTCCTCCCCCGCTGATCCTCTCCGACCTCCGAGGGACCAGTCTGCGCCGACGGAAACGCATTTCTGCGGCGCGTCGATCGCCTAGGCGCGGGAACCCGGCCCACGTCCGCGCCTCGAGCCCCTGCCCGCGCAGGCCACCCCACGCACCCCCCGAACGACTGGAGCGAGCGGGCGTACTCCCTGCGCGAGGCACAGCGCCGACAGATGGTTTTCCGCCGCCTAGGCGCCGGCACGATGCGTCTGGAGTACAAGGCGACTGCCAGCACCATCAAGACCATTAAGAACGCCCTGAGCGGCTCTGCGTCCGCGCGACGCGCCGCGGACTCCACCCGCATGCAGACCTACTGGGGCCCGTCAGGTGCGCCGCGCTTCTGCGGCCCCGCGGCCCCGCAACGCCCCCTCGTGCTGCGCATGCTTTGTTCTCATGCATCCGTCGGACGCGCCTCGGACCGCCGCCTCGCGCGGCGCGCGCGGTCGCGAACGGCGGCGCTTCGCCGGAGTCGCGCTGGCGCGCCGACGGCGCCGGGCGTTCCCCGATCCCCCCGCGCAGGCGACCCCATGGTAGCCAACGTGGCGCGTGTGGACAGTGTTATCGCGCTGATCGACAGGGGCACGCTGGTGCCGGAGGACGCCGGCGACATCAACGTGCTGTACAGGTGCGGCCCTCCCACGCGCGTCGCGCGCCGCGCGCGACCGCACCGCCGCGCCCACGCTACGTCGTGCAGCTGCCCCGCAGAATCGCCGCCACGCCGCCGCGCCCGGTGCGTCGCCCCGCGCAGCCTGAAGTCGATGGTCAAGCCCGACGGTCCGTGGAAGCAGCCGGTGTTCCGCGTCGCTGTCCGGCCGCCCAAGGTCCCGGGTGCGCCACGCGGGCCGGCCAAGGCCGACACGCCGACGCGGGTGCTGGAGCTCGAGCTGCACCTCTACATCGGCCGCCTCGCGTTCGAGCTCATCGCGAACGAGGCGATCCGCGTGATCATGGCGTGGGTGGCGCCCGTGGGCCCCGTCCGCGGCACCGTCGACCGCCCCGAGTGGCCGACCACGTTCAAGTCGCACGCCGCGCGGCACGAGGACGACCCGCAGTTCCCGTTCACGCTCGGCGGGATCCTCAAGGGCGTGGAGAGCCACGGATACAGGTGCGCGACCGATCTGCGCCCCATAGTCCTCATCCCTCGCGCATCTTACACTCATAACGATACATCTGTGCGCGTGTTTGTTCGCTGTGCTGCAGGGACGTGGGCGAGGAGCCCGCGGGCCTCGCGACGCAGCTCTTCCCGTTCCAGCGCCAGACCGTGGCGTGGATGCAGGACCAGGAGGCGTGCGACCTCAACGCGCGGTTCTGGGAGGAGCGCGCGTGGGGGCCGCAGCCCTGCGACGGCACCTTCTTCTACTTCCCCGCCGCGGGCGAGCTGCGCACGCAGCGCCCACCGCGGGTACGCTACCCCCCACCTGTCACGTGCTTGCGCCAGGCCCGTGGCACGGGACTTCGTGGCGCTGATGCGACAGTGGTGTGTCTGTGTCTGTGTGTGCGTGCAGGTGACGGGGGGGCTGCTCGCGGAGGAGATGGGTCTCGGGAAGACAGTGGAGATGGTGGCGCTGATCCTGTCTGACCGCGCGGCCAACTACCCCGCGCCGACTCCCCCCCCGACGCTCCCCGGGCACCCCGTCGTGGAGACGACGTGCGACGTGCAGTCGAACGGCGCGCGCGCGAAGGAGCCCGTCGCGGACACCCGCGCGACGCTGGTGGTGTGCCCGATGCCGCTAGTGGGCCAGTGGGCGCGCGAGATCGCGAAGCTGACCGCGCCGGGCGTCCTGCGCGTGGAGGTGTGGGACGGGTACCGGGCGTGGAAGGGGAAGATCGACGCGGAGAAGCGGAGCCGGCGGACGGAGCGGCGGGAGGTGCCGGACCTGCCGCGGAGCCACGTGGAGCAGGCGTCGCACGCGGAGCTGCTGGAGGAGGCGTTCGAGGCGCTCGTGGGCGCGGACGTGGTGCTGACGTCGTACGCGGCGCTGAACGAGGAGACGGCGTCGATGCAGCGCGTGCTGCGCAAGATCGGGTGGCGCCGCGTGGTGCTCGACGAGTGCCAGGAGATCCGGTCGAGCACGTCGGAGGTCGCGCGGATGTGCTCCGACCTGCAGAGCACGCACCGCTGGATGGTGTCGGGTGAGTCGCTGCTTGCTTACATACTTACATACTTGTTTACATATTTCTTTACCTGTTCATTTGTATCCTCATTTGCATGTTCATTTGTTCGTTGGTTGGAACGTGACGTTGCGTTTGTTGTTCGTGGTCGCAGGCACTCCGCTGCACGACTCGCTGGACGACCTGAACGGCGAGCTCAACTTCCTGCGGGTGTGGCCGTTTGCGCTCTCGGACCGCAGCGACGGGTTCTGGAAGATGCGCGTGTCGGACCCCATGCAGCGCTGCGACGACGACGCCCTCCTCCTCCTCCGGGCCCTCCTCAAGGCAAGCGACGCCCCGCACCACCGCCGCAGGCCCCCACGACGCTCGCCACACGCTAGTCGTCGTACGACTTGCATCGCGTGACGAACGAATCGTTTCTGTGTTTCTGTGTGTACGTGTGCGCAGGAGATCATGATGCGGCACTCGAAGACGCAGACGACGCTCGAGGGCGGCCCGCTCCTCGAGATGCCGCACGCGCGTTCCGCGCTGGCGCCCGTCGACCTGCAGCCGTCCGAGACGTACGTCAACGCCTTCCTCGAGCACCACGCCGTCACCGCGCTGTGCACCTCCATGGGCATGACCGCCGACGACGTCACCGAGGCGCACCCGTCGACGCTCAAGTTCGTGGACGCGCAGCTCGCCGGGGGCGCGCGCACGCTCGCGCGGACGCTGCGCGAGAGCACGGCGTGCACCGCGGCGATCGACACCGCGCCGGTGCTGCAGCAGGTGGACCGGGCAATCCGCGCGCTCCTCGCGCGCACCGCGGGCGCCGCGTCGGCCGACGAGCAGCAGACCGTGACCGGCACGATCCCGCGGTACAGCCCGTCCGAGGTACGCAGTTCAGCTCTTCCTGCCTGCGTCGCTGCTGTTGTTGTCGCGCCAGGTCGCGCTGCCGATGTGCCAGCAATGAAGGAAGGAACACGCTTGTACATTGCATGTCATTGTTTCGCGCAGGCGATGTCGGTGCTGCTCCAGACGATGGAGGTCCGCGACCGCAACGCCGACATGGTCCGCCACGGCGACGGCGCGGGCCGCCAGGCGCACGGCGTCCAGCGCACGTACGCCACCGAGACCGTCGCGCAGCGCCTGGCCGCCGCCGCCGACCGCCTCGTGCGCATCGAGGCCACCATCGAGGCCGCGCGCGCGCAGCTCCCGCGCCTCCGCTGGCGCGTCGCCATCGCGCGCGTCGCCGAGGGCCGCGCCCTCGTCACCCTCGACCTCAACCGCGCGTCCCCGTACCTCCTTCTCCGCGTCGGCGCCGCCGCGCGCGCGCAGCGCGCGGCGCAGGCCGCGCGCGAGGCCGTCCAGGAGGCCGCGGCGCGGTACGAGGCCCTCGACGACGCGCTGCTCGTCCAGGAGGCGATCAGCGAGGGCGTGGAGTCGCGGCGGCTGCTCGAGGGGCCGCGGGACCGGCTGGCGGCGCAGCTGCTGAAGGACGTGCGGAAGGAGTGCGAGAGGGCGGAGGCGGCGGCGGAGCGCGCGCTGCGGCCGCGGACGGCGGCGGGGCGGCGCGAGAGGGAGGAGCTGGCGACGCTGAGCGAGCGGCTGGAGCAGGCGCGCGTGGAGCTGGCGGCGGTGCGGCCGTACGTCGCGCTGCTGCAGCGGGCCGCGGAGGCGGGCGGCGAGCGGCTGGACTTCGCGGTCGTCGAGCAGTCGGGTGCGTGGCTGCGCACAGACCCCCCCCCCCTGTGCGTTGCGACACCGAGGCACGCCGCGCAAGCACGCGACCACAACGGCCGCCCGCGCGCTCCCTTCCCATCGTGCGTCGCAGGCTTCCAGACGATCAACGAGATCCAGGAGGGCAAGAAGATCACGTGCCTGATCTGCCAGTGCGAGTGCGACGACCCGTGCGTCACGCGCTGCCTGCACATGGGCTGCACCGACTGCTACCTCCACTGGCTGCGCGCGTCCTCCGTCCTCACGGGCCACGCCTTCGTCAGCGCCGACGTCTTCGCGCTCGAAGCCCCCTGCCCTCTTTGCCGCAAACCCTTCCGCGCCGACCAGCTCATCCGCATCGACACCGCGGCGCCCGCGCCCGACTCGGGCCCGACCTCGCAGCCCGCGGCCGGCGCGGACCCGAGCGGCGCGGGCCCGAGCGGCGCGGGCCCGGGCGGCGACGCCGCCGCGTCGGACCTGCCGCAGTTCTTCCCGAGTCAGACGGCGACGGCGTACGGGAAGATCCGGCCGCCGCTGACGGGCGCGGTCGCGGCGCGGACCAGCGCGCTGCCGTCGCTGCCGGGCCCGCTGCTCGCGCACCTGAAGAGCGCGGGCGTCGCGCGCGTCGCGGACAGGGCCCCGCCGCGCGGCGCCAAGATCGACGCGCTGATCGCGATCGCGCAGGGGACGCACCCGGTGACGGAGAGCCACGTCGCGGCCATGGGCGGGTCCCCGGGGAAGGTCGTGGTGTTCTCGCAGTTCCCGCGCGCGCTCAAGGCGGCGCAGGCGGCGCTGGAGCACGCGGGCATCGGGACGGCGGGCATCTTCCAGGGCAACGCGTCGGGGTCGGAGGCGCAGCGCGAGGCCGTGAGCCGGTTCTCCGTGGACCCGGAGTGCCGCGTGCTGCTGCTGCACGTCGGGCAGGCGGCCGCGGGGCTCACGCTGACGGCGGCGGCGACGCTCGTGATGATGGAGCCGCTCATGTCGAGCGGGGACGAGGCGCAGTGCCGGAGCCGCGTGCACCGCATCGGGCAGACGCGCCGCGTGCTCTCCGTGACGCTCTGGGCGCGCGGCACCGTCGACGAGCGCATCCTGGCATGGCGCCGCCTCACGGACAAGCACCGCTCGGCGCCGAACGTGGCCTCGCAGGGCGCCGAGCCGCACTCGGACACGGAGTCGGACGCGGAGCAGCTGTGCGTGCTCACGCACGGCGAGAACGACCGCGGGCAGCTCGCGACGGGCAAGCCGCTGCGGCGCCTGCTCTACATGCTCGGCGCGCAGGACGCGTCCAAGGTGGCCGAGGCGCCGCCGGCGGAGGATCGGCGGGCGCGGGGCGGGCGCGGGAGCGCGTCGGACAGCGAGGACGAGGACGACAGCGACGCCGACATGGACGCGTCGGACGATGATTTCGCGGCGTACGTGCCGGTGCGGATGGCGAGGACGGGGGCGCGGAGGAGGGGCGCGGCGCCGGGGCGGGGGTCGGGCGCGCGTGGGGGCGGCGGCGGGGGGCGGTGAGGGGTGGGCGCGGAGCATGGAGACTGCATGGGAAGTGCGGAGGGGCGGCGGCGGTGCTCGCGGGGACGTGGGTGTGTGTCGGGCAGGGAAGGACAGGCAGGGGGCGAGCGGGGACGATGGTTTGAGGGAGGAGACGGATGAAACATGCGGCAGCAACGATGTGCTGTGACGAGACCGCTCCTGACGTGGGCGCTGGTCGACGGCGGACGAGCGTGCCGCGGACGTGACGTGCGTTGCTGCGGCGCTCAGACGCCCCGCTCTGCTCCACGCTGGAGCGCTGCCGCAGGATGGCGTGCGCTCCCGAGCCAAAGGACGACAGACGGGCGACGGCTTTAGGCGTTTCCGGGGCGCGAATGTCGGCGATAGAGACTGTGAGAGAATGATGCTACCGCTTATGAGGGCCCTGGACTGCTGCCGTCGATGATTGGTCGCAGAGGCGGAGGGGGGAGTGCTTGCGCAGTGAAGCAGCGGTGCGGCGGTCAGCGGGAAGGGACGCAGCCTGCGAACACCATCGATGGCGAGCCTCGAGTCAATCTAACCTAGCGCCATCGCTCGTCGGAGATATCGCGCGGTGCTCGGCCGGAGCGTCGCGGTCAACCTGGGGAGGTGGAAACTCGACCGTCCGACCGTGACTCGCCGGTTCCGGGCCAGCCGGGACATGAAGGGGCCTCGGAGGCGCGCACGAGCGCAGATACACTCGACAGCAGTACGTACTGCAGCTCGAACGAGCGCTCCGCCCCACGTTTCTTCGCGCGCGGGGTAGCGGCAGCGCGTCATCATCCTCGGCGTCTGCGGCTCGAGGTACGATCGCCGCGGCTCATTATTGTGCTACATCGATTGTTCTATGCTCGTTGTACGTGTCAGATGGTCTAATATATGATTACGAGCCCGAGTCGGGCAGTGCCGCTAACTATGCCTTCGCTGGGCCTCATGCTGGCGGCCGCGACGAGTGCGTGGATGATCGTCCGCTGAGGCTGCGCGATTTCGCTCCAGAAGACATACTGCTGGCATTGGACAAGCAGCGGGATCTTGACCTGCGCAAGCTGCCTGTCCACCCGCAGATTGGTGCACTCGCACCGCAAACCCGGCACAGGGCGTTGATCGACAACACAGACGCAACCACGAAGAAGGCACGATGATCGACGCAGTTGCGGCGATTGCCCAACTGACGGCGAAAATCGCCAAGAAGATCCAGACATTGCGGGTGAGCCCCCACAGACGCTTGTGCGTTGGCGCTCGTGCTTGTGTAGCGCAGCTCATCGACACCCTGCATGTATTGTGGTAGGATTCCGGCACGTCATAAGCGTTCCTCGCGAGCGGTGCATGGTTGAGATGTCCTAACACTTTCCGCACTGCGTCTCATTGCATCAACGCAGCACTGCAGCCAGGACCTTCCCATCGCCATGATGGCAGTGAAGAGTGTCGCGGGCATCGTGCAACAGCCCGAGTGCGGCAAGCTGCCCAACGACGTGCTCGTCTCGACGCACAACTGCCTCGAGCAGCTTGACGACGTGCTCGGCAAGTTCGAGAATGCGAAGGCTGTCGGCCGGGCCGCCATCGCAGAAGACGTGCGCAGGAGGACCGACTCGCTGATGACGTGGCTCAACACGCTGCTTGGCATCATGAACCTCTCCGCCACAAACAGCGTCACGGGTTTGCAGCGCAACCCGCTGTCGGCTGCGCCCGCGAACAAGCAACAGCAGGCGCCCAAGCCAGCGCCCCCGACATACGACTTCAAGATCCCGAACCTGGTCTTCGAGGACGTTCACGAAGCTGCGGGGTCGGAGCTGACGGGCGTGTTCACTGCGGCGCGCAACGTGCTGCTCAGCTGCCCGCTGCCGAAGCGGACCGACGCGTACCGCATGCTGTGCAAGACGCTGCACGAGATCATCCAGCTGCTGTCGTCGACGCACGGCGCGTACCTGGAGCGGGTCGTGGGCGACATCGACTTTACGTGTGTCACTAAGATGGCGGCGATGTACAAGTCGGTCCATGAGAAGAATATGGCCATCAACGAGCTGCTGTCTGAGGAGGGCAAGCACTTCAAAGGCTACATCAAGCTGGAGATCGTGCTGCGGATGATGCGGCTGGTGGTGGAGGAGGTGACGCACAACAAGATCAACAAGTACCTGACGGACAGCTTCTGCGCGCGGCGGAGCCTGAGCGCGTACAACCTGATGAAGCTGCTCGACGTGCTCATCTCGAGGCCTCAGAAGGTGCCGTGGTGCGTGAACACGCACACTAAATTCTGCCGCCAGCACTGTCGTCACACCGGGCTCTCTTTCCGACCTCCGGCTGGCCGCCTCGTTTGCGCACGTGGGTGTCTTACGCTGTCCCGCGCTCTCGTCCGCAGGTGCAACCGCTTCGTCGGCTTCCACACCCTGTCCATCGTGGCGAGTCGGAACCTGATCGGCACCGAAACGAACGAGGACGCGATCAACCGCTTCGTGCCGGTGGTGATGTCAAAGACAGCCGTGGACTACAAGAAGCACTACCTCCTGCGGCCCGTGCAGGACGACGTCTTTGAAGTAACGGGCCAGGAGGCCCTCTCGCGTCTTGGTAAACCTCTCAGGGTGAACTATGATATCGGTGCATGGACATTTTGGGCTCTCGTTTCTTCACCTCTCATCCTCAGTGGGTGTGTTCTCTTCACTGGTGGCTATCTACTGGGTGCGATGATTTGGGCATGCGCCGAAAGCAACAGCAACAACAACAACAACAACAACGACAACAACAACAACAACAACAACAACAACAACAACAACAACAACAACAACGAGCTTGTTGAGGAATGCATGCCTAAAATCGTCGAAGATCCCATCTGCACCAACCCAAGCGGGGCGTGCGCCGCGAATCCGCTTTCCCGCATCCTGTGTTGCTATACCACGACTCCAAGTCGCGCGGGCTTCCGCAAAGCCCTCGCCCCCCCCCAGCGCTTGCTCGCGCTCTTGCTCGCGGGCAGCTACTCGAATGAAGCCTGGGTGCGCGCGTACCATGGTCGGCCGTCCACTGATCTCGAAGACAAATGGCAGAAGTACTTGTCAGACTCAGGGCGAGTGTGTTCAGACCCAGGGTATGTCGTGCCCGGCACGACGTACTGCTGTGGCTTCGGTGACCGCGGCGAATGCTTTACTGACTGACTGACTGCGGCCCAGACAAGCAACCCAGATAGCCAGAACGCTGACCTGGGCGGCGGGCTTCTGCACCCGATGAATCCGATGCTAGTGACTCTGTGGGGCGCCACGGATGCGTCGCATGTGACCGTGACCACAAAGTTGCGCCGATCCTCAGGCCCAGCGACCCCCCGGCGCCGCTGCTACCTTGCGTCCTTTCGTTCCCAGTTATCTCGCGCTCCCTCGTCTCCACGACCAGCCCCGCCACCCACACCGCCTTTCGCCCGCGCCTCATTTCATGGCGGGCACGGCGTTGACATTGTCCTCGCGCAGCGGCCGTGGCCTCCCAGCACCGCCCACTCTGAGACGGGGACAACACGTAGTGACACCGCGTCGAACGGCCGCGCATGGTGGCGCACTCGTGCAGGACCGAAGACGCTGCCCGACGCGCCTCACGTACTCGCTGAGCGCGGCGCACGCTCGGCCAGTGCCGCCCTGCAGCGGGGGAGTGAGGTGTAATACACCTCGCGAAACAATTCCGCGACACCCCCTCCGTCGGCTCTCCTCGCGCCTGCCGCCGTGTTGCACCGTGGGCCCGTGCGTGCTCGGCACTCGGGGGGCGCACGCACTGGTGCCGGCGGAGCGCGGGCGGCTGCAGCGCGTGGGCCGTTGCGCGCTTGCAGCAACTGCCAGCTTCGAGGTCCCTGCGCCATTGATAGCCGACGACGTTCGTCGCGACCGTCATAGGATCAGAAGCTAGACTGCTGACCCATTGGTGGCGTGCAAGCCCGCGCACAGGCCAGTTCTCGCTGGCCGGTGCGGAAAGACTTTGGGCGCCCAATTGGTGTGTTCCCGGCGAACTGTCGGGATCTTGTCACCATGACTGACATCATGGCAGACATTGCGAGCCTCGCGTCCAAGACCGCGGAGAAAATCAAGGCTTTGAAGGTGCGTGGCGCTCGTAGAGCCAGCACTCCCTGCACGCTGCCTCCCACCAGACGTTGCCAGGCGACGCATTCGACTTTTTCATTGCGTCGAGGCCTACACGACATGAGATGTGCCCCTGACGCCCGCAGACCTACAGCCTGGACCTCCCCATCGCCATGCTGGGCGTCAACAGTGCAGCAGGGCTCGTGCAGCGGCCCGAGTGCCGCACGCTGCCCGACGACTTGCTCGCTGCAATCCACGACGCGCTCGCTCATCTCAACAAGGCGCTCGACGCAGTCGGACAGCCCACGGCGCCCGCCGGGGCCGCCGTCGCGGACGTGCGGCGGAGCGCTGACGCACTGATGACGTGCCTGGGCGCGCTCGTGGGCGCCACGAGCCCAGCGGCGAACGAGGGACCGGGAAGCCGCGCGCATCCGTCGCAGGACCAGCCACCGGCCGCCGTGCCACGCGACTTCGAGGTTTCAGGACTGGTTTTCACAGACATGCAGCAGGCGGCCGGGGCGGAGCTGACGGGCGTGTTTTCGTCGGCGCGCAGCGTCCTGCTGGGCTGCCCGCTGCCGGGCAACACCGACGCGTACCGCGCGCTGTGCAAGACGCTGGAGGAGGTCGTCCAGCTGCTGTCGTCGCCGCACGGCGCGTACCTGGAGCGGGTCGTGGGCGACATCGACTTTGGGTTCGTCACTGCGATGGCGGCGATGTACAAGTCGGTCCACGGCAGGAAGATGGCCATCGACGAGCTGTGGGCGGAGGAGGCAAAGCACATTAAAGGGTACATCAAGCTGGAGATTGTGGTGCGGATGATGCGGCTGGTGGTGGAGGAGGTGACGCACAACAAGATCAACAAGTACCTGACGGAGAGCTTCTGCGCGCGGCGGAGCCTGAGCGCGTACAACCTGATGAAGCTGCTGGACGTGCTGATTGCAAGACCGCACGAGGTGCCGTGGTGCGTGCGCCCGCCGCCGCCGGAACGCTCCCACGACACGTGCGCGTGGTTGTGCGGATGACCTGCCCGGGCTGCGTGCGGTCGGACACGTGAGGCTGGAACAGCCAACCCTCGCGGCCGTCGTACGCAATCGCCGGCACGCGTCCCTGCCGCACGCCGAGCTCCCTCGGTCCACAACGGAGCTCTCCGAGCCCGCGGTTCGTCCCACGCTCTCGTCCGCAGGTGCAACCGCTTCGTCGGCTTCCACACCCTCTCCGTCGTCGCAACCCAGAACCTGATCGGCACCGCAGCGAACGACGACGCGATCAACCGCTTCGTGCCGCTGGTGACGTCGCGCACGGCGGTGGACTACAAGGAGCACTACCTCCTGCGGCCCGTGCAGGACGACGTCGTCGAGGAAGTGGCCGCGAAGCTGGTGGGCGGCATTGCGAGCAGGATGACGGTGAACGGCGACTGCGCGTGTCTCGTCCTGCTCGTCCTCGCGGGGTTCGTTCCGGGCCTGATCTACGGCCTGTGCATGGACCGGGGCTGCCCGCTGGCCAACCCGGCCTGCGCTGCGCACCCGCTCTCGCGTGTGTTTTGCTGCGCGACGATCTCGCCGGGCGTGTCGGAGATACGCGGCGAGCACCGCAGGGACCTCCTCGCGCGGCTCCTCGCGCAGCCGTGCTCGGACGAGGCCTGGGTGCGCGCTTACCACAGCTCCGACCTCTCCAGAGAGTGGTGGCGGGCAGTGCCGCCAGAGGACGTGACCTCGGGCTCCACGGTGTGCTTCGGGTGCGTCTGACGGCCTTCGCGGCGTTCCGAACCAGCCATGCAGCGCCAACTATTTTTGGATGCCAACGGCTGCATGTTGTTGCCATCCAACCTTGCATGGGAACTGTGCGGGACATGCAACTGCGTTGACGACCGGCGGGCTGCACAGCCGAGCCGTGTGATGCATGTATGCGTTTCCGCCTGTATACACACGAGGCGTCACCCAAGCCTCGGCAAGCTGCTATCGCCTCCTACTTGCGCCCGCCCTGCCCCGCGGCGCGCGCGCCCCCTCCCCCGGTCCCTCGCTGCGGCCTCTCGCACGTGCCGCCCGTCACCTTGCACGTCCCCGTCTCCGCGCCCACCTCCGCCAGCCACACCCGCCCGCGGCCCACGTCGATCTCGGTCACCACGCCCTGCATCCGCGCGCCGACCATGTCCTGCAGCGCGCCCTTCATCTTGCCGCGCCACAGCTCCCGCGCCTCGCCCTTCGACGGCGGCTTCCCGCCCCGCGCCGACGCCCCGTCTGCACTCAAACAAACAAACAAACAACACGTCAAACAATTATGACTCTCGATTTTCCGTATTCATCGGTAACGTTCAGAAGGAGAGGGGAGAAACACAGGCTGTCTCGCAAGGACGTGCACACACAGACAGCCTGCGCTCTCCTCAGCCCCCGTTTCACCGCGCGGGCGTCCGCGCTCAGCGCACCTTCGGCGGCGACGCGCGTGTGCAGGTTGGCGAGGCCCAGCGCCGACTGCAGCCGGTTCGGCGCCATGCGCGACACCGGAACGAAGCCCACGAAGCTCGCGCCCGCGTCGTTCCCGGCCCGCACCACGAGACCCCCCCCGTTCGCCTTCAACACCTCCATCCCCACCTCGGTCTGCGACCGACACAGCTCGTGCGCGAGCGACATCGAGGCGAGGTCGTCCGCCTGCCGCCCCTCGCGCAGCGGCGCCCACGACGCCTCGCCGTCCTTCGGCCGCGGAGCAGGCCGCGACGGCCGCGCGAGGGGGGCTGCTTGGGCGGCCGCCGTCCGCGTCGGCTCCGGCGCCGGTGCGGCGGCGTCCTGGCGCGTCGTCGCCGCGGGCTCGGGCGCCGCCGGCCGCTTCGGCGGCTGCGGCGGAGCTGCTGGTGCTGCGGACGGCGGTGCTGCTGACAAGGGCAGCGAAAGCGCCGCTGCAGCCGCCGCCTCCGCGGCCAGGACCGTGTCCGCCTCCTCAACATCGCGGCGGGACGGCGCCGGCCGCTTCGGCGGCTGCGGCGCAGCGGGCGGCGCCGGGGACACGGACGCGCCGTCCGCGGGCGTAGCAACCACCGCCGCCGCCTCCACCGCCTCCGCCTCCTCCTCCAGCTCATCGCGGCGGGGCTCGACCGGCCGCGTCGGCGGCTCCGGCGCCCGCATGCGCGGCGGAGGCTCCATCACCGGCGCCGCCGCAGCCCGGGGCGGTGCGGGGGCCGCGGGGGGGGCGACCGCCGCCGTCGGCGCGTCGGCCGATCCCTCAGAAGCCACGGCGTCGGCCGCGAGCGCGCGCCCCGTGCGCCGCTTGCCCCTGCGCTTCTTGTTCTTGTTTGCGTGTCGCGCGTCGACGCCACCGGCTCCTACGCGGTCGAGGGCGTCGAGGCCGGCCGCGCGGTCGAAGAGCTTGTACATGTCGGTTTCGTCTGGGTCCTGCGCGGCGGCGCACGCGCGATGACGGCGGTGCGGTGGGCGCCGGCGCAGCGCGTGGCCGGGGAGCGCGGCGTGTGGCGGACCCTGGCGCGCGCAGCACGGGAGGATCGCGCGAGGGACGCGGGGCGTGCTGCTCTGGCGGGACGTGCGGTGGAATTTCCCGTGAAATGCGGTGAAAATCGAGCGCGGGGAACGCGTCGTGGCGGCTGCGCGGGCGTCCGAGGGGCGCACCAGGAGAGGGCCGGCGCCGAGGACCATGCCGTCGTCTTCCGGGTCCCATTCGGCGCGCTGGGGCTTCGGCCGAGCGCGGCACACGTGCGCGGATGCCTGTCGCGCGCCGCAACAGCGCCGCTGCGCGTCCTGAGACCCGTGCCCTACGCGGCCCAGCCCTGGGGCGCGGGGAGCGGGTATTCGCGCATAGTGCGGTCCCTGCGCGGCGAGAGCGGCAACAGACGAGAAGCCTGAGAGCGAAGGGGCGGCCAGCGGACAGTCGCGCGCCCTACCGAGCGCACAGCACGCGTCGCAACTGCGCTCCCAACGTACAGGCCGCGGTGGCGCCGCGCAGGCATCGCGAGGCGGTATATGTACGATCGTTGACGGCACCGGGTGTGTTCGACGCACCCTGGTCGGGAGAGAGCCATGGAGAGCGCCCGTGGCGCCCGGACCGGGCATGTTCTAGGGGTGCCCTGCACCGGGCGCGTCCGACAGCTCCGCCGCTCAAACGGCCGACAACCGCGCGGGGGACGATCGCTGTGCGTGTGGGGGTGCAGGCCGCGCCGCAATCAGGCGCCCAAGACACCCCCCTGCACCCTGCGCTGATTCGAGACGGACTGAGAGAATCCAGAGTCCCCGCGGCCTCGTAGCGCGCGCCGGGGGCCATGGCCGCGCCTGCGCGAGCCCTGCGTGCACACACTGGGCATTATACATCTGCGCCGGGCCCAGCAGACCTCGTCCGGGCACTAGCGCGCCCGCGCTGGCCACCGTTGCTCGTTGCGTGTGTTTTGTCGTGGCCGCGCGGCACGTGGTGACACAGCGGTCACCGCGGCCTCTGGGGTGCGCGACGAGGCATCCGGAACCGCGGCAGATCCTGTGTGCAGGTCAGTCGCTGCGCACGGCGCAACCGCTCGACGCAGTGGAATCAAAGCGCTACCTGCTTGGTGCCGCGGCCGCGTCTCGCAACTGTGCGCGCAGAATGCTCTCTTGGTCAGACGCGACGCGCTCGTACGGCGGATACAGCGTCCCGTCGCAGCTAGTCGCGTAGTGAGGCCACGAAGTTCACCACCAGTTTGGAGGCGACTGGCCCGCAGGAACGCAGGCAGCGACGCCAGGAGCGCGACGCCGCACGCGCATGTCCTGACGTGTCTCCGCGCACTCCACGACCCCGCGTATCGGCAACGTCGTCCCAGAGGCGCACCGCGACCCTAGATGAACCTCTCAGATGCAGTTCACGACGCGACCAGCAGGTCCGCACCCCGCGCAGGCATCGCAGAGCACACCCCGCACCGGACGCTCCCGTCCTCGCCAATCGCACCACGTACCTCCCCGAACGTCACGCACCACCTCATGCCAACCCCCCATGCACTTCCAACCCTCCATTCTGGACGCAGGGAGCCGCAGGAGGTCGCGCTCGAGGACCTCTACCACGGCGGCGGCGGCCCGCTGGGCCACGTCGTCGCGCGGCTCCCGCCCCGCGACCGCGCCCGCCTCGCCGCCGCCTCGACGGCCCTGTTTGCGACGCTGCTGGCCTGCGTGCCGCGCGCCAAGTGGGCGTCCAACACGCCCGTCGGCCGCGACGTTCTCGCGCGCCTGCACCGCCGCGGCACCGAGAGCGCCGCGGAATCAGAGGGTCGGGAGTCTTCGAACGCCTATGTCGGGTGGACGGTTGCGGACGGGGCTTGCCGGGTGTTCTGCCGGCCGGGCGCGGACCCGGACGCGCCGGCGTCGATCGTGGGGATCGAGGTGCTTAAGGCGGAGCCGCCGCGGCCGATATCGGCGGAGATGACGGGCCTGCAGTTCGTCGACGTGTCGGTGAAGGATGCAACGTGGCTGGCGGACGACGACTGGCTGCCGGAGGGCGTGCGCGTGGGGATCACGCACCTCCGGGGCCGCGGCGGCCCGCTGCGGCGCGTGCCGGAGGGCCTCGCGAACCTCCAGGAGCTCCACCTCGGGCGCAGCGCGGACTTCTTCCAATTTGGAAATACGGATGACATGTCGTGTGTCCTGCCCGCGAGCTCGGCGGGGCGGCTGCGGACGCTCGTGATCGACCGGGCCGAGCTTGTGTGCGTGCCGGAGACCGCGCAGGCGCTCGAGAGCCTCGCTGCGTGCGGTTGCTCCGTCCTCGACGGCAACACCGCAACGCCCGGCCCCCAATCGGCGTTTCTGTCGGAGAGCCGCGCGCGGCGGCTGCGGAAGCTCGACCTGAGGATGAGCCCCGTGCGGCGCCTGCCCGCGGGCATGGAGAGCCTCGAGGAACTCCATCTCGTGCACTGCGAGCGCCTGGTTCAAGTCGGGTTCCTACCAGAGAGCTCTGCGAGGCGGCTGCGGACGCTGGACACGACGTTCTCGCCCGTCAAGGCGTTTCCGGAGAACATGGAGTGCCTCGAGTCGCTCGACGTGTCGTTCTGCCCGTGGCTGGACGTGGACGCGAGTCCGGGACGCCCGTGGCTGCCGGCGTCGTCGGCGCGACGGCTGCGGTCGCTGACCGCCGGAAAGTCGCGCCTGAACGCCGTGCCCGCGGGCGCCGTCGCGCTCGAGGAGCTCGTCCTGCCCGCCTGCCTGAACCTGCAGCCGGAGGCGTGGATAGACCCCGCCGTCGCCGCCAACCTGCGCGTGCTCGATCTGAGCGGCACCTCGCTCGCGCGGCTGCCGGAGAACATGACGCGGCTAGAGCGGCTCGACGTCTCGATGGCGCACACGCTCGACGGCGGCGGCGACGCGTGGCTGCCGGAAACGTCGCGCAAGACCGTTCGCGTGCTAAACGCGGAGCGGTCGTGCGTCGCGCGCGTGCCGGAGGGGATGGCGAGCCTGGAGGAGGTGAACCTGACGGGCTGCCAGATGCGCGCCGCGTGGATGCCGGAGTCCTCGGCGCGGCGGCTGCGCGTGCTGTCCGTTGCACACACAAACATCGAACGCGTCCCCAGCGCGCCGGAGACGATGCGGAACCTGACGGAGCTCAGCGTGCGGCGGTGCAGACGGCTGGCGACCGACTGGCTCCCTGCGGGCCTCGCGCAGCACGTCACCAAGCTCGACATCGGCCGCACCGACCTCAAACGCGTGCCCCCGGACATGACGAGTCTTCAGGAGCTGGACATCTCGTACAATACCAAGCTCGCGCGGGACGGATGGCTCCCGGAGAGCTCCGCGGGCCGCCTCCGGACGCTCGTCGCCAAGTGCAGTGCGTTGCGGCGCGTCCCCGACTGCATCCCGTCGGGGCTGGAGGAGCTGGTGGTGGCGCATTGTGAGGGCCTCGACGTGGACGCGTGGCTGCCGGAGCAAATCGCGGCGGGGCTGCGGAGGCTCGACGTCGCGGCCACGAAGCTCCGGAGACTCCCCCCGGGGATGTGTTGGCTCGAGGAGGTCGACGTGGGGGAGTGCCGGATGCTGGCGGACGACTGGGGGGAGGCGCTGCCGACGTGCGCGCGGAGGCTCCCGGACAAGACGTGGGAGGGGAAGGCGTTGATACCCAAACCATCGCTCGTTTGATCCCTACGTGGTGTCTGCTTTGCGTGGAACGGGCGTGACGGGGCGCGCGCACAGCGGCCGTGACCTCTGTCGCGTTGCGATTCGATGCCCGGGGCGGCGGGGCGAACGCGCGGGAGAATGCGCGACGTTGGCGTTGTGTGCGTGCTTTTACACCCTCCCCCTCCGCGCCAGTACACCTGCGGCTGCTACAGGTCGCCGTAGTCGAGCAGCTGCCGGTTGTTCTGCGGCTGGTCGTGGTCCACGTACTCCTTCGGCGCCACCGGCCCGCGCCCCGCGGCAACCGGGGAGGGACCGCCGCGCCCCCCGCGGCCGCCGCGCCCGCCCCTCGGCCCGCCCATCCCGACGGGGACCATCGCCATCGGCGGCATCATCGCCGGCACCATCATGCCGCCCGGCGGCATCATGCCTGCACAGCACATCCGAAACAATAACACACCCCACATTCATACCAGCACACTCCCCCTCACCACGCCCCACGGGGGGGCAGGCCAGACGCGGCCCCGTGCAGCCCTGCAGCGACGTACCTGGTGGGCCCATCATCGGCATCGGCATCGGGCCCATCGGCATGCCCGGGCCCATCATGGGGGGAGGGCCTCCGCGCCCACGCCCCGGGCCCGGCATGCCCCGTCCGCGGCCGCGCCCGCGGCCCGGACCCATCGCGCCCCTCCGCCGGTTCTCCGCCTCCGCCTCGCGCGCCCTCTGCGACAGAGACGCACGACACCAGCCGTCAGAAGCGCGTCGAGTCGTTGTGGCACCTCGCGCGGCTGCCGCGCCGCGCATCCTCGCAGCAGCGCGACAGAACACGCAGGGCCGATGTAAGAACGCCTCGGGCGGGACAGAAGAAAGAAAAGAGACGAAGAAATATTGATTATTGAATAAAGAGTGAACGTTCGCACCATGAAGTTCTGTCGGTAGAGCTCCTCCGCGGCCCGCTCCATCTCGACGTCGATGGCGTCCGCGTGCTTCTTCCGCAGGTGGTTCTCCACGAACTCCCGCCCCTTGAACTTCTTCACGCACCCCGGCGCCCGGCAGCACCACGCCTCCCCCTCTTGCGCCACATGCCGGCTCACCCACTCCGTCGCCCGCGCCTCCAGCTCGGCCGTCCGTGCCGCCTCCGCGAGCCCGTCCGGCGCCCGCGCGCGCCCGGCCCAGTACCCCGCGAGCCCGCGCAGGTGCGGGAGGCCCTGCGTCGCCGCGTGACCGGCGCCGTCGCTGGGCCGCTCGCACCGGAGCAGGCGCCTGCCGCGGCGCGCCTCGCCCGCCTCGCGCGGGGCGCCCTCGGTGACGTCCGTCGGCATGAGCTCCACGCCGCGGTAGTAGTCCACGCCGTGGACCTCCCACAGGTACGTCAGGACGAAGTCGAGCTGGCGTTCGCGGGACACCCCCCCCAAAACACCCCCGACGAGCTTCGGGACGGGCCGGCGGCGCGGCGGCGGGCGCGGGCGCGCGCGGCGGCCCTCGCCCTCGCCCTCCTTCGCCGCCTCCTTCCCCTCGGCCGCACTCTTGTCCTCCTTGACTCCCCCCCCTCCGCATCACCCCCCTCCCTCTTCTTCTCGCCGGCGCCCTCGCCCTCGTCCTCCGCGCCCGCCTCCTCCTCCTCCCCCTCCCCGCCCTCCTCCGCCTCCCCCTCGCCCTCCGCCGCCTTGCCCCCCGCCTCGGCGCCCTGCTCGCCGTCGTCGACGACCCCGTCCACCTCAATCGGGCTCGCCTCCACGCCCCGCTGCTTGTCGAGCGCCTGCGCGAGCTGCACGGCGACCGCGAGGTCGTCGTCGATGCGCGCCGGAAGCCACGCCGCGGGCGGAGCCGCCTCCGCCGCGTCGTCTCCGTGTTCGCTGTCCTTCGCATCGCGTGTCGACTGCCGGGCGCCGGCCTGGCCGAACTCGTCGCGTCGCGGGTCCATCGGCTTCCCCGGCTCCGTGTCGGCGAGGAAGAGCCGCGCGGCCTGCGGGGAGCGCGCGCGGTGCGGCGCGTGAGCGGCGGAGGTGGAGGGGAGGCGGGGAGCAGTGGTGTGGTGCGCGGGGGCTTGCCTGCTGGCACGCGCCGTCCCGCTCGCGCATGGTCTTCTGGACGACGTGGGGGTGGAAGCGGGCCTTGAGTTCCGGCTCGTGCTTGCGGATCTCGAACTCGGCGCGCTGCTCCGACGCCCAGAAGTTGGCGAGGTACCTCCGGTACATGTCCTCGGCGTCCTTGGGCGTGACCTCGCCCGGCTGGTCCAGGAGGAACTCCTTGAAGCTCCGCGGGCCGCGCGGGCCGTCGTGTCTGCGGGCACGCGCCGGCGTCGCGGGGTGGTGAGGCAAGAGGTGCACGCCGGGCCTGTGGGGGCGCCCGGACGGCGCGCGAGAGGCGGTGCGTGGCGGGGGGCAGTCAGCGCGAGAGCATGCGCGACGGGCGCACCTCGGTGACCGGCTGCGCGACCGACGCCGCCTCATGGGCGGGCCGTCTGGCGGGCCGTAACCATACGGTGGCCGGCGCCGCCCGTCATCCGCGAAACGCGGGTGGTCGCGGTCGTACCTGCGTAGAGAAACACGGGAACTACGCGGTGGGGCCGCATAGCGACGAGTTCGGACACCAGGCTGCTCTGGGCGCGCAGTCTAGGAGTGTGCGACGCTGCACAACACGCATAGTTGCGCACCCTCGCGGCGGTCCGTCGAATCTCCGGTAGCCGCCCCGGCCCATGGGCGGCCCCCCGCGCGGCGGCGACCGCGAATCCGCCCTTCTGCGCGGGGGCGAGTAGGAGGGCGACCGCCGGTAGGGCGGGGTGGCCCTGCGTCGCCCTCCGCGATCGAAATCGCGATCCATGCCTACGTGGGGCGCAGCGGCCGCGGCAACCTTGAGCGATGTCAAGGTCTGCCGCGCGGGGCCGTCGGGGCGCGGCATTGTCGCCGCGGGGGCCCGGGTCTGCCATGGAGCGCTTGACGTGCGGGCGTCCCGCCTGCGCGCTGCGGGCGTCTCGCGGGCCCGCCGACGCGCGGAATCGCTAGTTCTGGCAACCAGGAAAGATGCAGTCGCTGAGGTGCCCCGCTACTCCCGCTGTGCGGCCCGTGTGCCAGCGGCCTGCTGCCCGGGTGCGTCCCGACCCGTCGCGCGGCGCCCTCCGCCGCTGCAACTCCCGCCCCGGCCGCGCGTGTATCGCCGCTCGACGCGCCCCGGCGGCCCGCGGAACCCCGCGGGCGTCGTCGCCCGCGGGAGATGGCTCGCTCGGCAACGCTGCTCGGCCGCCGTGGCGCGCGGGGGGGGCCGCCCGCGGCCGCGACCTCCCCGCCGCCGTTCGCAAACGCGACTCGGCGCCGCGCCGCATCGTCGACGGCGCGCATCCCTCCCCGCGCCTCCCCCCCGTGCTTGCCTCTCTTGCATCATCACCCCTGCGCCGCTGCCGCGCTCCGTCCCCGCAGAAGGCCGCCGTGTGCATGGCCAAGCCGGACATCCACCCGGAGTTCTACGAGGAGGCCAAGGTGCGCCGCAGCCCCACCACGCGGCCCGACGCAGCCCTCGCACCCAGCCGCGCATCATCCACTGCCCCTCTCAGCGGCCCCGTCGCCCGCCTCGAGCCCCTGCGCCCCCCTGCGCAACCTCGATGCTCTATAGACACACAGAGCTCGCCTGCGGGCGCAAAACGGGCAGAGTTGGTGGGTCTGACTGGCCACGCGACGCGACGGTGCCAGCGCCCACAAGCGCCACGCAGCCCACCCTCTCCCCCGCGACCGGCCCATCGATCGATGCGCGCGCTCCGCACTGCTCCCCCCGGCACGTACGCGCCAGCCGCGGGCACAGGCCACCGGCGGGCCGGCGACGCGCCTCCGCCGGTGCCTCATGGCCCGCCCCGCAGCGCTAGGCTGCCCGTCCCGCAACCAGACCCGACGCAGCACCTCTTCCGCCCCCCCGCTGGTTCTTACACAGCTCTGCCGGGCGACACGTCGTCACTTCGCCCTGTGTGGCGCGCTGACCGCCCCGTCGCGTGGGCCAACCTGCCTGGGGTGTGGTGCCGCGCGCAGGTGTTCTGCAACGGCGAGGAGGTCATGTCGCTGGGCGGCACGAAGCCCGAGTACGTGGTGGACCTGTGGTCGGGCAACCACCCGTTCTTCCAGGGCGCGACGAACACGGTGGTGGTGGACGAGGGCCGCGTGAACCGCTTCAACCGCCGGTTCGCGGGCCTGGACTCGCTCGGCAAGGTCGAGACCGCGTCGGGCATGAAGAAGGGCAAGAAGGAGTAGGCGCGGACGTGCCGCGCAATGTGACGAACGAAACCTATCGAGGGGACATCGCACGCGCGTCGTGTCGCGTGTGCATGGTCGGGCGTGGCGGGACGAGACATGGGGCGGCTGCGGGTGCGGCGGGTGCTGCTTTGGCTGCGCAGCGGCGTCGTCCGCAGCGCGGGTGTGCCAGGTATGGCTCGCGAGGGGGGTGTTTGTGTTTTGTGGGGTGGGGCGGCGCTGGTGGGTCGGTGGGCGACGCCGGCGCCGCCCGGGGCGCGGCAGTGTGTTGCCGCGGCGGCGGGCCACCGTGGGCGCGATGGCGGGCGGGGGGGGGGCTGTGGAAACACCTCCCAACACGAAAGGGGGGGCGTCGCTCACACACTGACGTGCGGGGGGTGCTGCTCCCGTGGTAGAACGGCCTACGACTGGCGCCGCCGTCGACCGCCCGGCTCATTCGAGCCACATACTGTCCTCGTCGCGCACACAACACTTCGCCGCGCGCGAGGGCGCACCACCATACTGAACTCCATGAAAGCACCAGCCGTACAGCAACGCAGCTCCGGTGAAACTGCGGAGACGCGATGGGCGGCGACGACATAGATGCTATCCTCGCGCGCATGCGCGGAGGCGACGGCGCAGGTCCGTCGGGCGCGACGGGAGCGGCCGGGGACGTTGGACGGCGGGCCGCGACCGCGCGGGCGCCCGTGGAGCTCCACGCGTGGCTGCGCGAGGCCGACGACTGCGCGGGCATCTGGGACCCGTCCGTGGCGTGGTCCCCGAAGCGGCTCCTGCGCCTCAGCAAGTGGTCCCGGGGCAGCGGAGGCGCCGGGAGAGCAAGCGCACTGGACGTCAGCCCTGCGGTCGAGGTGGCGCGGAAACGGGCCATGTCCACGCTGCTGGACAGGTTCGAGAAGGCACGCGCACACACGACTCATATTTCTTCGAGTGTCTCTGAGAATATGTTTGCAGCACTGCTCATGTCTTCGCTGACCTCGGACATCGTGTGTCTGGCCGTGCAGCGGTGCGCGGGGACGCTCGGGACGCTCTGGCCGACGCACTTCGAGTCCTGGGTCTTCTCGCGCCTCTCCGCCGCCGCGTCAGGGCCCGACTCGGACCCTGTCATACCGGGAGACCCCTCCACAAACCGCGCCGACCGCGACCTGACGTCACTGCTCGTCGACGCCGGGACCTCGGAGGACGACGCGAAACAGGTGCTGCCCGCGCCACGGACGCCGCCGTCGACCTCCGGGCCCGAGGCGCCACATGGAAACCTGCGCGAATCTCGGATTGAGGAATCATGGTTGGTGTTCGGCCGTTGCAGATATGCTCCGAGCTCGGGAAGGCCGCGACGAAGCAAGCGCGGCTCGTGCGCGCCGTCCCCGCCGCCGTCGCGCAGCGCGTCCGCGTCGCGGACTTCCAGGAGGGCGGCAGCGGCCCCCGCAAGGCCCTGTCGCTGTCGGGCGTCACCCTGCACGTCAACGCGCCCCACTACCGCAAGCTCTGGTTCTTCTGGTGCCGCGCGGCGTGCGAGGACGGCGCCGCGTGGGCCCCCGGGGCGACGCCGCTGCCCGAGGGCCCCGGCCCCGAGGGAGATATGAGCGAAAAGTTCCACCGAGACCTGTTTTGCCTTCTGGCGCGGTACAATGCGCTGCAGGGCGGGAGCCAGTCCGGCGGGGGGTTCCAGGCCGCGCTGCACGAGGAGGCGTTCGACGTGCTGCGCCGCGACCTCGGCTGCCGCATGGAGTGCTTCGCGTCGCCACTCAACGCTCGGTGCGTACATGAACACATTGGTCTCCTCCTGTGTACTCTCCGTGCCGCGCCTGTGTGGCGTGCTGACGCGCGGTGCAGCAGCGCGTGATATATGGGGTTCCTCGTCTGGCGCGGAACGCGTCCGCCCGGGTGCGCTGACGGTGCGCGCAGGTACTCGAGGTTCTGCAGTGCGTTCCCAGACACGGATTCTCGATTCGGTTCGCTCGGTTCGTTCTTCGACTTCCGCCCGGACCGCGGGACGTTCGAGGCGAACCCGCCCTTCGAGGACAGCGTCATCGCGCGCGCCGCGGCCCACATCGACGCCCTGCTGTCAGCCACATCACGCCCCCTCCTCTTCGTCGTCACCATCCCCAGGTGGCCCGCACGCCCCGGATGGAAGGCCGTGCGCGCCAGCAAGTTCGTCCTGAGGCACGACGTGCTCCCTGCGCGCGCGCACGGGTACACAGAGGGCGCGCAGTGGGCGCGCTCGTCGCGGTGGCGCGTCGCCACCTTTGACACGTCGATCTTCTATGTGGGGAACGCTGCGGCGGGGAGGGAGCACGGGCGGGTGCTGGCGGGCGCGGCACTGCGGGAGCGGCTCGAGGCGGCGTGCGCGAGCAAGCACGCGCGGGCGTGGGGCGGGGCGGGCAAGCGGCGGCGCGAGGGGGAGTGTGCGGGGGGGGGTCCTGGGGAGAAGGCTGCGAAGAAGCGGTGACGGCGTGGCGGTGCGGGCGGTGCGTGGTGTGCGCGGCGCGGACGCGCCCGGGGTGCTTGGCGGCGTGTAACGTCAGGGGGGCGTGCCGACTTGAGTCAAGGGCTGCTCGGCCCCGGGACGATGGCGACGGCGGCGTGTGCGCGGGCCGCAGTCGCCGCGTGACGCCAGGACGTCTCTCGGCCGCGGAGTCGCCGGGCTCGTGCGCGTCCTCATATCTTCCCGCCTGCGCTGCCACCCGCAGTGCACAGCCCTCCCAGCTGGCGGCACTCGCGGGCCGTTCCGGCGCCTTGAGCCGCGGTCGGCAGCGAAGCGGAGCGCCATGCAGGCCAGCTGTCCGTTCGCGGCCGGCCGAGCGACCGCGGCGCTGCGACGAGACCCGCTCCAGTGCGCAAGCAGGCCCGCACGCCCCGCGCTGGCGCCGCTGCGGCTCGCGCGGGGGCCGCGGCACCCGCAGCGGCATCACATCGATCGGTGCGACCGGCGGCTCGGGCCGGCGGGGGCTGGGCAGGACGGCGGCGGGAAGGGGAAGCCGGACACTAGACAACAGAAGGATGAGATCACCGGGATAGCGTTCGACGCGCCGATACCGGGGCGCATTGTGGACGGGCCGATGCAGGAGGGTCCGGACGAGGTCGAGGTGCTCGTGCTGTGGCTGCGGCGCGTGCCGTGGAAGCGGCTGCTGACGTGGGTCTTCGTGGTTTGTGCAGCGCTACAGGTGAGCGCGGCGCGCGCGTCCGGGGCGCGCGTGGCCGGCCGGGCGAACGGGCGCGATCGCATGCTCGGTGCGGTGGCATGCCGCACACGCACGAAGGAACGGCGCCTGGCGCGGCCTGGCGCGGCCGCGCGCCGCTGTCTGTTGCTCGCGCGACCGTGCCGTCCCGTGCAGCGGCTCGGCGCTTGATGGGCGCGGCAGACCCGCACACCGCTCCTTGTACCACGCGTCTATCCACGCGTGGCCGCGCAACGGCTTGCGACGCGCCCGGCTTCCCCGCGGGACGAGTTCCTTTCAGACCCTGTGTTCCAAATCGCCCGCCCGCGCCGTCGAACCCCGCACGGGCCCCACCAGCCGCGCCGCCGGCTGTACCCTCCACGCAGCGTCCGCCAGTGGCACCTTTGACTCCTTGTCCCCCCGACACCCTGCGTGTGGTGTCTCTTTGACCACCGCAAACCCCACAGCCCGCGGCGCCCGCGCTGCCTGCGGGGCGCGGAGCGACAGCCGCGCGCACGACGCAGCAACCACTGCCCGTGCCCGTGCGAGCCCGTTCGCGCCCCGCGAGCGCCCCCGCTCCGCGCGGCACGGCACAGGCTCTCTCGAGCAGGTCGCTCATGGCGCCCCGCCCCCGCTCCGCCTGCGCAGTTCAAGGACTTCTTCGGGATCGCGATGGGGACGTTCGTGATCGGGTTCATCGGGCAGACGCTCGTGTCCTGGACGCAGAAGCGCCTCGTGCCGCCCACGTTGCGGCACGTCTTCACGCGGCACGCGCTCGTGGCGTGCTACTTCCTGGCCATCTTCGGCGCGCTCGCGGCGTTCGGCCTCGTGACCATCCCGAACATCGTGAGCGAGGGCACCGACTTCGTCGCGCGCCTCCAGTCGGACAACATCTGGACCGTCATCCTTGAAAAGATGCGCGCAGGTCAGACCCATATACATAAATCAATTGATCGCGTGATCGAGTACACGGCCGCGCAATGCCTCGACGGCAGCATGCGCCGCGGTGTTCTGGCGCGCGCTGCGTCGAGACCACCCGCGGTGCGCGTGGAGTGCCCTGTTGCAGGCCTGGGGGACGGCATCATGGACAAAGTGGAGTCGTTCATCCTCATGGCGACGTCCGACGACCTCACGCACCTCCCGGACAGCGTCAAGGCCATCCTCGAGGGCGGCATGTCGCCCGAACGCTCAACCCTCGTCTCCTCGGTACGCAGCCCGCCCGCCCTCGCTCGCGCCGTGCGCGGCGCTCCCGGCCTCCGACGCCGCGAACCAGCCGCCGCGCGCCCGTCCCCGGCCCGCAGGCCCTCCAGTCGCTCGTGCGCGACTACACCGAGGCCGCGGTCGCGATCACGTCGTCGCTGCTGGCGGCCACCACCAAGATCGCGGCGCAGGTCGTCATCTCGCTGATCCTGTCCTTCATCGTCCTCTGGGACCTCCCGAACATCCGCGAAGGCATCCAGTCCCTCGAGAACTCCCGCCTCAAACAGGTCCGCGCCGCGCCGCCCCGCGCCGCGCCCCTGCACCAACGCACGCCCCGCGTGACGCCCGCGCCGCCGCGCCGCCCGCAGGTGTACAACGAGCTCGCGCCGCCGCTGATGCTCTTCGGGCAGCTGTTCGGCAAGGCCCTCCAGGCGCAGGCCCGCATCGCGCTCGCCAACACCCTCCTCACCGGCCTCGGGATGTGGATCCTGCAAATCCCCGGCGTGGGCCTCCTCTCGATGATCGTCTTCATCTGCGGCTTCATCCCCATCGCGGGCGTCTTCCTCTCCACCGCGCCGATCGGGTTCGTCGCGCTCACCGAGTACGGCTTCATCAAACTGACGCTCACCATCATGATGATCGTGGGCGTGCACTTCATGGAGGCCTACGTCCTCAACCCCGCGATCTACTCCGCGCACCTCCAGCTCCACCCGCTCCTCGTCCTCAGCGTCCTCGTCATCGCGGAGCACTCCCTCGGCTTCTGGGGACTCCTGCTCGCCGTGCCCATGACCGTCTTCGCCCTCGACTACTGGTGCGGCCCCGGCCCCGTGCACCGTGTTCGCAGCGCCGTGTGTGGCGTCTGAATGAGCGCGGAGGTGCCGGACTGGGCGGCGTGCTCACGCGCTGTGCCGTTTGTTTTCTGTCCGCGCAGCATTCGGTATCCGGACCTGCGCGTGACAGAGATAGCAGCGCGCGAGCTGAGCAACGTGGAGCGCGGGAACGAGGAGAACCTCGAACCGCACCCTATTTTGCCATGACACGACCGCGACGCAGCGCGATGCCATGACAGCGACGCGCGTGCGTTGGGCGGAACCCCCCGCCACAGATACACTACACTGTGAGGCGGGCCGCGCGGGCAGGGCGGGGCCACGTCGCCCGAGCGCCGCGACAGCCGCGCGGACAGCACGAGCAGTGACACACATGAGCGCACTGTGCGGACCCCGCATGGGGCGACGGGAAGGGCGTGGCGCCAGATATCGCTCGGCCCGCAGCTGTGGCAGCAGGCTTCCTCTGCAGCACCGTGTCTGTTGATGTGCGCCCCGCGGGGCGATGTCTTGTTTTGCCCTGAGCTGGCACCGACACCTTGGCCTCCATCCTGACCGCGGTGCACGGGGTCAAGTTCGCGCTATCTGTGCTGCACGCAACCGGTTCGGCGTCAAGACGCGCGTGCGCCGTCCAGGGCGCCAGAAACTCGACCGTGCCGGTCGTGCTGCCAGCCTGCGTGGGCCCAGAGGCCATCGCTCTACGGGCGCCGTGCAGGCCGCGCTTCACCGGCGTCGCATCCAGACGTGGTCGCACCGCACCGGTGTGTGATTCTAGGCCGACTCTGGCGGGGAACGCGGCGCCAGGGGAGCGATCGGGCGAGATGAGCGGCGCCGCAGACGCCCAGACGCTGCGCGGGCTCATCGCGAAGCTCCTTCCGGCGTGCGAGAAGGCCGCGAAGGGGGACGCTGCGGAGAAGCAGCGCGCGGAGGGCCTGCTCGATGAAATAGGCAACCTCAAAGTCACAACGAAGGTGCGTTCGCAGCGGACGCTGCGCATGTGCTTTGGCGGGCGCGCCCGTGCCCGGCGAGCCGCGCGGGCCGGCAGCCGCGCAGCGAGCCATCTTCTCATGTCTGTGACATGCTCTCCAGCACGCTGCGCGGAGCCGTGCTGGCCGCGTCTTGACGCGCGACCGAAGCAGTGGCTCTCTGTGTCCTGCTCGTCGCTGACCCCTGCTCGCCGCCCCGCGCGACCCGCCGCAGCTGCTCATCGACACCCAGGCGGGCAAGCATCTGAAGAAGCTCAGCAAGTCGGAATGCGCCGAGGTCGCGACGGCAGCGAAGAAGGTACCCACAACCGCGCTGGTCGCACCGCTCGCGCACCGCGAGGTCGAGTGCGGCGCGAAACCGGCCCTCCCGCGCTCCGCCTGGCCGTGCTTCGCAGATCGTCGCGAGCTGGAAGGACGTGGTCAAGGCCGGCAACGCAACCGCGAGCCAAGGCACGCGGAGCGACAGCGACATGCCGAGCGTCAAGAAGGCCACGTCGAGCGGCGCGCCGGCGTCGCAGCCGTCGCAGCCGAGTACGCGCCCCTCTGTGCGCGCCCGCCGGCCCCGCAGCGCGCGGCCTGACGGCGACCTTCGTCATGACGCAGCCATGCACCGCCACGTGCGCGCAGGCCCGCAGCCGGTGTCGCAGAAGTCGGCCGGCAGCGCGCCGGTGGAGATCGAGGTCACGGGCGACAAGATCCGCGACGCGGTGCGGCGCAACATGGCCAAGGTCTTCGTCGCCGACGACGACGTCGACGCGGCGCAGGCCGCCCGCGCGGCGACGGGCGTGGAGAACGCGATGCAGGAGCGCTTCGGCGACGCGCAGTCGGAGTACCAGGGCAAGTACCGCTCGCTCCTCCAGGCCTTCAAGGGCAACGCGGCGCTGCGCGCCAAGGTGGTGTCAGGGGAGCTGTCAGGGGAGGCGTTGATGGGGATGTCCGGCGCGGACCTGGTGCCGGAAGAGGTGCGCGCGGCGCAGGAGGCGCTGCGGAAGGAGCGCCTGAACGCGGACATCCAGGTGGAGCCGGAGAGCGCGACGACGGACATGTTTCAGTGCGGGCGGTGCAAACAGCGGAAGTGCACCTTCTACGAGAAGCAGACGCGGTCCGCGGACGAACCGACGACCAAGTTCATCACGTGCAAGGTCTGCGGGCTCAAGTGGCGCGAGTGCTGACGGCGCGGCGTGTGATTCGTACCACTGGGAGGGGTCAGGAGGGGTGTCCGACAGTGTCGGAGTCCGGCGGGCCAGGCTGATGGCGTTCCGCGCGGGGCGGCCGCGTGAAGAGTCCCTTCCGTGCGTGGGTTCCTCCGCGTCACTGTTGTTGCTCATCGCCTGCGAGTGAGCAAGCAGGGGAGTGGCCTAGTTCCCGCGCCGGCTGGAATACGCGCGACTGGACGGGTATCCGGCGCTCGTCCCGCGCGCCAGAAGGACGTATCTAGGCGGAGAAGCGCGCAGGGGTGCCGGTGGGCGCGGCGTCTGACGCTACAGGGCGTGCGGTCTGGGGGTACGGGACAATGGGGCGGCCCACGGCGCCGCCGCCGTCGCTCAAGCCCGAAGAGTGGCGGCTCTTGGCATGCACGCTGCCGGATGGATACGACGAAGCCGCTCCTTCAGGTACGGAGCCTGGAGTGACTCCCAGCCCGGAGTGACCGGCAACGCTGCCATGCTTGCCCTACTCCGGCTCTCCCTCGCACCGGCCGGGCCGCATTCCAGATGAGCAATGGCCCGAGGTCACACGAAGTACTGCGCATTCGGTTTCGCTGCCTGGGCGCGCGGGTCGTCCCAGCACAGCGCCGCGACGCAACAGGGGAGGTCTGCCGCCGGCGTAACCGCGTCGCCGCCGGTGCCGCCTCGCAGGGGACGACCTGGTCGAGCTCGTGGTCGAGGGGCGGTACGCCGCGGCCCTCACGCAGGCCGTCTCTCTCGGCGTCCTCCCTCCAGCGGAGGGCTGCGCCTCCCTGCGCGAATGGTCCACAGCAGCGCGCAGCCACATCAAGCAGCTGTACGGGTGAGCTTCACGACGTGCACACCGCGCACGGCCCGTCCGCGCGGCAGCTCCTCCCAGCGAGGCTTGCACGGATGCCAGCCAAGGCGACGCGCGGCGCACCGTCACTTGTCCCTCCTCTTTGTGTTGTCGATCGTTGCCTGCAGGGACATGAGCAAGAACGGCCTGCTGCTGCTCACATCCGGCGTCGCGGCGCTCATGTCCTTCTGCCAGGCCAGCCTCACCGGCCCGGCGAGCAGCGAGTCCCCCGCGCTCACCGCAACACTCCCCTCCCTCGTCGACTGGGACCCCCCCGCGAACAACGAGGAGCCCTGGAGCGGCGACCGCGACCCCTGGGTCCTCCGCGAGGCCCAGGTCGACGGCGAGGACCTCGTCTGCGGCCGCATCGACGCGCTCGACATGCTGGTGCTCGCCAGCATGCTCCTCTGGGAGCCGCTCGCCGACGCGGAGCCGCCCGCGGCGCTGCCGAGCTGGGCCTGGTGGGCCGCGCGCGTCCTCGGCGTGCACCAGCGCGCGCTCGGCGCGCGCTCGATGACGCTCCGCGGGGGCCTCGTTCGCCTGACTGACGCGGTGCTGACTCAGTTCCACCCGGACGCGGACGCCGCGCCCGACACGCGGCTCGCGGCCGTGGCCGCGAGCTCCGCGAGGCTCGAGGCCGCGCTGTGCGACTTTGCGTACGGCCGCGACGAGACCGCGCGCGCGCACCTCGATGCCGCCGGCGCCGCCCTCGGGTTCAAGTTCCGTCTCACCGGGCGCCTCGCGAAGAAGACGATGTACCAGCAGGACGCCGCGACCGTCCTCGTGGTCGAGACCGAGGCCGTCGACGCGTCCGCGGCGGGCCGGGGCCGCACGATCGCGGACCTGGGCGCCGGCGAGGGCGTGGCGGCGGCGGCGGCCGCGGCCGACCTGACGCGGGCGACGCACGGGCTCACGGGCGAGACCGAGGTGTTCCAGCTGCCGCACCTGCTCAGCACGGCGGGCGCCGTGCTCGGCAACGCCGGCCTGGGCGCTGCGGAGCAGGCTGTGCTGTTGGGGTGGTCGGTGAACGTCAAGCTGGGCCAGGCGGAGGAGGACATGAATTTGGCGCAGATGGGGGCGTTCGTGGAGGCGGTGATGGCGCAGCCGCGGTCGGAGTTCATGGTCCGCGCGATGGCCGAGCTGCAGATGTGCCGCAAGGAGGCCGCGCGCAGCAGAACCATGGAACGGTGAGTGCCTGCGCAACCTTACCGGCCCGACTGTGCGGATCTGCGCCGGGCGGACGCTCCCGGGTTCTGGCTGCGGCTGAGCAAGTCGGGGCTTGGCTTGCTTGCTGGATCTGGCCCGCGCGCACCTCACAATCAAACCGCGCACAAATATGCACCCTTGTTTATATTTATATATTTATATATGTTTATAATGTCCCTTCTGGTTGCGCGCCGCAGGGGCCTGCTGGAGATGGAGGCGCTCGTGATGCGCGTGCGGCAGTCGAGCGGCGTGTCCCCGCGCGTGCGCGCCCTCGGCGCGCTCTCCGCGTCCGCGCCGCTCCTCCCAATGCTGATGAAAGAATGGGCTCTGGTGCAGATGCGGTTCGGCATGGTCGGGCAGGCCATGGAGGTGTTCGAGCGGCAGGAGATGTGGGAGCAGCTGTGCGCGTGCTACGTGATGCTCGAGAAGAAGCACGCCGCGGAGGCCATCGTCCGGAAACGGTTGGAGACTGCCCCAGAGGACCCGCGCATGCTGACTGTGCTGGGCGACCTGACGCAGGACCCGGCGTGCTGGGAGAAGGCGTGGGAGGCGAGCGGGGGGCGGTACGTGCGCGCGCAGAGGCGGCTCGCGGAGCGCGCGCACCGCCTGGGCGACTGGGAGGCGTCGGCGGCGCACTGGGAGCTGGCGCTGAAGACCAACGCGCTGCACCCGGAGGGGTGGTTCTCCCTCGGACACTGCCACATCAAGCTCAAGTCGTACGACCGGGCGATCGAGGTGCGCGCGGCCGGCGGTCGCTGTTTGCGCAAATGCGCCACAAGGCGTTTGTGGCGCTTGTCTCATCGCGAACGCGCCTCTCGCCCTGGTACATGCGGCGCAGGCGTTCACGCGCTGCGGTCAGCTCGCCCCCGAGCACGGCGAGGCGTTCAACAACCTCGCAGCGCTATTGTTGGAACGCAACAGACCAAAGGAGGCCTACACCGCGCTGAGCGAGGCCGGCCGCCTCCTCGAGCGCAACTGGCAGGTCCAGGAGAATCTCGCGCGCGCCGCGATCCGGTCGGAGCACTGGCTCCCCGCCGCGAACGCCCTCTGCAAGGTCACCGCGCTGACGCACGGCGAGCGCTGCGAGGTCGAGCTGCTCTCGTCGCTCGTGCGGCACCTCCGCGACCTCAACCACCAGATCGCCGCCGACGCCGCCGCGGGCGACACCTCCCCGGACGCCGTGGGGCGCGCCAGGCTCAAGACGCACCTCGCCGCCGCCGTGGGGACCGTCGTGCGCGCGGTCGTCCAGAGCTCCGCGGCGTCGCCGGACGTCTGGGCGTGCGCGGCGGTGTACTGGGAGGCCGTCGGGGAGCTCAAGTCGGCCAAGGAGTGCCATTTGAAGCGCGTGCGCGGCCTGCAGGGCAGGGCGTGGAAAAAGGAGACGGGCGCGTTCGAGGCGTTCGCGGAGGCGTCGATCGCGATGTGCGAGGGGCAGCTCGCGGCGGCGGCCGCGGACCGGGCCGTGGCGAAGCGGGAGCTGAGTGCGGCGCGGATGCACCTGCAGTCGGTCCTGAAGCAGGCGGAGGGGGTGTTCGGGGAGCACGCGATGTTCGGGGAGATGCAGGCGGTGCTGGAGAGGGTGCTGGCCGCGGAGGAGGAGCTGCAGACGGCGTGAGGGTCAGTGCCGGTTGGCGCAGGCGCTGCTGGGAACGGCGTTGTGCGCGCGGTGGCGGCTCGGGTCCGTGCTGCGTGGATGTGAGCGCGGTCGAGCTGCGTCCGCGGAACGGTGGAGTCGTCGCCGGGCCGCGCTCGAGATGGTCGATCGCGGCGGTCTGGAGCGTAGGGCGGCCGGGGTGTGTGGGCCGGGTCAGACTGGCGATCGAAAGGCCACCCTGCGCGGGGCGACACATATCCGTGGCTCTTCAGGCGGCGGTCTTCGTTGTAGGAACGAGTCGTTGACGGCGGAACACTCACAGGCGCCGCAGTGCCCAGATACGGCCTGAACGAAGAAGGCTAGTGGAGTGCCGTGGCTGCTGCAGCCATCGGCTTGCCGCTACGGCAGTGGACTGACTCCTGCAAAGTTCAGGGACACTCGGCTGTACAGGTGCCCGCGGACGCTTCCGTCGTGAAACAAGGACAGCGTCGCGGCGCACATGGTTTTCACTCAAAAGAAGAAGCTACATACTTCCCGTGCGCAGTATTCGGGCCCGAGCCACGTCGTGCAGCAGTCCTTGATTCGACAGGAGTAGTGGAAAAGCTGGCCACCACTCGCGCTGCGTGAGGCGCTCCAGAAGGATCGATGCAATAACGAGGACCGCCCAGCACGATGGTGCGCACCCTCGAGCTCGTTGCGATGAAGTGCGTGCACATAGCTCAGCTAGGAAATCATGGGTGCCGAGCATGAAGGCCGTGCTCCGTGACGGGCATCGATCGTGCCGTCTTTCGCATCGCAGGCGACAGTCGGGGCAAAGGTCGGGCTCGAGCACGTTCTCGTGCAAGTCCCGCATCTCCTGGATTTCATATCCGCGGAGCACAAGGCCGCTCTGGTCGCGACCTCTTGGGACGCCCTCGTCACGGTCGTGCGGTTCACAGACCTCGTCATTCAAGACGGTCCCCACAGCGCAGCCCTCTTGCGCGGCCTCGCATTGCGGCTCGGCGAATGTTCGCACTGCAGTGGATCGATCGACTACGGGGGCCTCGTGGTGCCTGCGGAGGACGCAGCAGCGCTCCTGTCGGCATTCGGCAGCTGCTCCAGGCTGCCGTTCGGATCCGGACCACACGGCCGACCGCCCAACTGCCATCGCGAAGAATGGATTTCGGTGATGCACGACGCTCTGACGGCAGCGAAGCGTGCGGGCAGGCCGTTGCGCGTGACGCGTCTGGCCTGGAGCGGCGCCGTTGAAAAAGCGGACGACGCTCCGCCAGGCGAGCGCAGGCGCGAGGTCGAGTGGCCGCGACGGGAGCGCCAAGAGAACGCCGATCCCGCCGCGACGCGCCGAGCGGTTCCTTCGATCGCGGATGTCCTCAAACTAGCCTGCGAGAGTGGCCGCTTGCAGCGCGTGCGGCTCGAGAGGCTCCTGCCGGGGCGGACCGGGGATGATGACAGCTGGATGTTCCTGAGAGCGATCCGGATTGTACAGGCTCTCAAAGCGCTATCGGAGGCGACCACCCTGACGCACCTGGACGTCCCAGATGTCTCTGAGGGCGTCATCACTCTCGCCGCTCTGGACGCCCCGTCACGGAGTACATCCCTGCCGCCTCTTCTGCGAGCGCTACCGGGACTGAAGCACCTGCGTGTGGCCCAGACTCTGTCCTGGAGTGACGTCGAAGCCACGGGGAGTGGGAACGGCATTTGGGATTTTCTGAAGCACGCCACCGCGCTGGAAGAGCTTGATGTCGGCAGCAGCTTCTGCAAGACTGAGGCGGCTGCCATCTCTACCTGCGGCGCCCTCAGCAGCTTGAAGCGGCTGAAAAGTCTAACAGCGGGGTGCATACACATGCGTGGCGATGTCGTTCTCGGCGACGACACCCTGCCGAAACAGGTCGGTGCGGCGATCGGCGGCATGCAGTTCTTGCAACACGTCTCATTAGGTGGGCACTGCTTCATGCAAAACTACGGCGAGGGCGAGGAGCGACGCAGTCTTATCTGCTTCGCAGCACTGTTCCAGGCGATTGCCAACACGAACAAGCTGAGGTCCATCACCGTGGACGGCGTCAGCTTCGACGATGACATCACGTCTGCGTTCGTTTCCTTGCTCAAGGCCTCGGCGGTGGAGGAGCTTGCGCTGGGCAGCGGGACGTGGGCGCCACACAAGCTGACGGACGACGTCACCGCAGCGCTGGCCGCGAACGACTCGCTCCGCGAGATGAGTCTGTGGTGGTCAGCGTGCAACGGAAACGTGTTTCGCGCGCTCATCGACGCCCTGCACGGCAATCGCGGCCTCGTCAAATTCAAACTTGCTCAGAGACCATCCCTCTACAAGCCTGCGACAGGTGACGATGAGGACGACACGGCATCGGACGACGACGAGGATGTCGACCCCGGCTGTACAATCGGCGACATCTGCGTTGCGGTGCCGAGAGAGCTGCGATCGAACACCCACCTGCTGGAGTTGCATCTCACGTGGGAGGGACAGTTCTCCGAGGTGGACGAGGCCCTCGGAGCCATGCTGCGCGACAACCGCACTCTCACGACTCTCCGTCTGCACGCGACGCGCTGTCGTGCGCGCTACGAGCGCCTGGCGGACGCGCTCGCTGTCAACGACACGCTGCGGGACCTGTTCCTGCTGGGTCGCGTCATACCGACGCAGTTGGGCGCGGTCGCGGACGGCGTCCGCGTCAACAGGGGGCTCGAGAAGCTTCACGTGGAACGTGATGCCCAGTTCCAGCTCGCGGAGGATGAAGATGCATATTATGCACGGTGCGACGATGCGTGCACGCGCATGGGGCGTGCTCTGGAGGAGAACAGCACCTTGCGCGAGCTCTGCGTCGGAGGAGCTTACACCGATAATTACGGTGCGGAGCGCATCGCGCCTGGACTCCTTTGCAACACTTCTCTGGAGGTGCTCGAGCTGCGCTCATTCTACGATCCCCAAGCCCAATCACGCGACCTTCAGACCATCGCCAACGCTCTGCGGGCCAACACGACGTTGAAGACCTTCGTCTTGACGACCATGGACAGCATCCTGGTCGCCGGGGCAGCGGCGCTTGCAAGCGCCATTCAAACAAACCGCACGCTTCGAAAGATCGCGAATCAGACAGGCAGCATGTCGGACGCAGGAGCTGCGCTCATCGCGAGAGCGGTCAAGAGCAACGACGTGCTCGAAGAGCTGGACCTGTCGCCATGGCCAGAGCGCGACACTGTCTTCCAGGATAACACTCAGCCAGCGTGGGAGAAAGCCACATTCGCCTTCGCCGACTGCGTCAGGCACAACAGGAGCCTGCGCACTTTGAAGCTCTTCCTCGGCGACTGGGACGGCGAGGCGGGGCCCGCTGCGCTGCTGGCGGGCCTCGAGCGCAACACGACCCTGACGCACGTCGAAGTGTGCCCCGACTGCTTCTCCTGGGACCCGGTCGGCCTCCAGGAGGTCCTCGGGAGGCATGGGCACCGCTTGCGCTTCTGGACGCCGGACGCATAGCCGCGCGCGGGGGTGTATGCCGGGGGTGTGGTACTGTGACGCTGAGGGGCGCATGCAATGGCAACGGTCGCGTCTCAAACGCATCAAAATCCCGCGAAGGTATCGCGACTTCTATGGCGAAATCCAGCAGCAGAGATGGCGTTCTCGCCCGATCCGCGCGTGGTGCCACCCACGCCCTGTGACCCCGCGACGGCTGCGCCCGAGCCCCGCCCCGCGCGGCGTCACCGGCGGTAGCTCTGCCGCACGAAGTTGAAGAACAGGTGCAGGATCCCGCGGTCGAACACGCACTTGAACCCCTTCTTGTGCGAGTACTCCCACTCCTGGTTGACAATGCGGAACGCGACGTCCTCGTACGGCGGGCCCGCGACGAAGCGCAGGATGCACGTGGAGCCGTCGGGGGACTCCGGGTCACGCTCGATCTTGAACGACGGCGCCTTGGTCTTGTCGATGAGGTCCGGGTAGAACACGTTGAACTTGTACCCCGTGACCGACTTGGGGGGGGGGTTGTCGCGGTCGTAGTGCGCGCGGTTGTACTTGGTCCACGCGTACCCCGTGTGCACGCGGTTGAAGTACTTCGGGCGCCGCGGCTTGTACTTGTCGTGCCACCAGTACACCTGCGCGTCCAGGTCCACCTCCGTCGAGAACCCCGCCTCGCCCTCGGACGGACCCATCATCTTCGCGGCCAGCTTCTTGAGCTGCTCCGCGTGCCGCTCGTCCGTCTCGTCCACGCCGCCCGTCCGGTACGCGTACGCCCCCTCCTGCTCCGCCTGGTCGGTCAGGTTCTTCAGCATCCCGTGCCGCACGCCCGCGACGCCGCGGCCCTTCCGCGCCGCCGCGTTCGGGTCCCCGGACCCCTGCATCACCGCCATCGCCGCCGCCGCCTTGAACCGCAGCGCCGCCCGGTACTTGACCTGCGCCCGCATGTACTCCACCTCCCGCATCTCGTGCGCGAGCGTCACCGCGGCCTCGCGCTCCGCCTCGGGCAGCAGCGCAAAGTCCACCGGCTCCGGCGACCACCGCCCGCGCGGCCGCGCGAACTCGTCCCCCGCAGGCCCGCCCGCCACCGCCGCACCGGCGTCGTCGTCGTCGCGCTCCAACGCCGCCCGGTCCTCCGCCTCGAGCTCCCGCGGCGCCGCCGCGGCCTCACCCTCCGCGTCCGCGTCCCCGCCCTCCTCGCCGCCCGCAGCCGCCCCTTCGTCCGCGCCCTCCTCCCCGCCCCGGGAGGAGGGCGCCGCGCCGGCGTCCTCGTCGTCCGACACGTCGGGGAGGTCGATCTCTTCGTCGTTCTGCGCGGGGAGGCCGAGGTCCGCGACGAGGTCGTCCGCGCCGACCGCCGCGCCCTCCGCGCCGCCCGCCGCGTCGCGCGCCGCCTCGATGGCCACGACGCGCTCCAGCGTGGTCGCGTGCACCCCGCGCAGGACCGCGCGCGCCCGGTGGACCACCAGCCGCTTCAGCACCATGTCCCAGTACTCCGGGTCCTCCGCCGCCCCGCTCTCGATCATCCCGCGCACCTCGCCCTCCAGCTCGTCCAGCGCCGCCCGGTCCTTGTCCACAAACAACGTCGCGATCTCCGCCTCCATCGCCTCCTGCAGCGGGGTCAGCGCGAGGCCCTCGAGCGGCTCCCCGCGGACCTGCGCGCGCTCGATCGCCTCGCTGCGCGCCTTCTCGCCCAGCTCCCACGCGCACAGCTGACTCAGCGCCCCCCAATACTCCCTCCCCGCCTCCGTGTGGCTGTCCAGCGCGCGCATCTCCTCCACCTCCGCCGCGAGCTCCTCCACCTCCTTGTGCGTGAGCGGCGCGAGCACCGCGGGCGCCGCCTCCGGGGGCCGCGCCACGCCCATGTCCTCGTGCCCCGCGTACAGGCACAGCATGCAGCGGTCGATGGGCTTCGGACGGCCCTCGTTCAGACGGATCGCGGACCGCTGCCGCGCCGTGCGCAGGTGGAACTCCTGCTCCCGCGCCAGGTCCCCCTCCGTCTCCTCCTGGTTCTTCATCCTGCACACAAAACAAAACAACACAAAAAATAACTCAACCAATCAACAAACCAGGTCTTCCAATCAACACCTGCCCTGCTTGCCCCACCCGGCACCCACCCCGCGTGCACGCACGCCCTCGCACCTCTCGAGCTCCGCCATGTCCTCCCGCATCCGTTCCCGCTCCAGCTCGCGCTCCTTGATCTGCCGACGCACCTCCTGCAGCTCCTGGATGCGCTGCACGCGGCGCTCGTCCTCCGCGCGCGTGCTGAACTGCCGCACGTCCGCGCCCGCCGCCACGTCGCGCTCGATCTTCTTCCCCCACACGAAGCGTTCCGCCTCGGCCCCGCCAGAGCGCTTCTGCAGCAAAGAGGGGGCGGGAGGGGGGGGTTGGGCCGCGTTCCAGGCTCCGCGCTGCCTCCGAGAGGTATGCGTAGAGCCTTGGAGCGCGAGGAGGTGCGTGAACAGGCAGAGAACGCGGGCGGGCGGCCGCGAGGGGCGGTGCTGGGGTGGGAGGGAAGGAGCACCTCCAAGTAGCGCGTGAGCTTCTCAGCCTTCCTGCGCGCGCGCTCGCCATCGCTCCCGCTGTCGCTCGACGCGCTCCGGCTGCGCTTGCGGCGCGAGTCGCCGTCCCGCCGGCGCTCGCGGTCCCGTCGTGGGCTGCGGCGCCGGTCGCGCTCCCTGCTCCTGTCCCTCGATCTATCTGCGGGAGTTCCGAGGCCACAGCCACAGAGATGAGGTAGCTGGCCCCGTCTGCTCGACGATAGGGCCTGAACAGCTCGAACGGGCCCTCGCGCGCGCCCGGCAACGACGCACACCAATGAGGCCCGCTGGCGCGCGACAACGGGACTCAAAACACACCGAAAACTACCAAGCGAGCGGGGAGAAAGCAGACGCAACAACCAGGTGCGGATCATGGGAGCCGTGCAGCCCAAAGTTGGCCGCAGTGGGCGTGGAGGACGCTGTCATGGTGGAGAGAGCCTCGCGCGCCGTGTCCGACGCCAGCGCGCCGCGCGTGCCGCGGTGCACGCACCTCTACGACGCGAGCGCTCGCGTGAGCGGCTCCTGCGATCCCTCGACCCCATCTCGACGGCCCCGCGCTCCCTGCAGGGCGCAGCTGCCAACCGCCGCGCGTGGCCCCTCTACTCAACCGACGTCATGCTGTCTGCGTTCATCACACGTCAACGGCCCCAGGAAGTGCCTGCGCGACGCACCGGCGCGGGTGTTCGTCGCGGCAGGCCGCCTGGGGCTGTAATCGCGGCAGTCTTCCGCCAGTGCGTGGATGCCCGGCGCTCTTGTCTGGGCAGTCGGGCGCGGCGCGCGGATACTACGGATTTGCTCCTTCGTTGGAGCCCTCGCGGAGCGGTACGCGCGCACAGCCTCAGGTCGCGCACAGGCGCCACGGAAGGGAGGCGAGGGCGGTGCGCAGCAGCCGGGGAGCAGCGGCCACGATGGAGGCCCTGCTGGCCGAGGCGGGGGCGCTGGGCAAGGACGCGGCGAAGGAGGAGCGGAGGGACGTGTGGCAGCGATGCGCGGAGACCGCTGCGCGCGAAGGTGCGCGCCCGGCGCCGTGCCGACCCGCCCGCGACCCGCGCACCGCAGCAGGGCCCGCGGCACCGCCGCCAAGGCTATATCCGGAGCGACGGTGCGGCGGCGTCGTTGGAACGCGCTCACAGTTTCCGCCTGCGGGAAGAATCGTCCGTTCCGTCCAGCAGCCTGCGCCGTGGGCGGCAAGTTGATGGCAGGGCTGATGAGGCGCCGCCTTCGACGTGGAACGGGGACATGACGGCCACGCACCTCAGGAGCCATCTGTCGGCCGCGGAAACCACGCAGGATGGCAGAAACCGGCGCCGTTCGGCCCCTGCACGCCCCCACGGCGCCCGCAGCCTCCCGCCGCTGCTCTCGTTCCATCCTGCGATCCCGCACGGGCGGCCTCACGCTCAAAAGCGATCCGGGGAGCCGTGTCATCGAATTCAGCGACCGCAGGCGCGCAGGACGGCACGTCCGCCCCGCCGCCCGCGCACCTGCCAACAGCGAGCTTGCGTACGCTCCACCACCTGCGCGCAGGCCTCGCGGGCAAGCACGAGGAGGCCGTCAAGGCCGTGTGCGACACCCTCGGGCCCTTCAAGGGCGACCCCGCCGCGCAGCACGCCGTCGAGGCCTTCGTGCGCACCGCGGTGAGCGATGCAGCCTTCATGAAGACCCTTGCTGGAATGCTCGTCAAACTGGAAACCAAGGCAGCGAAGATGTCCGCGTGCCAGGTACGCACTGCCCTCACACACGGCCCCCGCCTGGCCGTCGTTGCGCGCGCGCCGCGTGCGTCGCGGGCCCGCTGTGCGCCCTCACCACAGCTCGGTGCGTCCCCGCGCGTTGCTCGCAGTGCCGGACGGCGGCGGCGTGGGCGGCGAGCGTGCTGGGCGCGCTTGAGCTGCCCGCGATGGCCAAGGCGGCGCGCGCCCTCTGCGCCGCGCAGTGCTCGCTCCTGGACGCGGCGGTCACCGCCGACCCGACGGCGGCGCTGCGCTGCGTGGACATGGCCGTGCGGTGCGCCGCGTCGCGCGACGACGCCCTCCCGGACATGTACCGCGCCGCCGCGGACGCGAAGCAGTCCACGACCGCGCTCCTGGCGGGCTGCAGCGAGCGCGACGCGCTGCTGACCGCGTACGTGGAGCGCGTGCTCGGGCCGCGGCAGCCCGCGCCGGCGGGGATCGTCGCGTGCTGGCAGCGCTTCGTGGAGGAGCTCGAGGGCGACGACGTCGCGGCGAAGCTCGCGGCGGCCGTGGGCCGGCAGATGAAGCGCTCGCCCGAGGTGGTGCTGGCGCCGCTGGCGGGGCTGCTCGCCGGGCTGCCGTCCGCGGACGACGCGTTCGCGGTGGTCGACGGCGCGGTCGCGGAGATCACGGCGCAGCTCAGGCACGCGGACGAGGGCCGGCGGGAGCGCTCCGCGGCGTGTCTGGGCGCGATGGCCGGGCGCGCGCGCACCGATGCGGAGCTCGCGCTGTCGTTCGGGGAGGTGGTGCGCGGGATGGAGAGCAAGGCGTTCAAGACGGTGCTGGAGAAGTCCGGCGCGCTGCTGGCCATGGCGCGCGTCGGCGAGGCCGCCCCGCGCGCGCTGGAGTGCCCGGGTGCCGCAGCGACCGCGTCCGCGCTCCTGGCGACGGCCGCGAGCGCGGAGGCGAACGAGGGGCTCAAGCTGACCGCGCTGCGGGCGCTCACGTCATGGGTGCCGCGCTGCCGCGGCGGCGTGCCCAAGGAGGTCGAGGCCCTGGCGTCGGCGGGCCTGCAGACGAAGGACGCAGTGCTGCGTGCGAATCTGGCGGCAGTGTGCGCGGCGGTGTCGGCGCCGACGGGCGCGGCGGACGCGCTGGCGGAGATCGCTCCCGCGCTGTGCAAGATCACGGCCGAGGGCCACGCGAAGCCGACGAAGCGCGCGGAGGGGGTGTATAGCCTGACAGCGCTGGCGCACCTGGCGGTCGCGCAGCCGTCCGCGCTCGACGCGATGAGCTCCGCGGGGGTCTGGCCGGCGTACCTCCAGGGCGATGCGCCGCTCGTCTCCGCCGCGACCGCCGCGAAGCTCTCGGGCGGCGAGTGCCAGGCCGCCGCCCAGCTCGCAGCGGTCCTCCTGTCCCCGGGGGGACTCCTGACGCACGCGCGCGCCGCCGACGGCGTCGTGCCCGCCGCAGCAGCGCTGCTCACCGCGTGCATGGCGCACCGCGACGCTGCCGTGCGCCGCCTGGCCCACGACCGCGCTGCCGCCGTGCTGGTGCAAGACCCCGCACTGTCCGGGACGCTGGCCGGCGCGCTACTGGCGTGGATGGACGACCCGACGGCGCTGCACACGCTCCCCGAGGGCGAGGCCGCCGCGGGCGAGGCGCTCGCGGACGCCGCCGTGGCGTGCGCGCCGCGCTCGCTGCAGGGCGTGCCTGCCGACGCCTTCGCGTCGCTGCTGCTGGCCCTGCACTGGCCGATCAAGGTCGAGGGCGAGAACGGCGGCACCCCGCTCCACGGGCTGCCCGACGGGGCCGCCGCGTTCGTCGCCGCCAACGCCGCCGCGATCGCCACCGTCCTGAGCGGTGATGCCGGGCTGGGCGCGCAGGGCGACGCGCGCGCCGCGAGGCGCTCGGCCGCCTGCAACGCGTTCGGCTCGATGCTCGGGCTCGCCGCGGACGCGACGTATCCGCTCGCGCTGGAGCGCGCGGCGCGGCTGCTGGACCGCACCGCGCACGACGGCATGTCGCAGATGGACGTGCTGATCTACAACGCGCCGGAGGGCACGCTCGCGGCCGACACGCTTCCTACGGGGGCATTCCTGCCGGATCTCGGCATCGAGGGCGTCGAGGTGAAGCTCACGGCGGTCGGGAAGGTCGCAAAGGACCGCGGCATTGACGACGACGACGACAGCGGCAGGAAGGCGGGCGGCGGGGCGGGGCGCGGCAAGGGGCGCGGGGGCGCGGGAGGGCGCGGGGGACGCGGGAAGGGCCAGGTGGATGCGCAGGAGGCCGCGCGGCTCGCGGATCTGGCCGAGGAGGCCGCCGTGCGCGCGCGCCTGGTGGAGATGCGGAAGACGCTGGATCTGGGGTTGGAGTTGGTGGGCGCGATGGCGATCGGGGCGCCGACGTTCGTGGCGGACCGGCTGGACGATCTGGGCCCGCTGGTGACGCCGCTGCTGGCGTCGCCGGTCGTGGGGGACAGCAGCGCGTCGGAGTGCTCGGCGCTGCTGGCGGGGTCGCTGCCGGACCCGCTCGCGGAGCACCGGCGCGCGGTTGGGCAGGCGCTGCGCATCGTCGCGGTGGAGGACGACCCCACGCGGAACGACGCCGTCGTCGAGGCCGTCAAGGCGCTCGCGGGCGCCGTCGCAGCCACGCGCCGCCCGCTGCCGTCGCCGACGTACCACTTCGTGTTCCCGGTCCTGCGCGCGGTCCTCGGGATCGCGCGGCACTCCCCCGCGCACGAGCCCGCGCTCGACGTCGTCGCGCGCCACGCCGCACCGGGGATGGACGTGCCCCGCGCAGAGACCCTGCGCCAGCTCTACGCGCTCGCCGCGGCCGTCCCGGCGTTCCGCGACCGCATCGAGCCCGTCCTGCACCAGCTGTGCGCCGGGTGCGACGACGACGAGCTGCTCCCGGCCGCGCGCGGGCTGCTCAGCCCGGCCGCGTTCGTGCGCGCCATGGCGCTGCGCGCGCTGCCGTCCGCGCCGTCGCTCGGCGAGGGCGTGCCGCCGGCGGACCCCGCCGTCGTCGTGCTGCTGCTCATGGCCTGCAACGACCCGTTCCAGGACAACCGCGCCCCGGCCACGGCCCTGTGGGCACAGTCGGGCTGCACCGTGCCGGAGGACTTCTGCGCGGCGCTCCTCCCGCACGTGTGCTCTCCGCACACCGACGTCCGCGAGGCCGCCGCTGCGAGCCTGTCCGCCGCGCTCGCCGACCACCCGACCGCCGCAGAGCAGACGCTCACCTCGCTCCTCGCGCTGTACGCGCCGGGCAGCGCCGACGCGCGCGCCGCCGACGTCGCCGCGCGCCTCGGGTGCGCCGCGAGCCTCGCCGCGTGCGCGCCGCAGATGCCGCCCGCGCAGATCATGCGGGGGGTGTCCTTCCTGCTGTCGACGGGCCTCGCGGACCCGGACGAGTCGGTCCGCGCGCGCATGTCGGAGGCCGGCGTGGCCATGGTGGACGCGCACGGGGGCAGCGTGGGCCGCGAGCTGCTCCCGCTGCTCGAGGCCGCGACCGCGCGGGACGCGAGCGGCGCGGCGGCAGACCAGGCCACGGCCGACCTGGTGCGCGAGGGCGCGGTGGTGATGCTGGGGACGCTCGCGCGGCACATGGACGACCAGGGCAAGATGCGCGGCGTGGTCGAGGCGCTCGTGGAGGCGCTGGGGATCCCGAGCGAGTCGGTGCAGCGCGCGGTGTTCAAGTGCCTCGCGCCGCTGGTCGCGCGGCTCAAGTCGGACGCGGGGTACGCCGAGGAGCTCGTCGGGCGCATGCGCACCATGACGCTGCAGGACCCCGCGTACGGGCGGCGCCGCGGCGGCGCGTTCGGGCTTGCCGCCATGGTCGTGGGCCTGGGCATCCCGAGCCTGAAGACGCACGGCATCATGGACGCGCTGTGCGCGGGCGTGGAGCACAAGCGCGACGCCAGGCAGCGCGAGGGCGCGCTCTTCGCCTTCGCGGCGCTGTGCGAGTCCCTGGGCCGACGGTTCGAGCCGTACGTCATCCACCTGCTTCCGCGGCTGCTGAACTGCTTCTCGGACCCCGCGGAGGAGGTCCGCGAGGCCGCGGACGAGGCCGCGCGCGCGATCATGGCGCACCTGTCGGCCCACGGCGTGAAGATGGTGCTCCCGGCGCTGATGCGCGGTCTGACCGACTCGGCGTGGCGCACCAAGCAGGGCTCCGTGCAGCTCCTGGGCGCCATGTCGCACTGCGCGCCCAAGCAGCTGTCGTCGTGCCTCCCGCAGATCATTCCCCGCCTGTCGGAGGTCATCACGGACCCGCACACCAAGGTGCAGGCGGCGGCGCGCGGCGCGCTGAGCCAGATCGGGGAGACGATCCGCAGCCCGGAGATCAAGGAGCTCGTGCCCGTGCTCCTCGGCGCGCTCGCGGACCCGCGCGCGGACATCCGCCGCCCGCTCGACGCCGTCCTGACCACCACCTTCGTCAGCACCGTCGACGCGGCGTCGCTGGCGCTCATCGTGCCCATCGTGTCGCGCGGCCTCAAGGACCGCGCGGGCGACGTGAAGAAGCGCTCCGCGCGCATCGTCGGCTCCATGTGCAACCTCCTCACCGACCCCGCGGACATGGCGCCCTACCTGCCGCCGCTCATGCCCGACCTGCGCAAGGGCCTCGTCGACGCGTCCCCCGAGGTGCGCGCGACCTGCGCCAAGGCCCTCGGGTCGCTCGTCCGCGGGATGGGCGCGGCGCCGATGGGCGACCTCGTCCCGTGGCTGCTGAGCTCGCTGCGCAGCGACGGGTCGTCCGTGCAGCGGCAGGGCGCCGCGCAGGGCCTCGCGGAGGTCCTCGCGGTGCTCGGGCCGGAGAACCTCGAGGCGCTGCTGCCGGAGGTGTACGTGAGCTGCCGGTCGGGCTCCGCGGCGGTGCGCGAGGGCCACCTCGTGCTCCTGCGCTTCCTGCCCATGACCCTGGACACCGACTTCCAGCCGCACCTGTCCGCGACGCTGCGGTGCATCCTCGACGGGCTCGCGGACGAGGTGGAGTCGGTGCGCGACGCCGCGATGAAGGCCGGGCGCACGCTCGTGGAGATGTTTGCGCTGTCGAGCCTGACCATGCTGCTCCCCGCCGTGGAGGGTGGGGTCTTCAACGCCAACCACCGCATCCGGCAGGCGTCCGTGGACCTCCTCGGCGAGCTCCTGTACCGCGTGTCGGGCCAGACCGGCCGCCTGATGTTCGACGACGCCGCGGCGGGCGACGACGAGGTGGGCATGGGCACGCAGCTGGCGCCCAGCGTCATCACGGACCGGCTCATCGCCAAGCTCGGGAGCGACCGCTGGGAGTCGATCCTCGCGCGGATCTACATGGCGCGCGCGGACGTCGCGCTCGGCGTGCGCACCTCGGCGCTCAACGTCTGGAAGGTCTTCGTGAGCAACACGCCGCGCGTGCTGAACGAGATCCTGCCGCGGATCATGCAGCTGGTGATCGGGAACCTGGCCGACCCCGAGGAGGAGCGCCGGCTCATGGCCGGGCGCGCGGTCGGCGAGCTCGTCAAGAAGATGGGCGAGCGCGTCGTCGCGCGCGTGGTGCCCATTCTGCGCAACGGCATGACCTCGCCCGACACCGCGACGCGCCAGGGCGTCTGCTACGGCCTCCGCGAGGTCCTCGAGTCCATGGGCCGCCAGCAGCTCGCGGAGCACCTCCCCACGCTGCTCCCCGCCGTCCAGGCCGCGCTCGTCGACCAGGACGAGGACGTGCGCGAGGCCGCCGGCGGCGCCTTCTCCTCGCTCTTCCGCGGGGGCGCCGCCTCGGTGGTCGAGAACGTCGTCCCGGGCCTCGTCCGCCAGCTCGGGTCCGCGGAGCACGCCGCGAACGCGCTCGAGGGCCTCCGCGTCATCCTCGGCACCAAGCCGCGCGCCATCGACTCGGTGCTGCCGCGCCTGCTGCCCAAGAACTCGGCGCCCGAGCAGGCGCACGTGACGGCGCTCGCGCAGCTCGCGCCCGCGGCCGCCGAGGCGCTCCCGCGGCACGTGCCGTTCGTCCTGGCGACGCTGCTCCCGCTGGCCTCGCGCGCCGACGCGGCGGGCGCGGGCATGGACGTGACGGCGCTCGAGGCGCTCGTCGCCGTCGCGACCGCGGTGTCGAGCGAGGCCGAGACCGAGATCTACCCGCTCGTGTCCGAGCTCGTGCGCGCGCTCGAGCGCCCCGAGACGCGCCTGGGCGCCGCGAGGCTGGTGGGCAGCTGGGCCAAGGCGGCGCGCACCTTCGACCTCTCGGAGCACGTGCCGCTCCTGCTGTCCTCGCTCATCGCGCTCTTCTCCGCCGACGACCCCGCGGTCCTCGCCGCCGCGCTCGACGCCGTCCGCGCCGTCACCGCCACCCTCGAGAAGGAGGTGCTCCCGGCGCACGTGCGCATCGTGTGCGACGCCGTGCAGACCGCGCGCGACGCCCAGCGCCGCAAGGAGAGCAAGGCCGCGCTCCCCGGCGCCGCCGCAGACCAGCCCGTCCTCATCCCGGGCCTCTGCCAGCCGCGCGCCCTGCAGCCCCTCCTGCCTATCTACCTCCAGGGCCTCCTCGCGGGCGCGTCGTCCGAGGTCCGCGAAATGGCCGCGAACGGCCTCGGCGAGCTCGTGGCCGCCACGAGCGCGGACGCGCTGAAGCCGTTCGTCGTCCAGATCGCCGGGCCGCTCATCCGCACCGTCGGCGACCGCTTCGTGCCGGAGGTCAAGGCCGCGGTGCTGGGCGCGCTCGGCGTGCTCGTCGCGCGCGGGGGCGCCGCGCTGAAGCCGTTCGTGCCGCAGCTGCAGACGTCGTTCCTCAAGTGCCTCCACGACGGGTCGAAGCCCGTGCGCGACCGCGCCGCGGTCAACCTGGGCGCGCTGGCCGCCATGTCGCTGCGCGCCGACCAGCTCGCGGGGGACCTGGCGACGCAGGCGGGGACCGTCGACAGGGCCGTCGCGCAGGCCATGCTCGCGGCGTTGCGCGGGCTGCTGCTGTCGTGTGGGCCGCGACTCAAGCCCGAGACGCTGGCGAAGGTCGGGGGCGCGGTCGCGGACATCCTGCGCGCGCAGAACGACGAGGACGCGCTGCTGCGCGTCGGCGCAGCCGGGTGCCTCGGCGCGTACGCCGCGTGCTGCGACGACGCCGCGCTGCAGGGCCTCCTGGGCACGTGGGTGCTGGACGCCGCGCCCGTGGAGACGTGGCACGGGGTGAACCGCGCGGCCGTGCTCGCGGCCGCCGCAAAGCACGCCGCGCAGCGCATGCTCGGCGCCGCGGGCCCGCGCGAGGTGGGCGCGGCGGTGGTGCGTGCGAGCAGGCACGAGCGCGACGAGGCGAAGAAGTGCGCGGGGCGCGCGCTGGCGGCGCTGGCGTGCGCGGACGCGGACTTCCTGGAGCACGTGCAGCCCGTGCTGCCGACGCTGCTGGGTCCGGACCAGTTCAGCGACGTGCAGCGCAGCGCGCAGTGCGCCATCCGGCACGTGGCGCAGGCGCACGCGACGGCGCTGGAGGCGCAGTGGGGCGAGCTGCTGCCGCCGATGGTCGCGCTGGCGACGCTGAAGAGCGGCCCGGACAAGCTGTACGCGGAACGCACGCTCGGGCGGCTGCTGGGGCTGGCGCAGGGCGACGAGGGGCACGTGCTGCAGTACGCCGGGGGCGGCGCGGCGTCCAGCGGCGTCAGGACGCACCTCACGCCGGCCAACGTTGCCAAGTACGCCAAGTACGCGCAGCAGGGCGGGCCCGAGGACGACGTCTTTGATGAGGACGAGTGGTGAGGAGCAGGGGGGGGGGGTTGTGTTGCGCGGGCGTGTGACGCCTGGCTTGCTGCTTGCGTGTCGCTGTGGTGCTCCGCCGAGCGCTCCGCTGCGTGGCGCGGTGGCGCGCCGCCTAGCGCGTGGCGGCCTGCCTGTGCCCCTCTCGACGTGCACAGCTGCCCGTTGTCGCGCTTTCAGCGTCGTCCGGGCCCTTCGGACCCCGGAGCAGCGCGGTGGCTGGACGCCGCCCTTCCAGCTCGCCCGCGCAGCTCCGCAGAAACCGTCCACGCCGTTCACGTCGTAAAACACGACGTTGCACGGGCGAGGCAGAGCTGCTCGGTTCCAGCGCGGTGTGGGGCCGAGGGCTCAGGTGGCTGGGCCGCACGGATCGGGGCCCGGTAGCGCTTTGCAACGTCCCGCGCATCAAGGAGGAGGGTGTCGTGGCTGGCTGCCTTGGGGGAGTCACAGGACGGTCCGTCCCCCGGTCGCGAATTCGGCCAGGGGCATTTTGGTGCACGCCATGGCGCAGAGCCTGTAGGACCTGCACCAGACGTCGCGTTTGGGCCTCCCTTGACGAGAAGCTCGCGCGAGGTTGGCTTGGCGGGAGTAGAGCTCTGGCTCAGGCGTGCACGCGCTCTCTGTGGGCTCAATCATCGTAGTTCTCCGTGGGTTTTCGAGCAAGGGAATTGATTCGGTGCTGTAGGTGCGGCAAATCTCACGTCAGCGGCCCGTGCGGCCCCGTTCGCCTGCCCTCTCCTGCTGCTTGCAGCGAAGCGCGCCCGTCGCGGGCCCACCCCCTCCAAGCGGCGCGAGAGCGCAAGGCCTGACATGTCGATCGTGCTGAGATGGTTCGGCACGCCCCAATATCGTGATTGCGCCGTGCCGCAGGCGGGCCGGGAAGCAATATGGCGGCGGCCAAGGCGAAGCCGAAGACGGTAGACGAGCTGGAGGCGGACGAGGCGGAGGCGTTCAAGACCGGTCCTCTATCTGTACTGACGACCTCGGTGAAGACTAACACGCAGGTGCGGAGCTCCCGAGCGCCCCTCAGCGGCGCGCCTGGCCTGTTGCGCTGCCCCGCCCGGCGCCAGCTCAGGTCGGGGCGCCAGCGCGCATGCACGGCCCTGCGCGGTCAGGATCTTGCCCTGACGCGTGCGACGCGACCTCGAAACCTCGCCCACGCGGCCCCTGAAGCGTCCCCGCGGCGGTCGAGTGCCAGCCCCGAGGCTCAGCGCGCCTCCCGCGCCCTCGAGCGTTCGGCGCAGGTCCTCATTAGCTGCCGCAACAACCGCAAGCTGCTCGCGCGCATCAAGGCGTTCGACCGGCACTGCAACATGGTCCTGGAGAACGTCAAGGAGATGTGGACGGAGATGCCAAAGAAGAAGGGGGCCAAGCCGGTCAACAAGGACCGGTTCATCTCGAAGATGTTCCTGCGCGGCGACAGCGTCATCCTCGTCCTCCGCAACCCGAAGTGAGACCGCGGCCCGGGAGGGGGTCGCACCGAGGGACGTGTGGTTTGCGTGGAAACAAACCGGAGGTGACACCCGGACCTACGAGAGGGACATGTGGGCGCACACGGGTGGGTGGCACCCGACGACATGGGATGCGGGGCGGCCGGTCGGCGGCGGGGATGGGGGCAGCGTTCGTTCGTTTGTTTGTGACGCGGTGCGTCGGGTAGCGAAGTGGATCACAGTGTCTTGCTTCAACACCAGTGGCACGCTGCCCAGAGCACCCCCTGTAGAGTACACAGAGGCTCCCCGCAGTATCAGCCCGTGACGCCGTCGTCGCGGGGCCCAGCAGCGCGGCTGGTCCGCGCGTGCTTGCGGGGGCCGTTCAAGCAGGTGGGGGACGTGAGGGCAGCCTTCCCTTCCACTTCCTTCCTACATCACCATCGCGAAGAGCGCCGCCACCGCCGCCACCAGCGACGTGAGCACGGCGGTCGCCGCCGCCGCGCCCGGGGGAGCGGTGACGGTCGCGGCCTGCGTCAGGACGACCACGGCGATCTGGCCCGTGGAGGTCTGCACCAGCGTCGCCAGCTGGCCGCCGGTGACGAAGCTGTTGAGCGACGCCACCGCGGCCTGCGCCGCGGCCAGGCTCGAGTAGAAGATGGTCGCCGTGACCTGGTAGGCGGTCGACTGCAGCGTGTTGCGGCGTCCCTTGCGCGCCACATTGCCAGCAATGTCCACGGTCGCGTCCACGACGCCGTTCCCGCCCTTGAACTCGTTCGTGAGGTCGGCGCCGAGCTTGGCCACCTGGGCGGCCGTCAGCGGGTTCTGGAACGTCAGCGAGAACCCGATGTTGGAGCGCGCGAGGTTGGCCAGGTTGGGCGTGGTGGTCGCCGCCGGGCCCTGGGTGCCCACGACGCCGCCGCCGCCGGTGCCCGGCGCGCTCGTCGCCGAGGTGCCGCCGCCGCCGCCGCCTCCCGTGCTCGGGGCGGCCGTGGCGTTCGTGGCGTTGGTCGCGTTGTTGACCGAGGGCGGCGCCGTGGTGGACACCGTCTGGCGCGCGACCGAGGCGCCCGCGGAGCCCGCGGGAGCGCACTTCAGGAGGCCGTCCGTGCGCGACACCTCGACGTGCGTCGACGCGCACTTGTCGCAGTTGGTGCCCGAGTAGCCCGTCTGGCACTTGCACTTGGCCTTCTGCAGGTTCCACCGCAGGGCGGCGTTGTCCGCCGAGCACGTGCCGACGGACGGGCCGCCGCAGATCTTGCCCGTGCCGTTCACCACGGACCAGGACGGCGTGCCGCACTGGTACGTCGGCGTGGTGCAGTCCACCAGGTTGCCGGCCGAGTTCGTCGACCCGCAGCCAGCGCCCGTCCACCCCGTGCCGTTGATGATCACCTCCTCGCCCGTCATGCACTGGCCGTCGCCGCACACGGGGCTGATGCTGCCCGTGCCGGACGCGCTCGACGAGATCGACGTCTGCAGCAGCTTGAAGCGCGGCCTGGGCGCCGGCTCGGGGGCCGCGCCGCCCTCGAACTCCTCGAGCATGCGGCGCGCGGGCACGGTCGTCGCCGCGCAGGACGACTGCAGCGTCGGTCCCGACGACGAGATCTTGCTGATGAGCGTCGACGTGACGCGCGCGGTGAACACGGGCACGTCCGAGCTGATCGAAGTGTCCGGCGGCAGGATCGTGACGTTCAGCAGCAGGGCCGAGGCCGACGTGCTGTACGTGCTGTTGGGCCCGTCGGTGCGGCCGTCGCCGTCGCCGTCCACGCCGAGCTGCACGCGCGCCTCGCGCACCTGCAGCGTCGTGGCGATCCACTTCTTGAGCGAGCACTCGTACTGCGCCGTGTTGTTCGCGTACGCGGTCTGGCTGACGCCCTTGAACTGGAACGCCCGGAGGACCACGGGGCACTTGTAGTTGCCGCCGTTGCAGATGCCGCAGTCGTCCTTGACGCCGCCGGCCGGGCAGCAGCCCAGGCCCGTGCGCGAGCCCGTGCAGCACCTGATCGTCGTGATGCCGGCGGACACCGTCGGGTACTCGCCGACGCCGGTGCCGAAGCACTTGCCGCACTGGTCCTGCTCGCGGACGTAGCAGCACCTGCCGTCGCGGTCGACCGCGGGCGTGTGCGTCGAGTTCCTCGGCGGGCAGCTGACGCAGACCGTCTGGCCGTTGCGGTTCGTGGACAGCTCGTTCGGGAAGAGGCAGCACTGCGTGGCGCCGGCGGCGTCCGTGTACTGGTTGCCGTTGCAGACCGAGGTGTCGATCTGGCAGTTCAGGCCCGTGAACTTGCTGGCCGCGCAGTCGCAGCGGTACCCGACGGCGCGGTGCTGCGGCAGCGTGTTGCCGTCGTTCCAGCTGCTCGAGGTGGAGTCGACGCACGTGGCGCCGTTCTGGCAGGGCGTGCGCGAGCAGCCCGACACGCCGGGGCAGTCCTGGTCGTACCCGAGGTCGAAGCACTCCTGGAACGCGAACGTCTCCGCGGTGATGTCGGCCGGGTCGCCCGAGGTGGTGACGAAGCCGCCCTCCACGAACAGCCCGCGGTCAAAGCACGTCTGCGGGGGCAGCTTGAAGGTCCGGCCCGTGGCGATGTCCTGCCCGCGGCACTGCACCTCGGTCAGGCGCTGCGGCACGATGCCGTTCCTGTCCACGCAGGTCGCCGGCAGCCACGTGGTGTTCTTCAGCGCCTGACACGTGATGTTGGTCGAGAAGATCGAGTCCTCGCCCGGGGCGGCGTCCATCGCCGACTGCGGCACGGGGGCGCCCGTGTTGTCCAGGAGCTGGAAGTACCGGAAGAACACGCGCGTCGTGTCGCACACGTCCAGCTCGTCCGTGCACGACTCCTCGAGGAAGAACGCGTTGCCCTCCTGGACCAGCGTGCTGATGGTCGGGTCGTTCGCGACGAGCGTCTGGTCGTTCAGGCACGTCGACATCGGCACGATCGCGTCCGACCACGCCCCGCCGTCGGCGAGCACCTTCTTGGTGTCGAAGCACGCCGCGCGCGACTTGCGCACCGAGGGGTTGACCGGGTCGAAGCACTCGGTGCCGTCGGCGAGGACCGTGGCGTTGCACGCACTCGGGAAGCCGTAGAAGACGAAGTGGTCTGCGCAGGGCTTCGCGTTCGGGCAGCGGCGCCACAGGCGGCCCTCCTGCGCTGGGTCGCTGAAGGGGTCGCCCGAGGGCGAGTTCTCAAACAGCTGGTTGAACTCGGGGCAGAAGTCCAGGAAGACCTCCTTGCCGGGAACGACCGTCGACTCGCAGCGCAGCTCGCGGAACTGGATGGGGATGATGCCCAGCGACTCGCTGATGCACTGGCCCTCGCAGTCGAACCTGCTGAAGGGGCCGAAGCGCAGGCGGAAGCCCTCGCAGAAGGGGAAGTCGAAGCAAGGCTCGAACGCGGGCGGCGGCGTGACCTGCCGGCCGAACTGGGTGCAGTTGGCCGCGGGAACGCCGGTGCCGGCGCTGGCAGTCTGGTTGACCACCCAATTCTGCTCGCCGAACTCGTTGGTGACCAGGTCCTCCCTGATGCACTTGACGTTGAGAACGGGCGCAAAGGCCTGCTCCCCGGCGAAGAGCGACGCGCACGTGGCGTTGCAGCGGCCCAGCGTGAAGTCGTACGTGTGCCAAACGTTGACGTTCTGGTCGAACACCGAATCCACCTCCTCGACCTGAACGATCGGGGCAGGGACCGGCGGCGGCTCGACGAAGTAGCGCTCCAGTGCCGTGGTCGGCAAGTTCAACGTGATGGGCGTGCTCTGCGCACACTGGTCGGGCTCCACGGTGGGGCCGGAGCCAGAGCCAGAGCCTGAGCCGAAGCCGGAGCCGGAGCCGGAGCCGGAGCCGAAGCCGGAGCCGGAGCCGGAGCCAGAGCCGGAGCCGAAGCCAGAGCCGGAGCCGGAGCCAGAGCCGGAGCCGAAGCCAGAGCCGGAGCCGGAGCCAGAGCCCGACCCGGAGCCAGAGCCGGAGCCCGGCTGCAGCCGCCTCGCAACGCCGGAGCCAAAGCCGGAGCCAAAGCCGGAGCCAAAGCCGGAGCCGAAGCCGGAGTCCGGGATGCTGGCATCGTCGTCATCGCTGTTGAGCGCCGTGCACTCGTCCACAGCGGTCTCGAGGAGGTCGAAGAACGCATCCTGGAGCGGTGGGTCGTACCGCGTCCTGGCCCACTCATTGGCGAAGTCGTCGATCGGGCTGCAGTCCCACGTGGTCTGGCGCACCTCGACCTCGAAGTTGCTCTCGCAGACGAGGTAGGAGCCGTAGCTGGCCGAGTTCCTCTCCAGCGAGTACGGCTGGCCGAAGCCGCCGTTGCCGCCGAAGCCACCGTCGCCGCCGAAGCCGCCGTTGCCGCCGTCACCGCCGAAGCCGCCGTCACCGTTCTGTGCGAGCTTGCGCACAGTGCCAGGGGCAGAGCCGGAGCCGGAGCCAGAGCCGCCGAAGCCAGAGCCAGAGCCGGAGGCGAAGCCAGAGCCGGTGCCGGTGCCGGAGCCAGAGCCAGAGCCGCCGAAGCCAGAGCCTGAGCCAGAGCCGCCGAAGTCGGAGCCAGAGCCGGAGGCGAAGCCAGAGCCGGTGCCGGTGCCGGAGCCAGAGCCGCCGAAGTCGGAGCCCGAGCCGCCGCAGCCAGAGCGGTGCCGGTGCCGGAGCCAGAGCCGCCGAAGTCGGAGCCCGAGCCGCCGAAGCCAGAGCCTGAGCCAGAGCCGGAGGCGAAGCCAGAGCCGGTGCCGGAGCCCGAGCCGCCGAAGCCAGAGCCAGAGCCGGAGCCGCCGAAGTCGGAGCCCGAGCCGCCGAAGCCAGAGCCGGAACCGCCGAAGTCGGAGCCCGAGCCGCCGAAGCCAGAGCCTGAGCCAGAGCCGGAGGCGAAGCCAGAGCCGGTGCCGGAGCCCGAGCCGCCGAAGCCAGAGCCAGAGCCGGAGCCGCCGAAGTCGGAGCCCGAGCCGCCGAAGCCAGAGCCGGAACCGCCGAAGTCGGAGCCCGAGCCTCCGAAGCCAGAGCCGGAGCCGCCGAAGTCGGAGCCCGAGCCTCCGAAGCCAGAGCCGGAGCC